GCCAGATCCAGCAGGCTTAATCTTACATCCTTAAGATGTAACTGTGCACCAATTTAAGATACAACTCCAGATTTTAATTATGTTTACAGACTGGAGGTGTGCACTGTAGATCAGTGTCTAAATCTGCTGTCTCCTATCTCTTCTAACTGGCTGTTGCAACTTTGCTGATATGTACTACGTTTGAAAGTTGTGAATATTTTAGTGTTCTGAAAAATGGTATATTGGGAGGCTACAGAAATGTGTGCGTTCATGTCCTCTGAAAGTGAAAATGTGCCTTCTGGGATGCAGGAAATACATATTTAAAAGATGAAATCTGGGGGATTGCTTGGCAGAATGCGCCATCGCCTTGTCACACCACACGGAAGCAGGTGGCTCATTTGACTTCATTATTATCATAACATAAGCTGCTTGTGCACATAAAGGAAAATGAGTGTACCTATTTGCTTCCGTTAAGTATTGATTTTATTGTTCTGTTCTCTGTAATTAATTGCCATAAAAATGGCATAATTGTTTTGCCCTGTTAGAGACCTTCAAGGCATCTGTAAGATTTTTTTACACATGTGACTGTGATGTTCTAGGAATATCTGTACACCGGACTCAAACTTTATGGGGTTCCAATCCTGTACCGCCTTAAAATGGATTCAACGGAATAATTGCCAGAACATATGCCACATGTGCATATATATATGCATATGCCGAATCTTTTCATCTGTAAGACACCCCCTATTTGGGGGGACTCTGATTTAAGAAAATGGGGGGAGATCTATCCATGTATAAGATGCCCCCAAATTTTGGACATTATATTTTAGGGGGGAAACCTAGTCTTATACACGAAAAAATACGGTATTCTGGACATGTCCCAAAATTAGAACATTTACTTACTTCTGAGTCAACCTGTTCTTGGGATTTTTTTGGGGAAAGCATGACAGTTTAAAGCAGTATCACGATACTTTAAATGTATGGTGTGAATGTTGCCTTGAACTCCTAAAGAGGGGTTTCTCTGGGGTCCAATTTTGTCTGTACAGTATTTCAGAAGGAAAGTGGTTACTTCTGAGCCACTGGGTTGCTGCCAGGGGAGATACATGGCTCGGGTGTGCTGTAGGCCCTGTGATAAGTGGCGCCCAGTGCACCACCCGCCCCTCCCTAGCTATGCTGCTGATCTGAGCCTAGATGTAGCGTGCAGAGCATTCACATTTACTCTGCAGCAAGGATCGGGAACCTGTGGCCCTCCAAGGTTTGTTGAAATTCAAGCCCCATCAGTCCTAGCCGGCATATCCAGCAGCCAAGGATTCTGGAAGTTGCAATCCAACATCTGGAAGGTTGCAGGTTTCCCGTGTAGGACTTTAGTAGGAATAATATTGAGTCCCGTCATTAACAGGCAGTTTCCGTAGGGGTAACCATGTTAGCATGTTGCAGCAAAGACTAACAAATTTATGATGGCATAAGCTTTGTTGAACTATGAAAGCTTATGCCGTAATAAATTTGTGGGTTTTGAAGGTGCCGCAAGACTCGATGCAGTTGATGGGCAGCAGCCTTAGTACCTTTGTTGATCCCTATTGGGTCTCTTAAGTCAGATCTAGCGAGCACAAGCATACCGTAACACATCTATCATGCTGTTCATTTTCCAGCATTCTGCAGAGGTCTTCATGGGCAATTTCAACTGTCTTTTCGTGGAAAACACCACCACACCAGATGTTTGGACGTTGCGTTTTATAGCTGTTTTATAACAACAACAAAAAAAGTTTTTATATTTGTCCATTCCCTCTCTTGATGAGAAAAGAGAAAACCCTTATGTTCAGGAGGGAGACGTCTTTGAAACCAAAGGATTAAGAATCGTTCTTCGTGTACACCTTGCACATCTTGTGTGGTTTGAACCACAAGGAATGAAGCCAGTGGAATGTATTATGATCACTACACTTACCAAACGTTACAATACATGGAGGGAGGGAATGCTTGCAACAATGATGACTGACCATTCCAAGACGCTGCTTATTAGCCAATTAGCCACACTCCACATGTCCCTCTTGGGATCATGGTCCAAGTTTGCCTCCAGGTTTTTTGGGGGCCCTTGAGCACCATGGTTATCAATAGGCCCCTGGGCAAAGCATCTTTGGATTCCAAGGGAGATGATTCTGGCTCCCTGCTACTGTCTCATGAACCCAGAGGGAGAAGGCTCAGCAATTATTTTTTAAAATTATTTTATTAAGGTGATTTCATGTAAAAGAAAGTGATACAGGGAAAAAAGGAAAAGTGTGTGAGAGAAAAACAACAAAAATACATATAAAAGCAAAACATATGTATACATATATACATATAAAAGCAAAAATATGCAAAAAGTGAGAGAGCAATACAGTGGTACCTCGGGTTACATACGCTTCAGGTTACATATGCTTCAGGTTACAGACTCCACTAACCCAGAAATAGTACCTCAGGTTAAGAACGTTGCTTCAGGATGAGAACAGAAATCGTGCTCCAGCGGTGCAGCAGCAGCAGGAGGCCCCATTAGCTAAAGTGGTGCTTCAGGTTAAGAACAGTTTCAGGTTAAGAATGGACCTCTGGAACAAATTAAGTGCTTAACCCGAGGTACCACTGTATACGTTATTCCCATACATTCTTGTATAAATTGGTATAGTTTTATTGTCCTAGTGCTTATGCAATTATGGCAGTCACTGCTGCTTGTCCTCCTTGTCTTCACCATTGACAGGGGAGCTGACTTCTTCTCTCTCTGTGCCCATTGAGGGGCAACTACAGCTTCTGCTCCTTGTTATTGCTGTGCCCAACCCCAGGGAGAAAGGGGCCCATAGCAGCAGCACTGAGCCGCCTTCTCTGCTGACCGAGCCTTCTGTGCCTGTTGGAGCATGTGTGTGAGGCTAAACAAAATGGCGGCCTCTAATGGTATTTCATTATCTACTGGCAGAAAGTCAAGCCTGTAACATCCTTGCACTCCTTCCTATGAACTCATTGACAAAGTTGTGTATATCGAGCAACAACATACAGGCTATTAGTAGATTATATAAACCACAAGTAATATTTAATAGTTCTTTCGAAAGGTTTTCTGCAAAACCTTTACTGAACCAATGTGAGCCTCGGCGTCCCTGTGGCTTTCTGCTGCAGACCTGGCTCTTCAAGCCCTGTTATTTCCCTTTGGTACTGACCCCATTGAAAATTACATTCTAAGACCTCATAGCAGGCAGGAACTGTGTCACTTCTGCGTACGCTGTGCTGAATAAAATGCTAAATAGTACTGATAGTTCCAGCAGTGGATCAAAGAAAACAAAGCAGAGGCTTCTCGTTAGAACAGGTTGTTCCGGTGCAAACCAGCAATTTGCAAAATTGTGGTGTTTTCCCTTGTAATCTTCAGGAAGTTTAGTATTCTGTCTGATGCAAAAGGTGAGACCAGCTGGACAGCGACAGGAAACTATATGGGGGTCAGTAAATAAAGTGATCATGCCATTGATACGAATGAACGGATTTATTACAGTCACAGACCTTAGATACAGAAAATATTGCTGGGCCTGAATAAACAAGTACCATTCGTTGAGAAAGGCTACGTGATAAGATTGCAGTCGGATAGTAGCTAGGAAAATTGCAAGTGAATAGTTCATGTTCATGGACTGCAGCACACTTTTTATTAAATGTCACAATGCAATTGCTAAATGTAGACGCCATGAAATCCTTTTCTCCAGATCATGTTACAATTCTTGGGAAAATTTGCTAGAGAGTAATTGGGGAGGATTTACTTCTAAGAAAGCATATTTAAGACTGCAGGTCTTGAAAACAGTCAGTCCAGGATTATTTTACATGATAGGACTGCTGCATGAAGGGGAGGTATGCAAACATGGCAGGTGTTTCGCCAGGTGAGCAATTCATGTGATTCACTATATGGGTCACTGGGCACCTTTCTTTTTCAATAGGAAGGGATAGGACCACAGTTCAGGGGCAGAGAATCTGCCTTGCTTGCAGAAGTTCCCAAGTTCAATTCCTGGAGAGCCACAGCCTGTTAGTGTAGGCCAGTGTTTCCCAAACTTGGGTCTCCAGCTGTTTTTGGACTACAACTCTCATCCTCCTTAGCTAGCAGAACCAATGGTCTGGGATGATGGGAACTGTAGTCCAAAAAAGAGTTGGTGACCCAATTTTGGTTTTACTCAGTATCGTAGTTTATTAGGCTCCTATATTTACTGTGGGGAGCTGGAAAGTGTTGAGCCCAAGAGGAAAATTGCTGCTTACCAAAGAAATTTATTTGAAGGGTGTGATATTCCCGTAACAAAAGCATGCACAATCATTTGATGTCTTTGTTTTTATTTTCATTATGTATTCCATGTATATTGTAATTTTATGTTGTGAATCACCCTGAGATCTACCGGTATAGCTAGGGTGGTATACAAATTTAATAAATAAATGAAAAAAATCGTTTATAAATTTGTCCCCGCTTGTAATCTTCCTTTGGACGGTTGCCAGATGACATGGAACTGTTATTACCGATGGCGATTAGGAAGGCTTTTGCTGGATTTTTACCAGAATTTACCCCGATCTTGTTACTGCTGACGTTCATTTAGTAGAAGCCTCTTTTTGCGTGGGGCGGGGAAGGGGGTCGAAGCGGCCCACGTTGGAACCCCGAACCCACCGCACCTGTGCATTTGATGCAAATCTGCACGCCCCTTTTCCTTGGCGTTGCGTTGCTTGGTGCCCACCCCGCGGTGGGTCAGAGGTGGTGGCGGCGGTGGTTTTGGCTGAGGCTGCTCATTAAAGCGCGCCTCTTTAAAAGAGAGCAAGAGCGAGCCAGGCCACGCCTCCGCCCCCCCAATCCTGACGCCCGGCCTTGGGCAGCTCCCCCGGGGGTACGCAGGCAGAGAGTGGCTTTGCTGCTGCGAAGCGCTCCTCGGCAAGCGGCCCGCTGTCTCGGGATAGGAGCGCGCGCGCCTCTCTCTCCGTCTCGGCCTGCGAGCGCGCGGCGCCTCCCTTCTTTGCGGAGGGGGCGGCCCTCGCGGCGGGAGGAGGCTGCGCGCTGCTGCCGGAGCTAGGCGGGGGTGGGCGGAGGGAGGAGGAGGAGGAGGAGCGGCAGCGGGGGAGCGAGCGAGCGAGCGAGGCGATCTGGTCGCGCGGCTCCTGCAGCGACCTGCCTGCGGCGGCGGTTGCAGCGGCAGCAGCGGCATCCCCCTCCGGGCAGCGCCGGCAACGTCTGCTCCGCGCTCTCCGGCGGCGGCGGCGGCGGCTCGGCCTCCCGCTCCTCGATGTGCCTAAGCAGGAGGTGGCGGAGGAGGCAGCAGCAGCGGCGGCAGCGGCAGCGGGGCTTGCACTCGCCCCACGGGGACTCGCCGCTTGCGCGCTCCGGGCAACCCTGAGCCCAAGCCTGCTGCCTCTCTCTTGCCTGCCACTCCGGCTCCTGCATCTTTTATCTGCCGCGGCGGCGGCGGTTCGCGCTTCCCTCCTCTCGCCCCCTTCTCCCCACCCCCTTTCCAATTTTTCCTCAACCCCCCCCAATACCTTTTCTTCTCTCTCTCTCTCTCTCCCGCCCTCCTCTCTGTATCCCCAAACCGGGCTGCAAGCGCGAAGTGTCTTCATGAACCCCAAGGATGTCCGGGAAGCATTATAAGGGCCCTGAAGTCAGTTGTTGCATCAAATATTTCATATTCGGCTTCAATGTCATTTTCTGGGTAAGTGGAGTGGTTCGTTTTATGGGCCAAAGCTGTGTGGGGCTCGTGTGCATTTTCTAGCTGGGCGAGGATTTAGCCCTCCACCCCTTTCCAGAGAAATTGGAGGTTGTGTGTGTGTGTGTGTGTGTGTGTGTGTGTGTGTGTGAGAGAGAGAGAGAGAGAGAGAGAGAGAGAGAGAGAAATAAGCCCAGCAGAAAATAAACACAAGGCACTTCAGCGGGAATGGGGGTTTTCATGAAGTAAATAACCTAGCAGGATACGTGTGTGTGTGTGTGTGTCTTCGTGTTGATGTTTTTTAGTGGGGTGATCTTTACAGGGAAACCCCCCCCCCTTTCCAACATTTTGGGCAGTATTTGACTTTTTCTGGCCATAGTCTTTCATGTTCCGTGGATAATAAAGGAACGGCTTGGTTTTTCCACCATCCCCACAGTAGATCCCCTTGCAAGGTGTGATTCTGTTTCTCCACCACCCCCACCCCCCATTTGCCCCTATTGTTGTGGTTTAAAAGGGACTGATAAGATTTCCATGGACTGGAGAAGGCATAATGCCGTGTTCCAAGTGTTCCTGGAAGGCTAAATAGCTGTGTTGTTGGGAGAGAAGGGTTACACAACGACTGTAGGTAAGAAATGGGTCCGTTGTGGTGGGCTCCTGTTAATGCAGCAGAAACAAGAGAACTGTGTACAGTACTTTGCCGCTGCAAAATAGATCCCCTTTTTAATTAAAAGAAAAAAGAATATACATTGGGATTAGGATAAGCATTTGCTTGAAATTCTGCATGCATACAGATCACCTATTGAGTCACCCCCCAACCTTTTTAATTATTTTGCTGCCCCTGCTTTGGTGGGATTGGAACTGTATGTTGGAATATTACATCACTATGCTCTTTCCACTGCTTCCTCCCAATTTGCTGTAGCTTTGAATGCTCTTCTCCTTTGAAAAAAAGCCTTTTGCTGCCTCTGTGTATGTGTGTGTTTAAACACACACACACACCACAATGCCATATGAGGTTTTACATATTTGAATTATTGTTACATAATGTGAACCTTTGGGGATGTAGCAGGCTGTGTTTGTATGGATATTTCAGAAATGGGGATATTGACTGGGATAATGGATTCTGGAAACAATTGAATAAATAGCATTTGGTGTTCATTGCAGCGAAGTTGGGTCAATAGGAGAGCTCTCATGAACTAACCCTACTTGTGAGCAGGACATTACATAAAGGAAATTGATTCCCTGTTAATGGAGAGGGTGTGTGCACAGACACACAACACAGAGCGCAAGAGGAGCTCTGGATTTCAAGTTGAGAGACTGCAAAAGTAGGCTTGGCTGTAAGTCTGTGGCTAGTTTATATGGAAATACATTAAAAGCAATTCTGATCTGTTATTCCATATGGAAAGGAAGGAAGTGTCACCCATCCTCCTCCTGCTTTCCTTGTTGCCAGGATAGAGCTTTGATTATTTCTGGCACTTGGGTTCAGAAGTTAATGGAGATGCGGCCAAAGGCCTGGAACAGAAACCAGGTGTTAATGTTGCTGTTGAACCTGCCAGTGGAGGAGGCTGCTTTGTACATATGGCGAATGGGCCCTGGTCCATGAACGCTTTCGCTGTGATAAATATGTGAACCTTCAGTATCACAAGACTCTTGGTTGTATCTTGCTGCTAAGAAAGGCCCGTGTAAGGACATAGTTGTAGTGTTGCGTTCTTACTAGCAAACTAAAAAATCCAGACTTGGATAAAGTGCTATGCAGGGGCTGTGCGGTTTCTGGTGTGGCAGAAGGACCTGGGTAGTTCTGTTATGATCATAGTGGGTTCATCAAATCACTTGCATATGCCTAAAGAGATGTTTTAGCTCCTGCCCAAAATAATAATAGCTATGCTATTGACATTAAATTAAAATAGTGCTGCATTTTTGGCATTAGGAGTAAGAGGAAGATATCTGAAGATGTTCTGATGTTCTAGATTGAAAACTGATTTTTAAAAGCAGGCTGATGCATATGACGCTCTCTCTACTCTACCTAAGGTTTCCTTTTCTGTTTTTTCACCTCTTGCTAGAGAAGGCAGGTAAAAATAAAACTAGTCTTCTGCTGCACCTTTTAGATACCCCCCCCCTTCTTGTTCTGCCATGGAGTGCCAAAGCTCTATTGTTCCCTGCTTCTTTCTAATGTCATATTTGAATCCCATCTGTGCTGCTACAAATCTGGTGCAGTGTTTTTTTTGCAGTGACTGTTCAGCTGTCCATAGTATTGGTTCTTGAAATGGGATGGGGGAGGGGGTGGGCACTGTGATGAATTCAGATGTTCCCCAGCTGGCAAAGAAGGCACAGTAGAATGAATCATGCAGCCTTCTTGGAGAGAGCATATTACAGGTTCTAGACTGTATGCTTATGAGAGTTAGGATCAGTCCTGAAATGCACAATTTGGCATGCTGACAAAAAAAAAGATGAAGTTCCTCTCTAATTCATTGTTATGACCCTGTACTATAACTTTGGTGGTTCCCTGGCTCTAATCTTTTAAATGCTTGTATTCCAAGGAGAGTTGTGCAAAAGATGCTTTGGGGAAGATGCTTCTGATGCTTGAATCACCTGTCCAGTTATCACAGGTAGCAGAGTTGTTGAATTTCAACCTTTCTCCTATTAAGAGGTTGGAGATGTGTTAATGGGTGTTGGAATGACTTACTGTGACGCACTGAATGGTTTTCTAAATGTAGCAGGAATGAATGGAGTGGTGGTGTAATTATTTGCAGACTTCGAACAGGAGTTTTGAAATCCTCATGAAACCAGTTTTCAGTACCATTAGCCTGACTTTAAATTGCTTCTCCATTTTAGCTTTAGACCTTGAGTACTAGGATGTTTTCAGACTAAATGCATTCTGTAGGGGGCTGGTTGTTTGCTAAAGAGACTTTCTATCTCCCAGACTCTTATACTTGACGAATATGTTGAATGAACATGGGCTGAATGTGTCATACATCATACAGTAGTGAGTGCCTGATCTGCTATGAGGTTACTTTGAGCAGGTATCTTCAACCTTTTCAGACGCAGGACCCGCTTTTAATCCAAATATGCACCTGGGGACCCATTTCTTAATCATTTCTTAATCATTGTGACCCACCTTGGATCAGGCTGTGACCCATTATTGGGTCCCAACCCACCAGTTAAAGATTAGTGACTTAGAGGCCAGAGTGTCACTTTGGTTTAGCTGCCATCATGACGGCACAGAAGCAGGACAGTTTCAGGCTAGGTAGGTTTATTTTAGAACTGAATTTGCTGAAGACCTTTAGTAAGCATTGCCTGTTACACACTGTGGTCTTCTTAATTGTACCATGTTTCTGCAAATTGGCTGATTAGTTTGGGCGCCTTTTGATGAAGAGCCAATTAGCTACCAGGTGGATCTTGTTGCTTAGTTTGGGGAGGTGGCCATGGGAGAGGATGAAGATAAGGTAGAAAATACGTTTGAAGTGTGAAGTAACTTCCAAAATGCTAGGCTTACATCTGTTTCCAATTCATGTTCAATGAATGTTCACTGTGAACATTTTAATAGAATGACCAGACCTTAGGCTGAAGACTGCTTCATACTTTACATTAAAGCTTATTTTGAGTATTTTCTTGTTCAACACTAGCATGTGAGTGAGCTGGTCACTCATGGATCCAACTCGCTGAGGTGTGAGTTGGCTCCTTGCATATTGCATTGTGTCCATGAAAATGGCATGGCATATCCTTACATGCATGCATATCCTTGTATCCGTAGCAGCATGAGCCAAATTTGAACAAGTACATAATTTAACTCAAAACTATGTTTTTGTGGCATGTACATTTTAGTTTAAAGCCAGTGTGAGGAAATTCTCCTGAAGTTTTTGGAGATCTGATTCATGGACCACATTAATCTGTTGATATGATTATTCTCTGTTGTGTGGAAGGTATTGGTGAACTTGGAGTGTGGTTGTGCACTTCCTGGACCTTGGTTCAGAAATGACTGTCTGGCAAGCTGGTCCTGAACAGGCCATGCCACTAATTTTGCATAGAGGAGCAATAATTGGCTTCACACAGGGCACAGCTCTACTTGGGAGACATCAGAAGTGAACGAAGATTAACATGTCACTGTAAACCCGCTGCCTTGTACAGTTCCCAGTGTCATTTAAAAACCAGATTCCTGCACACTTAGAAATGTGTGGGTAATTCAGCTGTGGGTGAAAATTACAGGGAGAGACTTAAAGGTGATGTTAGTGGTATGTGTGAAAACTGAGCCTGCATTGTTTAGATGATTGCATTTATAATGTATACAGTAGTTTTGATTTAAAAGAGATTATGTGGGATGGGTCTAGGCTTGTGTTCAGCGAAGGTTGGCTTGTGCTGAAGGAAAGGGCGAAAGGTGATTTTTTTTTTACTGATAGCTTCTTTACTACTTCTTTGCCTCTTGATGTAGAGAGGGCCTTCTTGGTAGCTGCTCTTAGATTGTGGAACTCCCTTACACAAAAGGCGTGGCCGTCCCCCTCTCTGCTTTCAAATCACCAACAGGCAAATGCTTTTTTTGTTTAAACAGGTATTTGGCCACTATCTGGCTGTTACAGCAAGGTCTTTTGAGCATGGGTGATGCCTTTTTGTGTGCTTAAGTGTTTCAGTGCTGTTTTTTTAATAGGCTTTCTTAGTTCATTGTTTTGTCAAAGCTATATTTATTGTGTGTTTTTAGTTGAATCTGTTTGAATTTATGATGTGCGTCACCTTGGGCCAGGCACTGGGAAAAAGGCATGGTGACAATAATATCTATGGTTTTTGTTTGTTATTATGTTTGTATTTTTATTTTGTAAACCACCCTCTGATCCCCGGAGGAGATTTAAAAATACATTTATTTATTTAGTTTTTACACTGCCTTTCTTCCATCATGGAACCCTAAACCCATGTGGTTTCCTAGAGGTCTCCAATCCAGACACTGACCAGACCTGGTGTGCTTCCAGACCATACCTTCTATAGACTGTTCTGGAGAATTGGGGGACCCTCAGGAAGGACATGAAAGTGGGGAAGGATCCAGGAAGGGGAAATCTCCCCTTCTTCCAGTGAACGTCTGTTGCACCTTGGTTCCTTCCATGTATGGAAGTAGCCCTTCCATGCACGGAGGGCCAAGTTTGTATCCAAATAATAGACTTTGGGGTGTCCTCTTAGACACCTTCCTCTTTTCATCTTGTAAGGTTCAGCGCCTCTTCTGTGATGGTGCCTGCCTTTTTGTTTCTTCAGGAAAGTTCACAATGTGAGTTTATTTAGATCAGGTGGTCCTATGTGGATCACTATGTGAGAACTTGTGCATTGTTATATTTGAAAATTACAGTTAATAACATTAAACTGTACAATTATTTGACTAAATTCTTTAAGTGGGCAACATCTCTGTGATAACATTCTTTGCCTCTGACCTCACTGACAAAGACAAAGGTGGTGTGAATTGTGAAGTGCTAATACTGAGGTAAAAGATTGCACTTTATATCACATGGTGCCTTTAAGAGCTATGTCCCTTGAACACTTAAAACAAGAACTTAAAATCAGGGTACAGTAATTTTGTATTTGGGAACCTTTGGCCCCACAGTAGTTCAGATCTTGCAGAACTACAACTCCCACAATCCCTGGCGGTTGGCCATGCTTGCTGGGGCTGATAGTTGAGGAGCACCTGCAGGGCCACACCTGGTTGAGATGTTTTAATTTAGCATTTTGTCTTAGACAAACCAGCCTGCCAATCCATCCTGCTTCATGTGTTCTGAAATGTCCTTGTTTTGTAGCTGACTTGTGCTATACTCCCACAAGTTTATCTTGGCTACTGTGTCATCTAGGATTTTATCTCACAAACCAGGAACCTGTCTAGTCTCAGGATCTGGTCCAATGTATTCTAGGAAGAAGATTCAGTAGTACATGAGTTCATAACATTTGCTGTGGGGGTTTTTTTTGGTGGAGCACGTGCTGGGCTTATTTTTGTGGTATTAGCCATATGGGAGGTTTTAAATTGTCTCCTGACTTGAAGATTGGCAGAAAGCAGGCTAAATCTGGTTATATAAGTGTTCTCTGGGGAAAAGCAGAGTGAAAGGCATGCTGTCCTCTGTTGGGCAACAGCTAACTTGACTGCAAATCGTTAATAGCATCTTTTGAAAGGGGCGAATACTTTTCCATGGCAATGAGTTGCAGAGGCTTCGGGAAATAAAAATGGCCGCTCTTCTAAATTACCCTAGGATTTATTTCATCTTCTCATGGTGCAAGAACTTTGTTATTTCTTTATATATATTGGAATTATAGCTCTATGCCTTGTGGAAGGCCCAAACTCCCATCATCTTGTTACTGACCTAAAGGGCAAATTGGCTGAGGCAGCTGCGCCATTCTGTAGGCTGATGCCCATGCTAACTTTCAGCCCTTTGGTTTCGACATCAAGTGGCAACTGATGTATTTATCTCTAGGTAGTAAAGCACAAGCTGGATTCAGATAGTGACTGGAGGCAATTCATTAGCGCTAAATGGGAATCTATGGTAACAGCAGCTTGCTTGGCAGCCACGCCAGCGTGATGCCTGTGTACCCTGGATTAAGAGCTGGGGAAGAGTCATACCTGGTATCCAGAGACTTTCATACGCAGGCCCAAATGGGCCTGCCAGTTCCTTTTCCCATTGCAGATCCTTCTGCGTAGGATGATACCACCTTGGAGAGGGTCTTGACATTCAGGAGCAATTTTTAAAGCAACATAGGAAGCTGTGGTCTGAAGGGGAGAGCCCATGGAAAATGTTGGGAACAGTCCCCCAGAAATTTACCTTGCCCAAGTCTCATTGAAACTCGCAGGGAGATGTGGATGCACAAGGTGTGTCTTTGCTGCGGGGTCATGTCCACACAATACCTTTGAAGCGCATCCCCCCCTGTATTTGGTTAAGGTGCTGGGAGTGGTAGCTCAGCGAGGGGCAAACTATGTTTCCCAGGATTCTTTTTGGGGAAGCAGTGTGCTTTAAATAACTGGTGAGGATGTGAGCTGGCTATTTGAGGTTCCTTGTGTGGCCCTTTTGGGTCGTTGCCTGAGGTTTTAGAGATGCTCCGTTTGGGAGAGTGTCTTCAGGAACTCTCGCCCAGTAATTTGTAGGGAAAATGCAGGAAAGCCGCAAGTGAATAGTCTCTGCGTGTAGTCATCTCATATAGAGATCTACGTGCAGGTTTTGCTTGCTTTCCTACAAATAATTGATCTCCGTACAGGAGAAAAACATCTGAAGCATCCTTAGGTCATATGTCCAGTACAGGCATAGCATAAGTTTACTTCAAAACAGGTTTTTCAATTGGAACCAGATTTGAAAAGCTGCGCTGCTCACATGTGTAAATTCTGTTCTCCCATCCCCACCCCTCTCCTCTTTATGGCTTTCACATTGCATTAATTTATGTGGTGAAGATGGGAATCCTGGTTAATGTTAATTATAGTTTTTGAAACCAGGGTTTGAAATGGGCTTGCAAATTCCAGTTATACTTAAGGATGGCTAATGGAATACAGCTTCTGAATATTGTTTGCAGGCTAGACCTTATTCTTGTCTAGGTAGCACAGTAGTCAAGGAAGGGTTTTTCAGCTGTAACCAGTGAAAGCATGCATAATCAAATTATGTAAAAGCCAATTATTTGCCACTTTAGGCCTGATCCTTCAAATAGATTTCTACTGTCCATTCTTAACACCTGTCTATATAATCCAGTTGTTTTCAAATGGGATTTCCCTGAAAGTTTGCATAAACATACATGAACCAACATTTTACGTGCAGGTCCTTGATGAAAAAAGCTACCTAAATTGTAGCTAGGCACTGGGCCAATAAAGGTCTTTTTAGAAACCTGAAAAGAGCAGCTGGTGTGGAAATAAAATAGTGATATTCGCTGCTCTTATTTGAATGCTTTGCACTCCCCTGGCTTTTCCTGCTTTCACAGTCATGCTTTTACCCTAGTCTAGCTTTGCTTTTGGTTTTCCAAGTAAAACATGTGCAGATTATTTGAGTTGGGTGGGCCCGGACAAACAATTCGCTTCATTTATTAAACTTCTATCCTGCCCTTCATAGGATGGCAAACAAGGCAGTAGGTTTGTTTTTTATTTTTAAAAACCAAGTAAATGAGCGTCAAGAGCATTGAAAAACAGCCTTGCAATTAATATTTTTATTTATTAAGATGTATATACCACTTGATTATAAAAACAACCACCTCAGAGCTGTTTCAGTATTATTCAGCCATCAAATATGTGGTTTAAACAAGGATTTAAAAAAACGTTTCTCCTGAACATTGACAATGAAGGAGGGAGATGCAATTTGCCAGAGCGGACATTCCACAGAAACGGAGCCACCACAAAGAAGGCCCTGCCAAGCATGATTACTGACTGGGCGGCACTGGCAAAAGGGCTTTAGAGTCTGGGTGGGGAACCTCAGACCCAGGGGCCAAAAACATCCTTTCCCGCCTTTCTGCCTGGCCCTTGGAACTGTCCCCAGGCTACACCCCTTGCTGGCCGTATTTTACACCCCAAGTGCTTCTTCCTATCTGAAATGTGTTCCTTGCATTCTGACAAGGGCCCCTTGCTTGACTGGATGGTGGGTAAAGAAAGGTGTGTTTGTGTGTGTAGAAACTAGCTTAGTGTACAAAGGTAAAATTGACACCAGCTACTTTGCCCCCCCCTTTTGCCTCTGGCACCTGCCTGCCACTGACCTGCGACCCTCAGAGGGCAACCCTACATCAGCCCTGTATTTCTCTTTGTTCCCTGCTCCACTTCTCTAGCTGCTACCCACTGTCTTTCCTAAGCCAAAAGGAAAACTGAGCTAGACAACATAAGTGTTGTCATTTCTTCCTTGGAAGTTACAGGTTGCAGGGATCTTTTTTTCCATGTTTCCAGTCTTGGCTTTAAGTCGCTGTGGTGGGCTTCTTGAATAGCTCAGTGGTATGAACAGGTAGGCAAAGTTACCTGCTCCCAAGGTCCAGTTGCCGCTTTCCAGTAGAGTTGCACATTCTACTTTTACCTGACAACCTCCTTGTGCAAGCACAGGATAAGGATATGGTGATATTAATCTCCCATGGAATCTCTACATCAGGAGCTGCAAATTATGGCTCACCAAGCCACATGTTGCCCTGACCATAGGTTTGGGTCACGCTTCTAAGAAAGCTTAGCATGTGAAATGACTTGAAACAAAGACTGTTGGCGCCCTTTTTATTTTTCAATGTAAAGCATAAGAAAGAAGATCTGGCAGACTTCTCCCTCTCTTCCCCTCCAAATAATATTAGCTCTCAAGTAAGCGGTGTGCAGATCTGAAAGTGTGCTGCGTGCTTGGCTCCTGCGGCTTTTGCATGGCACAAAGGGAGTTTTCCAGCCTTCACAACATTTGGGGCCTCATTTGTGCAGCCTCTATTTACAAGTAGCTCCCATTGACTTTAATGGGAGCTGGCTTGGTTGCGGCAGCTGCGTATTCAGAGCCTTTTGGTTTTCATCCAGTGCGGGGAAAAGATGTGAAAAGACTTCAAAAAGAGCCATGGCCATTATTTGCAATCTGCTTAAATAGCCGAAGAGCAAATGTGCAGGAGCAAAGCAGGTTGGGTGTAGCTGGGATGCAACCTCTGATAACAGGTTTGTGGAGGGGAGCGTATTGTTCCTGTCTTTTGCAAACACACCAGATGGATATGCCCTTATTTGCTCACTTGTTAGAGAGGGTGATGATCGCTCATCTTCATGGCCTGATGCTTCTGATGTTGGGGGAAGCCTAAGAGACTAAAGTGGCAGTGGAGGAAAACAAACATGCACAATCCTATGGATTGTGGGTAGGGGACCATTACCAACTCAGCTAGGAACTTACAGGTAGTCTTGATAAGACATCTTTAAGCCTCAGTTCTCTTTCCATAAAACAACAACTTGCTTTACAGGGTGGAAAGCAAGAAAGAACAAGGCCAGGATTGTGAAATGACTTGTATGCCAAGTAATCTATACATGATACTAATGGAATGCAGCAGTAAATAATGGCTCTTTTGTCTTGATGTGGCTATCAGTTGAGGAGAATGTCAGCATTTTAATCGGCCCTTGCCAGCCTTCTAGTGCTTCTGTGTCCTGTCTCTGTCAGCCACTCATACAAACCCAAGGCAGTAGCATAATGCCTTCTCTGACACTGGTCTTAAGTAATCGCTAGGAGGATTTTCTTGGACCAAATCTCTAGGAGATTTGTTGTATTCTCATTAGCAGACTCCTTTCTGCAACTGGGTCTTGCAGTTTCGTTTGGTTTCTTCTAAATATTTATACTCGCACGTTTTGTAGGACTCTGTCCTCACGTGGCTGTTTCCAGAAGTAAGGTAACCACAATTACAGTAAAAATAGAAAAAAAGAAATTAAGCTAAGCACCAGGTTATAAACAGAGTGTAAGGCCCTCCTTGAACAGATTAAACCAGAGATCTTTACATGGCTGTGGGTGGGGGGAGAGGAATGTTCACTTTTAACATGGGTCTTGGGGACTGGCAGGATATAAAGGTGGCTAGCAGCTCATATGGCTGTACAGTAGCCTTCTGGTTCAGCGATTGCATGGAGCAGTGGTGGGGAACCTCCAGTCCATGGGCCAAATTTTAGATAATTGTAGAGTTGCAAGGGACCCCAAGGGTCATCTAGTCCAACCCCCTGCAATTCAAGAATCTCAGCTAGAGCATCCATGACAGGTGGCCTTCCAGCCTCTGCTTAAAAAAACTCCAAAGGAGAAAAAACATCCAAGGAAATTTGGTCCGTCTGACTGCCCATTTTGGCCTGTGAGGCAGTTTTTGGCTGCTAACGCCCACCTGCCACTTGTCTCTGACATCCTATAACATCAGGTGTGTGGGACAGGTAAAGCTTTGGATGAAAGGAACACAATCAGGAGCCTTAAAGCAGGGGATCCAGAACTCTGATCCATGGATCACTGGTGGTACATGGGAGAAAATGTTTGGGGTGCATGCCCAATTGTTCCTTTGCAGCCATGACTTACATGCAGCACTGTTTCAAAGTGCTGCTGAATGCACACCTTTCCGATGGGGTGAGATCCACCTGTTGCCAAACAGCAGGTGATGGACAGGTGGGCAGTCCTGCTCACCCCTCACATGAGGCCTGCAGAGGGTTGGGTGCTTTTTGATCTGGCTTTCCAGATGAAGTGGTGCCTCACCCCGGCATAAAACTGTAAGGTGTTGCCTGCTACCTCAGACTTTTTGGTTGTAGCCTTGCTATGGGATCAGTTTGGCTGTGGGCAGTCTAGGCTGCCACACGTTCTAGGCATTTACAGGCTTTTATGAGAGGGCAAGTGTTCTGTGGTCTGGGCAGGTCCTAAATATGTTTAGTTTGCAATCCACATCCCGCTTGGACAGTCTAAAGTTACAGTCCATAACCGGTATTGATAAACTGAACATAATGGGTAATTTATATAAATAGATGTGGCAGAAAAGGCTTTGAGTAAGCAGTGAGGTTTCATTTTCTCTGATCTGAGCTCCATTTAAGGTTTTTTAAAAGTTCATTGCGCTATCTAGCAGAATCATAAGCTGTCAAAGTGGAAAGTGCTTTTCTGTATTTAGTAAAAACATATATATATACTGCCAAGACTATTCTTATCAGCCCTTAATAGGCACAGGAGTTACAGAATCATGGGCACATAACCTGAAGTCTGCCCTAAGACAGGCTCCTTGTATACCTTTTTCATGGTGGTTCATTCCAATCCTAAACACGTTGACCTTGGAGCAAGCCCTCGTTAACACAGTGAGATTTGCTTTTGCATGAACATGCGTAGGATTGTGCCTGCATGTGGTGGTCTTTTTATTTAGAATTCTTGACTCTTCTTTAAAGCATCTAAGATAATTGCTGGGAATATATTGTTGCCTGACCCCTAAAAGCAGGAGTGACATGGGGGGGGGGCAAAGGTTCCCCACTGCTGCTTCAGAGGATGTGAGCAAGCAAACTGAAAACCAGCATGGTTTTGGCTTCTTTCTTCCCTAACGCCACCAGTTACTTAGTTGTGAAAGGTCACTGAAGTGCATGATATTTGAAAGCATATCTATATGATAGGAACATCTTATACCAAGTCTAACCAACTACCTCTTTATTGCTTGCACGGACTGGCAGTGGCCATCTGGGATTTGGGATGGGTCTTTCACATAATTACCTAAAGATGCCAGGGATTGAACCGTTGGCCTTCTGTAGGCAAGGCATGCGCTATGCCACCACACTTCTTACCAATAGGCTTATTGATTTTGAAATTCTGGTTTGCATTTGGCCAAGTCATTCATCCTGCATAAATTCTTACTTGCGACACTAATAGACCTTTGATAAGAGCTTTGCAGTAACAAGGCGGGAGTCATACTAAACCTTGACCCAGATCTAGTTTAAGCCGTGCTACCTATCTTGTGAGTGGTGGTCTCTTGGGCAGAGATGCTGCTTCTTCTGACAAGTATAGTGAGTACATTATCCAGTGTGAGACAATTTCACCATTTGCTGTTTGCAATCTCATGCCAAAAGTGAATCTGCTGGTCCAGGAGTTGGGAGTGCGAGCATCGGGCAACTTGGGCCCAAACCTCATCTTGGCCAAGGTAGGTGACTTGTTAGGTAGTGTTGGTTAATTTGCCTCTTTTTCCCCATCTGTAGCAGGGGGATTAGTGAGTCAGCATCCGGGGATGTAAGACTTGATGTACTGTGCAAATGCTATTCTTTTAGCTTTTCCAGAGTCAACTGTTGGAACTAGACTGGTGAGACCTCCAGAAGTGAACTCCCTTGCTTCTCAACCAAGCGTGACCATCTTTCCATACTTGTGGGAAGCCGTTAAGTTCATATTTGTATGGAGCATGCAGCTTACAAATGACATACCTGTGGCTTTAGCTATGGTACCTTGCTACTAAGCTGGAATAGCTTTTGGTGGTTGCTTGAACTGGGTTTGTGCAGTGATCGCTGAATAGATTTCCTTCGGATTCCACCCAAAGACCACAATGACACCACAAATTGAGAATGCTGCCAAACTCATTCTCCTGGCTGTGTGAACAAGGCGGGGCAGCAAAGGAAGGGTAGTACATGGGTGTGAGTCTTACTCAGGCTCTTTCCAGCTTGTGCATGTCAGATAAAACCATGGGCCACTGCTTTGTATGTGGGCTGTGGTGCAGTTTCATAACTGTGGTTCAGTTAAGTGCAGGAGGTCAATTTCAGGTTCCTATTCAGTGCAGTCTGCCTCTGCACTTGGTAGCTTGCTGCAGAAGGCTGTTTTCAACTCTGAACAAAAGCAAATGCACTCTGGAAAAAGAAGATGGAATAGATCTAAAGCACAGCACAAGGTCTCAACAAAGATGATAGGAACATTGGAGCACAGGAAGCTGCCTATACAGAGTCAGACCATCGGTCCATCAAGCTCAGTATTGTCTTCACTGACTGGTGACATCTCTCCAGGGCTTCAGGCAGGAGTCTCTCCCAGCCAGCCCTACCTGAGGAGATACTGGGGATTGAACCTGGGACCTTCATGCAGAACAGATGTTCTACCCCTGATCCTACAGCTCTTCCCCAAAGTCTGTCGCTGTAGCAGTAGGGTAAGAACAGCCAGCATGTCTTGCATTTGCACCTTTCCTTATTTCATAAGCATGGGGTTCCTTTTCTTGGTGAATCTGCCATGGTGCTGTCAGGCAAAGAATGTCCGAAGTGAGCAGTTAACTTTATTGTCAAAAGTACACTTACAAAGTAGAAAATGGCATGTCCATCTGTCTTACACAGGGGTCAGCAAACTTTTTCAGCAGGGGGCTGGTCCACTGTCCCTCAGACCTTGTGGGGGGCTGGACTATATTTTGGGGAAAAAAAGGAACGAATTCCTATGCCCCAGAAATAACCCAGAGATGCATTTTAAATAAAAGCACACATTCTACTCATGTAAAAACACCAGGCAGGCCCCACAAATAACCCAGAGATGCATTTTAAATAAAAGGGCACATTCTACTCATGTAAAAACATGCTGATTCCTGGACCCTCCGTGGGCTGGATTGAGAAGGTGATTGGGCCGGATCTCGCCCCCGGGCCTTAGTTTGCCTACCCATGGTCTTACATCTCTCGGCTATCCCTAGGTGTGCATCTGATGAGGCAGTTGCCACAACAGAGGGGCTGTGCCCCTGACCTCAACATATTCCCCCCCCCCCCAAGCTGCATGCAAGCAGGCAAAGACTCCACCTGCGTGTAACCTTCTGCCCCTCTTTCAATCCTCTCCTGGTCTTGGGAGACAGTGGAGACAGAGATTAGAGGCAGGAGGATGATGTGTGGAAACCCTTTACACCAGCTTGACCTCTTCCTCCTCCTGTACCTGTTCTTCGCTCTCCAGTCCTGCAGCTTCTCCTGCCTCTTGACTCTTGTCTTCCAACTGTTTCAGACTCCCCCTGATCACGGATCCCTTCTTCCAAGTCGGTCTCCAACCCGCCCCCCCAGCCACCACTCCTCAGTGCACAGCCAGTCCCCGACACTATCCCACCCCCAGAACAAAGACGGCAGTATCAGTATGCCATTCTTAACGAACCAGAAATACTTTTTTCCATTTCCCCATTTTTCCACCCTCTCCCCCCCCTCCTCTTGTAGCAGGGGCTCTTCAAAGGCAGGTGGTCCCTTGAGAAGGCTGCGACACAGATGCCAGATCATACACGAGAGAGCCCTAGGGCAATGGCGCTCTCAGTGTACAGCCATTCGAACAGAATATTTATTTTCTTTGTCACAACCCACAAACGGTAAACTGAATCCATTCCGAAGGCAACCGCAACGAAAATGCTCTTGTCAGTATCTAATTTAGGTCACGGAAGCCCTTGTTCATATATATTTAAGGTCATGTTTTCTTTGAAAGGACAGTGTGCACTGGATTCCAAGAGATATCATTCATAAATAACATTCCTTAAAATTTGCCTTCAGTGTTTCAATACATTAAGAACTTGTGCTGATAATGGCCGCACTGTACTTTTTGGGTAAGAAGCACATTAATATTCTGTTTTCCACTGTTCGCGATTGTATCAAGTCTAACCCTCTCTGTCTTACTGTAAGTTGCCGACACAGAGCTTTCCACAGCATCTTATTGCAACAGTTTGCAGAGGGGCAGCCATCTTGGGTCACTCGCGAAGTAGAGTCTTGTGGCAATTCAAACATGAAGGCTGTGTACACAGTCCTGTTCACTCTGCATCCAGAGCTCTCCCACCCTTGTTTTGGGAAGTGGTGCACACCCCACATGGGTCACAGTCAATATCTATCCTGTCATTGTGTTGTCCCCCAAACCAGCTTCTATCTGAATTGAGAAAAAGAACAACCTAGCTGCATTTAATCTGTTGCTATGGACACAGTTCAGCACTACAATCCTAAACCCATATACCTGGGATTAAGTTCCATTGAATTCAGTCGGACATATAGATAGTTAGGATTGTGCTGTAATAACACATTCGTTTTGTGTACTTCAGCCCAATACAGTGGTACCCCGCAAGACGAACGCCTCGCAAGACGGAAAACCCGCTAGACGAAAGGGTTTTCCGTTTTGGAAGCGCTCATAAGCAATTTCCCTATGGGCTTGCTTCGCAAGACGACAGCCCATAGGGAAATCTCAGGGACAGCGGGAAGCGCAGCGCGTCTTCCCCACTGTCCTCGGACCTCCTCCGAAGCCTGGCGGCGGGGCGGGGACACCTCCTCCCGCCGCCGCCGGGCTCGGAAGGCTCCTCCGAGCCGGGCGGGGAGGGAACACCTGCCGCCGCCGCCCGGCCCGGGCGGTGCTCCGAAGCCGGGCGGGGGAGGGAACACCTGCCGCCGCCGCCCGGCCCGGGCGGTGCTCCGAAGCCGGGCGGGGGAGGGAAGACCTCCCGCCGCCGCCCGGCCCGGGCGGTGCTCCGAAGCCGGGCGGGGAGGGAAGACCTCCCGCCGCCGCCCGGCCGGGACGGTGCTCCGAGCCGGGCGGGGGGAGGGAAGACCTTCTGAAGGCGGGCGGGGGCGAAAGTCTTTGCTCCCCCTGCCTGCCTGTCCCGGAGGGCTTTTGAAGGCGGGGGAGCAAGACTTTCGCCCCCGCCCGCCTTCAGAAGAGGTCCAGGACCTCTTCTGAAGGCTGGCGAGGGCAAAAGTCTTTGTCCCCTGCCTGCCTTCCCAGGGGCTTTAAATTGCCCCGGACAGCGGAGAAGTCCTCCGCTGTCCCGGGGTGATTTTAAAATGCCGCCCGCCAGCATTTTAAGATCGCCCGGACAGCGGAGAAGTCCTCCGCTGTCCCGGGGTTTTAAAATGCTGGGGGTGGGAAGAAAAGCCCTTGCCCCCAGCCTTCAGAAGAGGTCCGGGGACAGACTGTCCCCGGACCTGATCTGAAGGCGGTTTCCCTAGGAACGCATTAAGTGATTTTCAATGCATTCCTATGGGAAACCGTGCATCGCAAGACGAAAAACTCGCAAGACGAAGAGACTTGCGGAACGAATTAATTTCGTCTTGCGAGGCACCACTGTACATTTAAGTCTTTACGGCTCCACAAACCAGTGGTACCTCGAGTTAAGTACTTAATTCGTTCCGGAGGTCCGTTCTTAACCTGAAACTCTTCTTAACCTGAAGCACCACTTTAGCTAATGGGGCCTCCTGCTGCCACTGCGCTGCCAGAGCATGATTTCTGCTCTCATCCTGAAGCAATGTTCTTAACCCGAGGTACTATTTCTGGGTTAGCGGAGTCTGTAACCTGAAGCGTATGTAACCTGAAGCATATGTAACCAGAGGTACCACTGTACTGCCCCCCACTGCCCTCCAGATTCTGATTTTGTTTTTGTTTTTCTTCCAAGTGAGGCTCACTTTTTTAAAAAAAGGTCCTCCTCTCACTTACCATAGGATTTACTATCCCCACTTGTAGCTGGTACAAAACCTTGTTACTGAATTCAGCAAAACGGACCGCAAGCAACAAAGCCTCAAGGATAGCTAGATGTTGGGGTGGGTGGGAAACAATGTGGCTGGCTCTATCAAATAAGCTGAACACAAATTGAAATCTAAACAAAACAAATGCTACTTGAAAAGTTGAAACCACTTGATGTTTTTGTCCCATTGTTTGAAACTCCAATGAACTCTGTGCTTTAAATAGGTGCCCATTATTTTCAGGTTGAAAGAGATTGCTAGTCTTGTTTTTCTAAATTCCATGGAGCTATACACACATTTTAAAAAGCAGCAAAGTGACTAAACAAACAAAACCCCAATAGAGAAGTAATGCCCTCCCCCGCCCTGGGTTCAAAATGCTGTTTAACTGTTTGTATCCCCACTGCACCTCGTATCTTGTGTTTTGAATTTTAAAAAAGCAACCGCCCTTCTGAGTATTTCAGGTTGCTTGCATTTCTTTGGTCTTAATACAGTAGCGTAGCCCCTATTGCTCTGCTTCTTCTGCAATGGTTGGACTCTGTCTTGTCCGTGGTATGCATACCAGGGCCTGGCTATGGAAGGTCCAAATGTTTGGAAGATGAGGGTATAAAGCAAGGATATGCAGCCAGTTAGCACAGTGCCACTGCCAGGTGCCTCTGCAGACTCTTTGTAGTATTCGCCGTCTTCAAGGTGATCTTTCAAGCTAAAGGCAAAGAAGGAACTTTTTTCTTGCGTATAGAGGGCTAAGTGTTATGATAGGAAGGGCTGTGGTTTTCAGCAGAACCACTCAAGCAGCATCATCAAAATTGACGGAGTTGCGTAAGCTCTCAAAACCAGTATGCTGTAGATCTGAGGTGGTGAGTTGACAGCCCGTTGCCTGAATCTGGTCTGTGAGTAACTTTATCTGGCATCCAAAAGCCTTTCCGACTCTTAATCGGATGTGGCAAAACCAGTAGAACTAAATTGGCTTAAAACCCAAGCACACTCTTGCTTTTTTGTTTAATGAGATGGCAAGGCGGGTAGTAGATATATTGAGAGGTGGTTCCCCCCCCCCAAGGTTGTTTAGCCTAGTGCAGGCACGGCCAAACTTGGCCCTCCAGATGTTTTGAGACTACAACTCCCATCATCCCTAGCTAACAGGACCAGTGGTCAGGGATGATGGGAATTGTAGTCCCTAAACATCTGTAGGGCCAAGTTTGGTCGTGCCTGGCCTAGTGAATGCTTTCCTTGCAATATTTGAAGAACGGATGCATAGCACATGCCAAAATAGTCGCATGTGATTGCTGCATGCGCCTGAGCTTACACCTTTCCTCACAGATTCAATGAAACATAGGTGTGCTATTGCCATGTTGCTGCCTGCCTGAAGATTGCCCATGCTTTTGATGTGGGAGCTCTGAAGATGACAAGCAGTTCCTCTCAGAACAAGGGTGCTTTCAGACATGGGGAATATTGCATTAATTTCCTTGATTATAACACTAGCGCTTCAGCCCCTTTTTCTAATGTTACTTTCACACTGCAGTACCCGTTGTGTGGCTTTTTGACCAATATACTGGCATATCATGCTAAATTTCATTCACTACAATGGGCATGGTGTGACACAACAAGAAACAACATTGGACAATGTCACTACTCCCCTTTGCTGTCCACACATGTCTGCTTCTGTTCCCCCCACCCCATGATCCACCCATGAAAATGGCAGGAAACAACTGAATGCTAGTATAGTTCCCCAAATTTGTCATCTTTCTTCCACAATTTTCTGGGTTAATGGGGCTAGAAATCTTTTTTCCCCCTGAAAGCAGGAAACCTGGAAATGAGCACTAAATTAGATTTTTGGATGTGGCTTTTATGTTGTATGAAAGTTCAAATATAATGCAGAAATTAAAAGAAAAATGTTGGGGAAATGGAATAAACTGTTGTGGGAAAGCAACCTAATGAAGTGCATGGGACATTCAGCAGAATGCTCTAATCTTTGTTTCTGAAACTTTGATCTGGTTTAAAACCCTGTGTCAAATAATTTCATCCTAGCTTATTAGGGTATTACAGGGATTTTGGAAACTTTTACTCAGCAAGTATAAAATTTTACTCTGAGTGTAAGAAGATGGCATGAATGTCCCGAATAGTACCCATCTGTCCTATGCCTCCTGTGCAAGAGATGCATTCGAAACAGTGGACCAATAAATGAGAAGGAGCTGCCTTGACAAGGCTGCAGAGCAGATGCCAGATCAGACCTCAGATAGCCCAAGGGCACTGTTGAATAGCAAATCTAGTAGAATGTATTTCTTTCTTTCCCGGCGCTAGCAGAAAGCTGGAGCCCTTGACTTTATTCCAAATGGCAGCAAAAATGCTGTCACTGGAACTTAACGTATTTGCTCCTAGGTCTTGTTAAAATGTAATGTAACAAAAAAAACATGTGGAGAGGCAAGATGTCCTGTTCTACATCCATCCATGCGCATGGTCAGACTTATGGTTCTGTTCAAGGCCAGGTACCGTACGGCTCTCTCTCCCTGTCACCCCTCCCCATAATTGTCATAAAGGCTACCCACACAGTCCTATAAATCAGTCATTCCCAGGCTGGTGACTCCCAGAATTTGCTGGACAGCCGTGGTCAGTGTCTTAGACCCTTGCTTACCAGGCTCTGGGAAGGCTGGGGGAGCATTCTAGGGCCTCCTGAGACTTTCCCAGCGCCTGGTAAGCAGCCTTCCACCTTGGGGGGTCGGGAGGTTTAGGGGGTTCCTGACTTCGCGCAATTTTGCCTTTGGACCTCCAGAACCAAATCCTCATGTAAATGGCGGGCCCACTGTATAAATTTATTTCCTTAAAGCAATGTATAATCTTAGCTACTTAAGATTCCACCAGAGATGAGAGAAGCACAAACAGGCACAACATCATCGACCCCATGTGCCTTGAAACTTCATGAATCATGTGCATGTGTGTGCTTGCAAATAGAGGGGCTGGTTAAGCACAATGATGTGCTTCGGTCAAACTTCATCTTGGAGCTGTGAGTTGAAAGGGCACCTTTGCCATTGTTCCCAACCTTCCAAGCCTTCCCCATAGGTTCAGCAGTGTTTACCTGTGCCTTGGTTGGGGTGGTGGATGTGTAGGTCCTGCTTTTGGGTCTTGATGGGCATCTGGTTTGTTATACAATAGTAGTAGTAATAATAATAATAATAATAATAATAATAATAATATGTAGTAATACCCCGCCCATCTGACTGGGTTGCCTCAGACATTTTGGGCAGCTTCCAACAGAATATAAAAAACACAGAACTTCAAACAGATGTCTCTTAAAGTCATATAATTGTTTATCACCTTGACATCTGATGGGAGGGTTTTCCACAGGGCAGGTGCCACTACTGAGAAGGCCCTGTGCCTGGTTCCCTATAACTTCACTTCTCACAGTGAGGGAACCACGAGAAGGCCCTTGAAGTTGGACCTCAGTGGACAGTCCTCTGGGGACAGGATGACTGGACTAGATGGGCCTTTGGCCTGATCCGGCAGGGCACATGTTTTTACATACACAGTGGTAGCCACACTTCTCGTCGCTGTGGGAAATGGCGGGAAATTACTCCAGGCTTAGGAAGCCTGTGTTCGTGAGGCCTAATATTCTCTGATTATCTGGGAAAGTGCTTATGTAGCTTTGTATCCAGGCAGAATCTGCAAGCCCTAATGAGGGGCCCCTGCTGTGGCAGTTGCCTTCTGCTGCCTTCGTCTTTGCCATGGCTGGGAAGAGGGCATGAGAGGCGCCTGATGACAGCAGTTCATTTTCCAGGTTTCCTGTGGCTGCGGCAGCTGCCGCCCCTTGCCCCCAACTAAAAGGGCATAAATCTAAAAGCATGCTGTTATTCCCCTGACGGCCATGTTTAGCAGACACGGCTTATATTTTTATAATACTAGGAGTCCCCTTTGGAGGGAGGAGCTGGGGCTTTAAGTTATCAGGCTGTCAAAATGTTTTGATACAGCCAGATGATTTAATGGCTGTATACAAAGGCAATTAGCTTCATGTCACAAGTTGGCATCAATAGGAAATCTGGATTTCTTTTCAGTAATTGCCACGGGAGGAGCTGTATTATTATTATTTTTCGCCCTTGGCGCCTCTGTCTCTATTTAAAGGCTGAATAAATTATTGCTGCTTTTCAGGGATATTTTCCCCTTTGGTTTTGAAGCCCCTGGAGAGAAACTTTTTAAAAGAGCTGTCTTGTTCTGCAGCACGCAACATTTAAATAAATCTAGCTAGATTTCTGTTCCTTCCAGCCTTGAGAGTCTTTTGTTTGTGAGGTCATAGACTCTGGTTAAACCAATGTGCTCACTGGGTGACTTCGGGCCTAAGGATATTTCTTGACTAACCTTCTAATAGGGTGGTTCTGAGGATAAAATGTGGGGAAGATGACCCTGCATTATATGCCACCCTTTGATGCTTGGAATAAATCAATCGGTGGGAAGATAGAAATCAATAAACACAGCTATTTTACAGCATAGATTTCCTTTTAAAAGAATGATAACTGGAAGTCTAGCATGTCTTTGTAATATATTGATTCACAGCTGTATAGGCTGATCGAATATTATAAGGCCAGGAATGAGGAACCTCAAGCCAGGGGCCCAGACGTGGCCCTTAGGATCCCCTCTTTCTGGCCCCCAGGCACACACCCTCCTGAGTGTTTTTGCCTCACTGGGATATGTCTTTGAACTCTGGCAACGCCTCTTGCTTGCCTGGATGGGAGGATAGAGGGAGTGTGTGGAGAAATGAGCCTATTGTACAAAGATAAAACTCACATTGCCCACTTTTCCCCTCTGTCCCCCCTTGGTGGCATGCAACACCTGGAAGATTGCAAAGAAGGGAATGTAGCCCTTGGGTTTAAAAGGATTCCCCATCTCAGTTGTATGCAATTGTAGAAGCCACCCAAGTGAGCAGTGGGGAATTTCAAGCAGGCCTGTGCAGAGAGGGGCAGGCAGCCAGGTAAACCTGCCCTGGGTCTTGGAGGGCAATGTTGGTTGGGGTCCCCCGCCGGGGGCCTCCAAGACGTACACTGTCGTGCCAAGAACAAGACTCCCACCCCAGGTCTCGGACGAGATATGCATAGGCCTGGTTCCAACACAGCCCCGTTCTTCTTTCCGTCCCTGGTCTGGATTGGCTTTCTTACAGCCAGACCTGAAACTACTTAGCCTTCATTGCCCTCTTTGCATATACATGCTCAGGGACAGAACTGGCTTCACTCTCCACCCTGGCAAGAGTGCTTGGGTGGTTCTCTTTCCAAGTTTCTGGAAGAGTTACCTGACCCTTCTTGCCAATTGCTCCCTGTTAACATAAACATCAGAAGCCCAATGCAGCAGAAACAGTTAAAATACAAAGCTGCAGCACATGCCTGCTTCTTAAAAGTTGGCTGGTCTAAACGAAGAGCTATTGTGGCCTTTTCTGAAAAACTGTCTGTCTTTTGGGTTTCTTCCTTTACTTTACCTTTTTACCTAAAGGAGGCTCTTGGTGCACTGATGCAAGGGAATGAATTTGGTGGTGGTGCCAGTGACTTTGATCTCAGATATGTAGGATTCAAGTCCTTTAGTGCTTTATAAGTTATAACTGGCTGTGAACTGTGCCTAAAACAATGTAGAAAGCCAGTACAAATCCTGGATCATTCTAGCTAGTTTACCCTCAGCAGAAGGCATCCTTCCATATCATGGTTGTGTACACTTGTGAAGAGATCCATGACTTGGAGCATGGAAGACAGATTGAGAGTCTGTGGGTAAAAATTGTAAGAGAGAAACAACATTGGCCTTACTGTGTGTGTCTGTTACAGATAGCCAGGCCAGACTGAAGACTTGAATGATGCCTTCCTACAGCAGATTACCAAACATTCAAAAAGGAGAGAGAGTATAGTCATGGTAGACTTAACTACCCTGATATCTGTTGGCACTCAAGTAAGGTCCAACAGATTCCTCAGTTGCCTTGCTGACAATTTCATCTCTGAACATTGCTGATTTGGTAGCCCTACATTGTACATCACAAAAGCCTTTCCTAGATCTTGCGAAAGTATGAATTATGACTTTTCAGGTGGGACTGAGTGTTCTGGGCTTTCATGTCAGATGGAATCAGTGGGAAAACTCAAATATATCAGTGGATCTAGGAGTGTTGCAAAGGTGAACAAGAATAAAATATTAAGAGGGGTTAGATCACCCAACTGTGATTGATTTCGCCATTCCTAATGTCATCTGCCACCCTCTCCTCACCAAAGGGATCGTGCATCAACTCGTCCAGACTGAGGAAGAAAGAGAGAGCACCTTTTGAGTAGATTTGTTACAGTACCCTGAAACAGGTTTTTCAACCTGGTGCCCTCCAGATGTTGGATTACAATTTCCATCAGCGCTGATCATAGTCCCTGTTGGCTGGGGTTGTTGGGAGTTGGGGTCCAAAACATGGGGAGGGAACCACTTTGGTGAAAGCTTCTCTAAAAGTAGGGCCAAATCTTTATTAAAAAGCTACAGACTGCAGTTAGAAGGATATGTTTCTCCAAGCTGTGTGAAACTGCAGTTACATAGTCCTTCAAAAATAACAAGCATATTAGGATCTTATACCTAAAAACTAGACTTGGCCTCTCTTGATTCTCCTTTCTTAATGAGGCTTGAAAACTGGCCAAAGGAGTCTTAGCTGTTTGGAATTTTTTTGACCTGACAGAAACCCTTAATTAACAGCACACACAGTCAAAAAGGGATTCCTTAACAAGAAATTCAGACCAATGCTAATGAATCCAGAGACACTTGAATCACTTGCAAGGGGGAGAGATCGTTGTTGGTTTGCCAGAAAATGAACTTCTGTCATTTATTTGAAGACCATTGGTCCCCAAAGGTTTCAGAAGCAATGAAGTTCTGCTTTAACAGCAGTTCCAAAATTCTTCAGTGTGCTTAACTGTGCCAAGCGCTCGTCTAGTAAATGCAGTAGCTCACAACTTCTTCATTGTGGAACTGTTAGGACAATGCATTGCATTATGCAGATATCTGGTCACTGTCTCTTCGAGCTCTTGCCGTCGGGTCGGAGATACAGGACGATGAAGACAAGAACGAGCCGTCTTAAGAACAGCTTCTTCTCCAGAGCGATCTCGGCCCTGAATGGGAAGCCTGGACTTTGAAAGTCATCTAATCTCCCTTGCTGTATTATACTGCATTGATTAATTAGTGTTTTTATGGAGCAGTCAAGTAATTTCGTTGTCCCCGAAGGGGGCTATGACAATAAATATATTATTATTATTATTATTATTATTATTATTATTATTATTATATCTGAAGAACTCTTCTTTGCTGATTTTGTACGTGTGTGCAAATTTCACACAGCATTTCAGTTAATTCATGTTTTGTTCCTTACCTTGTCTTCCTGTAAGGTGAATCATTATGACTAAACTTTATGGGTAAAAGGCGTTTGTGCCCTTCCATCTCTAGAAGATATTTAGGTCTAGCAGATGCCTCTACTATTATTAATGGGGGGAGGTGGAATACTTCGGAAAGTTAAGCCTTAGAAGAAGCTAGAGATGGCACAAAGCTTCTTTCATCTTGTTACTCCATTTGCTTTTTGAATCTCCACTTGCTTTTGTTTAGCTTATTTTGTTGTAACCTGTGGTAGTGGAGCTGATTTTTATGGCTGCTCTTAGAGCTACCATTTTATTTCCAAGAGTGTCCTGGAACAACTTAACATCCCAGGAAAGTAAAAAGGCAATGTCTGGGAGTGGCCACTGATTATTTCACTCTTGCACTACCACTAGAGATCAAGGCACCTTCCCCAAAGGATGGCAAACAGTAGCATTTGTTTTATAATCACTGGAAGTAGAACCAAATGGGCCCAATTCAGTTCAAATTTTGTTCTGCACCAAATCAAATGCATATTATATACCTAGAAGGAGGATAGTAAAGAGGCTGGGTTATTTACTGCAAGCAGCGGAGCTGTTTCTGTAGTGTTGAAAGGCAGAAAACGTCGAGCGAGAATCCTTTCCATTTTAATGCAGTGTTTTAATTGAATGGAGAAGAGTGTCTGGGAGTGTTAGAATGGTTTCATCTTAAGAACAATAGCACAACTGGTTTTGACCTGGTTTCATATGCTCAAGGGTTAAACTGAGCTACAAGACAGCTGCAGCTCCAGACAATATCAGGGTCTCTTGAGTTCACTTTGCTGATTGTCAGGACAGATGAGCCTACACACAATAGCAGATTTTCCTCCTTTCATCCATTACACTTGCATCTTTCCCCTTCCAAGGACCTCAGGGTAGCTTATATATGATATTCAGGCTGCGCTTGGGACCAGAGCCGCTTACAGCACAATGCATCATTCTGGTCTTTTGCCATTTTCATTGACCTCCAGTTTGTTTCCAGGCTGAATTCAAAATGCTGCTATTAACCTTTTAAAGTCCTAAATGGCCTTGGCGTAGGAAAGTTACAACGGCTGCATCCTCCAGTGTGAGCATGCCTGAGCCTAAATTTCATGTCCTCGCTTCCCTCTTAACATAAGGCAGATGGCTAAATGTGACAGGGCCTTCATGGTGGTTGCCCACAGGCTCTAGAGTCTGAATTTGTTAGGAATTTTGCCCACTGTTGGAGGGTCAAGTCCCTCTTTCAGACAGCCTCAGTGTCATGGAAATACTAATTGCCCAGTGTGTTGATGGTGTCATTATACAGCTTAGTCACTAGGTGGAACTGGACTTGTGGGTACCTGGGGTCAGGTGTTTCCTGTTGCTGTTCTCTTGTCTGAGAGACAGTAAAGTTCTTGTCTGGCTTCCTGACTGGTGCATTCTTCCCGCCTTCCATAATGTTCACTTGTGAGTGCTGTTTTCAATTTCCCTTTACATTATGCTATAATTCTTGTTTTGACTGTTTCTGATTTTGATAGTTGCCATGGGAAGTAATATAGGAAGATGCAGTACAAATACGCCCCCCCCAACCCCCAAATAATTTCAGTAGCAAAACTAATGTATGCCTTCAGACATTCAAAGTTTGCGTAAACCGGACCACCCTCGGATACCCTTTTAAATGTACATTAATGGTTATTTCTGCTCATTACGGTACTGGGATGGCTATACACGATCCAGTTTCATGGTGGACAATACTGCTCCATTTCCAGTCAGTGCATGTCCCATAACGTGCTGCAGAAAACTTTTTTGTTCCATGAGCTGTGATTCCAAGTGACTTGTATTTCAATACATATTGTCTCTGGCAGTAGAGGTAGAGCATAGCTGTTGAAGCTAGCAGCCATTGATTGCCTTTTTCTACATGAATTTGTCTAATTCTCTTTCAGAGCCATTCAGATTGTTGACTTAACACTAACTCTTGTTGGAGCGGATTCTATAAACCTTGCCTTTTTAAAAAAGCCTTCCAGCTAGCGATCATCACACCTTTTGTGGCAAATTCTGCAAATGCTCCCTGGTTGCCAATAGCATGCCACAGGGCCATCTTGGTAGTGGTTCCCTCAATGAGATGCCCTCTCTGGTGAGATGTGGCTGTCTGCTTTGTTATTAACATATGGGAAGAATTTAAAAACATTTCTGTTTTCCCAAGTGCTTTATGGTTCTGGCAACCATGAAATTAATTAGCTGTGAGGACATAATAACTTTGTAATTTTCTTAATGCTTTCATATGTTTTTAATTATTTTATTTTTAATTGTATTGTTTTGCTGCTTTGGTGTTTGCCACATGGCCTCCTTTGAAAGTTAATAAATGAATAATTTCATTGAACTGGAGATGCAAAATGTCATGTTTTTGCTTAATTATTATTATTATTATTATTTACTTCTAATGCATGCTTTTGTTTGGGAAAGAGTGAAAGAATATAATACCACTAGAGATATGCACCTGTATTCTTTTTCCTTGTTTGTACTAATATGTCAGAATGCAATTGAACTTCTGCTTTGTCCAAAGTTCAAAAGCTTTCTGGAGCTACCAGGGAATATTAAAAATATGAAGAACTTGGCAGGCACATGCTGTAAGCACCACAAAGCAATAAGAGCAAGATGTTTAAAGATCTGAGTGAAACTGTATTGCAACTTCCCATTGTGGCAGTGGTCTAATAGTCCTGGAAAAATTAATGCTTAACATATCAACCTGGGAGAGAAAGCAAAAAAGGTCATGAGTCATAGTATTGCATATGAAAGCTATACACTGAGCAAAATCTTTATAACAGGAGTCTTGCTGGGTCAGACCAAAGACCTATGTAGTAGAGCACTCTGTTCTCAACCAGAGGCCTGTAGGAAACTGAAAAGCAGCCACATGGACCGATCTAATGTTTTAACTCCGTTAGAATCTCAGCAGTAGCCAATACCAGCTTAATATGTGTTTGCATTTTCTTCTAACAGACTTGAATGGCCATCTGTATTGATGACGATGATGCAGTGTGACCGTTTTTCTTGCTCTGCTTTCTAGTGATACAGGAATCTGGAATGCCCTGGGTGGAAACTAAACGCCTGGAAGTAGAGTCTTGCTTGAGCCCATAATAAGAGGTTACTTCACTGCAATCAGAGTCAGTTTTATTGCAGTTGTATTTTAGCAACCAGCCATTGTACAATTTCAGTTAACTAGGTTCTCTGGTCATTCAGGTTCATATTGGACACTAATTTAGAAAATAAATGATACAGAATTATGAGGAGGAGTAAAAAAACCAAACCAAATACATTGGGTTGGTTTAATTTATGCTTGATACAGTTAAATATAGTGCAGAAGGAAAAATCTAAGCTGGAAATTTCACAGGTACATCCGTTAGGACACTTTTCTAAAGCTGCTGCAGTAATTTTTGCTGATCTAAATGTGATATGCATGCAAATGCAGGACAGTGGACGCTCGGGTTGCGAACGTGATCCGTGCTGGAGGAACGTTCGCAACCTGCAGTGCCGCATCTGAGCACATGCGGGTCACAATTTGGCGCTTCTGCGCATGTGCAAAACACCGAAACCCGGAAGTAACCCATTCTGGTACTTCCGGGTTTTGGCGCGTCCGTAACCTGAAAACGCGTAACCCGAAGTGTCTGTAACCTGAGGTATGACTGTACTTTCCTGAGCCTGGTTCCCCCTCCCCCTGAATTTTCACAATAGTGCTTACATACATTTAGCTTGAAGTTCCATATACATATTGTACTTCAATAAAAAAAGTAACATCTTCCACCATTTGCCAGTTACAGACACCCCCTAACACTTGGAATGATGTTTCTTATAGGTCCAGCATATGAGATGGTGGTTGGGCTTCTAAGACAGTGGTCCAGTTTCCAAATGACTTTAAACCACAGCTATGCTTAAGTATGGCTTAAAGGTGAATGTGTTGCATGCTGGTACATAGGGAGAAAATGGTGGGCATTTTGCTCTTCCCTTGCTGCTGTGCTATCAGGAGCTAAGCCATGGTTTGGCTTAATGTTGTGCCCTGTAGCTGGACAGATGGTTGCCTCTCCTCAAACAAACCATGGGCTGTAAGCAAGTTTTGTTATTGGCAAATCACGAACTTTTTGGATGTAAACCTACCAATGGCTGTGCTTTTTGGATGTAAACCTACCAATGTAGAGTGCGGTGGGCATGGGGGAGGAATGAAGTGGCCACAATTTTCTCCCTGTGCATCAGCACACTGCATATTCAGCTTTAAAACAAAGCTAACTGGTTTAAAGTGGCATGTGAGCAAAGCCTTCCTCAGTGAAATGAATCAAGAAATAGTGTCAACCCTGGAAGGAAGGATAGTCCAGCAACAGAAAAGAAGTCAGTAACAGTCCCCAGAATACTACAAAACTAAGCGCAGTAGCCTCTACTTCAGCACACAATTTAAGAAATGGAGGAACCTTCCCAAATTACCACTTGGCAAGCTGATGGAATGCATCCAGTGATTTAAAGGCAGAGCACAATTCAGCCTTGGCTTTTCCCTAGGTATGTGAATTGTCCATCAAGCCACTTCTTTCTGTTACGTAGAACAGGGTAGCTAATCTGTTGCTGAACTCTACAACTCTTGCCATCCCTGACCTGTGGCTATGTTGGCTGGGAAATCTCTGGATTAGCCGCCCCTGATGTAGAAAGATCAGTTGTGAGCAAATGCCATTTGCATTGGCAATCAGCCAGGTTTTGAAGACACACCTATTTTACACAGGCATTCCTCTGCTCTCTTGACTGGAGTCTCTCACTTTTAATTTATGATGTAATTGCTGTGTTTTAATGGGATTGTTTTATTGCACATTTTAATAACTGTCATTTTATACTTTTATGTTTTAATAGGTCTGTTTTATTGTGTGTTTTAATTACGGTGCATGTGTGTTTTAACTAAGCTGTGCAGCAACTGGTTTTTATGTTTTGTATGAACTGCCTAGAAGCCACTGGGCATTGAACAATAAATAAATAAGGCACGCATGCTTCTATGGTCAGTTCATCAACTGCTGGGCTTCAGAAGGAGCAGCTCTGAAGGGCACTGTGTCTATGACCTATATATAGCTATAATACTTAGTTTATAAAAGTGGATTTGAAAGGTTAGGCAAGGTAGACCATAGTGTAGCAACCAAATGAGTCACCTATAGTTTTCTCAAAAGAGCAGAAGATTAGGAAGGACCCCAGTTCCCAAATACCAGAAGCATGGTGGTAGCAGCATGCTATATATGCGTGAACTTTATGCTGCTGACAGCACATAGGAACAAGAGCCCCAGGGTGAATGAAGAACTTTATGAGCACGAGGGCCTGGGCCTTCTCTTCTGCCAATTCCTATAGGATTAAAAGAGATGTAAGAAGAGGAGATTGGAGTCTGGTGGCGGAGGAGGTGACCTGTGGACGGTGAATGAGCCAGGGATGGAGGGCAAACCAGGAAGAACAGGAGGCATTGCAGGTGGGTAGGAGAGGCCAAGGGGGTTTGGTACTTTCCTCCCTCCCCCAATCCCTTGCAGCCCACTGCTTGCAAGACCCTTTGTCCTCCAATTCAGAAACTAGATTATTTGTAAGGTTGAGAACATCTGTAGAAGCTGAAGGCAGTTTGACCTGATAAGAGGAACATTTGAAGCTAAGTACTGTCAAATATTAAACAGCTTTAGTAATGAATATGTTTTTGCCTCTTACACTGGAATGCGGCCTCTGGGATGAAAAAAAGTCCCCTACCCCTGCTTTAGAATCTCTGTTTGTGTTTTGCAGCCAGAGCTGCCTACAGAAGGTCAGAATGAAAACAAGTGTCACCAAGGCTGCATGCAGCATAGAACTCGTTGCTCATCTGACAGTGGAAGTTTCGTTACATAGCTCTGTCGGGTAAACTGGAGCCACTAAATAAACATTCTGTAGAGTAGTATATGTCTTGAATTTATGCATGCTTCTTGTATTCAGATCCCAGTGCTTTTCTGTTAAGAGTTTCCCATAATTTTTATTGGTGAGGAAATTCAATACATAGTTTGCTGTGTTAGGCAGGCATGTTCCCACTTGTTTGGCTTCCGTCCGTTTTTTAAAAAGACAGCTGTGAAACAACAGCTGCTTGTGCATATGATGACCGTGTTGAATCCTGGTAATTGGAGGGGCATCGCTCAAGGGCAGTGTCTTTGCTTTACGTTTTTCCTCCTTCTGTTGCAAGTTTTATCTTTCTAGGTGGGCTATCTATGCCTTGACTATACTGTTTGTTTTTTATCACCTGAGCCAGAGGGGCCCCTGTCTCCATGAACATGGTGGGCTCTGAGGCATAGGGAGCAGCGGGAGTGGCACTCTAGGAGGCTGAGGCAGGTAAGGGCCCACGACCCAGCTACCTAGCTGCCAGGTGGGGCTCACTAGCTCTGAGGAAGGTCTGTGATTCCTCAGTTGGAGTAGGCTTGGAGCAAGTGAGGGTCACATGCCTCATCAAGTCCAAATGCTACAGTCAGCATGCAAAGTATAAAAGGGAAGCAGAGCTGAGGTGCTGGGTCTGCTCAACTTCCCACATTGGTTGGACGATAGTTTGGATGATCCAGAGAACTCTTCGGGACTTTGTGTGTGACTGATCTCCAGGTGCCTTGACCTCTGGATTGGCAGCAGAGGTGGGAACCTGGCCTGGCTGGACTTTGGACCTGTTAGCCTGCCAGGCTGTGCACTAGCATCTGCCGTGGGATCGTGCACTCCAGCAGGGTTTTTGCCATCAGGTACCCCTTGGCGCTGTGGATTAAACCACAGAGCCTAGGACTTGCCGATCAGAAGGTCGGTGGTTCGAATCCCTGCGACGGGGTGAGCTCCCGTTGCTCGGTCCCTGCTCCTGCCAACCTAGCAGTTCGAAAACACGTCAAAAGTGCAAGTAGATAAATAGGTACCACTCCGGCGGGAAGGTAAACAGCGTTTCCGTGTGCTGTTCTGGTTCGCCAGAAATGGCTTAGTCACATTGGCCACATGACCCGGAAGCTGTACACTGGCTCCCTTGGCCAATAAAGCAAGATGAGCACCGCAACCCCAGAGTCGGTCATGACTGGACCTAATGGTCAGGGGTCCCTTTACCTTTACCCCTTGGTTCAGGACAATTGGGTAGAGAAGTATGGTCCTACTTCACACCACAAGTGTTCTACACATGGGTAACTTGTGAATAGGCCTCTTGTTGTGAGACTAGAGCTGTTAAAAAGTATGCCTCAGTTTTCATCAATCATATGTTGCATGATATGATATTGGGCCACAATGGATTTTTTCTTCCTCTGCTACCAGAAGCACTATTTCTCTGAGTTCCAGTTGCTGGGAATCACAAGTGGGAGGAGTGCTGTTGCAGCCGGGTTCTGTTTCTGGGCTTCCCATGGTTTGACACTGTTAAAACAGGATGCTGGACCAGGTGGGCTACTGACCAACTCTGGTGGAGCTCATCTTACGTTATCCATGTAGTCCAGTCAGTTTTACAATGATCTTAGCATTACGTGCTGAGGGTGGGGTGTGTGTGTGTGTGTGTGTGTGTGTGTATGTGTATGTGTGAGAATATTTTCTCTCTTTCACAAAGTTTTCATGCATTTTTTTTATACCCCCCAAATCCAGGATGAAACAGACCTATGAACTGAGCACACGCAAAGCTGAAATGGAGTAGAAATAGGCTGATTTGACCATCTCCGTGTGGTGTACAATTTGCCACTCGAGGCCCAAATCAAAATAATATGCTGCAGTGAAAACAGAGTGTGGACCTTTAATTGCAGCCAGTGAAAAATGTATGACTTGACCTAATTCATTTACATACTAATTGTGCCAGACATTTCTTTTTCTTTTTTTAAAAAGCTGGTTTCCTAGGAAACCGGTGCCTTTATGCCAGTGCAGTAATTGTATGGAGGCTGCTGTGTGCCTGACGCATTGTTCATTTGTGGACAAAAGGCAGTGAAAGGGGGGGAGGAAGGGGTGGACTCGTAACAAAATGGGCTGACATTTTTATTTTGCTAGCCCATTAGATGTCCTGTTTTCCCATGTGCTGCTAATAAAGATGTGTTTGTAAAGTAAACGGAACTAAAAGTAGAAGCCGTTTTGTTAAATAGACCTGATCGGGGCTACATTTTGGGGCACTACTTGACAAACACTGAATGAATCTTAAGTCAAACTGGACTGCTCCTGCCTGAAGGGAAAGCACAAAAAAAGTTAAAGTAGTGCTAAGATTTTTAATAGCTTGAAATCTCGAACTGAAACAGGTTCGCGTTTCTTTCAGCTTGTCATGCCTTTCTTTTCTTTTTTTGGCGGGTGTATGTATATGTTTTAATTTTTGGCCATGACTGTCTTATAAATTGTGGCATTTATGAGAGTCAGTTTTATGCTGTGAGACCAAAAGGTGAGAGAATATGGCAAGTAGAGTTTGGAACTGGCCTCGGAAGCAAACAGCTTTTTAGTCTCTCTTGCTTACGTGTCATAGTTACCGTTTCAGGCTTTCAGGTGTCTAGAAAATGCATTTAAACTATGCAACCCTCATGGATTTCCACATACATGCAATATAGCCATGTACTATAGATTAATAGGAGGGAAGCAAATGTTACATCTGAAGACATTCATTTCTACCTTTCTCTGTTCCCCATCCCTGCAGAAGTTAAGAGACTCCCTGGAGCAGAATTTTTTGGGGGTAGATTCATGTGGAAGTCCTGTTTGCACAACTAGAAATCCTTTCATTTCTTGCATAGAAAGCACTGGGTTGTAGCCCAAATGTGTGTGTGTGTGTGTGTGTGTGTGTGTGTGTGTGTTTTTGTTTGTTTGTTTTTCCCCAGTCGGGTACTTTAAAATGCTCTTGAGGTGTAATGTGGGAAAAGATACACAATGGTCTTTTTTTTTTAAAAGGATTTTTCTCCTTTGTACACTTAAACTATTTCCCCACCTCCAAAACTGTATGCAGTTTAGTGAAAATGCTCTGTGCTTTTTTCTGATTGTACTCACTGATAGAGTATGATCATCTCTCCCCCCCCCTCCACTCGCTGTCCATGTCAGCCATTTTGTGTTGGTACCCGTGGCATTTATTTTTTTAAAGATGTGAGTACTGGCACTTTACTTGTTTTTTTTAACCAAAAAAGTGTGCATTATACAAGGGCTGACCCAATACATTTTGGCACCTGAGAGAAACCACAAAATGGTGCCTCTCCCTGACCTCTAGCCAGGGAAAAATTAGATTAGCATGGATTAGCCTTAACGTTGGTCTTGTTTGTACATCATCATAAACTAAAGTGACTGGTTTACTTTCAGTGCATTAGCCTTCCCTGTCCTGATCCTTCCTATTGTGTTCAGGAGGAACAAGCAATGATCCCCGACTAAATGTTATGTATACACCAAGGAATTACAAACCATGATATGAAGCCATGGTTTGTTCTTGGCTTCCTGACCATGGTTTGCTTGGAATGAAACTAATAATGGCCTAAGTTTGGCGATACCACTAAGTCAGGGGCTGTGTCTCCGATGCACTGGGAGGTGGGTGATCAAATGGGCATGTTCACAGTAAATCCCTTCGCTATGGTTTACTGTGAAATGTGAACACCCTTTTTCTTTTCTTTCTAACTCCTCTTTCCAAAGCTTTGTGTCCAGAAACAACTAGTCATTGTCTCATTTCCTGGTAATTTTCATGAACATCACATTTTCAGTAGTTTGTGCATCTCTTCTAAATTTTAAGGAACTCCCTGCCCCCAGCAGGATGTTTCTTTGGTGAGATGTTCTCAAGTGAACGGTAATGTTTTTGGAAATGTTTTCACAGGCAGTGTTTTTGGAAATGTTGAGTTTGTGTGTCTACTGACAATGCATTCCATAAGAATGATGGAACTGTTTGAAAGGGCAGGAAACATTACCGAGTTTTGTTTTGTTTTAAATTTATTTATTGATACTTACTCAAAGATACACAAAAATACATACCCATTACGAAGTATCTTTTTATAATATACTGAGATAAAACAGCTACTTAGTCTGTAAGAGAACAAAGTCAGGAGGAAGAAAAGACAAGGAAAGGAGAAACCTAAAGAAAGGGAAAGCGAGAAAAAAGGAAAAGAAAGGAAAATTAGAGAAGGAGGAGGACTTCCGGTTCTCTGTCCTGCAGCTACATATGATATTCATTCCTTAAAACTGAAACGTTGCCAAGTTTTTTTGCCTCACCCCTTTGCTTTCCTGCTGAACATGGAACCTTAGTCCATATGGATGAAACCAATTTTGACTTGGCTCTGTGCAGCTTAAAAAACTTCAGGCGATGTAAAATGTTGGACGGGATGGTCAGAGCATGTTGCTCTCCTGCTGTTCGATCCACACTGGTTGCTTTTTTGGTCTCTTAATTTCAACTTAGGGTGCTGGTAGTTGCCATCTTAAAGCCCTTGAGAGGCTTGGGAGCAATGAACCTAGTTGCCTTAAGGCCTATATTTTCCTTTGTTCTCTTCAACATGTTTAGCCACTGTTGTGTGTTCCTTCACACTCTGCGACATGCCAAGTGGGTCCAAGGAGCAAGAGCTCTTTAGGGGCACATACCTTCATGCTTCCTAGGTAGGCCTGCAAGACCCCGATGCTGAATGTTTTTTAGATGTCTGGTGAAAAACACAGCTTCTCAGAAAAGTCATTGTCATTGGCTAACAATGAATACTTGCTGTTGCTGTGCAGCTGTGGCCCTTCTACTGATCTGTTTGCTGGTTTTGTGACTTTATTTTTGATGGTTTTATCAACTGAAGAAATCTGTGTTGTGTTTTATTCGTTTATTGTTGTAGCTGCTTTCCTTCTCTGGAATGATAAAGCAGGATAGAGCTTAGAAATACGTTTAATCTCCCAAAAAAGGCAAAAAAATTGGGATAAGTACAAGAAAATGAACAGTGGCAGTTAGAAAGTGTGCTACAACTGGATTTGTGCATATGAAAAAATCTCCTCATGAGAGATAAGAGGGAAGAAAAAGCCCTTTGTTGTTCACATTACAGACAGTACTTGCAAACTTTTGGAAAGCGCAGTGTTGAGAACAATGAGTACTTTTGGGAGGGCAAAGAAAAGCAAAATGTTCGGGTCCATCTGTAGCCAGTTAATATCATGTCACTCCCTTTTGTACAGTGGGTGTTTAGTTTATGAATGAGTGAGTTGTATCTGAAATGCCGGGCAAGGTCATTGCTCATCTTCCTCGCTGTGTCCTCACCAACCACCTACCCAGAAGGAAGGGAAGAAGCTTCTCATATTTTTCCCTTGAAAGAAAAACATTGCAATATATAGTTAGCACCCACAGTGTTCTGCGTGAACTGTAACATGGCAATTTACTCTAGATTAACTTTAATCAGCGTGAGCAGTGTGTCGAATGCAGAACTCTGTGGCATACCAACAGTAACTGTTATTACCGTACACAGCGCTTGGCATTTTTTGTTCTGCAGAACTTGAACCATTGTTTTCAGAAGAGAAGGGGGGCAGAAAATAAACAGAGGTGGTGGACCATCCCAAGTTTTACTTGGCACCAGAGTCATGAAAAGAACACAATCTGCCTCGGATCCTCATGTTAACTCTTCTTTCTTATATTTTAACACTATAATGCATGTGGTCAGAACGCTACTCCTAAAACTGTGGCGTCTATAAATTAGATAAACCACTAACTAGCCCGCATACCAGTCGCATACAGGTATCCATGTAGAAATTTGAAAGTTTTCGTGTGTACTTTTTTCCATAATAAAATATATGGTTCCCCACATTTATTGAGGCTAATTTTTGCCTATATGGAACAGCTGCTGCCAGCTGTTGTCTAGTATTTCTGCGTAGTATTCAGTGTATTAACCTAGAACAGTGGTTTTCAAACTCTCTGCTAGGGAACCCAGAAAAGCCTACCAAGTTTTATTCAGTGAGAAGATTAGTGTAACTCTGCTAAGAAGACTTGCTGATTGCTACTACTTTATTTCATTTTTTACTTTGCGAAACTTATTTGATCGTAGTAAGACCTCTAAGGGATGTACAGTAAATGTGAAAATTATCAATAGTATTCCCTTTCCTGCATCATGTACCTACCAATATCCTAAGATCAACACCTGGGGCTTTCTGCAGAGTGAGGCTCAGCCCAAGGGAAAGGGTAATTTCAGTTGTGGGCTCCCACTTGCTCAACACTACTGTCTTTTGGCATCAACTCCCTTACTTCATGGTGGTATATGAGGACTGATGATTGTTGTTGTTTAGTTGTTTAGTCGTGTCCGACTCTTCGTGACCCCATGGACCAGAGCACGCCAGGCACTCCTGTCTTCCACTGCCTCCCGCAGTTTGGTCAAACTCATGTTCGTAGCTTCGAGAACACTGTCCAACCATCTCATCCTCTGTCATCCCCTTCTCCTTGTGCCCTCAATCTTTCCCAACATAAGGGTCTTTTCCGGGGAGTGTTAGTTGACGGTTTTTGATTGGAATTTTGATAATTGGCTATTGCTTCCTCCATGTTCAGAGGCCTGTCTATTCTAAAGAAGATAACCGTCATATCCAGTGCTCTGCCCACTTTGCCTCTGGCCTTGCATGTCTTTTCCCTCTTGGGCTTAACAGGTCCCCTACCCTTGCAATAGTGTGTTTGCTTCAAGATCCCCATCTCTTTGCCCGAAAGAATTGCCATATGCATTCCTCTTTTATGAAATGACTGTTAAACCAAATTAGACATATTATAAGAGAATGCCTATGGATCTCTTTTTGCACTGCTAGTTTCTTGTACGAGGGCTGTTAGCGGAGTGCAGGAATGCAATTTTAAAATGGGCTGGTTAGCAGCAGTCTATAATCTCATAGGAGACAGGCTTGCAGGTGTATGTAGAAAAAGCTCTCGCAGCTTAGTCCCAACTTCCTTATTCAGAACTAAGCTTAATCAGGCTCTCTGCTAAGTAAGTCTGCAGTCCTGTGCACACTTGAAAGCGTAGCTGTTGCCCAGACTCCCCCCAACGATTGGACTTTTCTTGTGGTGGAGGTGCAAAATTAAAAGATAGCCTAATTTCCAATTATTCCCGAAAAGCGTTTAAAACTTTTTGCACTCGTGAACAGGCATCATCTCTCTCCTTGGTCCGTGGCATTGTGCTTGGAGGGACAAGGTTCATGAGAAAAATGTCTATAAGTGGCAGGTAGTAGGAATGTGATTTACGGGCCGTGAAAATCCATTCAGCAGTGGCTGAACATGCAGTTGCCTGTTTTGGCATAACAGGCCCATTGTATTGCTGGGTTCAAGGACAAAGTGCATCGATTGTTGGAGGAGATGGTGCTGGCTTGTCATTGTACTAGGCTTGCCCCCCCCAAAGACTGCGGACAAAGGTGGAGCTGCTATTTTAGATGGCCACATTAAGAGCAGTGTGTGGTGGTGCTCCTTTAAAACGCTGTGAATATATATATATATATATATATATATATATATATATATGAAATAGGCTTAAACACCTAGAGAATTAGGATTTAAAATAAAAAATAAAAATGGGCAAACAGCCCCGGATCATTTGATCTTGCCCTAGATGGGAATGAATTAAGTAGATTAGCAAAGTAGCAACTGTCTCTCTCTCCCCACCCCCCCCTTTCCTTTACAGATCTTCCATTCTGTAAAGAGAAAAGGGCTTTCAGCCTCAAGGGTAAGGAAGAAGACTATTCATTTGTAGGCGTGGGAGAAGGACGGAGGACATGACAAAATAATTTATGAGGACAGATTGTTAACTCATAGGCTCTCCGGAGTCTAATGGCTGCCCTTGCTCCTCATGAAAGATTTGTTACACTTGCCATCTCGAGACTGCCTTTGTCCATTCTCCTCTTGGCTGAAATGTGCAATTGCACAGGACGCTGTGTTTTTAACTTGCACACGCAAATGCAAACATTACTGGTGCCTTCCGTGTAGAAGATGAATAGGCTGGCTACCTATCCAACCCTTGTTCTACGTGGCAGAGCAGTTCGGTGAAGTCATGTTAATGGGAATTTGGAGCTCTCCGCTTCCTATAAATTTCATTCTGGTCTCTGGGGATCTCTCTCCAAAGTACTAGGAAGCAATTCTGTGACCATTACTTCTAAGTAAGGAAGCTCTAACTCTCTTGAGATGAAGGCATCCTGGAAAAGAGGTGAAGAAGGCCCCACTCGAGTCATAGATCTCTGGCCTAATAGATGTTAGAATGTCAAATTATTAGTGCAGATTAATTCAAAAGGATGAAGGTGGGCTCCCTCGAAGAACAGATGGTTCTCACTCTGGGTAGTTTCTGGCTTCGACATTTTAAAGATTTATTCTAGCGTTATGTATTCTTGGTGCAGGCACTGGATTCACCTGGAAATGTAACCAGAAACCTCTCTAATGTAGGGGAACAAATTGACATAGTTGCCCTTTGCCTTTTGAGTATTGTGCATTGGTTTGCAAATGCAAAACATCAGCATAGGTAGGAAAAATACCTGTCTTTTCCCATGAAAACAGAATCCCAGCATAACACATGGATCCAATGGTTCAGCTGTGGAGATTTGGGGGCATGCTAGCTGAAACAGATCTTGCATCCGTGGTGCAGCTGTACCAGAGGATTTGTCTTGCTGTGTTCTTGAACATTGTTTGCAGTGTTTTCTAAAAAGAAAAAGAAAACCCCCTGAAATACTGGTGAATGAAATAAAAATTAAGCTTCCTATTATAAGGAACTAATCATTATGTGACTTGAAAGGAACCCTTTGTTGTAAAGGACTCCAGCCTCAGAAAAATATGTTTTGGATCCTTTTTAGACATTCATGGTGGAGTCCGAAGAAGACTCCAGTATCAAACTTTATTTCGGTCACAGACCAGCATATGACGAAGACTTCAGTGAGGGTGGAGGAAGTTCTGAAGAGAGTGGAGGTACAGTGGGGCTTTGTTAAGGCTGCTCAGCCTCCCCGCCTAGCAGCTGATGTGCGGGGTAGTGCAGCCTCCACTTTTCCAAACATCCTCCATCCTGCCTACAAAGCTTCAACTCTAGTTGAAGAGACAGTTATGTGTAGAGACAGCTGGTGAGGAAGAAAAAACGGGCGTTTAGAGGCCTTTTAGAGGGTGCGCCCCACTTATGTGATTTTCGCTTATGCTTTTGGGGACCCAGAACATACCCCTGTGTTAAGGAGGGGGCGCGGGATGCTTGTACACAACAAGCTTGCAACGTCTTGGTATGAGGTGGGGATTTGTAAGCAAGTCGTCCCTTTATGTGCTTCGAGCTGATGCAGCCAATAGAGGACTGTACCACATGTCCCTATAATTCTGAAGTGGATATTAACTCATTTGAATGGAAATAACCTTATGTATTAAACAATTGCTCTTAAACTGAACTTCATATGTGAGAAAATCTAAAATTGGCTATGGAGAAAATGGTAGGTGGCAATTTCTGAAAAATATTGTTGACTAGTATTTTCACAGCAGCCTGAACTGAACCAGAAACAAGTAAAGTAGCTCTGTAAATTTATTGTTAGAATGTATTGTTTTTAAAACATTGAAAAGGATATGATGATGTTGAATTGTGTTGGATAATAGATTTAATCAAAGAAGTGCATTTTGCTTCCCATATTGCAATCCAAAATGGTGACAACAGTGAATGTATTCAGATTCCTGGAAAAAGTGATATCTGTGGAAACAGAGCACTTTTTGATTCACATTATTTTTTATCTGTTTTTTGTAACTGTGGAAGTTCATTGCAGATAGTGTCTGAGTTTCTTAAAGAAGCCTCATTTGTTAAAGGACACTAAATAGGCTGGATGCCATGATGCAGGGTACAGATGTAGGCTCAAGTCAAATAATACTTGGCAATATTATGGTCTGTATTATGTTCAGTCAAACTATGACTTAAAGCTACTTGCGTGCTTTCATGTTGTCTACTTAGAACTCTCATCTTCTTTGAACAATGCAGGCTATTAGCCCTAACTATGTATCTTAATCTACCCATCATGCCAAACCATAATTGGTGCAAATCATGGTTTTGCAAATCCACCGAACCATGGTTATTGATTCTGGTTTGGCCATTTGTGATCCATGACTTTTCCATTCTGACAGTCCATTAAACTATAGACCTACTTAATCATGCTAATGAGAGTTGAGCCATATATCAGCTGGCCACAACAGAGGCTGCCCTCATCACCTTTCCTCATTATCCTCCATGCAGTTAGTAGCACTTTTTTTTGTTTTGATAAAGGCTAGAAATATCAGAAGCATTGCCTTGTGGCAGGCGTGAGCTGCTGGAGGGAGCGCATCCAGAGATAAGATAAGGTTATCGGTTAAATGCAGCTTTTTTTCTTCTCAGTTGAATGTGGTTTGAATGGTCAAGGTCACTCATGGTTAACAAAGAGATGCATTAAATGAATGGGATGTGTTCACAGAAGAGCAGTGATAGTCTGCAAAGCATATAATAACGTATATCTATCAGGTTGTTCCCATCACTTTCTCTAGCTTCTTCTTGTGTTTTACCATCAGCTCTCTTGCTTGAGTTATATTACTATTATTTGTTAATTGAGAAATGCTTGTTTTGTGTAGTTATGTATCCATGTTGAAGGGAGAGGGTTTTTCGTTCAAGAGCCATGGCAACGATCTATATCACTATCAACCCAGCAAAGCACTGGAGGGATGACTTTGCAGATCATGGGTTTGTAAATCCACTGAAACCATGGTTATTGATTCTGTTTTGGCCACTTGTGATACACTGCTTTTCCATTGCAGTATCATATTAAACCATCCCACCTACCCCTTTGCGAACCACCCTTCCCCAACACCTGATCAATGCCCCTCCCTTTGCACTTCCCCCCTCACCATAACTTGCTAAACTGCTGTGTGAAGCACCTCGCCCCTCTGTTAAACAGCTCGCCAGAGCCACCTGTCACCTGTGCTGCTTCTTCACTTGCCTGCCTGCTGCCCCTCATGCTGCAATTGGAGTTCCGCACCAATAAGCAGTCACACTAACCACAGCATGATGACAGCCTTAGGTTTTTATGTATATAGGAAGATAGTGTGTATCTACACACACACACACACACACACACACACACGTCCAAATAAATACACTTCGCAGCGGTGGTGGGCAGAGCCGTAACTAGGTGATCTTGCGCCCTGGCAAGAACCGTCCAGATTGCACCCCCTAGCCACAGACAAATTAGCTCTTCTTTCCGCTTCTCCTCCAACCCCTCCTTCAATTCACCCTCTATTAAAAACGTTTTCTTATGAGGCAATAATCAATATTTTTATTTGTAGACATATTTATGGACATATTTTAGCTGATTTTGCGCCCTCCTCGCCTGCGCCCCTGGCAGGGGCCCACCTCGCCACCCCTTAGCTACGGCCCTGGTGGTGGGGAAGAGCTAAATACTTCGTGTGACTTATATGTAGTGCCATCTATTACTTTTCTTTGTTTTTTCATATTTGTATATCATGTTTTTAGTATCCGCTGTCATTATGTTTCAAGCTGATTGATTTGTGACACCAAACCTCTTTTGTAATCTCCTCTCCAGTCAGGCCTCTTTCCTGTTCTTCCCACCCAATTCTAATTGTGTGTGACTTAGTGAGAAGAGACACAATTCCACTGAGTCATCTGAGGAGATGGGGTGGGACGGGATTTGTGTACAAACTCACAGACTTGTTCCCTGGTGTGATTTTTCTTGTCCTCCTTTGCTCTTTGCAAGGGAGGAGAAAGGCAGGGAATTTGCTTTTTCTACCAGGTGGAAAATAAAAGCAACTGGTGAGAGGGGAGTGGAACGCCTTATTGAGCTCAAAGTATCTGGCTGGCTAGAACCCCATTAGGAAGTGAAAATATGCGGCAACGTTTTGTGGCAGGGTCTGACATGCCTTGTGTATCACCTACACGGGGTCAATTCATTTTATTCCTATAATAACACTGGGAAATTTGGTAGGACAAACAGCAGTGAAACTTAATGGCTTGACTGGAATTTGAACCCAAGTCAAAATCCACCATACCATCTGGGACACCACACCGTAAGGTTGCACATTGAATTCTTTTGCAGTGACTGGGCTAGGGCAGCAGTCTTCAGTCTTCTCAGACCTGGGACTCGCCTTTAGTCCAAACAAGCATTTTGGGGACCCACTTCTTATTTTTTTCACCATAAAGTTAGTTACACAGTGGTTTTGCTGTGGTAGGTTGAGGTTTTTGCAAACCCGAGTTCTGTTTCTGCATATCTTGCATCTCAAAGCATGCATGCGTTTGAGGGGAAATGGTGTACTTGCAGAATGCTGCAGAATCTGTTAACAAGTCCAGTTTTTATTATTATTATTAATTGCCATTTTCACTGTGTGCAGGTTTGAAAGTTAGATGCTAGAGTTATTTATTTTAGATTGTATATATATTGGTAGATTTTTCCAAGTATTCATTTCTAAGGTGGAAAATTCCTAGTGTTTTGTTTCTCCCCCACCCCCACCCCCATGTGTGTGGTTGTGTGGTTGAAAGAGAAGACATTTTATCTGTAAAGCAAAATTCTTGGTTGTGGTAGAGAGAATTAACTTACGTGTTGTTGTTGTTGTTGTTGTTGTTGTGATAGCTGGCTTGTGTGGCCTCTCCTGTAAGCAAACCATGTAACCCCAGAGCTTTCTCGATTCAGCATGAGGGAGAAGATTAAGGCCGGCCAACTTCTAGCTTGCAGCCGTGCAGCAGATGGTCCTCAGCAAGGCTGCGTCCTGCTCGCTTTTGTAACTTCTCTTTCATCAAGCCATCTGCACTTACCACAGCGCCCATCTCCTTGTGGCTCAGAGAGATTTCCCAATGCTTTTTTTCCTGACCAGTGTGTGCCAGCAGAAGGGATTAGCTGCTAGTGCTCATTCATTCATGGGTGGAAAAATACATTGAGGTGTTGTTTTTTTACTTGATTTTATTTATTTCAGATCTTTGTAAGCCTCTTTTCAAGACTTCCCAACCTGACTTACCTTAATAACAAGCATGTCATTGCATTAAAAAACTAACATGAAAACATGCAATTCGGATTGCAACAAAACAGCCTGTTTAATTATGCCCGATACAGTAAAGTTCAGTAAACTAATTCAGAATGCGGCAGCTAGACTGGTGACCGGGAGTCGCTGCCAGGACCCTATAACAGCAATCCTAAAGGATCTTTATTGCCTCCCAGTGCGTTTTGAAACACAATTCAAAGTGCTGACCTTTAAAGCCCTAAACGGCCTTGGCCCAGTATACCTGAAGGAGCATCTATCTCCACCCCTATCGTTCAGCCCGGACACTGAGGTCCTCCTGTGAGGGTCTTCTGCTGGTTCCCTCGGTGCAAGAAGTGAAGTTACAGGGAACCAGGTGGAGGGCCTTCTTGGTAGTGGTGCTGAGAACTGAAGGAACCCACTGTACAGTATTTCTCTCAGAAGGGAATTGCATGGGGTTGGAGCCATTACTGAGAAGGCCCCATCTCTAGTTCTCATCAGCCCAATTGATCTTAAAAGTGGGCGCTTGAGTAAGGCCTCTGAAATGGATCTTAAAACACAGGCACTTTAGTATAGGGCAGATTAAACAGGGCTGCAACAGTTAAAGAAATTTAAGGTAAATTAAACAGGGCTGCAACATTTAAAGAAATGTTAATCAGTAAATCATGTTTTAGTTGGTTGGTTTATTGACATCTATATGTATAGGTAAGAACAATCTTTCTTGGGCTAGAGTCTATAGGATTGTATGTTGTCCTGTTGTTCTGCTTGAGCATCAGATTTCCACATGTACCACAGGAAACTCCCCTTCTCTTCACCCTTACAACCCTCAAAATCTCTCCAAAGCATTGGAGGGACTCCTCTGGAGCAGCTTTAGGGGGACACACAGGGAGAGGAAATTTCACAGAGAGCGGAAACACCACTCATGCAGTGTTGAGTGCGACCCATACTTGGGTTTTTAGGTGTACATTTGTGGCAGCTACCACATTAACGATGCAACCTTCCTTTCTCATGTTTATTCCCTGACACTTTGCTTCCCCACTCAATATTGCTAATCATTTTGAAATTTATGAAGTTAAAAAAAAAAGGAATAGTATCTGGGTGGTGGCTAAACTTGATTGCTGTTTTTTTAAAAAAAAAACTCAGAAAAAAGTCAAATTACAATATCACAATAGAGCTTTTTCTTTTTTCGGTATTTATAGATTGCAATTTTTTCTTTAGCACACTTAACTTTTGTGGCCCAGTTTTTGGAATTTACAGCAGAAGCAAATACACATTTTATTTAGAAAGGCTTTTCACACAACTTTAAAATATCTCCATTCTCTCGGTTTCCAGTGTTAAGGTGTGTGACTATTGTTTACATAGCCAAAGCAGGAAGGAACCAAACAATAAAAATGTTGGTAGACTCCCCACTCCCCCCTCATCTCGATACCTTTATCTCCATTGCACTTTGCACAACCATGCTAGTGTCAAGTGAGACCCCAGGTCATGTGCATGAAACTGCTGTTAAATTAACATCTGCACTACGGTCATGATCACACACTAGCTCCTCAGGAAATAAAACACTGAAAACTTCCGGGTTGTTTTTCAAAAGCAGAAGGAACCACCATTTTGGGTTATGTATATCAAATTTCGACTTTCCATTTGGTTGCAGCAAGCAAAAGTGAGACACAGTTCATCTGATAGTCTTTGCAGTTGTCGTTTTTCCTTTCTTTAGGGGATTGTACGAAAACTGCTGTGTTTTTTAGTACAGTGGTACCTCGGGTTACATACGCTTCAGGTTACATACGCTTCAGGTAACAGACTCTGCTAACCCAGAAATATTACCTCGGGTTAAGAACTTTGCTTCAGGATGAGAACAGAAATTGTGCGGCAGCAGGAGGCCCCATTAGCTAAAGTGGTGCTTCAGGCTAAGAACAGTTTCAGGTTAAGAACAGACCTCCAGAACAAATTAAGTTTTTAACCTGAGGTACCACTGTAAAGCTGGAGAAGATCTACTCTATGCTTTTCGTAAGGGTCCATCAAGCAATAATTGCTATTAAAGTGGATTTGAATACTTGAGCTGTATTACTGTGTCTAAAATGACATCTGGGAATAGACTTAACATCTGGAAACTGCACCTCTAGACGAATCCTTTTTGTGATACGAATTCAGTCAAGTGGCAACCTTAATCACTCACCGTACCTTAATTCACTAATATTTAGAATGAGGCTTTCCTCCTGGAAGCAGTTTGTGGAGAAAGGATCGGATTTCAGGCTAGCCAAATGCTTTATAGGTGCATGCGATATTAGTTAGGAAGTATTATGAATTAAACAGATGCCATCATCAGCTTGCTTTTCCATGGTGGCTCTCTGTGATTAACCACCTTGAAAACACATCTAGAATTGTCTCGTGGTAAGGATAGAAAGGATGTATGAGGAACGACAATCTTCCAGCATCATGCAGACAAACGCATCTTGCAGCATTAGCTTTTGTGGGCTAGAGTCCACATTGTCAGATGCATAAAATGGCTAGGTATGTATACCCTGTTGAAACAGCAGTAGCAAGTAAGGTCTGGGGAGTGGACATCTTCCACCATCCTCCTTCTCCCAAACCCTTGTAATTTCCCCTTCCCCCCCCCTTTCCCCCCCTGATGTATCAATGTTCACTTACAGTCAGCGGCCTTGAAGACCTGTTGTGAGTCAGAAGTATATAAATACAGTGGTACCTCGGGTTACATACGCTTTAGGTTACAGACTCCGCTAACCCAGAAATAGTCCCTCGGGTTAAGAACTTTGCTTCAGGGTGAGGACAGAAATCGTGCTCTGGCGGCGCGGTGGCAGCAGGAGGCCCCATTAGCTAAAGTGGTGCTTCAGGTTAAGAATAGTTTCAAGTTAAGAACGGACCTCCGGAACGAATTAAGTTCTTAACCTGAGGTACCACTGTATTTTAAATTAAATTTACAAACCGCGTGCGAGAGAGACATGTATTTACAAAATTAGACCAGAAGGGTAATGATTGTCACCCTCTGTGGCTTAGTTCAGATATAACACCAAACATTGGCTTGGGGTTAAGAGAAGTGAGCCATAGGGAGCATCTGGCTTGGGTTCTCTCTCTTCCAGGAGACAGGAAGCTTCTGCTTGTGTCTTAGATTTGTGTTAAAATGTGGTTACGGTAACTGTAGTTTGAAAACAGGCCAGCTTCTTAAACCATGGTTTTAACTTGTTTCAATAAACATTACTTAACATATGAATCCAGATAAACTATGATTATTATTATGATGCATGTGGTTAATCCAAAATGGAGCTGAAAGCTTCCAGGCTCCTTGTGGCTACACAAAAAGAGTGTGTGTGTGCATGCATACACAAGTCTAAGACATGTTTGTCTTGTAATTCTGAACCATAGTTTAGTGTTCCACCATCCAAACAAGGCGCCTGTGTAGCGCACAAACAAAAACAAGATCCATTAAACTTTCTGCTCTCCGCCGCTGAGGATGTGTTTGAAAAGGTTTAAATGCTTCCTCATTGGAAATGTTCCACCCATACATTAACAATAAGGTATGATGAACTTTGAAAAATCGTTTTCCATAATCCTAAGTGCAACCTCTATTGCTAAAAACTTACTGTGAAAAAAGCTGGGCATATCCTTATCCTTATATGGGCCGGGAATTCCAAAATGGACTCTGCATGCAATTTGTGTACTCCCAGTGTTTACAGACCTCCATATACACCAGTCTCCTTCATCATGCCTTCCAACCCTTTGCATTCTTATTGAGCAGTGCCAAATTTTCTCCTGAAAGGCTTATGTTGAATGCGGATTAGTTTGCAGCTAACTGATTTGTGCATTGCTGTCCCTTTAGGGGAGCTGCTTCTCTGAGGGGTTGGGTCCTATGCTGCCCTTGACGAAGAACTGGATGGGTTGGTCAAATGTGCCACCAGCCCTCACAGAAAGGGTATATTCTCAAGGCCATTATTTTGCTGAAGCTAAGCAGGTTTGGTTGGTACCAGGATGGGTGGCCGGGGACGCGGGTGGCGCTGTGGGTAAAACCTCAGCGCCTAGGACTTGCCGATCACATGGTCAGCGGTTCGAATCCCCGCGGCGGGGTGCGCTCCCGTCTTTCGGTTCCAGCGCCTGCCAACCTAGCAGTTCGAAAGCACCTCCGGGTGCAAGTAGATAAATAGGGACCGCTTCCAAGCGGGAAGGTAAACGGCGTTTCCGTGTGCTGCGCTGGCTCGCCAGATGCAGCTTGTCACGCTGGCCACGTGACCCGGAAGTGTCTTCGGACAGCACTGGCTCCCGGCCTCTAGAGTGAGATGAGCGCACAACCCTAGAGTCTGGCAAGACTGGCCCGTATGGGCAGGGGTACCTTTACCTTTTAGGATGGGTGGCCACCTGGGAATCACTTGTGCACTCCTCAGGTTCCAAGGCAGAAGAAAGGAGAAAGAAAGTGATTTGTACATAACGTGGCAAACTTTTATTTCATATGCCAATTAGATTGACTTGCAGCACCACCCATATTCAGCAGCTTTGAAAATATGGATGTCATTCAAAAAAACATTCATGGAAGTATTTTTGTCCATCCATAAAGCCTTGCTTGACAGTGATAATAAATGTGGGAAATGTAAAGAAACTGAAGGTACATTTTTTCACCTTTGGTGGACGTGCCCAAAGATTAAGGCTTTCTGGGAGATGATATATAATGAACTAAAAAAGGTATTTAAATATACCTTCTTGAAGAAACCAGAGGCCTTTCTCCTGGGCATTGTCGGCCAATCGGTGTTAAAAAAGGACAGAACTTTCTTTATGTATGCTACAACAGCAGCAAGAATACTCATTGCAAAGCATTGGAAGACACAAGATTTACTCACACTGGAGGAATGGCAGATGAAATTAATGGACTATATGGAATTGGCAGAAATGACTGGCAGAATCCGTGACAAGGGAGAAGAGTCGATGGAAGAAGATTGGAAGAAATTTAAAGACTATTTACAGAAATATTGCAAAATTAAAGAATGTTAGAATGATGTTGGATTGAAGTTAAGTGGTTTCTAGCTGTATAGGTACAAAAGAATATGGAAAAATTGGTTTTAATATGTAAAAATCTAATGTTACAATATATCAAGATTAAGGATTAGGATTAAAAAGGAGGGAAAGGAATTGTTGGATTAACAAATTGAATTGGAATACAAAAGAGGGAGGTATGAGGAGGTCCGGGAAACAAGTAAACGTAAAAGAAGTGAGGAAAAGATGGAATTGTTTTTAACTGTTTTTTCTTTTTTTTTCTACTTTGTATTTTTCCTTTTTATTGTTAATTTTTTTATTAATGTGATTTTTTCCCCCTTTGAAACTTTAATAAATATTAAAAAAAAAAAAAGCCTTGCTTGACAGTTGTTTGGGTTTCTACACAGGATGCCTGGAAAATATCTATCATCTGTCTGTCTGTCTGTCTATCTATCTATCTATCTATCTATCTGAATGACTATTAATGAGATCAGGTTATTAATACTGTAACAAAGATGGTTTAAAAACAAGAATTAGAATTATATATATTTGTAAAACACACAAGAACTACAGATACTCGATCTTCATTATTTCTGGGGTTTTTTGTTTTTGTTTTTTGGATGATTTGTATTTTCTTCTTACATATAAACAAAAAGATTCAAAAGAAAAAGAAAGCCATGCTAGAAATAGAAGAAAATAAATAAGGGGTGATTCTGGCATGTGAGGTAAATGTATCTTTTGCCCATCTCATGATGTTTCCATATTTTATTTTATTTTTAAATAGCAATGTAGAATCCCATGTCTCGTGTGAGGCAAGGACTTCTTTCCTCCCTACTTTTTGGGGCTGGTGGCAGATCTACGATGCATCCTGCTATAGTTTTCATTGCCATTTGTTATGGGACTAAGGACTGCCTGATTCACTTTATCCCTTCTCAGTCTCAGAGGTCTTCGGGGCGAGGGGGCTACTGTTCTCCACGGCTCAGATGCAAAGCTTGTGCGTTCAATATTATGGTCCCTTCCAGTTCGGGTCAGATAGGCTCCCTTCTCCGGTTGAACTTCTGCAATCTTTTGATCACAATCTTTTATTGTATTGAGTTGCTTGTACACTTCTTAGGGATGATTGTGATTAAGCAATATATACATTGTTGAAAAAATCAGTAAAATAGGCAGTGGTAGTGGTTGATTTGTAAGCTGCTCAGAGTATATTTTGGAAGGGGTACCATACAACAATTAGAAGAGAACATGTAAAAAATGAGAATGGAATATAGATGATGTCTCCTCATCTTGTCTTTGAAGTCTTGGATATAATTTAATAGATAATTGGCTTGTGTTATGTTATTACTGTTTATTTACTGCTTAATGTGGTATGAATTATTTTGCTTTTTTAATTCTAGAGATTGCAGATGGAAAATAAAATTAAAGGAAGGGCTTCTGCACAGAACCTACATTAAAGCAGAAGCATTTTTATCTTGACCTTTTTAAAGTGATTTATCATTTGTACTTTGGAGAAAAAATTACTGAAATGAAGGTGGAGGGAAAAGAATCCAAAACTTCTAGCTAATGTTGCTTGAAACGTTTGAAAGGTTATGCTGAGGGCATTTGACTTTCTCTGTACTTACTGCCAAATACCTTTTATATTGACTACATTTAAAGCTTTTTCCATATATTATGGACAGCCTTTAAAATTATTTTTAAAATAATGTTGGCAGTTGCTGACCTTTTCAGGAGGCTAGTAGAGAATAAAATGTCAAGTGTACACAAGGTATTGATGAAACATCTTCAGAAATTTAGCTGATAGAGACAAGGCTTTAGATCTGGCTCTCGTTTTTAATTGAGTCATAGAAGAAAAGGACAGTTTTCCCCCTCTTAATTACAATCTCGTACACTTCTCTATACGTTCTGTCAGCAACTTCCATCCGTATATATTCTGAGCAAAGGCACAGCATGAACCACAAGGATTTATTAAAACCTTACAAAACTTAGCTATGGTTACTAGAGATTTTCACAGTCGAACAATATCGTGGCTCTTTTTAATGCAGATTTTAATTTTGCACTATCCTCAGTGCTTTCAAAAAATAGGTACCAGATATTCCTGAAGTTAAGCCTGCCTTGCATTGGTTATCATTTTCTCCCTGTGTCAGCACCTTGTTCAGCCTGAGGGATGCTTTCTCTTCTGGGCAAATGTAAAAGGGCCCACTGGCAAGAGATGAAATGGGCCAGAGGCAAATTGGGCAAGAATGGTCAATTTCACCTTTGGATATTAGGCTGGTTTCTACACACCTGTCTTTGTTAGGGAATCATTCTGCCAGAAACAAGTAGAAGTTTCTGGAAGGTTCCAGAGTTTTCCTTTATATGGCACTCTGAGCTTAATTAGCATCAGCTGGAAGTGTCAATAAAAAGACCACTCTGCTTCGTTTTTGCAGATGTCTGTCCGAAGGGTACTGTCTGTAAAATCTGCTGAAGGACTGTTTGTGTAATTTACTACGGGGGGAAGATAAGAGAGACTTTGATAGTGTGATGTTAATTGCTGTTCATTTTAACAGTTGAGAAATACCTTTGCTACTGTAATGCTTGTACCCGGTCAGGGAATAAAATCTCTTGACTGAGACTTCACAGAGTTTGTGAGTCATCTTTAAAACAACTTCTGTTATTGTCCACTGCTTCCGAGAGAGAGAGAGAGAGAGAGAGAGAACAAAAACTCTGCTAAATTAGTTGAATGCAGTTTGCTGAGGTCTCATCACACAAGTATCTGCACAGCGAAAGTGGGTGGTGACCTGCTCTAATAGTCTTCACACACTGCCCTCCATCCTGGGAAGCAAGAGGCATTATCGGAGTTCAGTGACTTATTCCAACCAATCAAAAACACATGGTGTGAAGCAGGGCAATTGAGGGTTGTGGCCAGCCCTACAGTGAGGTCTGGAGAACTGCATTCGGCTCCATACCTCCACAGCAGAATATCCTGTTTGTGTTTGGTGTTCACTCACCTGCCCATCAAGTCATCCCAGCTCCTCCAACTTTGGAAGCATCACCAACGTGAGTTATTGTGTTGACGTCTGAGGGAGTATCTTATTTTAATCCTGATGGGTGTGAATACTGTGGTTGGTGAGCAATGTCCCAGTTAGTCATGCAGCACAATCCTCATCCAGTTTCTTCAAAAGTCAGTCTTACTGGTTTAACTACGACTAAGGGTATTAAGGATTATAGTTCTAGATGTGGTTGGAATGACGTGCTAAGCCAAACCTTGGTTTAGTGAGACTGTGCTATACATTTAAAGCAGTACCATGCCACTTTAAACAGTCAAACTCAGCCAAGATTTGGCTTAGTGTGTCATCTGAACTAGGACTCATGTTTAAGCTCTTTCCTAAGCACCAGTTGTAACCAATAACAAAGCCTGACTACAGCTCGTGGTTAGTGAGGAGAGAGCTTAACTACAAATCTCAGTTTGAACAACATGCTGATTCAAACCAGACAGGAGCAAAGCAGCTGTAAGCTCCTCTCTGGAAGCCTTAGCATCTCAGTTTAGCGTTCAAACCAGTACATACTCCCGTGAATAACTCTATTGGAGAGAATCCTTTATTAGAAGAAAATAATAATTAATATTTATTTATTTATTTATACCCCACCCATCTGTCCGGGCTTCCCCAGCCACTCTGGGCGGCTTCCAACAAAATATTAAAATACTGTAATGCATCAAACATTAAAAGCTTCCCTAAACAGGGCAGATCTTCTGGCAAGAAACCTGGCTTTGATTTATGTGTTGGACCTGTGAAGAGAAAGAGGAAGAGTTGCTGAACCTTTGGGACTTCATAGCTCATCTGATCCATGTTGCAGTATCTTGGGTTCACTCCCTTTACTAATAATCATGCTGTGTCAAACTGTTTTGTGTTGCGTGAGAGCACATCCAGCTATAGTTTGGAAGCCTTCTCTGTTCTGTTCCTTTGTTCTCTTCCCTCATCCTGCTGCACACCAACTGGGAGAAGTAGTTTGCAGAACTACTTGTGTGGACTTTGGAGATTTGATGTCACTCCAGTCTCTTACATCATTCTAACCCGTTGCTTGCGATCAGCGGGCAAGCTGGAATTGGAAAAATGAGGTAGTCAAGCAGTTTTACTTACCTGTTTTATGTTTTCAGAAGCTATAATCATAGTATAGAATCAAAAGTGTGACCCAGTTGGAGCGCCTTTATAGGTTCATGCACTTGCCTCCTTTGGGCTCCTTCCCCCTTTTTCCTGAACCAGTGCAGCCACATAGTTGTTGCCAGTGTTTTCAGACCAGGGGCCACATTTTGGAGAGAGGGCTGGAAGTGTTGGTCACAAGATGGCTGCCATGGGGATGTGAGATATAACACAAGAGAGAGTACAATCATGGTGGAGCTTTTCTCATAATTGCATCTCCATTCGAGTAAACTTTTGAATTTCTGAAACCATGTTGGTGCAGCAGGTGGTACGGAGCTAGATTAACCAGTAGTCTGCGTGTCCCAGGTAGAGAAGCATGGGAGTTCTTCTATGGGTTTTTTATTATTATTATTAGAAACCACAATCCTACTTTCAACCCATACTTTGGCAGCTAGCATCGTAGAATTTGAACCAGGCTTGTCATTTCCTAGGCCACAGATGGGACTTAGTGTTTGAACAGGTTAACACTGGAATTTGGCCTTCCTCATGCTTGGTGGTGGTTAAGTCTCTGTGAATCCATTTTTTATTGTTCTTTGTGGTTTGGGTGTGGAGGATCATTTCTCCCATGTCTCATGGGTTTTGTTCTTGGGTTCTCTGTGATGAGAGCCCAATGGTGTTCGTCTCTGGAGTCATGCTATTTGCAGCTAAAGGTGTCCCAGAGGCGAGGTAGGTAGAGGAGAGTGTTTAAAAAGTGCATTTCACTGTGACTTCTTCTTTTTGCCAACCTGCTTTTCAAACCACGGGAAATTTGGTCATGAACATGAACAGGTCTAGAAAAAAAGCATAAGTGCGTTGGGTATTAGTTGCTCATTTTAAAGAGCAGCTTCTGTTTCTAGTGACATCTGTATCTGTATATATTAATTTTCATGCATTTTTGGCCATTGCTGAACTCTGAAACAATACACTCAGTGTTGGCCTTGTGGAAATGTAGTTTGTTAATGGATATAGTAACTAAAATGAAATATATACTAAACATTACCTCAGAGTTTGAAGACACAGCTTAAGTGCAGTGCGGAAACATGAGCCTTTGGCAAGGCTCCTGGAAAAGTTCATAACCCTGCGATTTGGCAAGCTTTCAGGATCCTACCTGGGCCAAATGGTTTGAGGAGAGCTACATGGAAAGCAGAACCGTGTGTGTGTGTGTGTGTGTGTGTGTGTGTGTGTGTGTCACAAATTGTCTACAAATATTCTGAGTGTAACTCAGTTTTGCTCTTGAAGTGGCTTGATTTTATAAAACTGATGAGGCTATGATGTTACTAATTCAATAAATTTCTAGGAATGACACTAGGTTTTGGTTAAATGTTTTGGTTTGGGGAGGGGAGGGAGCCATGACGTTTTCTGAGCAGAATAAATTGTTGCCACAACAATGAACAAGCTCACACAGTAACGTAACTTTGGAATTGGTTGCAGTCATGACCTGAGGATCATGACCTGCTGGGAGCCAGAGGGCCCTGTTCCTGCTTCTCTCCACCTGGCCTGGGGTGGGGCCTGACAGGCCTCATAAGGACTGCTGCTGCTGCTGCCCAGCAAGGACGGGGGTATTTTGGGAAAAGTTTTGTCGGGAGTTTTTGCTGTTATTGATATTAATTTTTTGTATCTTTATTTTTATGTGGAAATTGCTCAGCTTGGTTATGTAGTTTTGATGTGTTTTATTTATTTTTATGACTACTTTGCTATGTTTGTAACTATGCAAATCTTTTCATATTGTAAGCCGCCTTGAGCATTGTTTTAACTGTGGAAAGGCGGTATACAACTAGAATGATGATGATAAATTTCTCCAAGAGCAAATAGGGCTTTGAAGGTTGCCACTAAGGTAAATTGTGGCTTTGCTTTTGGTGATAAAACAAAATTTTTGAGGCAGAGGAAGCTGCCTTGTATTAAGTCAGATCATTAGTCCATCTATCTCAGCACTGTTGACACTGCCTGATGGCGGGTTTCAGGCAGGGGTCTTTAGACTTCAGAGGGTGTATGTCGGATGTTCTACATACAAAATGCGTAGTGCATGGGTAGGCAAAGTAAGGCCTGGGGCCAGATCTGGCCCAATCGCCTTCTAAATCTGGCTCACGGACGGTCTGGGAATCAGCATGTTTTTACATGACTAGAATGTGTGCTTTTATTTAAAATGCATCTCTGGGTTATTTGTGGGGCATAGGAATTACCGTATTTTTTGCTCCATAGGGCGCACCGGACCATAAGGCGCACCTAGTTTTAAGGGGGGGAAATCAAGAAAAAAAATCTTATCCCCCCCCCCCCAGCCCCAAAGAGCAAAGAAGCCAAGACAGCGAGCGGGATGGATTCCGCTCACTGCCTTGGCTTTGTTTTTAGCCGCAGGGCTGGGGCGGGGGTTGCGTGAGGCCTTGCCTCCACTTGCGGGGCTGGCGGGGGAAGCCTGGGTCCCCCCCCCAGCCCCAGGGACCACACATTCACTCCATAAGACGCACAGATATCGTCTTAGTTTTTAAGAGGAAAAAGTGTGTCTTATGGAGCAAAAAATACGGTAGTTCATTTTTAAAAATCAAAATATAGCCTGGCCCCCCACAAGGTCTGAGGGACTGGCCCCCTGCTGAAATAGTTTGATGACCCCTGATGTAGTGTATCGCTGAGCTACAACACAACCACACAGTTGTTTGTGATCTACTGTGGATGGAGCTACAGCAAATGGGTAAACTCTTACAGCTCAACACACCATTAATTTTATCTGTTTATCAAGGTGAGCTTGATTTGCTAGCTCCCAAATCTCCAGTTTTCAATAAGTTTGCATTGATGTTTTTCCATTTCCAGGAGCTGTTCTGCCCAAGACTATCATTCTTTGATCTGGATGTTGAAAAATAGCAGTAAAAAAGAAATCATTGTTACTTTTTCAAGGCTGAGCAGGGATTTTAATCTAACCTTAAATAATCTGTCCATTTAGAATCCTTTTTTGGATTTTTTATGCTGCTGATTTCTGCCCAAATAGCCCACAAGTTTTCAATCAAATCTTGCATAAGTCTGGCTGGAGGCAGGGTTGATTTTCAAATTTGGAGCTATGCAGAAATGTAATATAGAGTGATGCTTCAGTAATGTACTCCAAATATGGTCAACTGATGTAGTCAAGTCATAATTCAAAGCAACCTCTTGAAATGCTCTTACTTATGTATATATATATTTCCTTTTTCAGTTTCTGGGCATAGCATTTCTTGGAATTGGACTTTGGGCATGGAATGAAAAAGTAAGTATCACATAACAAATTGTTGAACCAATTTAAAGCTAAATCTCCTCCAACCCCAATGTTGAATATACTGTCACCTTGCTTGGAAGGAAGTGTTGCCATCTTGTCTAGCAATAGCAATAGAGATTAAGGAGCACACACATTGAACTATGGTCTGCAACTAGTTGCAACCATATTTTCGCTTCCTAGTTCAGTGGCCACCCATAAGCCCCACCAGTCAGATAAGCAGGGCTTTTTTCAGGTGGGTGCCATTGCCATTATAAGAGAACAAGGGAGGTGTTCATAGTGAGTTCTGGCACCTCTTTTTCTAGAAAAATAGAACTGCAGATAAGGCTGGTTCATACATCATGAGAAACCGTGGTTTGGCATTTTATTGAACTGTCTCATTGAAATGTTCATCACTAGGCAAAGAAGGCACTTCTGTTTCTGCCAGTGCCTCTATAACAGGTATTTGGGTGTATAAAGGATCATAAGAAGAACTAAAATACCCAGATCCTATTAGCAAAAGCAAAAAGTCCAGTGACACCTTAAAGTAGCCTTTGCTAGCCTGATGGCTTCCAGACCAGGTACCACGTTGGTGAAGGCTGGCTTAAGACCAAGCAGGAGAAAATTGTAAGGTATGGAAGCTGAATGGCAATGAATTGCAAAAATTAAAAATTAAAAAATGCAGTCAGTGATAGAGCTTAGAGGTGTTCCTGTTTAGCATATACAGTTGACCCGTAACTTACACACATTTAACTCATGCACATTCAGCTTTACGTGCTTGGCAAAAATTAAAATTAAAAATAAAAAGCTGGTGGCCATCCAGGGGGGGAAATTGGCAAGCCCACCCCCCATTGCACCCAGTGTGTTTTGACTAGCCACAGTTTTGGCTTTATGCACTATCCCTGGAATTTAACCCCACTTAAGTTGCAGGTCTACTGTAGGTAACCTTTTAGAACAGCACATTGGTGATAATTGCTGCAATAACTGTGTTAACACCTGTATGGCAGCAGGGAACCATTCACAAGAAAATAACAAAAGCACAAATACCCTGGCCGGCTAATTAATGCACACAGGGTGATTAAAAGTCCTTTGCCCTGCTTTGACCTACAAGTGATGGCACTGAACTTCTCGGTGAGCTATTATTCAGCTGTTTCACGTTGTAGTCTTCCTTTGAAGTTACTTTCTTCCAGAACGGCCACCTTAAGGTCAGTTACAGTGTGTTCTAGGAAGGTTGAAATGTTCTCCCGCTTGTTTATCTTACTAGATCTTATTAGGTTTGCCTTATATTGCAATTCAAGACACTTCCAAAGAGACTCCGTAGACTTGCTCTAGTGAGTAAAAAGCCTGTAACTTGATTTGTTAGATTAATTTACTATAGGGCAATCCCCAGGTAATTTAGCAACACATTTTTTGTTAACTTGTAAAAATGGCCAGCACCACCTTGGAAGAGGCATTTTTTGCTGTGAAAAGACCGAAGGGGAAAACGTCTGCTGCTGTGTCATCCAAAAAGTAGCATGTTATTTTTATTGTATGCAACTGCGCTTAATTAAAACACTGCTGATTTACCCAGGTTTCTGTAATTGGGTTGTCAGCCCTAGGAAAAATATTGGAAAAAATAAAATCTATGATGTTTTGGGCCAAGGTGGCACACTAGATTTTGGAAATAAGGTTGTATGCCAGCATTCTCCTTGAAGCTCTATATTTCTGTGTGCAAGGAGAGGCATTTTATGGTGGAATATTCAGCAATACAGTCTTGCACCTGCAGTCTGAATTGATTCAGTCCACAAATATTGTTTTACCATGTGATGAGTTCATCTGCGGTCGACTCTTCAAAAGGTGTGATAAACGTGGCTTTCAGTGACTGATCAGCCTATATTTCTAAGAGTCCTGCATGCTACCCAGCTGTATTTATGCAATAAGCCTGGTAAATTAAAGCTATTCTCACTTTTCCTGCTGTTTAAGGGCATTGTGTTGTGCACTGCATGCAGTATGAACAAAAGCAGATTCCGCATTTCAGGGATGGGGGAACCTGTGACCCCCCTGATACTTTCTGGACTACAACTGCTGTCATCCATGACTATGGCCATGCTTGCCAGGGTTGATGGGAGTTGGAGTCCACAACATCTGGAGAGCTACATCTCAGCCTCATTGTTGTTGATCTGTTAATTGCTGGTTGTAAACAGGCCAACTAACAACCCAGCCACTGCAACCTGTTGGACACCTGTTTTTGGAAGCAGGATATTGGATTTTCCCTTATTTTTGCTCTGTGTTTGCTTGCTGATTATAATTATGAAGAAGCTGCAGTACAGAAAGCTTGATCTCAATTGAAGTCCTTAAGACAGCTGCATAATTCTACACCCTAAGAAGAACTGAGTGGTGGTTTTAATGATGTTGAAGGGGGGAAATACTTGTTCAGCCATTTTATTTTGAAGTAGTTCCCCTCAAAAAAACTCTCAAAGCTTCCTTAACATCAAAATAAGTTTGAACTTTATTACCATTTTACTTTGCTGTTTTTCCTTTATTTAAGAATGTGGTTGCAGACATGCTGTCTTTTGGGGGGCTGGGGGGGAGGGGGCTGACACTTACAAAGATACCTTTAATCTCTGTTCCAGGCTAAACTGCAAACAAGCATCCTGATGGAAATGCAATCCAATTAATTTTAATGGCTTAGAAAGGGAAGCTTCTCTCTCTTGTCCTGACAACTCAAAATTAAGAGTTTTGAGCATTAAGTTATTTGTTGTAAAAAAAAATCAACATGGGAAGCCAGGTGCAAAAAAGTAAAATAAAATAAACAGCTCGTTAGGATTGTTTTGCTGGACTTAACCTCAGGCAGCCCATCATAAGCTGTTTAGCTGGGGTGAAAGAGAGTTGAGCGAAACAAACATGTACCCACACAAAATCATGTTGTGTGTGTGTGTAATCTTGTGACTTTTCTTGCAGCCCTTAGGGAAAGCGGTGGAACTTGCTTGTCAGGCAGCTAAAAAGCTGCAGTTTGACAGCCAGTCAGTTGGCCCTAGAGGGGGAAACTGAAGAATTAGCATTCTAAATTGTGAACCTGAAAAAAGGATCTGTGAGGAACATGGAGGCGAGGAACCCAGAAGGCACAATGGACCAGTCAGGCCTCTTTCCCCACCAATTTACATTGCCTTTTTCATTTTCAGTTTTTCTCAGAGCTCTAGGCATGAGGGTTTTGGATTTTTTCTCCTTCTCTACCTCATTGAGTGAAAATAGTCAATGATAGAGCAGCTCCCAGCCTTAATATTTAGCAAAGGAAGCCTGTACCTTAATATTTCTCCGTAATACTATGCCCATTGATTTTATTCTTAAATGGTAGCAATATTGCAGCGATTAGATTGCCTTGTATTTATCTTTGTTAAAAATACTGTCAAAAGAAATACATTTTATTTTTTTAAAAATCCTCCTTTACTATATGTGCAATTCTGCACACTGTTAAAAAATAATGTTTTGCACTGTGCTTGGCTTTTGCATGTAGAATAAGCTTTTCCTGTTGCTTTCTGGAAAGCAGGGCAAATGATTCCTCTGTGTTCCTGTTCATATCTTCCCCCAGCCCCTTGCCAGTTTGCAGCTTGAAACTGCAAGGCCCAGCAGCAGACCACCTAGGAGCAGGTTTACTCGTGAGTTGCTTACTCATGAATAATTGGTTCCAGCCTCAGGCAAGCTGGCGAATCCACTGTAGGCCCTGCAACAACATATTCCTCACTGCTGCTGCTTTGAGCAGGCGTTAGGGCTATAGCGGATGTGCCAGCTGGGAAGGACCAAGCTGAAATTGGAGCCCTCTTGGCCAACTAACCGGATGTAACTTGACAATTTTTGTTAGAGAGCACAGAATGCCATCAGGAAAGGGAGCTTTCATCAACTTGAAAGTGAGTACAGATCATTGTCTTCCCTGGGATCTAATGATAACGGTGTGATTGACCAGAAAAAAGTATAGGAGCCAGAATAGATTATGTCTTTTGTGGACAAACGGAATGCAATGGATCCCTAGGGTGGTTATATTCCCCCCTCCCCCTAATCCAGCTGTTCTTTGACAGTGGTTATAGCACTCGCACCATGATCTCAAGGCACGAGAACTCTTGCAAATATGTTGACTTGAATGATGGATGCATGGCAACTCATTCAATAAAAGACACGTCATAAGTGAAGTTCGTTCCAGTCCCTGAGCAAGTTTATTGTGTGTAGATCTCATTTTCTTTCCTTTTTATGTTATGCCACTGGTATGTATGTGCTATACAGTGTAAAGTTCCTAGCAGTTCAGGACAGCATACATGGAGTTATCCCACTGTGTTTTTTTTTAACATATCTTTGAGGTAGGTGAAAGATTATGACACTGTGTAATTGCCCAAGGCCATCCTGTACATTTCATGGATGAGCTGGGGCAATGCTGGCTCCAGGTCTTAGAGAGCCCCTTTTCCTCAGTGAGATTACCCCCTCAGTGCATCAGGTCCAGGTGGTTTTTGTCAGTGGGTCACCTGTTGGCATGTGGACCCTTGGAAGATGCCCAGCTATGCTAACCTATATGCTGGCCGTGAGCAGGGTTTAAACATAGGTCCCCAATCCCAGCATTCTCTCTATTGGGCTGTTCATTAGCCCTGTTCATGTGGCAGGTTCCACTCTGATCCTGGTCTTTGCCACAGGACAGCGGGATAGTGATTGTCATAGTGTGGCAATTTCCTGACTAGGTGTAGGCTGATAGTGGCTCCTTCCTTCTACAGGTGTGAATGACTTATTAGAATGGTGCACCATGGATAATCCAGAGACAATGGAGTACCGTTGGTGGGTGGTTCATCTGATATCCAGTTTTTTTCTGGATATGGTTTCACTCTCCCCTAAAGGATTAGGTTTGCAGCTTGGAACTGCAGTTGGATCTGGTCTTACCTTAAGAAAGCCCAAGTGGCTTCCAAAACACATTTCACCAGCATCTTTTGGTGCACCAAGCCTAGCCTCAATTATCAGTGGTCTGATAACCCTGTATTTTGGATGACTATAATGTTTTGTATATGGGTCTGTTGTTGGGAGAGTACTTGGGAACCTCAGTAAGTACAAAGCATGGCACCTATATTTTCTAACTGGGGCCAACTGAATCATGAAACAACTGCATTAGCTTGGCAGCATGTTTACTGCTTCTTACCTTTTTAAAGGCCCAAACAGCTCAGGGCCTGGATACCTGAAGAGGCTGCCACCTTCCACATGAATCTGCCTGAGTTTTAAGATCTCTTTCAAAAGACCTTGTTCGAGTTCCCCACCATGTTGACTGTGGTGGTTGGGCAAAGGGCTGCCGTGTCCTGTGGCATCCAGGATGGGGAAAGCTGTGGCCCTCCAGATCTTGTGCATTTCCATCCCACCACACCAACCTTGCCCATCTAATGGTGAGGTATTATGGGAGTTGTAGTTCTACAAGGGCTCTCCCCAGAGAAGCTTGGACTCCGGTGCCTTTTGCTCCCAGATGAGGAGCTTCTTATCTTCCTTGGTCTTTAAAGATTAATTCTTTAGATCTGTTTGATGCTGGAATTTTAGTTCGGTTTTCTGGTTGCCGCTGCTCTTTCAATTGTTCGTCTTTAAACTTTAAGCCCTGTGGCAGAAGTATAGGTTAGGAATAAGCAAGCATGGCTCCCAACTGGTGACATGCGTTTCTCAGACCTTCAGACAAAACCTGTTCACCTCCCATGAGATGCAGGAGTGGTTCTTTGTTTTTTGAAAGGCGGTGGGAAGGGGCGCTAATACGAACCAATGAATAGGGCCCTTTAAATAACTTCTGTTGCCCCGTCTTGCTACCCCTGCAAAAGCTACGTTGGTTAGGAGCAGGGTGAAATGTTGCATTGTGAGTGTCAAAGAAGGGAGAGCGAGGAAAGCCCAGGCCCATTAAAAACCAACATGTCATCGTACTTTGATTTCTTTTCAGGCTCTGCATATATTTATTAGTTAGGGTTCACTGGCCCTACAGATGCATGGGAAAAGGCTACCTGCTATTCAGAAGGAAGAAAATCACCATTCCAGCAAACTAGATTTCTGGCTGTCTTCTGGAGACTGCCAACGCTCCCTTCTTTCCGGTTTTATTTTTATTCATTTTTTAAAAAAAAGAACATTCTTTTTCACTTCGGACTCACCCCGAAACTTCCCTTGATTGCAGTGAAAATGGTGGGGAGAAAAGATTTGGTAGCCCCTCGGTGACAACAGCAAGGGGAAGCGCATTGGGGAATGTATGGATAGCCCTTACGCTCTGCTTCACAGGCCTCGGCACTTCAGTTCCTAACAACATTCAGCCAGTGTCTCCATAAAAGGGTTGCTGAATTCGTCTGCACACATTTCTCTTGTCTCTTGGGGAGAGGGAGATATCTTCAGTTGCAGAACTAATTTTAATGCAAGAGAGAGAAGCCTCCTTTGGTACCTGCGGGGACCAAACACAAGAAGGAGCTCCCTAGAACAGGGATAGCCAATGTGGTACCATCAGCAGGCCATCAGCTGTGCTGGCTGGGACTGATGGGAGTTGGAGTCTAACAACGTCTCCCTCTGACCACCCATTGTCGCTCTAGCACCAATCTCCAGGCTCTGAGCCTTTGTTCCTTGCGGGGGTTCCCCGGCTGGTGCCTCCCACCATTCCTCTGTGTCCAGCCAGTCTGTGACAAGCAGCTCGCATTGGCAATAAGAATAGTAAGGTAAAGGTAAAGGGACCCCTGACTGTTAGGTCCAGTTGCGAATGACTCTGGGGTTGCGGCGCTCATCTCGCTTTACTGGCCAAGGGAGCTGGCGTACAGCTTCCGGGTAATGTGGCCAGCATGACTAAGCCACTTCTGGCAAACCAGAGCAGCGCACTTGCTCTTTGATGTGCTTTCGAACTGCTAGGTTGGCAGGAGCAGGAACCGAGCAACAGGAGCTCACCCTGTTGCGGGGATTCGAACTGCTGACTTTCTGATCGGCAAGCCCTAGGCTCTGTGGTTTAGACCACAGTGCCACCCGCGTCCCTCAAGAAGAATAGTAATCAATCCTAATTTCAACATTTGTATTGATATAGGAAGTCTATGTGTCCAAATAGACATCCAAATGAGATTGACGATTATAAGATGTACATTGCAATGTAGAAAGGGCAGCACAGACCTCAGACGGTTGAATAATGGATGGTGGGTGTTTATCCTTCTGATTTCGCATTATGAGCCTGATCCTGCCCATGGGTGCTTTGTGGTGCTTCCTACCAGCTGCTGCTACTGCTGCTGCTGCTTCTGCTTCTTCTTCTGCTTCTTCTCCTTCTCCTTCTCCTTCTCCTCCTCCTCCTCCTCCTCCTCCTCCTCCTCCTTCTACTATTTTTAAAAACTGGATAGTCTGCTCCAGAGCTTATATGGCATGAACGCTATTGCAGCACATAACTACCAAAGTGAATAATGTTCCCACTGAAATTCTGGGCCTCACCTGAGGGCATGCTGAGACTCATTCGTTATCTCCCCTGTCTCCCAAGGGGAAAGAAACCAAACTGGTGGGAATACTTACCAGATCTTGGACTCTTAATTCTGAGGGTGCCCAGGTAGTTGGTTAGGGCTGGCTTTTGGTGCAAATGCAGCTTTTACCCTGCATGCTTAGTCGGTTAGAGCATGGTGCTGGTAATGCCAAGGTTCTGGGTTTGATCCCTAATGGGACAGCTGCATTGCAGGGGGTTGGGTTAGATGATCCTTAGGGTCCCTTCCAGCTCTACAATTCTGTGATCGAATTAGAATAAACTTTACCAAGAACCCTTGTTCAAACCCCCACTCATTCTCTCCCCCCTGACCCAAATAGTTATTGCAATATGTCTCCTGCCTTTGGCTCCCACATACAGAATTCCCCCCCTTGCTGTTTTTAAATATGAGTCGGGATACATGTTAAGCTCTCTCAGCATTCAGATAATGACCACATCACAGTGGCTTGAAAGGGAGAGCCCCGAGTGTAAACAAGAAGCTCTAAGTCAGTTTATTTGGCTTGCTTCTTCACTTCCTGGGGTTCTTCTCTCCTTCCTCCCCTTTATTTTTTTTACCTCCTGTAGCAAATCTGGACCGAGACTGTTTCAGGAGTGCAGATGTAGGTCAAATAACTCCCCTGGAGTTTTGTCCTTTTGCAGCCTTATTAAGAGGGTGAAGGAGCTCAGTGAACAGCTGAACTGGAGATTAGCCAAGAAACTCTGTTCTGCCTCTCCCATCTTTTGGGACGCACCAATATCCCTAGGCTGTAGCTAGCATGCAAGGATAATTTGGGGGCGGGGGGTGATTAATACATAACTCCAGTGCTTTGCTCCCACTTGCTATACACATTTATGCAAACACTGTAGTTCTGCAAAAAGCGCAATGCAAACATTTGCTTTTGTTTTAAAAATATATTCCTTTCCTTTGCTTTATTCACCTTAAAGGAACACCAATATTTTTATTATACAACGTCCTGTCAAAATAGAACCTTGGTTGCTTGAAGGTGTGCCCTGCAGCTAAGATGGTTGAAACTTAATAATAATAATAATAATAATAATAATAATAATAATAATAATAAATTTTGTTGTTTTTTCCAAGGATAGTTCAAACTTGGAGTTTCGTAAAAGCTCCTGTGCTTGACAGGCACGATAGCAGAATAGTTAAAGATTTTTTTTTTTTAATTGTTGCTCTTTAAACAGGAAACTGTGGCAAATGGACAGCCCACCATTCCCTTCCCAGCCCTTCTCCAGCTCTCGCTTCTCAAAGTTGAAAACACAATTTTTCCAGGAGTCAACCACCACCAGTATTGAACTGGAATAATGAGCATGTGTAGATTGCCTTCCTTCCGCTGTAGTTTATACCCATGAATTTAGGATTAAGAAACTGGGTTCTGGCGCCCCTCTGTTGTTGTTTAAATAAATTAATACAGCATTAAGTTATTTAGGAGGCCTGTGCAGGCATTGTGCAGTTACCATTGTGTGAGTGGAGGAGCAGGGATGTGTTCCTTGGTCCTTACCACTAGTTGTGGTGATGGCCTCCCACTTAGATGTCTTTGAAACAGGGTAATAGACAGATTCACGGACAATAGGGCATTCCAAATGATGTTAGTAGATTTCTATCAGCCCCAGCCAGCATGACCAGTGGTCAGGGATGCTGGGAGCTGCAGTGCAGCCAACAACTGGAGGGCACCAGGTTGAGAAAGGCTGGTGTATTGCTATGTATAAACTGGCTCTGCATTAGCTTGCTTATTAAGACTGTAAGCTGTTTTTCACTTCGCTCAATATCTCAGAAAAGGCAGCTTCACACAGGTTTTGCAACATGTTTGGACTTGCTAAAATAAGTAATGAATGGACTTAGGGGGCAAATGATTGATCAACAAAATGCCTTAATGGGTTCAACAGTCCTAGTCCTGTGCACTTCAAACTTATCAGTTCACCAGTCTCTCTCCTTCCCCTTTAATGCTTCTCTAACATCTTGGGAAACCTGTTTGCTACAGACATGCACTGAGTGACATGTCCTGTCACTCCCTCACACAGGATGCGACTCTGCGCTTGACGGCATTTGTGTGGTGGCATTTGAGTGCAAACAAAAGAACTGACAGGAAACATCACTTTTGCACAAACAGTATCAATCTCTCCTGGAAATAAATGCAAAGCATTAGTGTCTGTTTGGGTTTCTGTTACCATCAGAAGGACAAGCCAAAAAGCTACGGCTTAGGCACTGTATAAAGCAGATGCATTTGTCACCTGTTGGTGTGCTTCCTTTCTCTTATCTTCTCTCTAACCTTCCCAGGGAGTGCTGTCCAACATCTCCTCCATCACCGACTTGGGAGGTTTCGATCCAGTCTGGCTCTTCCTTGTGGTAGGAGGAGTGATGTTCATTTTGGGGTTTGCAGGATGCATTGGAGCCCTGCGAGAGAACACCTTCCTTCTCAAGTTTGTAAGTAGCCTGTGCAGCTGGCTGTAGCCATTTCCTGCTTGAAGGACCAATTTCATGGAAAGCTGTGTTTCGATGCTGATTTTATTTACAGGCAATCCTTGTTTTGCGCGGGGTGAACATTCCATAAGCCTGCCCCGCCCCATCACATTCCACCCCTTTTTGTGGCACCTCTAGGACATTTTGGGGCTACTTCCGGGTTCGGTGCCGTGCGCACGATTGCGCGTCATTCAGATGCGCCTAAATTGATAGTTGCCTGTATTTACTCATTGAAATATTTATGATCTGCTGCTCATTAAAAAGAAACAGCAATCAGATCAGTTTACAACAGTTATACATAAAATTATACAGTCAAAGAAACCATATAAATACGTTAAAAAACAGGAATCAGGTAACTGTTATGGAAAGATGTATTCTTAATTGCCCTCATAAGTCTAATGGAATAGAAACGTTTTCAGCAGGCATTTAAAAGTTCAAGCAGAAGGTACCTGTTGAATCTTTGTTGGCGGAATATTCCACAATACCAGGTCAATGACACCAAAGGCTTGGTTTCTCGTAGAAATGACATGCAATTGAAAAGGCAATTTAAGGAACCGGTGGGAGGGAAGTCACAGGATCAGGAGAATCTGGATTTGATATTGTTGTGAATAATTTTGTTTGTTTGTTTGTTTGTTTGTTTGTTTGTTGTTGTTGTTGTTGTTGTGTGTGTATAAAACATTTCTCTTCAACCATGCATTGGGCTGATTAACATCCTATATAGCCTTTAAAATGTATTTGTGTGGGGGTGTTATTGTTTTGTTTTTGTTTCCATTATGTATTTTGTCTTTTTATCTTGTCTTTTTTTGCTATGAACTTTCCTGAGATCTTCAGATGAAGGGCGGTCTACAAATGTAATAAATAATAATAATAATAGGCAATAGGACTTTACCTTTTCCTTCCTTTCAAACATTTTTTAATTAAAAAAAAAACTCTGCTAATTTTTCTATATGAGTAAAGTGTACACTACCCGACTGCCCTCACTTGTCGCCTCTTGTGTCTCAGGCTAGGGAAGCAAACGAGGCAACGACAATTAAGCTTGGCTTCCATTTATGTCCAAACGTGGGATAAGTGTTCGTTACTCATCAACAAGCTAATGAGTAATGAACTAATCAGGCTTAAATCATAGGTTGTTGTTGCCTTACAGCATGCAATGGTTTATTGATTCCAATAAATGGTCAGCAACTATGGCTTGCAATGATGTAGGAACATAGCCAGTGTCTTTCATAAGCCCAAATATGTTGTGCCAATTGTTGACAGTGTTGAAAGTGAGAGTACTTTTGCTTCTCACAGGCTGAAAAGGAGAACGAAGATTATGCCCCTGCTCTAAGGCAGAATCCTCTATATTAGTGATTGGAAATTGTCCCATGTCATCCACAGTTATAGAATCAAACCTATGAAGTCATTTAGCTCCTTTCTACCTCCTCAACCTAATTGTGTGTTTGCGCATATGTTGCCGTTGACTGCCCAATTCCTATGGGCCTATTTCCAGTGAATACTTAAACATGCTTAATACTCATTCCTTCTCTCCGTGGAATCCTGGGAACTGTAATTCTATAAGGGAGCTGTGGTGGTTATAGAATTTCTAACCCCCTTGCCAGATTACAGTTCTCACAAGCCATAAAACTTCCAAGAATACTGTATATCTCCTTTGCAGGGTGAGTAGATTTGCACGCTAGTTCGTTGTTTCCTTGGGAAGGCTTGTTGGAAATGTTGGGCTTTAAATCCAGAACACCGCAAGACTGCTGCTGGATCAGGCCAGAGGTCCACGGAAAGCTTGGAAGCAGAACCTGAGCACAACAGCTCTCTCCGCACAGCAACTGATATTATTATTCAGAGGCGTATGGCCTCTGTCAGTTAAGCCACAGCATAACCATTGTATGGCTCAGAAAGGTGAACTTAGTTAAGAAGACCTGATTCATTTGAGGTGGGATTGACTCCTTTGTGGGATTTGGTTTCTAGGTGCCTTTTTCATCTGAGTAAACTCAGATCTGGACTCTGTAGTTTGATCCATGTGTGAAGGCCCAGCCCTGGCGCAGCTTGCCTCCCCACGGCTCCAGAAGGTCACAGGAGTTCAGCCACACTGAGGGAGCCTGTTGTGGGGGTGCCTGGCTGCACTCCCCCTCAGAATTTTGCACCTGGAGCCACTGCCCCTTTGACCCCCTCCCTGCACTACGCCATCGTCCCCTTTGAAATTAGTGGACTTGAAGTCTATTCATTTCTGTGGGCCTACTCACGAGAATAACTAATATGAGATATCACCCTATGATTCATTGGGAAGCTGAATTACACAACCAACTGCACACAGCTCTCCTAACTTGGTCTGATGCCTGATCCCAGAAAAGTGGCCCCCAACCCAGTGAGTGGTGATTCCGCGTCTGTCACGATCAGCACACATGATGTTGCTTAGCAGCAGGGCAGCTGCGGTGCTCTGCTCTCAAAGTGCTCATTTGGCACGGTGCCGTGTCTTAAAGATTTGTCGCGGAAGCCAAATAATCGAAGGCCTTAAAAAAATGACTTTACTAAAATTACTCCTCTTCTTCATCTTTGCAGTTTTCAGTATTCCTAGGAATCATTTTCTTCCTGGAACTTACGGCTGGTGTTCTGGCATTTGTCTTCAAAGACTGGATCAAGGACCAGCTGTACTTCTTTATCAACAACAACATCCGAGCATACAGAGATGACATTGATTTGCAGAACCTCATAGATTTTACACAAGAATATGTAAGTGCTTTTGCTTGCTTTATGACAGGGGTGAGTTCCTCCAGAGGTTGCTGACCCGCAACTCCCGTCATTCTTGATCATTGGCCATGTTGGCTGGGACTGTTGGGAGTTGGAGGGCCACATGTCCCCAGTCCCTGATTTTGAAGGGAATGTACCTTCCACCACCCCTGTTTTCATTTTCATTTCTCAGCTCTTTATTTCTGAAAGGAGCCAAGCAAGCGAAACGTTTTATGGAACAATGCGAAGCTTGTTCCCTGTGAATAATGCGCTTATGATTGCAACTAAGCAATAGAGTAATTAACTTTATTAGGAAATGCTTTGTATTTCATCCAGACAAGTTCTCCTTCTTGTGCAAGGATTTCTGCTTGCACGATGGAATTTCTGCTCCCTCTCCTCCTCAAGTGTGCCCACCTAAGTCTGCTCTGGCGGGTTGGTGGGGGGAGTCTGTAGAACAAATTTGTGAGGTGTGCAGAGGGAGGAGAAGGAGGGAATTTCCATTGCGGTCCTTGCATAAAGGAGACTACTTAGTTGGATACAACCTTAGTCTTTATGGCAGTGTACTATTCTTGGCTATGCTTCTTTCAGGTGACTTATCCCCATTTTCATGGCAGAATGAGAAACGCTAGATTGTTGCTATGCTTTTGGACATAGAATTTTTTTTTTGTCCAAGGGCAAGATTAGAAAGCCTATTGCTGTAGTTGTGAGGAAAGCAAGCCAAAATGAAACCCTGTAATGTGCAGTCCAAAACATCCTGCTCAAGACGGGTAAAGTGAAATAGTTTCCCCCCTGAAGGCTCCATAGAGTCTAGCTTTTTATTTGTACATCATAAACATCAGAAGCGTATATAGTAAAGATGGGAAGAAGCCAGTGCATAGGCTTTGATTTCATATGCCCGGTGCATATAAATTCACCACTGTGGGTTGCATCAAACAGTTTGCTTCTCCATGTGGCCAGCTGACTCTGTGTGGCAGCTTCCCATGTGGATTTCCTCTGCATCATCTTAAACCACCAAAAACTGTGGTTTTAAGTAAGATTGCCCTGCCTGCCCGGTCTGTTGCTGCACATACAATTTCTTCAATGAGTTTTGGGGATTTGTGAGAAATGTAGTTATACATGCACGATAACAGGCACCCAATACTTCTGCGTGTTTTTTCAACACGGAAAAAGCTTGACATGCTGTTACCCAGAACAGTAGCTTGCAAATCCACTGGTGGTTCTTGGCTTGTGTCTCAACCCTCTGGTAATACATTTTCTCCTTCTCCAGTAAAACGGCAGAGAGATCTAGCAGTAGTGGTGATTCCGCCTGTAATAACTGTTGGCTTTCCTCCAGTGGCAGTGCTGCGGAGCCTTTGGAGCAGATGACTGGAACCTCAACATTTATTTCAACTGCACAGACACCAACGCTAGCCGAGAGCGCTGTGGGGTGCCCTTTTCCTGCTGCACTAAGGATCCTGCTGTAAGTCAGCTGGCAGCGCTGCTATTCCCTGGGGAAAGCTGCTGCATGCAAACGGGAGGCTGCCTTTTATGCTAAAAGAACTCTGTGTGAATGTGTGCTGGTCCTCTTTAATGGACCTATGTCTTGCTGCCAGCTCAAAGCATGCACAAAAGCTTTGCAGAGTCAGGGTATCCTATGCCTGTCAATACACCTTTCACCTTCTTGAGGTGACTATTGCCAGGCTACCTGCATGCATCTATAATGGGCTGCAGCCAGTGACCAAACTAGTTGTCTAATTGTACTGGATGAGTAATAAAGACAGTGGGGGGAAGAGGTGATGCCAGTGCTAATTATAGAGACACGAACTCGTTAACTTGGCATGCTTGGGTGTCCATAATTAAGCCCTGCTAAGATGCAGCTAGCTTTGTATTAAGATTAGGACTCTAATCTGCAAATAAGAGAGATGGGATGTACTATTTAAGATACATCATCTATCGTCCCTGGTCATTGGCCTTGCTAGTTGGGAGCTAATGGGAGTCAGCTACTGGAGGACTGCAGATTCCCTATACCTGCTTTCAGACCATGGACATTTGGCAGGATGAAGGGAGAAATTTACCGGTGCCTTTTTATGTTTTCGCATTTTTAGGAAGATGTCATCAATACTCAGTGCGGCTACGATGCCAGGCAAAAACCAGTAAGTCCCTGCCCATTTCACTTGGTGTAACTTCTGTGAGAGAGGATGGGAAAGAAGGTGGAATCCAAAGGGAAGGGTTGCATGGTTTGATTTGTGTGTTTTCTTTTCATTTGCTGTTCCCTCCAGGAAGTTGACCAGCAGATTGTTATCTACACGAAAGGTTGCGTCCCCCAGTTTGAGAAATGGCTGCAAGAGAACCTCACTATAGTGGCTGGCATATTCATTGGGATTGCATTACTGCAGGTATTGATTGATTGCATTCATGTTCTGGCTTTCCTCTAAGGAGCTCAAGGTAGTATATGTGGTTCTCTTCCTCACGACAACCTTGATGTCCTTCATCTCATAGCTTTCAGACCCACGTGGTTAATCCACGCTGCACGCTTGATGTGAAATAGGAGGAAGTGATTCCTACTTGCTTCTTGTAAAAGCCAAGGGTTGTCCCTCTGGCAAGTAACCTAAACAAGACTGGAATTAGTGGTGGACACCAACTTGTTTCCCATCTTGTGGATCTTCTGGCTTCTGTAGCTATGAGAAGCCCCTGTAGTGCTGTGTGTTTGGAATGTTCTGGAAGGCCTGTGGAAGTCTGTTCCAATATCCTTCCTGGATGCTAGGCAAGGGTGGGTGGGATTCACCTACCTAGTCCTGTCAGTGGAAGTAGAGTGGAAGGATTCTGCTTGTGCAACAGAGCTCACCTCCCCCAAAATTGGCTCTGGTGGAGTGGGAGAACCCCCAGGACAACATGCAGGAAGGAAGGGGAGCGAGGGGAGGTCATTCTGTCTGGCAAACTGGAATGCTTGTGTAGACAGAATGATTGGAAGAGCACAATGTTGAAGCCTGCCCTTTGGCTGCAATCCATATCACACAGTGTTTGGGACTTTTTAATATGGAAAAAAAAGGTAAGAGGGGGTGTATTGGTTGCAAGTCGCTTTGGGTTGCCGTGGGCAAGATAAAGCGCCTAACAGATTTAAAAAATAATAATCATGGCACAGGTCTGTGCACAGTGTTTTTCCTCCCTCTCTCAAAATACTAGAGCTGGGGCGCATCCGCTGAAGTGGAATGGTGGGAGATTCAGGGCAGGCAAAAGGAAGCGCTTCTTCACAGAAAGCACACCAAACTTAGATGGCTTTAAAATGGGATTAGGCCAATTCATCACAGAATTGTAGCATTGGAAGAGACCCTAAGGGTCATCCAGTCCAACCCCCTGCAATGCAGGAATTAAGGGCTACTAATCACGATGGCTATATTACCTCCAGTATCACAAGCAGCATGCTTCTGAAAGCCACTTGCTGGGAATGCCAGGTGGGCAGGATGCTGATGTCCTGCTTGCTTCCTTCCCACAGGCATCTGGTTGGCCTCTGTGAGAACAGGATGCTGGACTTTGGCCTGATCCGGCAAGGCTATCCTTGTTTTTGTGGTTCTTAACTGTAGGCAGTTAAATCCACTTTAATGGGACAGCTCCATATTAAATGGGGTGCGGACGGCCTGCCTAGAACCAGGTTACGTGGTTTCTTGGGTGCATAGATTTGACCCGCTTCCAGACAACACTTGAACCTCATGTCTTCCAGATATTTGGGATCTGCTTGGCTCAGAACCTGGTTAGCGATATAGAAGCTGTCAGAGCCAGCTGGTAAACTCGCCGACACAAGCGGCACGAGACACCGGCCAGCCTCACCTCTCGGAAAGCTCCAGTGTGTCGCGTGGGCGCCAAGTCATATGGAAGTGGGTGACAGTGAAGTCTCGAGTTCTCAAATGGCCGGAAGTGCCTCAGACCGTTGTTTATTCCAGAGGGAACAGCTCCAGCCACCCGTTCGCCGACGAAAGCTTCCGAAAGCCCCAACCCGAACTTGTGTTGAGCTGCGACTCTCTGGCGCACCCTTGACTTGAGTCTCTGGTGGATGCTCTTTTCTTCCTTTTTTTGTGGTAAATGGCCTGTGTCAGTGAGACCTCAATCGCCGCCTGGTTTACTGGGCCCCACTCTTCATTCTCCGTGTCACAAGCCTGTCTGCCGCTGCCAAACGTGAGGCAATTTCTCTCATCAGTGCACACCAAAAGGAGCGGCGTGCCTTTTCAGCAGACGGGAGGCCTGGCGCTCCCTTCTGGAAGAGAACCTGTCAAATAGAAAGCCACTTTCCCAGTCCTTGGCTCCTTCGCTTACTGGCAGGAAATGAGGCTCCCCTTGGAAGCTCTGATTAAGATCTGCTCTGTAATGCCCTCTGTTGGGGACCAACTGTGTGTAATTATTTTCCAGTCTCTCGCAACCTTGTCCCACAAGGGAGAAGGGGTGGGATTTGATGTCTTAATCAACAGGTTTGAGGGGGAATGTGCCGCTCTTGTCCTCCTTCACCACTGAGTTGGCAACATGTAAGGGAGTTGGAGGATGAAGTCTCGAACCAGCTTTTTAACTAAGAGAATGGGAGGTGTGGTAAACATAAAGGGGGGGAATACCCTACAGCGTACCAAATTTCATGAGTAAAATGGTGGAATTTGTGGAATAGCCTTCAATCTCCTTTTTGTTCTTGTATTTGAGTGCAGCTGCGCAGGTGTTCAAGGTAGCCCCTTGGGCCAGCCATCTCCAGCCGGATTGCTCGCTTCCCTCCATTTTTATTTTTGCATGTAGTTGCTATAATGATCCTTAGGAGTCTATTCAGTGTGACTTGTCTGGGTATCTGTGGTTTCTGAGTAGGCTTCCAATTCCAACTTGCATATTTATTAGCGTAGATGCGGATGAGATAAGAGAATTCACAGCCCTTGTTTTGCAGTGAGAGAAATGATTTCACCTCTGTTCAAGTACCTCCGCAGACCGCTTGCATCTCTTCTTTAAAATCTCTCCCTCCCTCGTGTCTTTTTCTGTGATTCAAATAGCAGTAGTTTATTTAAACAGAATTTCTAAAGGCTTTAAAGAAAAACAAATAATAATTCACAGCCTCTGTTTTCAGGGCAGGTGAAGACATTAGGATTTTGGAAGAAGCACAATACAAAACTCCCTTTAGGACCATGATCCTAAATAGGTTCTTTTTTGTTCTTTGTTCTTTTTGCATGGGCATTCAGTTCTTTGTGAATGTGTTTAGGGCCTGAGTATAGGTATTTATATTTGATTTAGATTTAAGCATCAATGAAAATCGCAAAAGTTGAAGGTGCCTTCTACAAAAGAATTGACTTTAGCATCTCTTATCAAGGAGATGGCGTTCGACTAAGCCTGTTGCATCTGGGGTGGGAGTGGGGAGGAATCTGTTAAACTCTTTTCATTATCTGGCAGGGATAACATGCATCTTAAGGTGGCGTGTGGGAAAAGTTAAGTTCCGGATAACCGCTGTAATTGTCGTTTTAGACACCTTAATCGGAACCGAATTCAAAACAACCTGCCTCTTTATACAAGCCACCTCTTAGTTTTAGTGGATGATTGACAGCCTAAATTGACCCCTTCCCCCAAAGCTGCCATTAAAGCAGAGAATGGGGGCCCCATGACTTATAAGTCCCTGACCGTTAGCCATGCTGACCAGGCCTGGTGGGCGTTAGGATGACAACAACCTCAGACTCACAGTCCCTTTAAAAATAACAATATATTTCCTCAGTATTACCTCATTCTTAAGAGACCCAGCGTGGCTGCCTTGACTGAATATGGGACACTGGGGGTCCCCAGCGGCTATCTGCAGTGGCTCTGCCAGGGGCATATATAAAATCTATTCTCATTGTCTCACAGTCCTGTGAGCCTCCATTACCTCCTAAGCTTTGTTTGGGCTGCTGCTGAAGGGGAAGGAAACAAACCCCTTTTGCCCAGGAGTGGCAGAATAGTGTTACGGACAAAAAATGGCAGAGTTGTGGGAGAACTTCTGGGTTTGCAGAGCTGAAGAGGCCATGCATTCCAGAAATGAGGCCAAACGCCCGAGAATGACATGGACGTATTCTGCCTGTAACAGTGAGTATGCAGAGGAAACATTCCTTGTGGCTTCTGCTGCTACTGTAGGTTTCTGAATAAGAATTTTTCCATCCTTCTGCTTGAAGATCATCTACATCCTTCACCAACTAGCTAGGTGTCCTCAAGATATTTTCGACAACCACTCCCGTCCGCCCCAGCCAGCACAGTTGGTGGTGAAAGCTGATTTTGTTCTGGCTTCTCTCTGCTCCCCTTCCTTTGCCAAGCATAAGTTTATGTGACCATTTGTAACTTGGTGGTGGGTTGTGTGTGTGTGTGTTTGGGTGACTCTTCCTTGTCGCAACTCTAAAACTTTCTTGTTAACTTTCTGCCACCATGTGGTGAGGCTTATAATGGCAACCTTTTTCATAATTTCCTTGTATTGGAATTTCTGTATGCTTGACCTAAAGAGTTGTTGTCTTCTTGGTCCCAGAAGAGAGTAAGCCTAGAAACTCAGAAATTGTGTTGTGTTGCATGCATGGTTTGCATGTCTCTAGGTCCTGGTGGAAACTGAGGAATTCTAATAACCTCCCCTCTTTAATTCCTAGTGCCCTTTTTGCTGTTGCAAAGAGCTGAACAGTTTAGATTCCGTCAGCTGTTTAGTGTGTGTGCTGCAGCTTTTATAACCCTGGTTAATAGCTCCTTCAGATTCCATAGGCATTAGGGATGAGGCATTTGCCTCTGAAATTTAGAATGTTTCGAAGAACTTTCCGACTCACTTTCTTATGGCTCATACACATTTAAGCAAGCAGTGTGCACACTATCTAATGTGGACCTGTTCTCTCCACCCCACCTGAGTCCATGACTGCAAATCAAATCTGCAAATCAGATTTAACTGTCAGCAGGCCCCCAGCTGAAACAATAAGATGCTATAAACTGTGCGTAGAGAGAACTTAACCGTTCACTTATTAGGTTGAAAAACAAGTGTCAGAGAGCTGCCGATTGATTTTTATTTCTGTGATGAATGAATTTCAAAGTGGCTTACAACCAATAAATAACCATAACATAATAAAACCTAATAGCACATTGCGAATACAGCATATATCATATACAATAATTAACAGATTATAAATAAAACAGTTGCAACAAAAAACAACATTAACTAAACAGCAACTAAAAAATAAGCTAAACCTCACAGGTACAGCAAGTCATAGGATTAACAAATCAATGTGACGTTTAGAATCTATAATAAACGATATTAAAAACATTAACAAAATAGCAACTATTGGTTGGTATTTTATAAGCTAGGCACTAAGTTCATTCACACAATCTCTGCACCCCATGACCCCCCTTTAAAACTAAATAAAGCTATACAGCAAACCAGCAAGACAATAATTACTAATTGAAACAATAATTGCATTTATACTAAAACTAAACTAAACCCCAGCCCCAACAAACGTCCATCCCGCCCACAACAGCGCATAGAAACAAAAAGAAAAAACAAGAAAAACATTTAAAACACCATGGATTAACAAGTATTTTAAACATTTTAAAACATTTTTGACATGCTCAGAGTAAGTGTGGGCCCCACCCCCTAGGCCAGGTGGAAATGGGCCTTGCAGCAGGGAGCTGTTTTCCCTCCACTTTGACCAGCTGCTGCTTATCAATGTCAGGTTGCTGGAATGTCATCAATCTGCCATTTAATTCTGAAAGAATCTGCACCTGCCAACCTGGCTTTTATTTTCTGAGAGCAGGCTGGATGAAGCTGAGAATCCTGAATCCACCCAGCTGGCCCCAATCAGGTGTTTAGCTTTGAACCAGCCTATGGAGGAAATCTGGCCAGTACAGAAAAGATGTAGCATTTAGTATTTTCTCCCCTAGACCTCATGGAGCCATGATTCTCTCTGGTAAGTAGTGTTCTGGAAGAAGTGTCTCCTCTGGTTATTGAAGGAGGATCTTCAGGGTCGAAGCTGTCCTTCAGATCTACTTGTTCTTCCAGGTAAGAGGGCTCACGGTTCTGGCACCTCCTTAACTCACAGCGGCAGTTCTCCGTGCACGATGTATTCCACTTACGGCAGCCACACATTTTATTTGCGCAGCCCCCTTGGCAGGCGCACTGCAGATTTCTCCTACTGGATGTTCTGAGGAATACCTGTGGATCTTCCACTTTGACCTCAGAATATGAGTCTTCGTCATCTGTGACGATCATTCGCCTGTGAGTCTTAGATTGACTGGAGTCGTAGGGGGACTCCAGGCTGTCTGGTGCAGAGGCCTGCTGGCCACTTCGGAGCTTCTGGCCGCTGGCAGTCTGAACAGATGTTAGTTTTTGTTGGAGAGTTTGGAGGTCTTCACGGAGCTCATGGTTCTCCTTCAAAACCTCTGCTATGGTGTTCCTATCTTCTTCTGCATCTGGGTCATCTGGCCTGCTGTCTTAGTGACGCTGCAGCTTAGTCCTCCCCCCTTTTAAAAAAAATTAATCTTTATTTTAAATATTAAGCCCCTTCACCACAAAAAGAAAAAACAAATCACCTCACATACAAAGAAAATATTACATAAAGAATAAAGTTCTTCCATAAATTAAGACTTCTGTCCTACCCAGTATGGGTCCTTCGTTTCATTGATAACTGCGTGTTTGTATATCCCTTAACTTACCACTGTTTAACCATATTCTTTGTAGCATATAACATTGCAGAAGTTATTCAAAGCATATCAAAGAATACATCTGAGAACAATGTTCTTTTACATATAATCTGAATACACCCCATTCTATGTTGAACCTTTGGTTTAACTGATTCTTAATTTTTCCTGTCATCTTTGCCAGTTCTACATAATCACATAATTTCACCAGCCATTCCGGTTTAGTTGGTATTTTATCTCCCTTCCACCATTTAGCTGTTAACATTCTCACAGCAGTAGTTGCCTACATAAATACCTTTCTGAGTTCCTTTGGGATATCTGCTGCAATCATACCCAAAATAAAGGCTTCTGTGTTTTTTTAAATAAAAGTTAATTTGAACTTTTTTTAGCTCATTATAAATAATTTCACAAAAGTTTTTTTTTTCCTTTTTACATTTTCACCACATGTGGTACATTGTTCCCTCTACTTCTTTGCATCTCCAGCAAAGATTTGAGCTGGTTTTATACATTTTTGCCAGCTTGCTTGGTGTAGTATACCATCAATAGAGCATCTTCATGTAATTTTTTTTTAAAGGTATAGCAAGCTGTAAACTTTTAAGTCATTTCTCCAAATGCCATCTCCCAGGATGCCATCTGAATATTATAACCAAAATCTTTAGACCACTGAATCATCACTGATTCAACCTCCTCTTCTATCACTTCCAAATCCAATAGCAGTCTATACATTTTAGAAAGTAGTTTATTCTTATTTTGTAGTAGATCTTTCTCAAGTTTCGATATTTCAGTAGCAAACCCTTTTATTTTATCTAATTTAAATGTCATTCAGTTGATGGTACTGTACCCAATCAGTTAGGTGGTTTCTAATTTCCTCAAACTTTTAGCTTCCTCCTCAAGTAGTTCTTTATAAGTTGTCCAGTTTTTCCTCATATTATTTTTCTTTGCTGAAATTGCCTCTAGTGGTGATATCCACCAGGGCGTTTTTGCTCTAGCAGGTTTCTATATTTACCCCATACCCCATACAATGATCTTATTATGCGATTCAAAAAACCTTTATGGACTTTGACTTTTTTTGTAACACAGATACGCGTGCCACGCAAATCTATTGTCAAAACCCTCCAGATCCAACAAATCTATATTTTGTAATGTCATTCAGTCTTGTAACCAGCAAAGGCAGGACGCCTCATAGTATAGCTTTTAAGTCTGGCAGGGATAAACCACTTCTGTCTTTGATGTCAATAAACAATTTGTTTGATTCTGGATCCCCCCCCCCCGCCAAATGAACTTTGATAGGTCTCTTTGCCACTCCCTGAAGTGTCCCGCCCCACCGACAACCAGGAACGACTAGAACAAAAACAGCATCATTGGCAGAACATTCATTTTAATTGCAGATATCCGTCCCCAAAACGAGAGATTCAGTCTGCCCAAAATCTCTTAAGCCTTTTTTAAATCTCTTTCCACATCTTTAGATAATTATCTTTAAATAGATTGATATTTTTCGCTGTCAGCCAAATTCCTAAATATTTAACTTTTTTACTTGTTATACCAGAGATTCTTTGTAATTCAGTTCTATCTTGCTCTACCATATTTTTCACCAGCAGCTTAGTTTTGTTGTTGTTGTTGGATATAAAGCCTGCCACCTGGCCAGAATCGCGAATTCTTTCCAAAATTTTGGGAGATTCTCTTTCCGATTTCCTGTTGTAATTACGAGATCATCTGTGAAGGCATTTAATTTAAATGATTTGTTCCCCACCATTATTCCTTTTATACCTTTATCTCCTCTTATTCTCCTTGATAGGATTGCCAAAACTAGTATAAACCGTAATGGGGACAATGGACACCACAGTCTTGTTCCTTTCGTTATCTTGAAACTTTATGTTATTCCATTGTTTATAATTTAGCTTGCTGATTGAGATAAATCACATTAATTCCTTTGCTAAAATTTTCCCCGTCCCATTGTCTTTTTCATGAAGTTCCATAAGATGTTATCAAATGCCTTCTCTGCATCGACGAACATTAAAGCCGCCTGTTTATCAGTCCTCTCCTCCAGGTACTCCAACATGCCTATTTCAATTCTTATGTCGTTTTTCATTTGGCATCCCGGAAGAAACCCCGCTTGATCTTCATGAATTGTGTCCTTCAAAATCCTTTTTAATCTATTTGCCAAAATGTCCGCAAAAAGTTTATAGTTGTTATTTGAGAGGGAAATCAGTCGATAGTTTTGTACTAACATTAGATCCGTACCTTGCTTGGGGATTAATGTTATGTAAGCATCTTGCCATGATTCTGGCAATTTACCTTTATTTAATATCTCATTCATAACATCCTTAAGAGGTTGTAATAATGACTCTTCTAGTTTCTTATAATAAATAGCTGATAGTCTGTCTGGTCCTAGTGTTTTCCCAAGTTTTGCCTTAGAGATTGCCTGTTGTATTTCCATCATTGTGATCGAGGAGTTTAAATATGTGATTTTCTCTCTGGGAATCTTAGGAAGTGTGCTGCCAAATATAGCAGTTCTTTCCAAGAATATCAGGCCAAAAGGAATGAGGAGGTGGAAGGGGAACCCAAAACAGTTTTATTAACAAATAAACAGCAGACATGCAAAGCATAAAATAAAACATACCGACAGGGGCTACCCAGTCTCCCCTTCAGCTGCCTGGAGCACCATGTAGAGCAGCAGGAGAAAGACCCTGACCATCGGTCTCCTAGCATCAGGTCCTTTGATCTGAGTAGAAGCTCACCGGGTCCCTCCCACCTATGGCTTTTATAGCCTGCCTTGATGTAATCAAGTGCACCTGGCATTACTCATGATTAGCCCAGGACCCCGAGATGGAATTAATACAGAGCGGCTGAGAGTCTCCCACTACTTGCAGCCGGGCATCCAGTCAGCACTTGCAACACAGAAGAACCCAAGAAACTCCCGACAGGTGTGTGAAACACAAGAATCCAGCAGACCTCCAACTGGGGATGTTAAAGGAAAAGGGACATGCTACCTAACTCCTCGAAATACAATTGTCTTCCGCATTTCCACTACAGGGAGGTTATTTTGTTTTAAATATTCTTCTGTTTTTTCTTGCTATTATTCTCCTGCTTGATATAAATCCCTAAAGTAATTTATAATTTTTTTACTTAGCTTTTGGTTCATTTATAATCCCGCCCATCCCGTTTATTTATCACCTTTTCACTCTCTTTTTTCTTTAATTGCCAGGCTAGCATTCTCCCCGGCTTATTAGCAAATTCAAAGTTCCTTCGTTTTAACATTTTAATTTTCCATTCCATTTTCACAAGTATGGAGTATTGCGTTTGTAATATTTTAATATTTAGTTTTGCTGTTTCATTTCCTGGATTTTTAGCTAATTCTTTTTCGTTTTTACTTATCTCCAAAATTTTGAAGTGTAGGAACTCCTCATGACAGCTTAGCCATGCTTAGAAGGGGAGCCCAAACACCGCAAGATGTCTGTGGTGTTACATACAAAGACATCAAACAGTATTACTTGGGATAGTACCCAGTTTATAAGGATCAGTGTCACTGCTATCCTGTGTTTATGATGGAAGTGAGCTCTGTTGAACTCAGTGGGGCCTCATTTCGACAGCATAGATTCTATTTGCAAAACACATTGAGCTTTAACAAAAGATGGTCAGCCAGCTGAAATGCAGCAATGTAGCTTTTAAATTCAAGGGAACCTTGGAGCTCTCCCGACGTTGCTGAACTACAACTCCCATCCCCCCAGCAAGTATGGCCAGTGGGACTTGTAGTTCAGCAGCGTCTGGAGGGCCGAAGGTTTCCCAGAAAAGCAAACCATCTTGAAAAAGTACCATGCTGACTTAGACGCCTCACAGGGGAGAAAAAGGTAGAAAGTACCCAGCCTCTGCCTCTTTACTTTTCTAATTATTTGTCCTCTGTGCTCATCGGACGATTACTTGGAAGTTTCATTTAATACCTTGCTAGAAAGTCTCAAGCAGCACCAGAGAAAGGAGGGGCCGTCACTTGGGCAGATGTCATTGTTCTTCGTCTGAAGAAGGCCGTGTATTGATAAACAGTTGTATCATATCACAAGTATGCATGCCGGGAAGGCAAGGCAGAGGATAACTTTACTTCCACCAGGACCAAAAGCAGAATAGCAAGTGGAACCTGCGAAGGAAGGAGTGAGCCTGCTGCAACATGCACCCCACTGCAGCCTGCCAGGCAGATTTTTTTTCTCCCTTCGTGGCTTTCTTATAACCATATGTATTTTTTCTTTGAAAGGGAGGAGAGATTCAAGCAGGGTGAAGGACATTTGGATCTGGCAAAGGGATAATTTTTAACATACCTTAAAATAAAAGGGGAGAAGGAATTGGGGTGTGTGTGCATGCTAAAATAGTCCAAACCACGTGTCTTCATTGTCCAAATGCTCAGATACAAATCTTGACACCTGCAGTGCCTCAACCTCCCAAATCGATTCTGCAAGTTTTGTGTGTCGGATTTGGGGCTGAGTAGCTTGGCTGTTAGAGGCAAGCGTGCCCACCACCTGCTTTTCATCTCCTTCTTCCCTGCTCATCTCTTCTCACTCCCCCTCCCCCACAATTAGCACCAAATAAATAAATAAATAAATCCCCAGATGCAGAGATGCAAGTTTGAACACAACCTTGTCTTCTAAACACTGAAAGTCTGGGAAGCTTGTTGCTTGATGGCCAGTTCCAAGAGGCCTGATTAACAAACCACATATTGATGTGTTGCCTGCCAGCTTAGTCAAGTTATCTCTTCAGAGACCTACACACCTGCAGTTCCTGGACAGTATTGTTATGGAGTGACGGTGGCTCAGTCCCATGTATGAAGTCCAAAGAGCCACTTTCAGAGGCCCCCAATTATAGATCTGTGTTCTCTCCACTGTACAACCCTCTTAGTTGGAGTTTTGTTACTGCTCTAACCTTTGGTTAAATAATTGTCACATGTTGAAAATACTGCATTCTGAGGGATACATCTTGATTTGAGCTTTCCTGCTCCAGAAGCTCTCTTCCTGCCAGAAGCTGCGGGAAATGCTTTCCTCTTGGATTCTCCCCTTATTATTCTCTGAGCAGAGTCTTAACTTTCTTTCAGCTAAAGTTGTCAAACCAAGACTTGGGACCTGGCCTTTCCAGGTGCCATGCGGCGTGTAAATAATTTTTGAACTGTAAATAGTAGCATGCAAATGATCTGATCCACACTGAGGATTGCAATTCATCTTAAATGTGTATTTATACTGAGAAGGTTGTATGAGGTGAGTTTGCCTGTGTGTTTGAAAAACTTAAAAAGCTTTACATATCTAGCAGATCATGCCTGGAATGCTTTAATATGCTGCCATCTAGTGTCTCCCTGGTAAAACTGCAGCTTAACAAAACTAGTTAAGACTGGCCTAAAAATATTTTTTTTGGATGTTTGTTCTAGAGCTGCTTTGAATCCCCTCTTCTACCCACTTTGTGCAGGGATTATATTGTCAGCTGCGCCACAGGAGCTTTGTGTTCTGATGCATCACCCCCAAAATGAATATTTCTGCTGGTCCCGCTTACCAAAGACGCTGGAGATAGAACATTTTGATGGGAATGTTGAGGTCTCCTGAAAATGCCTGCCCACTAATGGCCATAATGCAAAGCACAATTCAGCAGACATGTGGGTGGGCCGGAGCTCTCTCCCAGCCAGAGTGTTCTCCTGGAAAACGGGGACAGGTGGGGGATATTAAGACCTTTGGGGTTGCCACTGCTTCTTTTACTGCTCTGGTCCAACATGCCATAAATTCAGCTGCCACATTTTTGCCACCATAGAAGCCTGTGTGCCTTGCATGTTCCCAGCTATGGAGGTCTTTCTGCAGTGCAGAAGCGCCGGGGACTCAGCAGCCTAATCTATTGGCATGAGTGGTTTTGGAGGATAGGTTGTGCTGCCTGAAGAGAAAAGCTCCATTGCTTGCAAGAAAGCCTCAAGTCTTTTGAGTGCATGAAACTTGCCTTGACGGAACACATGCTGTTAGGTTTCTTAAAGAGCTTAATGCCAACTCTTTATGCTCTCTGGCACCACAGAGTTATCTGTCTTAATTGTACACAGCGTCATCAGAGCATGTATGTGTATCATGGAGGGTTCCTCCCCTGCCTTGGTGGGCAGGGTATGTCAATGTGCAGGTCCTGAATGTGTGTTTCAGACACAGCCATTTGCATGGACTTCAACGTATTGATGTACAGGTGGAAAATGTTACACTGGTGTGCTTTTTTAATTAAAAATATCCAGTGCAACATGGGATATACTCCAGGCTCCTGCTTTCCTGTACTGTCTGATCTGATTTCCAGTTGTGATGCCACTTATGTGTGTTGCACCACTGGAGTTGTTCCCACAGTGTTCCCGTGGAGAGGGAATTCAGCACTGGATGCTGTTTCTCAGGCTTTAACACAACCAAGAGGGGAAGTGTCAGGGTAGTATCTGCAGCAGGGCTGGAAGGGGCAACGGAATTGCCTTCTGTTTTCCAGTGGATGTTGCATTAAATTGGGAATGGTAATGACAAACATCTCCTGCAGACAGCCTGGGGTTTGTGGTTCAATCTCCTAATCCAGAGAGGCAGAATTGCCAAACCACCTCTCCTCCCTCCCCCTTTTTGGCATCCACGTGGAAGGAATGCTTGCACCCAGATTTCACTCCTATGTGGTGGCCGAGGGAGAGGCAGGTGACACGTAAGATCTTCAGCTTGGGTAAGCACTGAACCTGGCCTATGTTCTCCTGCAGTTCTGCATCCTTAACCCATGCCTCTCATTGCTCATAGATTATCATGGGCAAGAAGCAGTGCACTCCAGGGTCTTGCAGGGTGCCCCCAAATTGCCTTGACTTTGTGAGAACGTTAGGATTGGCTTTCTATTGACACCATGTACTTTGAGCAGAAATTGATGGGAGAGATAAGAGTGTGTATACTCTTAGTAAGGTGACTGCAAAAAGGCTGCAGTCCTATGCAATCAAGCACCATTGACGCCAGCAGGGATTGCATTGGACCAGGCGTGCATAGGATTGCACTGTTATAAAGCTTTGTATCCAAACCAATGCAGATGCTCCTTACGGTGTAAATGATTAAAATAAGCTGCACCTGCAAGCATCTCGCCGCATAGTCTGTGCCTAGGGAAACTGAGTCTCAAAGAAAGGTGTTCTCTCTTTATATTAAAACAAACACGTCGATTGGGCATGGGGGATCTGTGACTTTGTCTGGTTTTCAAACATATTAAAAATGCTTGCATCACTTCCCTAAATCATTGCACGTCGCAACGAAGGGCACTACTGTAATTACCGTTGTGTTTTTTCTTTTTCTACGAATGTATTTTCCTGTATTGAAAGTCTTGTAAGTCGGAAAAAATTGATTGTAAAAAGCCAATTACACTTACTGATGATGGAAAGTATTGTTATAACAGAATTGCATGCTGGTACAGTTTGACTGAGGTTGTGTCGTCTCCTTCCCAGTTGGTCACACTTGGTCTAGAAGTGGATATATTTTTGTTCAATTGACATATTTCCTTCACAATAGAATATATGGTATATCATACATAGCCCATGCGAATTTCAGTGGATGTAACTGGACTTATACATGAAGTTAACACAACCTCTTTGTGTTAGTTTTTAAGGTATTGAAAGTGGTCTGCATCATGCTCTTTGTACCTTTTTTTTAAAATAGATGCGATTTTTAGGAATGTTTTAATACATTTATGATGGACAACATAGTTTTACTAGTTGTGCAGTATTCTGTATTTTACTTGAAGTAAATCATTTTATATGCAATTTGTTAGTATAATTACAGTTTTATAAATAAAATTGAGTGACATTTTGGGTCTACTTTTCACTCGGATGTACAAAAAAAAAATGTTCTGCTCAGAGCTCTAAACCCATTGTGTTAAAAAGGAGGATCAGATCATAGTTGTTACCGGGAAAATAAAAATCTGTTACAATTAAGCATTGTAGAATTGTGCGCCCTTTGGTGAATGTTGCTCTGCTCAGGGTGTTTGTGTGTATGCTGAAATCCCGAGGAAGGGAAGAAATGCCGCAGAATGTGGCATTCAGCTCCTTGAGGGTCTTTGCTTCCATTTAAAGCAATGTTTCTAGTGCCTATGGAGCAAATAATACTTGAAAGCATGGCCGTGCCTACTGAAATCTCAGAACGCAGATGACTTGCTGTGGTCAGAGCGCAGGGTTTTCAGCGTGACTAGAAATAGTAGGCTAAATTATGAAAATCAATAATGCAAGCAAATACAATCAAATCTGCATAATTTACACAGGTCAGAGTTCAGCTATTCACAGATTTTTCTTTCCGCAGATGTGATTATGAATGGTGTGCCTAGGAAGTGAGGTTGCTCATCTTCCTTGTTTCTGTTTCAGAGGAACAGCCAGCTTAGTGATTGATTCAGGTATGTCCTCAGCTATAACTACTAAAGACAAGAGAAGCTAAGTTGTGGGGTTTTTTTTTAAGACTCATTCCCACCCCCAGATACACGAATTGCTGCACAAAGGAACAACACGCAAGGTAAAGTGTGAGCGCACTGGAGTTTATTGATTTACCTCTAGGTACCATGGGGTTGACATTAATATGCAAGACCAGTGAGTGAGCAGCAAGACTCCCTTCCCCAAAGAGGCTCCCTCCCCATTTTCTGAAACCCCTGGCAGTCCAGCCCGGCCTTGCTGCCTCCTGTGCTTTGTCCCTAAGTTAGCAGTACACTTGTTACGGAGTTAGGGGTACGAGGGGAGGAGTCGTTGATGTAGTAGTACCACGTCTTTCTCTCTCTCTTTTTTACATTATTATAGGACTACAACATGCACATTCTACTATGTGGCTCAAGCAACGAGAATACATGTAGAACAATTAACAGGGCTAGGAGACATTTCGTGTTTGTGTGTAAGAGAGACAGGATCCATGTTGATGGCGACTGGCTATGGGTTTATAGAAATCTCGGTTGTGGAGAGAGAGGTACCTACAGCAGTTCGATCCGTGTGGGGAATGTTACATGCATGCACAAGTGACACAGTGGGTGGGAGAAACGCAGCAGGACAGGACGAGAGGTGAAATCTGTGACGCGATGCTAGGTGGGAGCGCGGGTACCCCTTTCCTCAGCTTTCCACGGCGAGTCTCTGCTCTGTGAGGGAAGCCTGCTGGGCGACCGTTTTGTTCTCGTGGCTGCGGAGTTTTGATACGACGTCTAGAAAGGCCAGACTCTGCACTTCCTTGTGAAGGAGTTCTGTCAAACAGAAGCGAGACGGTTACTTTCCTGCTGGGCCTTTATGTGTGCAGCTGCTCTTTTGTTTGCCTTTTCTGGGGAAGCGGCAACGAACAGAGGCCTTGTCAACTTGGCACAATGCGGTTGCTGGAGAATAAGTGGCGCTGGTGGCTGTTAGCGGTACTTTTCAAGCATCTTAAATTTAGGGAGCCCCTTCACACACACACTTTCCTCCTTGCTCTGCAAATCATCTGCAAGCAAATGGGATCTGTCTTAGTCTTGCAAGGGAGACCTAGCAAATGTGACTTGATGTGGGGAAAACAGGTGAGCGTGTGCAAGTTTCTGCTTCTGCTTGCTGTGTTGTGTGGGCAGGAGATGGACCCCCTTCTGTTTTCTTGCAGGTGTGTGCAGTGTAAAACAATTACGTGGCCCTGGGCTGTATCAATGCATCAAATCTCCTTAAAAGGAAATTGCAGTTGGGGCCTATCAGAGGTTGGATGGGCTCTTAGGCCCAGCCAACCTCTCTAGAAGCCTGGTGATGCTTCTAGCTCTGGTTGGCCAAGACTGAGGCCTACGAGGACCAATATCTGGTGCGATATTGTCTTGTCTGAGTAGCAGCAGCTCTCCAGCATTTCAGGCAGAGTGTCTCCTATCATCAGTTACTTGACCCTATTGTCCACAGCTGCCAGGAATGAAATCTAAGGCCTTTTACACCAACCTGTGCTCTACCACTGAGCCTTGGCCCTTCCTTGAATAAGAGTAATTAGACGATGCTGAAATTAAGCCATGCTCCATACAGAGTGAGGCTTGTGTGTAGTGCAGGGCTTCTGCGACTCCTTCCCCTTTGGAGATGGCGTGTTCTTAAAGGGGCCACCAATGCAGTTCAAGGGAGGGGTGGGGGGAGAAGGCACCTTATGCAATTAAAAAGGGTCCGCTCTCTGTCACAGGACGTGTCCCCTTCATGAGACTCTACATAACAGAGTAGCCTCCCCAAGCATTTTGTACTACACCTCCCCTAAATCCCACCTCACACAACCTGCTGGGTAGGTCTGCTGAGAGCTGCAGTCCTAAACATCTGGCTGGGGAAGGCTGTAAGAGAGACTCGCCTCAGCACCCTTTCTTGTGTATCGTGAACATATAGTGGAGAAGCAGCCTTTCCATGTTTAGTACCTGAATAAAGTATGCCTTTTCAAAAAAAGAAAAGGGGAAAAAGCATGCAAGGATCCAGGTGGTGATTTTTGCTACAAGCTTAAATGGTGGTTGTAATTAAAGCAACTTTCTCTGTTCCTCTTAGCACAGTCCGTGTTGGCATCTTAGTTATGTCAACAAAGAAGAAATGGAACAAATGATGCAAGCGCACAGTACCCAAAATATTTGTTTTTTGAGTACATCTAGAGGTCTGCTCAACACTGCTGGAAGTTGCCTAATTTAGTTGTCATGGTCGGGGGAAGATGAAAAAGCTGCTTTAGGCGCTAGGAGGATACCAGGGTTGAGGTAAACACATGACGCTTATTCTACTGGGGCTTGCTTAGGCAACAGCACAGGCTGCTCACTAACAAAAGAGCTGTTACAAATCAATTCTGTTACCCTACAGAGCCTCTTTCCCCCCACGTAGCAAACTGTGACCCTTGTTTTCCTGCCAAGTTTGCTGGTCACCTGCTTTCCAATCCGCCATGGCATCCAAACTCCCCTCTGTGCGACCATGAGCAGAGCGGAAAATGCCTAAAAGCAAGCTTAATGCCCCAAAACATTTTTATTCCCCACACAATTTAATGGAAACCGGGGTTTCTATCCAGGCTATTCTGCTGCGGGAAGAATATACTTCCTACTTCCAGGATAGCTTGATATCTACAGCAGGTGTTGCTCTCTGGGTATTAATAGGTTCTAGTGACAAACCAAGTCCTGGGCCTCTTTTCTCACACTCATGCACACAGCAATGACTGTGATGGCAATGAATGCTCTGCTTTCCTTTCATTCTTTTGACGTTACATACACATTTACATTCCCTATTCTCTTCCTTCAACATATAGCGTCTGTTGGAACAGCAAAGCTCTCTGATTTGCAGAGGCAGCATCAAACCCAACAGAAAGAATTCTTTGTCAAAACTGAAGGCTCCAATGGCTATAGCACGTATCCCAGCTACCTAGAATGGTGGACTGACTGCAGTCTTTGTGGTGGGGATGGGTGGTTTTCTAAAGGGGTGAAAAGGATTATTTTAAGGTTGATACAAAAAACACCACACATCGGCAAGAGAGACAGCAGGTTGGGAAGCTGCCCACCCATCCTCACACCCCCAATTTCATAGGACTATTAAGAAGCAAGCCCACCTTGCGGGAGCTGCTTAGATGACAAGCTAAAATGAGAAACCCAGACTTGTTGGAAAAATAGCGTAAACTCTTTCCCCCCTTTTAATGAGATGCTTTCTAACTGCAAGTCAGTGTTGGGCTGAGAGGGGCGACCCTGAATAGGAAACAGTCTTTATATCAGTTGGGTGATTGGTACACCAGGAACCTATGGCTCTCCAGATGTTCACGGACTCCAGCCCCCGACATTGCTGACCACTGGCCATGGTTGTTGATGCTGATGATGGGACTTGGAGCCCAAGGACATCTGGAGGGCCACAGGTTCCCCATCCCTGGTTCACAGTAGCTCTCCAGGGTTTCAGGCAAGATTTTTTTTTCTCCCAGTCTTACCCAGAGATGTCAGGGATTGGATGTGGATGCTCTTATATGCAAAACACAAGCTTCACCACTAAGCTACGGCCTTTCTCCATGGGTCTGAGCAAATGCACCATTCTTATGCTTTTGTTTTGTAATGAATGCTGTAGAAGAGATACTGAAATCATATGGACCAGCCCTCATAATGAATTCCATTGGCATACCAGTAGGTCCATACTTTATGCTAATAGTTTCAGGGATTGGTTTTCTAATACAGAAGCACCAGTCCAGCTAAAGTTACAGTGGTACCTCGGGTTACAGATGCTTCAGGTTACAGACTTTGCTAGCCCAGAAATAGTACCTCGGGTTAAGAACTTTGCTGCAGGATGAGAACAGAAATCGTGTGGTGGCAGCAGCGGGAGGCCCCATTAGCTAAAGTGGTGCTTCAGGTTAAGAACAGTTTCAGGTTAAGAACAGACCTCCAGAACGAATTAAGTACGTAACCAGAGATACCACAGTAGTCATAACTATGGAGTGGTCTACACAGAGTCTGATGGTAGGGTCTCATGGAGGTAGAATTTGGTTTTACTTCAGACTAGAGGAGTGGGATCACATTTTTGAATATCCTCTCTCTAAAACCTCCTTGCCTATATTAGATGATTATATTAGGAGGAGGGTACCTTTGTCTTCAATGTGCTAGTTTTCTACTTGTGGGAAACCTTTGCAGGAAGTGTTAAAAAACTAGCATCTCTTTTGAATGCAAGCCCCCTTGCTTTCCATGAGACCTCTTGTCTGAATAAGCGTACATTCACTGCTATGTTCAATGATGATTACTTCTTTGTAGCCTTTGCTGCAAATAGACTTGATTGGATCTGTCATCTGCATGCCACTCCTGGCTCAACAACAGGCTTCTGTGTCAGTCTTGGGCACGTCATGTACAACCCTCGTGACTTTTTGAAAGTTGATCTAAAGCAGAGCTGTGGAAAGACTCACCTGATCCCATAAGAGCACAGATCAGCACCATGGAATTGTACTTGATTTCTGGTGCACTCCTCTCATCCGAAAGCAGCCTGTGTAGAATCTGCACTAACTGAGCACTTTCAAGATCCTTCTCTGCTGTGGCTGTGAATCGAAACAAAATGGGAACTTTAAACTCTGAAGGACTGGGTTCCTTTTGTTTTTTCTTGGGGGTGGGGTGGGATTTACTGACATATTCTAGTACAAAGAGTGCTGTGGAACCATAATACATGCCTCGCTTAATTGAACAGAATCTAAATTTATATTGCATCGTTAAGGAAAGCAGGGAGGGAAGCTTAATTGTGTTGAAGAAGGCCAATTGTATATATGTCTTGTCTACTGGGATAGCTTCCTCCTTCCAAGAAATTGGGGTAAAGTCCACTTGAAGCACACTTTCATTTGCAGAATTTACACAGAGGAATGGCTACAATAGCCTCTGTTTGGGACAAATAAAAACAAAAATCCCACAAGTTCCAAATGAATCGTTCTGTATGTTTACCCCGGTCAATGTAACATGCTGTGGGTAATCTCCCGCTACCAATAAAACTGATTGAAGGAAGCACATTTAACCACCAATACATAATTTTCTTTTTAAGAATGTCAAAAGAGCCGGGGACAAAATAATATCCCATGAAGTTCTCTACAGATACCTGAATTTGGGTTACTTTTTTATTTCAGCCAATGAAGAGCTTTGGATGACTGAATAGCCCATGGGGTAGTCCAAAGAAAAAGTGATCCATGGAAACAGAAATAAGTTTCCTCCTTTTGACACAAGCACACATGGCTTATTGTGAGGGTACTTGCTCAAGATACAAGGGAATTTGGCTTGGAGTAGTAGAATGTACCGGCTCAAAAAGTCAATGGAAGTTAAAAAAAAAAATATGTTGAAGGAGGTTTAAACAAGCCCATGTCCTCAAATCTTAATTCTGTCTCTATGGGAAATACAGCAATAAATTCTCTCCCTATATCCTATTCTCTCCCCTAAGGTTGCCTCTCCTCTTGAACCAAAAGAATCGTTTTTTGACCCTGTTATCCCCCTACAGCCTTTCTCTTTTTTCCTGTCATTTACCTAAAGAGAAACTACTTGGCAGAAAAACCCAGAAACTTTGTCATTTCAAATCACTACAGAAACGATGGGAAATATAACGATGAAACAACAAAAGACATCCAATACCATTCTTATATTGACTACATTTTCTAAAGTTTACTTTGTCTGAAATACTCCATTGGGCAATTATGAAAAAGAGGCACGTTTTATGTATGAAGCGTTGAGTCCTGAGCGATGGTGGCGAGAGGCCAAGGCTTCATTCACACATCCAAGCGGCCTGTCACTGTGTGAGGTTTGACACAGTCATATTGGCTGTCGGCTTCGATACTGCTAGTCACTTAACCTGGAAACAGGTGCCATAGCCCATTTTGCTGCCCATGTCTGCAGTGATGCCTGAATAATACTTGCTTAAGCTTTCACCCTCACCACGAAGCGGCTCACCATTCATGCCTTAACTCTGACTTTCTCCTTCAACAGAGACCTGAGTACAAAGCGTTAACCATAGAGATACTTACCTAGTTCTAGAGCTGCTATTAGCGCCAAGGCGACAAGAGCTTCATTCTGCATTATTACGTGTTCGCTAGTTGCCATGGTAACTAAATGCTTAATACCGCCACTCTGAACAATGGTCCTAATTACATCCTAAAAAAAGACAACGCAAAGTATTGCAGGACATGAGGAAAAGACGACAGTCTGCTACCGATAAGCAAAACAGAACAATTCAATAACGTACACTATATTGATATATTACGCACATAACAAGAGTGTGTATGTGGTTTACAACTGCTATTAAAAAATAAAATAATACTTGAAATATTTGGCTCCCACCTACTCAGAAGTGAACATATGAAGCAGTCAGAACACTGGCACATTTAGTAGAGTTTTCTCTATGCCATGAGTAGGCAAGGTGGCATCTTCTAGATCAAGGTTTCCCAGCCTTGGGGCTCCAGCTGTTTTTGGACTATAACTCCCATCACCCCTAGCTAGCAGGACCAGTGGCCAGGGGTGATGTGCACTGTAGTCCAGAAACAGCTGGAGACCCAAGTTGAACTCTAGATGTTACTCAACTCCCAACTCCCATTGGACCATCCAGCATGGTCAATGGTCATGGGATGATGGGAGTCTTAGTCCAACAACATCTGGGTTAGAGAAGGCTGCCCAAGTCTACTCTGGTGGTGGCTTTCCAGGTTCTTTGGCAAAGCTTTTTTTCCACAACACCTGAAAACCCATTTAACTCTGACTTCCAGGTCAAATGATGCTGAGTTACACACCAAAAGGCGGATCAGACTTCTCCAGACAGGCAAGTAGCCAAGGAACTCCAACATCCAGTCTATACCATGCTGGGCTGGCTCCAGCACTGCCCACATGTCCCTGCATCACATAGAATCATGGAATTGGATCCTTTGCTCCAACCCCCTGTAATGCAGGAATATGCTGGTGGCCCATAAGGGGATGGGCTTTACCAGTACCACCGCACTCTAACCAACTGACATCAAAGTCAAATCATTGCTGCTGTTTTTCAGAGGCAGTGCCCCTGCCCACATTGTAGTTGTTAAATCCTGTAACAGCCTTTTCATTCAGAACCTTCCAAGTTCCCCGCAGGCCACGAATTGCAGGAGAAAAGTTCTTCCTCTTCTGTAATACTGAAATGAAGCTCTTAGGTTGGACGACTGGGGACAGACAAAAGGAGGGTACTCACATAGTGCGCAGTTAAGGCAGTGCCCCATCACGTTGCCCCCAAGCTTTTGAGGCGACCAGCAACAAAGCAGAACAGCACTTGAAGCCGCTCGTGTTGTGGCCCATGTGTCTCTCAGTGCGCCACTGCTGCAGATGTGAAAACACACACCTACGACTCCGGGAGCAGTAGGCGTCAATTACATTTCTGCACATTTATTTTCCAGCTTCAGCTTAAGTACAGCACAGTTTGATACCGCGGCCTTGGCATTTAAAGTAGATTTGATATTTTGACTGAATGAGATGATTAAGTGCAAGGCAACGGCAAGGAAAATGCAACAGTGATGAAAACGGCACACGCACACACGCACCCCTTTTGTGCTTCTCCTCCGTGTTCAAGCCACAAGCTGAAAGCCATTGAAACAGAATGTGCTTATGATAGTTTATATTCCGTAGTGTTCAAAAGGATTGTGCTGTGACATTTTGCATGCAAAGGAAACAAACAAAGCAAACAGAAGAGTGGGACCTGGTTAACCTCCCTGGGGAAGACAACTATAATTGTTGATGCAACTGAATACACACTGAGAATTTATTCCCAGAATCCAGGTAAATTTACACCTGAATCTTACACCATAAAAACCGTCTCACGTGCAGAAACAGGTTCTTATATGCTAACACAGAGGGAGCAGCTCTACATCGCACTGGTCCAATGTTGCACATGTAACAAATAAAGCCTAGACCAGCCTTCCCCATCCAGTTGCCCTCCAGATATTTTGGACTACATCTCCCATCATCTTTTACCAGGGGCCGTCTGGAGAGCATCAGACTGGGGAAGGCTAGTGTAGGCTGACAAGATAACTTCGGGCAAGCCACACCACCTCAGGTGGTTCAGATCCTTACCTCTACAAGGGGAGCAATCTGCCTCGGAGGAGTGAAGCTGCTTTGGCAACACAAAACCTATTGCACTGCCTTGTGGTTTTTGCAGGAGTCACTTACTTTTGATTTGCTGTGTCGTATAAGAGCGGAGAGTAGTCTGTTTGATTCTCCCATCACACCTGCGTGGTCCTTGGCTTCACACCACTCCACCAGCCGTTCAACCAGCTTCACGTTCTTCCCCAGTTGTTCAGCAGCTTCTGCTACATATAACAAAGATGGCATTTTTTTCAGTACGCAGCAGTTGTTCTAAAAAAAAATCCAACCCAGCACCCCACATTCCTGAAAGGTGGGAAAGAAAACAACAACCTTGATTTTGAACAAATAGGTAAAGGTAAAGGTACCCCTGACCGTTAGGTCCAGTTGCAGACGACTCTGGGGTTGCGCACTCATCTCGCTCTATAGGCTGAGGGAGCCAGCGTTTCCCCACAGACAGCTTCCTGGTCATGCGGCCAGCATGACTAAGCCACTTCTGGAGAACCAGAGCAGCGCACGCCGTTTACCTTCCCGCTGGAGTGGTACCTATTTATCTACAGTACTTGCACTTTGACGTGCTTTCGAACTGCTAGGTTGGCAGGAGCAGGGACCGAACAACGGGAGCTCACCCCGTCACAGGGGATTCGAACCGCCGACCTTCCGATCGGCAAGCCCTAGGCTCTGTGGTTTAGACCACAGCGCCACCCGCGTCCCTTTTGGAACAAATAGAAGGCAAAAATAGCAATGGGCTGAATCCAGTTGGTGTTGCTCTGTTAGCAGAAGATTAGCAGAATGAGGAAGGAGATTTGTGGGGGGGGGGGGATTTCTCCTTCCCTAAGCAGACTGGCCCCCACTCCAAAAATCTGCTGAGAAGAAACCTTCTGAAACCAATTGGGGAAGAGGACAGAGGAACAGCCAATAATCAACTCTCAATTCTGCTGATGGATATTTTCCATTAGCAGAGCAACACCAACTGGATTTCGTTTAGGGAAATATTATCCCAGTCAAAGGACACTGCTCAAGGTTGTACAGAAGGGCTGGTGAGGGGTGTGGCCTGGGGACAGTCCCAAGGGCCGGACAGAGAGTTTTGAAGGGCCACCACTGGCCCCCAGGGTCTGAGGATCCCCACCCCGAGGTAGGTTAAAAAGAACGGAGTGAGCAGGGTCAAAGGTACTAAAAAGTGTGTTTTTCAAAAAGGAAGCTGCCTAACTGGCTCTTGAGCAGTCAATACAAGAACGAGCCTTGAAGGTCAGGTGGGGACGGTCAAAGGAAGATGCCTGGAGTCTCCTCTAGCAACCATCACATCATTTTAGTGAAAAATTGCCATCCATGCCTGTCCAAAACAGTGGCAAGCAGTATAATAAAATTCTATTTTGCTGTAAATACAGGATGAAACAAGGGCTGCAGCCCTGCTAACCTGAATATTTTAGTTCCACACGATGTAGCAAATTCCTTGTAATACCTTGTACTAAAATGTAAATAATCTGAAGCTGCTCATTATATCCATGGTGTGCTGACTTCAAAATTGTGATAATTCAAAATCACAGTAAATGTCAATTTCTGTAGCTTCCTTTCCCCCTTGACTCTAAGTTTTTTATCTTCCCCAGCCCCCGCTCTTACTTCCAAAAACTAGCTCTGGAATTTTAAGGCACACACACTTTTTTCAAACCAACCAACCGCCCTAGAATCTCAGGCAAACACAAACTTAACAGAAGTTGATCAAGGATATTCTGTAAACTCATAAGCTCTTTATTTTTTACTTCTGGCTGAAAGCCTTCCAAACTCTACTCCCTTTTTGCATGGAGGAAATTTGTAATTCTGCTGATGATAAGGATTTCAAGATACATGAAGTCCTCGGTGTAAGCAATTCAGTTGCCATGAAACTATGGCAATCTGCACTTATTACTTGCAGAAGTTCAATAGATTATGTTGCCTCAAACATCACTTTTTAAAAATAAAAGGTGTTGAGATAATTGTTAACTATTTCACAAAACTGTTCACATGTGTAGGAAAAGAGGATTTTTGGAACACCTGAAGCCGCAATATACTTCAGATATTCATTGCATGGCACACTATGGCTGAGGCAAGCGGTGCTGTGCCAATAAATCAAGAGCTTAAGCTTGCGCTTAGATAACAACGGACCATCACAGGTTTTTAAGAAGTCCATGCTTTTTTCACTTCACAGATGCATTCAATTTATTTGAAGGATTTTCTTGAAATCCCCTTTTTCTTCTATAAGGAACACAGCAACAGATCAAGGGCAGAATCATTTAATACAGGAGAACAATTTATTTTTTACCTTGTGCATCTATTAACATTCTTAACGTCCCCAGCAGCTTGAACTGAACAGGGGGCATCTCGGATCTGAGAAATTTCAAAACGGCTTCTGCCACGCCAGCTGACAGCATCTTCGCCTTATTTACAACTGCATGAATAAAGAACAGATATTATCTGAGAGGCACTGCGGAGATGATACACTTACACCGCGTGAAGAGATTTAGTCCTGAGGCAGCCTTTAAACACCTTTTCCAAAGGCCTCCAAAAGCAACATTAGAGGGTTCAGTTGTGTGAGGGGTGGGGGAGATGATCAGAGGAAGCAAGACTGGGTCCTATTCTACTCCCATTTGAGTAGTAGGATTTTTTAAAAAATGTTTAATATAATACATTGTTTATTATTATTATTATTACTATTCTTTTATTTATATGCCACTCATCTGACAGGGTTGCCCCAGCCACTCTGGGCAGCTCCCAACAAAATATTAAAAACACAGTAAAATGTCAACCATTAAAAACTTCCCTAAACAGGGGTCCCTTCAGATGTCTTCTAAAAGTCAAATAGTTGTTTATAAGGCCCTCAGAGCTGGACCTCAGTGTCCAGGCAGAACGATGGGGGTGGAGACGCTCCTTCAGGTATACTGGGCTGAGGCCATTTAGGGCTTTAAAGGTCAGCACCAACACTTTGAATTGTGCTTGGAAACGTACTGGGAGCCAATGTAGGTCTTTCAGGACCGGTGTTATATACATTATGTACCATATATCAATCAGTTCATCCTATATCAGTCCATTTAATGCCTTATGTTAAATTTGCTTTTCTACCTACTGTGGAAGCATATGTAGTTCCCTGTATGTCAAACTGTACAGAAAAGCTGACACGATATGTTTAACCAGTGTATGCTCTACGGATGAACAGATGTCAAACTGTGAAAGACACAATATATCCTGCTCTATTGGCCTCTAGCTTCCTCAACCTCCTGATCTATTTTAAAATTATTTTAGCACCATGCCTCTAGGCTTTAGACTGACCTTTAAAAGTTTAGACTGCCTTTAAAACCTAGAAGTCGTCTGCTTCTGGCTATTCTCTTTAAGGGCCTCTTTAACGCCTCTGGCTGATTTAGTAGCTCTTGGGCCCTTTTATAATAAAATAATATGTCCTGTTTAGGAAGTTTTTGGGGGCCAGGGTGGGGCAGGGCAAGGCAGAGGTCTGAGAAATATTTCAGATCAATAAAGCACTGCTGTATCCTTCCGTTTCGTTGAGACTATTGTTTGTGGTGGCTTCCAGTTGCGGAAGTTACATATTTATAAGTAAATTTATGAGTTACTTAGGTATATTAGAACCAGCCTGCACCTTTCACCAAATGAGGTGGTAGATTTCTGGGCTGTACTCACTATAGACTGCAGATGTAGAGGAAAAGAGGAGGAGGAAGCACCCTATTGGCTTGTGGCATATGATGACTGTGTTGTGTTTTTTAAATGGGGGCTGATCCGCACAGCACTGGTATGTATGTTCTAGGTGCAGAGGGATGTGGAAATGAGCCCTGCATCTGTACACCCTGCTGTATGTATGGGACACTTAGTACAAGCCAACGTTATACACGTGTGTGTGTGTATAGAGATCCATCCCACTCCTGCGATTCATCCCCTGCAAAAGAAGGGGAAAGGGACTGGGGATAGGTGGGTCACATGAGCAAGTCGTAAGAACCAACCTGAGTTCACACAAATAACTGGATAGACTGAGCAAGTGTCAGGGACTGGTAGTGGGAGGCACTGGCCAGTAAACTCCCAAGGGAAACCCCAGAGGAGGTAGGCTCAGAGCCAGGGGAGTCGTGGTGGGACACTGAGGAGAGGTCAGAGGGAGAAGAAGATTGGGAAAATGAACTGGATGCTGAAGGGGCAACAGGGTTTAGTGAGCAGGAAGAGCTGGTGAAAGAGAGCAGTTCAGACCCTGAGGCTGAAGAAGAGGAGAGGGGTCAAGAGGCTGCTTGATCCCTCTCCTAATGCGACAAGCTCCCCCTCCCTTCATCTAGTCCCCAAGAATCTGCAGGACAATGAAGAGACAAGAACAGAGGCCAGAGGTGTGCAGACGCAATTTGAGACTGCTTGAGAAACATCCAGGAGAGGAAGAGCCTTAGAAAAGGTGGAAGGCAGGAATCTTCAGTCCTGGCAACTGCTCCATAGGGGCAGGGCCTACTGGGAATGGTTGCTAAGCTGTATGTTGTTTCCTTGACTAAAGAGTTAACTTCACTGACAACAGAGCCCTGCTTCTTTCATGCCGACCTGCGTCTGACTCCAGCCCTGGCAGCAAACATACGTGCCGAAGGCTCAACACACGTCGTGCCTACACAAAGGGATGCAGGATTTTGTGTGTGTGTGTGTGTGTGTGTGTGTGTGTGTGTGTGTGTGTTTGTAACATAAGGAGAGAGAGAGAGCTTTGAAGAGACAAGGAAGGTCTGCTGTGAACCCAAGACAGGTGCTGTTCTATGAACACAGAATTCAGAAGAATGCAAATCATCTCCCTCCTATCATAATCATTATTATGCGAATGACAAACAACCCACCTTGCAAACAGCTGTCTATAACATTGCAAGGAGCCTGTGCTTTTTGCTCAGTCTCTTGGGACCTCTCTTCCGCCGTTCTTGGCGACTGCACCTGTTCCACCCCTGTGAGGCTCTCTACCCCCACGTGCAAAGCAGGAGACAGACTTCGCTCCAGAATGCATTTTAATTAAAAGTGAGAAGTTAGATGGCATTTCGAACATGGGCTAACAAGATGTTGCTTGTTCTGGCAGAGATTTCCACCTCAGACGCTTATGCTTTATTTTTAACAAGCACTTTTCACTAAGCTGTATTTCCTCCTTGCTGAAGGAATTTCGATAGTAATTTGCACCTCTTCTCAAAATCTTGGTTTGTTTGGTTTTTTTAAAAAAAGATTTAAGTGAAATGAGGTGGGAGAATAAGAAGATTTGTGGGTGCGTGTGTGTATCTACACACAGAATGCATCTGCTGCTCTAATAACACTTAGCTGTACCATAAACATATACAAATAGACCTGGAAAGCAAATAGGTTGCTCACAGCTGAATGACTCCCTAACAGGAGTTCAAAGAGAAATAAAAACAAGAGATGTAATGCTGCACAGAGATGCATGTAGAAGAGAAAAGTAATTGATGGGACTCTGGCTGTCCCCCCCCCCCCCACTTCATTATATCTGGTCGGCCATCAATCCAACACGGGTCAATTCAATTATATGCAAATCTCATAAACAAAGTCAAAGTGGGTGCTGCCTTATGGATTGGCAGCCAAATTTGCTCCTGATCTTTACAGCAAATCCAACCACTTGCATCTCCACCTCCTCTTCTTTATACAGTACTGTACTATTATATTTTATAATAAGAACATAATATACATAACATGGTATTTATCTGACATTTGCCCGTAAGTGCTCATGATATGATTGCAGCACTGCAATCCTTACACTACCAAGTAAGGTAGCCCAGTATTTTTATCCCCGCATTAGAGATAAAGGAGCATAGTTAGTGCCACCCAGTCCATTTCCCATGTATTAATCATTAGGAGAACGAGGTTAAGGCTGCAACGCTAAGCGCAATTAGTAGGGAGTGAGTAAGCCCAACGAACACAGCAGGACTTACTTCTGAGTAAACCTGTAGAGGATTGTGCTAAATTGTTTCCTGATGATACGCAGCAGGACACGCAATTTGGAGGAGCAGAATTTCACCACCCCACTCACGGGACAGCCCCCCCTTCCTCGGAGCTGCTCTTGTATTTGGAAACACGCTAAATTGCTTACCAGGAATAGCGAGGTTTCGGAGCGCGCTCAGTGCTGCATGCTGCACGGTAACATTGCCATCCTCTACATGCCTGTCCAGGAGGTCCATCAGCTTCTGAACGATGCCATTATCCACCATATGGATACAGTTTCCATCTGCGCAAGACCAGACCGTCAGAGCATGCATAAAACGCTTCTCTGTTAAAACCAGTGTTTCTCCTCCACCCAAACTTTCAGCAATAAATTTTGCTCTTCTGAGACACTAGTTCACCATTCAAAATAAAACTGGGAAGATGAAACAAGAGTCCGAGACACTGTTTACCTGCTTTCCAAATTTTCTTTCTTCCTTTTTTTTGCCTAGGCCATATGTATTTAAATGCACAGTCTCCCCTACTCCATATGTTCTTCAAATCACTTTGAAAACAAAATTCACGAGGGACATGCATGGCTGTTTACCTATTCCTTTGCCTTTCAGTGCATTGTGGGGACACCATCGCCTCGTCCCACCTAATGTTTGGCAAGTACTAATGTCCTACAAGGTGGCTATATTTTTAAGGTCTGAAAACAAACAAACAAAATTTTTCCGAAAGTCGGGTCTCTGTTCGGCTGCTTATAACCCCCACCATAAAATGCACTATGCCAACAAATATATATTCCCTGCCCCAGTGCTATTAAAACTTTAGTGCTGACAACAAGCTGGAGTGTGAACCTCAATGATTTTTACCGTTTCTAGCAAAATTTGCAATCGCCAGTGCTCCTGCAAGCTGCAGCTGATGGCTATTAGATAGGATCCACAAAAGCACCCTTTGGAAAACGCTTCCTTTTCCTCCTTCAAATAGTTTTTGCATTGATTCATCTGGGGGAGGAAAGAAACAAAGAACATTTGGACAAAGTATGAAAAATATGGATCTATACAGCTGCTTCGGGCCAAGTCAAGCCATTAAATTCATCAGGTACAGTAGCGACTATATACTGTTGACCCTAGGGTGGTATTCAATTAAAAAACAGCACAAACAAAATGATTCCCACTTCTTCAACAGGACTTCCCCCTTTCTCCTCCCCACACCTGCTCCACAAGGTGGCAAAAACCCTAAAACAGATGGGGGGCACAGGGGGAGGAGAACCGGGAGAGACTGAACATTCACCAAACTGAACATTCACCTTGCCATTAAGTCAAAATCTCCCTTGGCTCTCTACGGAATCAGATGGGACCTCGGTCTTGTTACATTTAGCTAGAGATGCCACATTTAACTAGAGATAGCATCTAGGATACAGTGCTCTGCCACATTCAACAAAACTTGTACCCATTGGGCTTACAACACATGTAAAAGTTCAACCTATACAAAGAAAATCAGCATGTCTGGGGACCATGCCTGCCAACTGTCTAGGAAAAGTTGCTGGATGTGAAAAAGAAGAAAAGCAGTTTTAGCTGGAACTACTAAAACTCAGCCACTCTAGGTGAACACAAGCTAACCCACAGACTGCAGTGCGATGGCTAGAATCCGATATGCTAATGACAGCATGAGAATTCCCAGGTTCCACATGCAATACTCACCTCCCAGCAGTAGTAGAACCATAAGATCAGAGGCAGTTTTGAGCTCAGCAATGTCGTCCTCTTTGTCACTGTCCACGGTCTTTTGGACTATCTCAAGTAGACACTCCACCAGGCCTGCTTCAACCAGCTGTAGCTTAATGATATCTGGGTGAAGATAGAAGAACCTAAATATAAAATGCTTTTTAAAATACAGTGGTACCTCCAGTTGTGGACGGGATCCATTCTGGAGGTCCGGTCGGATCCAGAGGTTTCCGTAACCTGAGGACTGCTTCTGCGCATGCGCGCGGGGCTAAACCCAGTAAAATACTTCTGGGTTTGCTGGGCGCACATCCCGAAGTTTACATAACCAGAGGGTTACGTAAACGGAGGTTCGACTGTACTGTGACTCCAAATAAGGCATGACAAAAGCAAGAAGACAAGGTAACTACAATTGTGCATGCCACACAATGCCGGAGACTACTAGCCATGATGACTAGGCCCTGTCTGCAAAGTTGGAGGCACTGATGTTTCTGAATTCCAGTTGCAGGAAGCCAATGAAGAGGAGAGTGGTCTTGTGTTCAAATCCTGATTGTGGGTTTCCCACAGGCATCTGGTTGGCCACCGTGAGAGTGGGATGCTGTTTACTAAAGATTTACTTGGTTTGCTGCATTTTATGAGTTGTACTGTTGTTGTTGTTTTCCTCACAGAGCAAATTCATATGCTTCTGCTCTGCTTTCTTAACCCTCCTTTAATTTTTTTTTTCTTGTTCCATCCAATCACAGTTCTTTAACCTTGGATGTTACTGGATTACAACTTCTGTCATCCTCAGCTATTAGTCAGGGCTGATGGTAATTGTAGTCCAGTGGCATCTGGGGACCCAAGACTGAAGAACTGTGCATAGTACAAAACACTGAAATAAAGGGGAGGGGCTCAGTCAAGGGTTTCCACACAGACCATTTCAGCTAGACACAGCTTCCTCAGCAAGAGCCGTGACTCAGCCAAATATCAAAAGGAATTTCTCTCCCTCAGAAACAAAACCGTCACCAGAGTCTCACCATTTTCTGCCAAAGGAGCCAAAACTTCAAATATCATCTCCTTCTTGTCATGTTCTATTTGCTTTTTGAACAGTTTCACAAGCTCTTCGGCAATGTTTGTGTAGGCGAATTGCTCTTTGCTTGATTCTGTGAAATCAAAAAGGGGAAAGCTAAGTGCACAGAATGGCAGCACTGTTTTCTCTTCAGTTTATTAGGAGGTTACTCGGCGCAGTGATTAACAGAGCTAAACGCTCTTTGCAGACAGGAACAATATACTCCCATACTTAAGCCTGTCACTAAATGAAAAGAAAAACATCCAGGCCTTTTAAGATAAATGTGATGACCTGAATTATTAATTATGTTCAAAGCTGTTAAAAATTTGCACCAGTGGAACGTGAACGTACCCATAGCAACAGCAAAATTACCAACATATAAATTAAGCCTTCAGCTGCCATCAGCTGAACAAGAAAAATTACACAGTGAGTGCACTGGGTTTCTGATCGAAGAGACTAAAGGTCAGACCCAGCACCTTAACATGGCTGCATGCTGGCAGAATTTGTTCTGGTGTCTCAAAACAGACAAATCCAGATGCTTTGATTCAACCTTCTTTCTGGGTACCCTGAGTCTGATGGCTTTTAAAATGCAGGTGCAATATTAAGTTTATTGACCCGTTTCTGACATCTGAAGCCATCCATCAATCTACACAGTTGCCAATGTTAGCTACTTAATTTTTTTTATGGTTGTATTATGTTCACACGTCACGCAAAGCCAAACCATGGCTTAACATGACAGCACCGGCTCCCGAGAAGGAGATCACAGCTGCTTGCTGCTTCCCAGGGTTTTTAGATTGGTGTGGGTTTGGCTTAGCATGTTGTCTGAATCCAGGATGGCTACGATCTCTCCTTCTTCAATGAAACCTATAACCACAGGACAAACATTGGCTACAGACCATGGTTAAACGCAAGAGCTTAAGAATGACCCTGGCACACACTGCCAAAAAGAAGATGACGATGCCACACCTTAGCTTAGCTGCCATTGTCAACTGACCTAAACACCCCAGGGAGCAGCAAATTGGTTGTGATTCCCTTTCAGGCAGCCAGCACATTTGCGCCATCACAGGGAGCATGTGGCTGTTAGGTGGTTGAGTTAAAGTAGGCCATGGGAACTTGAGGGCTGTCCCAAAGGCTTCATAGAAAAGGTGGGTTGTGAAGAGGGATTTGAAGCAGTTCTTAACATACAGGGCTAATACTGAATGTAAGAACTAGCAAAACCAAACTTTATGGGTTATTTATACACAGTGGCAATATATTTGTTTAAATTATATCATTTTCCTGTCACAGAGCGTCCTTGCCAAGCCCAACCACTGTGGATGGGTAAGGTGGCCTTGATGCTTGCTCCCTCTGCAGCATATTAACTTAAGCAATAAAACAATAAAACAGGAGAAATCATCAACATTGTAGTAAAAACATAAAATTATCATGTAACCTGGAAATTGTTATGGCTCCTCCAGTGTCAAGCAGACATTAAGAACCCATTTCCATAAAAAGAGGTGAGGGAAAGAGCTGGCGGAGGAGACACACATCAATGAATACTATGAATACAAAATGAAATTTAATCATTCTAAGCTATCGCTGTCAGTTTCTGCTTTCATATTTGCCATATTTATCGCAGACTTCTGAAAACGGAAAGTTTGCCCAGATTGAATGCTATAGTACAAAATTGGTTTGTTTGCTTTTAAAGTTTTTATTCCAAAATTTTCCAGGTGTTTTTTTCCAGGCCTAGCTGGACCACTGTAAGAGGAAGGCAAACACCAACGCTGTTTGCATGAGAGGTCCTTCTAAACTCTTCCCTGATATCAAGTAAAGGTATCTAATTTTATAACTGTGCATAGACTTATTTTTTATGAACTGTTATACTTTCTTGAGAGACAGAAAGCAACACTTCTTATAGTTAGGCAGTGAGGAAAAATCTGATAGGAAGTCGTATTTGAACCTTAGAAATAAACTTTATTTATGTCAGGAGTAACCAAAATGGCATCCTCTAGATGTAGTTGGGCTCCACCTCCTATCGACACCAATCAGCATGGTCAATGGTCAGTGGGGATGGAAGCTGTAGCCCAAGTGGAAAGATGAAGTCATGTGTAGACATCAGGCAGGCAGAGAAGAGCTGGAAAGGGGAACTTGGGATACTTGAATAGTGAATACAGATGAAAATATCAGCACTGGTCCTCCTTCTATAAACTTGCCATAAATAGTAAATTAAAACAATGTAACATTTATAAATAAAGAGAACAGGTTTGTGGGTTGCATCCCAGAACTTACCAAGTTCTGCTAAATTGCCAAACGCAACAAGGCACATTTCAGTCAAAGCCGAATTTTGGCAATGAATGCCCAACAATTTCACTAACGTAGGGATAACTCCCATGTTGATGAGCTGAGATTGTAGGGTATCTAAAGACAGACAAAAAAAAAAAAAGAACAAACGTGTTTGAGTTAGCACTGCCTTCGCAGTATCACAGTATCCTTAATTATTCTTCAATGTCAATAATTTAAGCAAGGAGGCAACTGTAACCTACAATCAAAACATTGCTCCTCCTTGTTCTTCTGATGTCTGCTTAGTGTTCAAACCTACTACATGAGAGAGACTGCCTCTCTCTGGCCACAAACCCATTTAATAATAAACTATTATAGTTTCTCCAAAATAATCTTAGACGTTGTTAAACCAGCTTTCCCAATCAGATGCCCTCTAGATGCTTGTTGGACTACAACGTCCATCATTCCTGGTCATTGGCTGTACTGGCTGGGGTGATGTGAGTTGGAGTCTAACAACATTTAGAGGGCACATGGTTGGGGAAGGATGTGCTAGTGTGCATATATCCTCAGCGGGCCAGAGATTTATTAACAACAAAGAGAAGGGAATATATATGCTGTGCCATCACTGCCTTCAATGTCTGTGCCAGCAGAGAGTCTCTCCAGAGTGAAAGAAAAATCCATGCATGCATTTCTACTTGCCCTCTGAAACCTCACAGAATTATGGATTGTGGCCTTTTACTGCAAATATTGCATGTATATTCTACTGCTTTCAAAAGGGGTTTATACGTTCATAACAGTGTGCAAAAGACACAGGCTTCTCCAACGATAGCTGCAGCCCAAGTAAGTGAAAAATGCATTTCTCATTTATACTTCCCAAATTGCCTTTGAAAGCTAGTGACTAAATACATCTCAGTATTTCAGGTAACGGAATGCTTCTGTCAACACAACCAAATAATTCTGAAGACCAGATTAAATCAATAATCATAATCATAATAAGGCAAGGTTACTCCGTTCATCACAAAAAGCCCCCTTGGAAGCCCGCAATTACAAATTATGTACACTAGATTTTCAGTTTCATGAAGAGTAATAATAGGTATATTGATGTAATGTTATAGGCAGTCTCGCCTTCCCCTCACCAATGCATTTTTTTGCTTTTAAATAGTAAGGTTAGCAGGAAAAGACAGAGTAAGTACTTATGGACACTTAACACGCTAAAAGTGTTATGCAAACAAGTCACAATATAGCTTACAAAAAGCTTGATAAAACAAAGTGGCTTAACAAAGGACAAGGACGAAACATTTCAGAAGAGTCCATTGCCACTATGGAATAATCTTCATAGATAAAAAAATATTATTGCGTGTAGATATTTGAAACAAAAATATGTTTGAAGATTATCCATTAGGAGACACCATTAGTTTACAAAACAAAAACAAAAGCTTCCACAATTTAACAAGTGAAATATGTTTGCTTTGCAACGGAAGGAAACGATGCAAAAATCAGTTGTAGTCATACTGCGCTGAGATTCCTCCAGGGATGCCCCTGAGCAAAATAACGGGAGCCTATAGCCTCACTGACTGACTCCTGGATTTTAAAAAGCAAAAGCGGTCGTATATGTGATAGTCTTAAACCTTTGTGCACACAGAATATCTGCAAACTGCCCCCCTCCCACCTTCTGAACCAGATCGGACTATATCTTGTTCTGGACATTCAAATGATTATAATTTGATTTTTAATTATTAAAGGCACGGATTCAGTAACTTCCTGCAGCAAAAAGGCACATAACACAACAATGGACAGCCCATGCTGCTGGGGCATAAAGGAGCAAGCCTGTGTGTTATCACTGGATCTCCAAACCTTTCTCCTGTTGCAGGCTTGTGTTGACAACCACTGACAAAAAGGTAACTCAAGCTTTTGAACGAATGGCTGGATGTATGCAGATGTTCCATTGCTAAAACCTTGCCTAGATTCCATTCACATCAGCCAAGACAGAGTGTGTCTCCGTTCAGACACTCACCTAATGCAAAGCTAACAGAAACACACAGGAATACCCAGGCTATTCACCCTCCGTATTTTCTACTCTGGCTGGCAGTGGATCTACACAGCCTTGGACAGGTGTCTTTCCTATTACCTGCTATCTGTTCCTTTCAACTGGAGATGCCAGGGATTGACTCTGGGGCCTTCTGGGTGCAATGCAGAAATGCTACTACCACTGAGTGGTGATTCAAGGGTGAAGGTGTGGAGGCGTGATCTCTCCTCAATAATCAAAGCAGGGGTGGTAAGCTTTGTCCTTCAAGATGGTGCTGGATTAAATTCTCATCGTCCTCAAATATTGGCCATGGTGGCTGGGGCTGATGAGAGTTGGAAGTTCAACATCATCTAGAGCAGCCTTTCTCAACCTGTGGGTCCCCAGATGTTGTTGAACTACAACTCCCATCACCCCTAGCTAGCAAGGCCAGAGCTCAGGGATGATGGGAGTTGTAGTCCAACAACATCTGGGGACCTACAGGTTGAGAACCGCTGATGTAGAGGGCCACTGGGTAGCCACCATAAGGTGTGATCTGGGTCCTTCATCCAATTGCCAAAATGACACCACTCTTTCCTCTCCAAAAATGATAATATTGCATGATTCACCCATCTGAGTGGCAGGAGGGCCCTCTTGTTCCACCACCAACACAGGAAGAGGATTTTGTGCGCAAGTAGGAGTCTGAACAGAGGCCAGCAAGCTTGGAAAAATGGGAAGAAAATGCAAATTGTCAGCATTAATGTAGAAGTCAGTATTCTCCTCTGAGCTAATTTATTGAAATTTAGTATATTTTTAAGCCAAGAGCTCTTTCTTACAAAGCTTATTAAGAAACCATTACAATCAAAGAATGTTGCTTGAGGATGAGTGTTGAAGCTGGTCCTGTAACATGGTGTACCAACTAAAGGTTACAATCCTGTTCCTCTAAAATTAGTTGAATTTTTATTCTGATAGCAGAAGGATAGCACTGCAAAGAGTAGAGGCTAAAAATAAAGTTTAACTGCTGATTGGTAGAATGTCATATGTTTAAATGAATGTCTTTGATTACCTAAGGCGTCTTTTTTATTTTATTTTTGGGAAAATATTCCTTATTCTGTTTTTCAGGCACTGTACTTTTTATGTATTCCACCCTCTCTCTGCAAATATTAGATGGCTAAATCTCCAAGATTTCATATTCATATTGGTTTAAGGACATGCACCTTTTACTTAATAAGTTTGTAATTTCAGTTTTTACAGACAATGGAAAATTATAATCGAAAATCGCTGGAGCTTTTGAGTTCAGCTTCTGAAGCTGCAGAAAACAAACTGTACAATTTAGCACTAACTGGCTGTATTTATGTGTAAGCCTTCCAAAGACTACAAGATGCTATAAAGCCCCCACTGTTACAAAGCTGCTTACATTTATTTTTCAGCAAGTCCATGAAAGTGCCCCATGCATACAGGAATGGGTAAATAAGAATACATTCTCCTTTAATGCCATTCTAAGTTGTTCAGAATCTCGAGGCTCCTCCAGACATTAGTTTGGCTGTTGCTTGGTAATGCCAGACATTTGAGATTCCATGGAGGTCCATCAGCTGTGTCTTCTTCTAGTGAGTGCACAGGAAGAAGCCACAATGCAGCTAGCAAACACATTACCACAGATCATGTCAGAAGGAGCATGTGGATTATTTAGGAAACTTGGAAAAACAGAAGAGTCAACTGGCTCGACACAAGAATTAGGACACAGCATTGTGTTTCCCACTTTTAAATTCCATTTGCTTCCTCATATGCTCTTGGAATAGGAGTAGCCAATATACTATCCTTCAGATGTTACTGGATTCCCTATCCCATTAACTCCAGCCAAGATGGCTAATGACCAGGGTTGATGGGAGATAGAGTCAAACAACATCTGGACACTGGGCATTTGGTGCATTATGATTTACTGATAGATACTGGGATGATCTGCCATACATTGGCAAGAGTGCCTGACCCCCAGTTGTTTAACAGGAGCAAAAACAAAGCTATTTATTCAATCTGATACTGAAATCAAATTCCTACTCAGAATTTGCCTAGAGGCACTCTGTTCTTTAACTCTAATGGTGTGTCTTTTGCACCTGGCGCTGGTTGGTAAATCGCTGAGCGAAAGATAGAAGTGGATCTTGCAAGCCTGAAATCTGCCCAGAGGCTCCCAGCAAGAGAAGGAAGGAGCTGAAGACTCAGAAGAAACACAGAAAAAAGGACAGAAAAGCACAACGTATGGCAAATAATGTGGATAGAAAGTTCATGCTGCTTCAAAAGATGTTAAGAAGCGATCATGGAATGTATACATTTGAAAATGCTTTGGAAACCAAAATCCCCCCCCCTTCACAGTCAAACATCACCCCAGAAATTTGATTTTCTCAACCCAACTCTGGTTTCAATCTACTGAAAGGCTGTTGTTGCAGAACGTTTAGCCTGAAGTTTGGGCAACCAGACAAGTGGAACAATGTTTTAAGACACATTAAGAGTTATGTGACGAAACAAGCAATCTCATCCACTATGGTTTGTAAACCAACCCAACAAAGCCTGCGGCTCATTAACACTGCAGGGAGACACAATGTATTTGACGCAGATATAAATTCAGATGCTAAGTAAGGCAACCTTGTGTACTGCTTTAGTCAAGAGTTCATCAATTTAAGTGGTGAGTTTGAAGCTTATATTTTTAAGAGGAAGTGTGCTGACAGCCCAAGACTGGATGGCGTGAAGTCAACTCTCTTGTGCAATATTTCATTCTATGCTTATTTAAGCCCTCTTTAGAATACCCAAAGAGAGCTGGTTTCCAAGAATTTTTTAGCTCATGCCTATGAAATGTATATATATATACCCATTACGTAACTGTAGCCTACCGCTATACCTTTGGAAATGCAACTTTCAAGCAATATGCAAATAAACACACAAGCCACTGTAGACACAAGCATTAGCAAAGGAGAAATGCGTGGCTTGAATATTGATCCGCTTTCCATTTTTGTCTACATAAGATTTTCAAGTGGAGAAAAAGAAATGCAAAGCAGCAGAACATTAATCAACAAAAGCAATATATTCCAGTCACATACTTCCAGAGCGCTTGCAAGATTAAGACAAGCTCAGTGGTTTTACATTACACTATTAAGAATTTTTCTTCAAAGGTAATGGAGGAAAAGTCAAATCTGGCAGATTGAATTTTAACACAAAATGAAATGAGAAAGTATAATGTAAAGAAAAATGATTTTTAGATACAAACAATGTGTGTGTGTGTGTACACAGGAAATAAGATAACAGTTCTACATACCTCTTGTGTTTCTATTTTTATATCTCAAATCAATGAATTAATAAATAGCATGTGGTGCAGTGGTCTGAGTGTTGGGTTAGGTCAGGGGTAGCCAGGGAGTGGCTCAGCTAACGTGGCTAATGGCCAGGTATGGTGGGAGTTTAGTCCAACAACATACGGAGGACACCAAATTGGCTACGCATAGGCAAGGTTCAAAGACTGTAGCTTGTACAAGGCACAGAGTGAGCTTCTGAAATCCCCAGAGCCTGTCTTCTAGTTTTGTTGTTAAGCTCTGAGCTACCTGGATGAAGGACGAGATAAATACACTAAACAAAATGTTGAAGTGTGGACCAACCTCCTTCAGCATTTCAGAAAGCCAGCCACACCTCCTTCCAGTCACTCAATTTAATTTGCCCTCCCCAACAGACACTCAACATTTTGGGACTGCTGAGCATGCTCAGTCCTCATTGGGCCTTGTTTTTGCTGCCCTGTTAGGTTTCATTTTCTAAAGGACGGGTTGCTAAAATTTTACCCTCCAGATGTTGTTGGACTAAAACTATCACCCCTGACTTTTGGCCATGTTGGCTGGGGCTCCTAGGAGGTAGAGTCCAACCATGTCCAAAGGGTCCTAGGTTAGCCACTTTGTACTTCTGTAAACCTTGGAGTTCCCCCAAGAATGATAATAAATCCCTGTTGCTCACCAGTGGCGCCATTTTGCCTAACATTCTGTCAACACTCACCACCTGAGTTTGTTATCAGAAGGAGTGGAAATTCTAGGCTATGATTTGATCTTACAAATTCTCACTTACACCCATAGTTATGACTCAGCAAAACAAATGGCATATGTACCAACAACCACAAGACTTCCTTCATCAGTAAATATATTATTGGGATGGAACAAACATCGCACCAACGTGACAGGCATACACACCCAGTCTGGGAACGCTTAAGGATCTGGGTGGCAGAGGACTCATCGTGTTTGAACCATCCTTTGCTGGCAATGCTATCATTCCATAAAGTGGAATTTGTATCTTACAAGATCCCCTTTACAGGAAAATACATTTGTATCTACACATACCTTGCAAGATGGGAGGAAAAAGGAGAAAAGTTGCATATACCCATTTGAAAAGCTGTTCATCTGACTGCTGCAGTCAACACTGCTGCAGTCCCCACCCACCACCACTGCAATGCTTCAGAGGCAATAAATCAGGGGGTGGCCAAACTCTGGCTGCTGCACAGATTAAGTGCAGCTCATGGGAGGACTTAGAAAGTAAAATTGAAAAGCCTCTTACTTTGTTAGCAGGCTGGTGGCCACAATTAAAATTATTCATCCTCCTCGCTTACAGGGTTAAAGTACCATGTGAAGCAGCAAGGCGAATGGCAAAACTGAATAAACAATAACACAGCAGGGTGGCGGGTGAAGAAGAGATTTGGGGAGCAAAGGATAAACCATGGCAATGGCAGCTTTTAGTAAGCGAGGAAGAAAAGCTATGAAAACAGAACTCTGGTGTGATTATCAAGCCATTGTGGGTGAGGCAGAGATGGAGAATCTGGGTGCACCCCGTGATTTGACCATATGAAGATCTGGCTCCTCAGCTCTTAAGAGTACATTCCTAACCCCATTTACCTGGGAGTAGGACCCACTGAATTTCATAGGACTTACTTCTGAGGAGACATAGTTAGGACTTGCAATGTTAGTCTATTTACTTTGGGCACCACAGCTGTAAAGGAGGAAAGGGCAGCTTGTTAACTTGGGAAAGGTATGGAAATGAAAGGAAAAAGCAGCAGCGTTTTAGAAGGAGGATAAAAATCAGTGTGCATTTAATGTATTATTCACAGAGCTATCATCAGATCATAGGAACTGTCATTGATGCAATCCACAGCCCTGGATGCAGTTTGAATGAGACGGAGGTGCCGCGGAGCCCAGCCTTGCCTGCTTTGAGAATCACCTCCTCAAATGGTGGGCGGCAGCTACCACTGGCCGCTTCTGGCAGTAGTCGGTGGAAATGCACAGAACAGGGCATTTTGGGTCAGGGGCTGGACCAACACAGTATCCACTGGTTCCTAATTTAGCCCAGCTGCTGTCACATGACAGCAATGGGCCCAATAAACGTCTCTTCACAGCACCAGCTTGGGAGCTGCCAGAGTAGAGGGTCTTTTTTTCCTCTTCTACACACAACCCAGTCACCTTTCGCTGTGGCCAGTGAGAGTAGCAGAACTGTGGCTGTGGCTATACTGCTCCACTATGTTCCCCACTGCCAGCTAGGGGTTTAAGAGCAAAAGAAGAGTTTCCTGGATAGGGCCAATGGCTCATCGAGTCCAGAATCCTTTTCTCACAGTGGCCACCCAAATGCCCGTGGGAAAACCTCAAGCCGGACCTGAGTACAACAACACCCTCCTCTTCTGTGGCTTCCAGAAAATGGCATTCAGAACCATTAATGCCTCTGACAGCAGAGGCCAAACCAGTAACCATTGATAGCCTTAACTTCCATGGGTTTGCCCTTTTTTTTTTTTAAGCAATCCAAGTTGGTGGCCTCCTGTGGGAATGAGCTCCATAGTTTAACTATGTGTTGGGTTTGGATTATATCCTAATTCTCAGGGCTTTTTTCCCCAGCTGGGACTCACTCAATCTGTTAAAATCTTCATACATTTGTAAATGATTTTTTTTTCCTGAAAGAGGGGAACCTTTTCTTTCTTTGGCTTTAAATTATGCACCTATGTGTTATAGCAGGCAGCACTGTAGAATAATTATTTTCTCTTGTGAGTGTGAAGAGCAAACAGAGGTTTGTCTCATTGATTGGTTGAATTTATATACCGCCCTATACCTAGAGGTCTCAGGGTGGTTAATGGAAAAGATCACACTATATAAAATAAAAATAAAAACAATAATCCAGTAATACCCCCCCCAAAAGAGCCACATTTTAAAAGGGTATAGGATATTGATTACCGTATTTTTCGTTCTATAGGGCGCACCGGCCCATAGGACGCACCTCGTTTTTTGGGGGGGGAAATGAATAAAAAACATTATCCCCCCCCGCCGCGGCTGCCGCCCCAAGCCTTGTGCACACCTGCAAGAAGCACGGGGCACCCTCCGGAGGGCTCTGCGTGCTTCGGGCTGCAGGCTACCGCCCCAAGCCTCGTGCGCTCGGCGGGACCTCCCGCCGGGCGCGCGAGGCTTGCAGACACTCGCCCGAAGCACGGGGAGCCCTCCGGAGGGCTCCCCGTGCTTCGGGCGACAGGCTGCCGCCCCAAGCCTCGCGCGCTCGGCGGGACCTCCTGCCGGGCGCGCAAGGCTTGCAGACACTCGCCCGAAGCACGGGGAGCCCTCCGGAGGGCTCCCCGTGCTTCGGGCGACAGGCTGCCGCCCCAAGCCTCGCGCGCTCGGCGGGACCTCCTGCTGGGCGCGCAAGGCTTGCGGACACTCGCCGGGGCTGCAGGCTGCTGCCTGCAAGCCTTGTGAGCCCGCGGGAACTCCCACCGGGCTTGCAAGGCTTGCGGATAGCTTCCTGAAGCCTGGAGAGCGAGAGGGTCGGTGCACACCGATGCCTCTCGCTCTCCAGGCTTCAGCGAAAGCCTGCATTCGCTCCATAGGACGCACACACATTTCCCCTTCATTTTTGGAGGGGAAAAAGTGCGTCCTATGGAGCGAAAAATACGGTAGGTAAACCAAAGGCCTGATTAAAAAGGAATGTTTTTTGCCTGGCGCCTAAAGGTGTACAGTATAATGAAGGCGACAGGCGAACATCCCTGGGGGAAGAATTCCACAGACAAGGAACCACTACAGAGAAGGCCCATTCTCGTGTTGCCACCCTCCTGACCTCTCGAGAAGGAGGCATCTTCTGGGATGGGTCCTGCTATCCAGAGTTTTTGCAGGTAATTGTATCAAAAATCCTTTAAAACTTTTTTTTAAAAATTTTTTTAATCTACAACTTTTTAATCTATCATGGGATGCCAGTGTGCCTTTAAATACTGGAGGCCACTGAGAGTTCCAAGTAGGAAGAAGTTAAGATAGCTGGAATTAGACCAGCTGGGGTCAGAGTGACCCAAAAGGCATGGAAATTATATAAATTGCAATCAGTTCCTCTAATAGCGAACCACACAGATGAGTGCCTATGTGGCTGCAGCCTGGAGCCACAGAGAAATGAGATGGAATTATTTGCTTGACGGAATCATTGTGGGTTGCAGGGGCAAAATTTTTTTAACCTCAAATGCAGCCCAATGGAAAAGAAAATGGAAACATAAGAAGACCATGCTGGACCAAGTCAATGGGAAACCTTCTCCCTTCCAGCAACTGCCATTCAGAAGCACACTGCCTCCAACCATCTGGTTTTATTGATTATACCGACAGGAAAGAGCACAGAAGGTCTCCACCGTTAGCTTGTGAAAGATTATGGTCCTTGTGATTTCGGACTTCTTCCATTCCCTGACATTTCTGTTTTGCTACTTGGTGGCTACATGTTTTTGAAGTACACAAGAGTTAATATAGAAAATTTCAGGATCCTCTCATAAAACCGATATCGACTGTGAGGTAACGCCCCCAAAGATAAAGCTTCATATGGTCTATTTTCAAAATTTCATCCCTGAGGTGGGAGGAAGTGTCCTGGATTTGCACTCCAGCCGTAAAAGGGGGGGAAACATTACTTTTCTTCCCACCAGAGAGATGAACCAATGAAAATGCACCACATGAAGCTTTCTAATTCGGGACGCAAATATTCGAATGTGTCTTGCCACAGACACATTGTCAAAACAGTCCCTCCAACACAAACACACACTCCCCTTAATCATACTCCTTGAAATATGTCAAGGCCCTATAGAGTTTTTTTAGGTTTTTTAAAAAAGAGGGCATCAGTAATGCAGATTTTTTTTCTCCTGGATGGAATAAGTAGCTCATTTAATATTTATACATTGTTTGGACTGCTCAAAAATTGTTTACCTGGGAGCTTATATTATAATTAGTTTATTTAGAAAAGTGTTCACAGGTGATTAGGAAGTACTGCCAGTTTAATAATGAACCTCAGAGATTGGGCAGGGGGGCAATCCTCTTGGGCTGCCCAATCGCCCTGTCTGTTAGAAATAATAGCTCTCCCTCTTCCTCAGATTAATTCAAGGGAGTCGGCGGAACCACTTCAAAGACGGGAGAAATCTATTAAGCTAAAACCATTTTGCAGACAGAAAAAAAAGTTAATGAGAAGACTTCATAGAATGGGACACAACAGCAGCAGAGCTGGGTGCCATACATAAAATGCACTGAACAGCAAAAGAAGCATTTTTGTTATTAAGAAAAGTGATGAAAGGACTATTTATGAAGGTTCACACAATCCTTTTAGACAAAAACCAGTTGCCCACATTTTGCTGCCAGACGGGGTCTGGCTTGATTGTTACTGGCTCACTTCAGAATGTCTTCTGAAACTTCATGCACCCTACTTGTAGCATGAAGCTCCTGGCTTGCATTAAGCCTTAAACTCCCATTATGTCAAAACTTGGAAATTCTGGCTTAATGTCAGTTAGCTAGCAAACAAACAAACAAACAAACAAACAAACAAACAAACAAAGCATGATGCAATACAAGCCAGGATCTTGATAGTGAAGCCAGTGTGCAATTGGAGGGGAGCAAGATGGAGGGGGAAAGGGGAGGAGTTTGGCCCCAAGGCTAATTCTTAGCATCATAAACTCAATGGCCCAGTTCAGACAGTCTTTCCCAGTTTCATAAATCCATGTTTATGAAGCCTTGAATGACTGCCCTAACTGGGCCACTGGCTCCCAATGGCTCAACCCAGATGTTAATTCCTGACATTATAAACCAATGTTTCCCAAACTTGGGTCTCCAGCTGTTTTTGGACTACAATTCCCATCATCCATGGCAACTGGTCTTGCTAGTTAGGGATGATGGGAGTTGTAGTCCAAAACTGCTGGAGACCCAAGTTTGGGAAGCACTGTTAAACCATGGTTTATGAAGGCAGGCATGTGAAGCCCAAGCTGGGGCACTGAGTTCTCTATAGGGGTGTGCAACAGTTCCTTCCCATGGGGAACAGGAAAATGTCTTCACAACACCCCACTGGCAAATAAAGAGCTCCTCTGCGTATGAGTTGTTGCCCCATACATTTCAACACAAGAAACAAAGCTGCACGAGTATTATTTTTCACATGCAAAATTGCTCCCTCCATTGAAATGAGGGGAGAAGCTCTCATTTGCTTCCAGAAGCCCTGTGTGCTTGTACGTGTAATGCACATGAGGATTTGAACAGGGACAAACATATATTTACAACTCTGATATTTACAATCATTTTGCTAATACAATGGGAAACACTGTTTTTACCTGTAATTAAAACAGCAACTTTTCTTGCGTACTGGTTTTAACATTATATAGATATATATTAAAAAAGAAAATCCTAGGTGTATAATGTATTTAGAGAAAAGGGTTTCTTAGGATTTTTGTTTACCATTCTCATTGCTATAGTTCATCAGCATGCCACAAAAGACAGTCATGAGCTTCTCACTGGCTGGATCTGTTTTACTGCACAGTGACCTTAAATGGTCTATTACAATCTCTGCCCCACCTGCATGGTCAACTGCGCTTCTGCCCTCATCTGTAAAAAAAAGAGTCAAGTTAAAAATAAAATTAAAAAGGCACTTAAGAGTTCCAAACATAACAATAGTCATAAAAAAGTAGATGGGTCTCGGATAATTAGCGCTTCTGTAATCACAGCATGAACTGGGCAAAGTATTTACACAAGTGCTTAAGGGATAGGCTGCTACAGGCACCTTATTTTAAGGGCAATTTCTTGCAAGACATAAACCTGGGGAGAATCCCAAGGCCCGTCCTCTCCAGCAGGTCCACTCAACCCTTCCCTCACGCCACCAGCTCTTGCGTTTTCTCTCCACGCAAGTGTGCTGAAGGACAGGGAAATCATTCCTTCATTGGGAAGGCAGAAGATAAAGAGCAGCAATGCAGTACATTTTCACTTGGAAGTAAATGCCACTGAACTCAATGAAACTTGCTTCTGAGTAGACACAGGATTGCATTGGTGTTTCCTCAGAGCCAAACACAGATAGATGCTGCTTCATAGCAAAAGTTGGTATGGCAACTATGCTTGGGGACCATAAATCAGGTAGACAGGGCCATCTTTTTAAAAAGTTAGTCAATTAGTGGGTAATGGAAATCCACAAAAAGCAGCCTTTCCCTTCTGTCCACAGGAGACAAAAGTATTCTGTTCCATGAATGGAATTCCACTCATTCATCTCTGGATCCAACCTGATAAAACTAAATTTGGGGAGAGGAAATTGTTAGAGAGAGTTTGACTGCAAGCTCCAGGTTCAGACCAGTAGTGTGTATCTCTCTTTGAAGGGAAAAAAGCAAACTGTAAATTGAGAATGCCACATGATGCTAATTACAGGCTATCTGCCCTCCCTTTCTGATCCCCAAGTCCCAGAGTATTCCACAAAACATGCACAGTGATCCCCAGTCAAAATAAGTTCAGAATGTGCTTATTGTTTCCTTGACTGTTACCCTGTCAACTTTAGCAGCCAAGTGAACTCCCACGCAAAACATGTTTCTCTAGCAGCTCGCAAGGTGGTGGTGGTTGTTAAAAAAAAAAGTGCAATAGGTTTTTTTAGAAAGCAAACAACAATATGTACTGCTCGCTTGTAAACACAACAAATTGCTTTCGCAGCTTCAGTTTGCATCACTACAGTTCCCAATAAAATTCGTCTTGAGAATATTTAAATGTGCATGTTGTTCTTAAGGTTTGTGGTTAAGCTCAAGTGATGAGTAATACCATACAGTGATGAGAAAGGTATGCACTTAATATTGGAAATATGGGGGGGGGGCGCTTGAGGGGCGAGACAGCAGCAAGGTCAACATGACACAAATGTAGCAGCAGAGCCAATTCTGCTGGTGCACTGCAAAGGTCTCATTGCCCTTCCACCACTGCATAGTATGTAATGGAGTATCAGTTTTACATTCATTTGTTGGGAACAGAGTCTATTCATAACTGAATGTTTCAGCTAATAGCCATTTAGTTTTCCAGCCTCCTGAACTCTTCTCCCCATCTCATCTTCTCACAGGTCTGACTACTTAAGACATACACCAAAATGGTTGCTATTTATTAACAATTCCATATACTCTCAGGAACAGTCAAAGATTTCTAACTCCACTCTCTCAGCTCCACTGTTTGTAGAAGGACTTGATCTTTAGAAGAATTTAGAAGAGCTCTTTAGAAGAATTTTAATTCCCCAGAAAAATATTTCCAGTCCTAAAGGAGAGTGCCCTGAAAACCTTTACTTGATGATGATATAGTTATTCTGTTCCAGTTCTACACATTAATGGTGAATTATCAGGGTTGTTTCCTCAGCTTTAATTCTAAGTCAATGCTTGTTTTTGCAAGTTTCTAGCATATATCTAAAATCAGAAGATGGGGGGAAAATTCACATGCTTGCAAACCGAGGGTGTCTCCAGAGTTTCAGATTTGGGGCATGTCAATAAAACCTTTTCATGCTGCAAGACTAGACGTGGGAGTGGCTTTTCAAAGCAATGAAACCATAAAATCTTGTTAAGATGCGGTTCTCAGATATCAATGCCCAGTAACACAAACTGAAAATCAAACACGATGAGCCCGCAGTGCAAATATAAGCATAGTACCACAAGGACAAGGAACCTCAGGCGTTGAGGTCAAATGCACCAGCCCCCAACCTCTTTGTCTGGTGCTTTGGATTCTCCCACAGCCAGCCCCTCTCCTCAACTGCCCCATCTTTCCAAAGGCCACAGTGCGGTGGCACTGCAGAACACCCTCCTTCTTGCCTGCCTGGAATGTGTCTTCGAATTCTGATAATGATTCTTGCTTTTCTGGATGGAGGGGTGAATGTAGAAACTATCCTGTACAAAGGTGAAATGTACATTTCTTCATGCCATGACTGGCCTGAAGAAGGAGGAAGAAGAAGAAGAAGAAGAAGAAGAAGAAGAAGAAGAAGAAGAAGAAGAAGAAAGCGTTTTGCTCCCTCTCCTCAGGAAAAAGAGAGAAAGAGGCATAACTTGTTCCCATGTTTCTGCCAATGTGTTATGTTTTGGGCATTTCCAAAAGTCAGAAATATCCCAGGATTCTAAAGAACTGGTGTCCACAGTTTTTTATCCTGCTTCCTGTTTGCTTTGTTCATAGCAACCAAGATACATCTGAGACAGGCACGGTCCAGAAGTTATTCTGTGTAAATAGTGGGTGGGTGTTAAGCCCCTAACCCCAATGCAAAGTGTTAGGCTAAAGCCGATGCACTCGTTAAAAATTCACTGTATAGTTAACTTGCAGTGCAATGCATACATGTCTTCTCAAAGCCTCCTTGTGTTTAATAGGGCTACTCCCAGGTAAATAAATAAATAATTTTTTATTTATACCCCACCCTTCCCAGTTCACAAAACTGGGCTCAGGGCGGCTAACAACAAATTTAAAACACTTAACTGTAATACAACATAGAAGCAGCATAAAATACAGTATAAAAACATGAATAACAATAAAATTCAAAGTTCAAAAATCAATTTGGGGGAAATCCATCCAATAAGCATTAGATAGTCACCAGGAATAGCTGACTGAATTAGTCCTACTTGGGCCAGCAAGGAGACCAGGGGAGAATTAGCTGTGGGGTCTCAGAGTGGGTAATCTTCATAAAAGGGATGGGGGAGGGAAGAGAAGGAAAATAAAAGATCAGGCTGAATTCAAATTAAAGGCCAGGCAGAATAGCTCTGTCTTACAGGCCGGACAGAAGGAGGTTAAATCCTGAAGGGCCCTAGTCTCATGGGACAGAGCATTCCACCAGGTCGGAGCCATCACTGAAAAGGCCCTGGTGGAGGATAGTTTGACTTCCTTTGGGCCTGGGACCTCTAAACTATGGTTATTCGTGGAACTTCAGGTCATCTGCGGGGCATACCAGGAGAGGCGGTCCCGTAAATACGAGGGCCCTAAGCCACAAAGGGTTTTAAAGGTCAAAACCAGCACCTTGAACCCGACCTATACTCCACTGGGAGCCAGTGCAACTGGTAAAGCACTGGGTGAATATGCTCCCATGGCAGGCACTCCGTGAGGAGCCTCGCTGCAGCATTCTGCACCCGCTGGAGTTTGTGGGACAGTTTCAAGGGCAGCCCCACGTAGAGCAAATTACAGTAGTCAAACCTGGAGGTGACAGTCGCATGGATCACTATGGCCAGATCAGGGCGGGAAAGGTAAGGGACCAACTGCTTAACTGCTTGATGTAAAACAAATTGGGTATAGGATTACAGTAAACAGGCTAGATGAAAAGCAACCGAAGCCTTGAAGCTGTGCCTAATTACAATGTGGTGTGATAACTTTTCTCTCCATTATGGTAATGCATGCAAATGCATAATAATGAATTGCTGAGGCCACTGTTGCCCTGCTTCCATTCACCGGGGGGTGGGGGGGAAATCAGTCATGCTTTTATCCAAAGATAATCAAACTGCTAATTATAATCTTACTTGTCTACCATATATTGTGATAGGGCTAAGTAATTTTAACTACAGCTTTATAAATAAAAGTTTCAAGAAGGAGAATGTACAAATCAAAATTAATTTGCAAGAGAGAGAATAATCTGCTTCATCCACAGGCACTAGGTAACAAGCTCTATATGCATCGAGCGGATAGCCCATTAATGTATGCACTGACACATTTTGTATCTGCTGTCCTCTTTAAATAGTCTTCAAGGGTGGTCTTTGTAGAACATGCCATCTACATGTACATGGTCTCTACATTCAATTAAAAATATCACACTCTTCTCAACAAGGCCAGGGAAAAAGAGCACAGAGTGCCATCACTGTAATGTGATACTGTTCAGTATACATTCCCCAGTGACCAGGAGAGGCTCAAATTAATTATCAATACACAACTTCCATGATCTTTTTAGAGGCAGGTAAGGTGAAAGGGAGGTACGTATTGTCATAAGTTTCAGGGGCCAGAGTCTGGGTGCAAGTTACCCATAAATCCTGGAATTAGTAAAAGTCAGAATTAATGAAGGTTTTGTTAATCCATGGTTTCCCAAGTAAAATCAAGTTCACCCTGGGTTGTCAGCAGGGGGCACAGACTTCAAGTTATGCATTTGCACTCAAAATGCACTTTTACACTGCCTCACATTGAGCTTGACTACGCAGCCTGCCTCAACTTGGGAACTTCGGTAAAACATAGTCTTTGCCATAAAGTGTCCCTTTATTTCCAGACACTTAGGTGCAGGTAAAAGCACTCCTACTTTTAAGGCTGGCTTGCAAAGGAGAGAACAAAACAAAAACAACCCAAACAAAAGGATAGAAAGTGCTGTGGTACCTTAGAGACCCTGATGAAGTCATCGACTGAACAATTAGTCTCTGGGGTTCCACAATACTTACCAGGAAAGATGAAGAGTTATTTTGTGCAAAGAAAATGAGGGGGTGGGGTGGGGAGAGAAACCTTGAGTCTCTCTCTCTCTCTTTCTCCTGCCCTTGCTGTTCATTCAGTCCCTATTTGAAGAGCCATTCCTTCTGCAAGGAGGAGAGATGCTTTCAATGAAAAAAAATGTAAACAAATGAATATCGTTCCTCCACTTCCCTGTCTCGTTTACTGTTGCGATCAAAACAATGTGCAGGAAATGAGAAGGTGTAAGGCCAGGAAGCTTTGCCAGCAGCTGGTGGGGAAACTCAAGTCCCACAGATGTCCTAGAAGCTGTAGAAAGGATGCTTCATTTATATCCCATCTTTTCTCCAAGGAGAAAACATGTTGGCTCTGAGTTAGTCCATATTCTTAGGAGCCCACAGTGCAAATATACCGGTAATACATATGAGCCAGCAGGCAGAGCCCTCAGTGGCACCTAATCTGCTATGGGTCTGGGACCTGGTCATCGTAGTCAGTGTCAACGTAACAGCAGGTGTGGGGGACTCCCTGGTCCTGAATGGGGTAACTGTGCCCCTGAAGGACCAGGTGCACAGCCTGGGAGTCATTTTGGACTCACAGCTGTCCATGGAGGTGCAGGTTAATTCTGCGTCCAGGGCAGTTGTCCACCAGCTCCATCTGGTATGCTGGCTGAGATCCTACCTGCCCGCAGACTGTCTCGCCAGAGTGGTGCATGCTCTGGTTATCTCCCACTTGGACTACTGCAACGCACTCTACGTGGGGCTACCTTTGAAGGTGACCTGGAAACTACAACTACTCCAGAATGTGGCAGCTAGACTGGTGACTGGGAGCGGCCACCAAGCTCCCATTGAAAGACCTACATTGGCTCCCAGTATGTTTCTGAGCACAATTCAAAGTGTTGGTGCTGACCTTTAAAGCCCTAAATGGCTTCAACCCAGTATACCTGAAGGAGCATCTCCACCCCCATCGTTCAGCCCGGACACTGAGATCCAGCTTTGAGGGTCTTCTGGGGGTTCTCTCACAGTGAGAAGTGAAGCTACAGGGAACCAGGCAGAGAGCCTTCTCGGTAGTGGTGGCCGCCCTGTGGAACGTCCTCGCATCAGATGTCAAGGAAATAAACAACTATCTGACTTTTAGAACACATCTGAAGGCAGCCCTGTATCAGGAAGTTTTAAATGTTTGATCACATTATTATTATTATTATTATTATTATTACTACTACTACTACTACTACTATGGGAGCCGCCCAGATGGATGGGGTATAAAAATAAATTATTATTGTTATTATTATTATTGTTATTATTAACCCCATCCTTTATCCTGCAATGTGACTTGAAAAGCCCCCAAATGAAACTTGGATGGGCCTGAAATTGGCAACCACCTCAACTAAGCAGACAGTTACTCAAGAATATTAGAAGGCATCCCTGTATATTTAAATATTCTAAAACTGTGCTAGGCTAGGAATTCTAATTCTATTCAGAGCGGAGTCAGAGAAGATTTCTTGAAGAAAAAAATGCTAAAAGTGTATTCCACACAACCCCAAGCATCAAGATAGTTGAATACCAACAGCTAAATACTAAGAATAGCTTCTTCCTCCTTTTGTCAAGATGCCAAATGCTAGGGCAATTTAAAAGATCTCTGCTTTCAAGAAATGCTCATATTTCAGTTGTGGTGAGCCTTGAAGCAAAAAGGCATTTCATAAGAATTAAGTGATTACCAGGAATGTAAGAAGAGTCCTACTGGTTCCATCAAGTCCAGCTTCTCTTTCCCCCAGTGGATAACCGTCAGCTGCTGGGAAACCAGCACCAGGGCATGAAGACAACAGACATCATTTAATGTTGTTCCCCGGCAGATGATTATCAGTAGCACGATGCTTTATGAATCTGGAGTGTCCACATGCCCATGGTAGACCTCTCCCTTTGCGAATCTGACCTTTAGAGCCTTCCTGTGACAGTGAATTTCATTAATTATGAATTTTGTGAAGTAGTGCTTTCTTTTGTCTGTACATATCTACATACATCCACTAGCTGAAATGGCATCCAGATGACAGGAAAATAGCACATGTTCTGTTGTGTTTTTTGGGTACATGGCTGCCATTCTAATCATATGTGATTTGTGGCTGACAGTATCAAAATTTGACAAGAAGGGTCTGCCGCCATCACTAATGGAAAATGTCCAGAAACAAATAAGAATCATTTTCTGATTTTAAACAAGAGAATGATTTCTGTAAATACGGTTAATTTCTGTGATCGACCTGGAATTTGCATTTTGATAATGTTGATGGAAGTTTTATAAATGTATATGTGACCACAAACAGGGGACCTCTGCGATGCTGTAGCTACATCTCTTACAAATACTTTGCATTGAGACTAGTCACACTGCCTACTTGCCACTCTCTGAACAGAGCATAATATTTCTGAAGCTTTACATATTGTGCTGGGCGTCCATCGTCATTTCCATGACAATGAAGCTGAAAACTGAGTCAGCAGTTGGACATCTAAACTGAGAATTGTCATTCTGATGCGTCACAATTCCCAAGACTGACCAAGACTGCTCCCTTAGGTTGGAAGGGTGCAAGCAAGCAGATACTATGTTAAGGCCTGTTTCAATTCCCTCATAAACCATCCCATTGCTTCAAAGATTCTGTTGGACTCTTCAAGTCTCCTTACTTCTCCCCTTGTTATTTGTCCTTCACCGTCATCAACATTTATATGGGGGAAGAGACTACCACATTACAACACACCTAATGCAGGGACTGACTGCCACGTCAAAGCATACAGAAACATAAGCAAATTAGGATCCCACATGGAAAATCTGAGTCACCATGCAAGAATAATTCCAGACTTGACATGGTAAGCCAGTGGTAACAGCAGTCATCGTCAATGCTGCTGTTGATGCTAAAATAAAAATTACTGTTAATAACATGTACTGAGAAATGGGTGTAGAAGTTGAATCACTACACTTCATGTCAGAAATCAAGCAAAGTAAAAAATAAAATTACAAAAATAACATGCCCAATAAGGGAAAACTGATCAATTCAGAGGGGGAAAGATAAAAACTTTTGACAGCAAAATGATGATGATCCCATCAGCAATATTCCATTAGCAAGTATACTTTTATTCTTCTCATAATCCTCGTCCAGTGAAACTCTCAGTCACTCTCTCTTTTTTGTCCAGGATACTTTGATATTGCTTACTGTGTGCTAGTGAAAAGCAGCATGTGTAGAAAAGGGGGCAATTACCATATAGTAACATATAACAGAGTTTTCCGTTTGTGTTTTGATTCCAACTTTTTTTTTGCAGACAACAATATATACAACTAAATAATAATAATAATAAACGCATCCTTACCTTTAATATGGGGAAACTAAATCTCTTATATGGGAAAGCTGGTACTACTAAACAGTGGCATTTACAGCAGGCAGGAGTGGGAAACCTATGGGTATCCAGATATGGCTGTTCTATCAAGCCCCATCAGCCCCAGCAAGCATGGCTATTGATCATGGATGGTGGGAGCAGAAGTGACTTGCTGTTTGGGGTGGAACCGCTATGCTAGCTTCCCAGCAGGTGGGTTGCTATGCTTACTGGCAGGGAAAGAGACAAGACAGTGCAAATACACCAGCAGGGAACCCCCCTCTGCCTGCCTTACCCCTCTTCTTCCCAGCAAGCAACAGCAAGTCACTTGCTGGGAAGCTAGCTCAGCTGCTCTACCACACCTGATGAGTTACCTGAATGTGATTTGTAGTGCAGCAATGTCTGAAGAGCCTCAGGTTCCGCAACTCTGATTTACAGTCTGTCTAGTAAACTAAAATTTTCAGGCTTCTGAACAGAAGGGTTTACTTCAAAATGTAGCACCCAGGATAGCTGTGCAGGTTGCACATCTACAATTTACAACATACGTCGGAACAATAGCGTCATCTGAACAGTAGAAATCTATTCTGCCTGCAAAAATTGTGAGGCAATTATCGAAATGTGTTGCCTACATGCAACTGGTGTGTTGGGGGCTGCAACATGATGGATACTGAGGACAGCCAAGCGTCAACTATATAGGGTTGTGATTTATAGACCTGACTGTTTCAGGCCTTCCATTTCCTCTAACCTTCTGCTACCAAGCAGGACTGTCTATATGCCAGACACTGTTAATTCATACTACCAGTATGCAGGTGCACTATACAATGGTGCCAGCAATTCACTTGTGATGCCAAATGTAGTAATCAGTGAGAACCCAAATGTGAATCTAAATGTGAGCTTTATTATCAGTGTTGGGAGGGGGGTGGTCAGAACGGCACATCTTCCCCATTAGCATTAGCTACAGAAACAAAATTAGGATTTTGCAGTTTTTTATTTATTTAAAAAAGAAGCAGCAGGGGGAAAAGAAAAATAAAAGAAAAAGAAGAAGCAATTTTACCTATGTCCACAAAACCCCACCATATTTGCCAATGATTTAGCTGCTTCTATTAAAAAATGGGACTTTTGACAGCCTGTCATTCAAGCAAGGCTTAATTGTGACAGCACCCACAGATGTCTTGCAGAAATCAGCACTTCTGACAACAAAACAAGAAAAAATGAACAACAAGAACCAGTCTTTTTTTTATAACCAAAAATAAAAAAATAAAAACAAAACACTGATATTTGAACACTTACGGCTGTCGTAGCATATGTTGCCCAAGGCACGTCCTGTTTGAAGAAGCACGTCCTGGTCTTTGCAGTTTAAGAGCTGCACCAGAGGTGGGATCAAGCCAGCATCCACACACGGGTTCCTCATAAATTCTACAAGCCACAGAGAGAGGTTTAATTAAAGGCTAGTTGATGAGGATTGATTATTTCTTGTTAAAGAGAGCCATTTTTCCTTCAGCAAATGTTTTCCTTTCCAAATTCACACATACCAGAAGCACTGCAGCTGCTTCTCTGTATGAGAACTAATTTATGTACAGATAAAAAAGCAGTCTAGTTCCAACAGCAGCAACAAAAGCACCCCAGGAATTATGGGCACGTTCCAAATTCTACATATTGACAGCCCGCTGTAGATTCCTTTGGTGAGAATAAAAAGTATTTTAAATATCCTTCATTATATTTTAAAAAAGCACCTAAACATTAAAACACCAAGCATATACTGGGAGCAATAAACACAGGCAAGAAAGCACCAGCAACTTTTCTTCTGCCCACTTCTGTTCATTGAAGAGGATCTAAATAACTCAGTTAAAGGAAACCTGATATAAAGACTGCTGCATCCCTGTGTCCAAAGGAAACCTCTTGCTTCTGTACAGGATCTTGATTAAACCACAGAGGAAAGTTAAAGCAATTTTCAAAGCTATAGCTGAAAGCAGGCAGTGGGCTGCACATTATACTTCTTCAAGGGTCTAGATAGTAATAAGAGTCAATTTCTTCCAAGAGATTAGATGGAGGGACTTAGACAAAGACCCTGGGGTCTCCCCACCTAACCACGGCAGGCTTCTAGAAAGTCATTCGGTGTTCCTTTTACAAAACAAAAAGCAATGGGAGAAATAATATTAATACTTAGCATTTGTACAGTACCTTCAAGTGTTCAGTGCACTTCACATGTATTATCTAATTGTAATCCTTGCAGCAACCCTGTAATGATGTTTATTTTTTTGGTTACGTAATCAATGCGCTTTACAAATACTGTATGTATGTGACCACATAAAAGCCTGGAGAGCAACCTGCACAGGAATGAAATCACCACACATTGTTTCTGGCAACTGGGATCCCTACTTCTAGTAGCTAGTCCTTCTGCAAGAAAAGGGCAGGCAGTCAGCAACAGCAGCGACACTGTTGTGGCCCAGGTGGTCCACGCTTCAGCAGTTCTGCATATCCACACTACATTTAAAGCACATGGTTCTCGCTTTCCACCCCAAAGAATTGTGGGAATTGTAGTTTGTTATGGATATTTTTGGGGGGGGGGAGAAACCATGTGCTTTAAATATATGGTATGGATGTGACAGTTCTGGGCACCACAATTTTAGAAGCTGGAACGTGCAGAGGAGGGCAACCAAGATTGTAAAGTCTGGGTATGTTTAGCCTGGAAAAGAGGAGACTGAGAGGAGAGATGATAGCCATCTTCAGATATCAAAAGGGCTGCCACATGGAAGATGGAGCAAGGTTGTTTCTCTTGTTCCAGAGGGTAGGACCTGAACCAACATCTTCAAGTTAAAAGAAAAGAGATTCTGACTGAACATCAGGAAGAACTCTCTGACGGTAAGAGCTGTTCAACAATGGAATGGACTCCCATGAGAGGTGGTGGAGTCCTTCCATGGAAGGTTTTTAAGCAGAGGTTGGATGGCCATCTGTAATGGATGATTTAGTTGAGATCCCTGCATTGCAGGAGATTGGATTAGATGACCCCCCAGGGTGCCTTCCAACTCTACAATTCTATTGTCCAGACTTGTGCCATGAAGAGGGCACTTTGGTGCTGCAAACAAAATGGCAGGACATGCTTCTTCACTTTAATGCTCACCTAGAGGCAATGGCCATCCACTCTGAATAAGTAGCTAATTTTGAGGCTGAGCTTGTGCTTTGGAATACATGGATGTTTGCTATTGTACAACTTTTGTCTCTGTAAAAAAAAGGTCTGAATAATTTAGAACTGAACATCTAAAAAAAAAATGTGCATGTGCCAATGTGCAGCACCTGCTAAAATGAGTCACAGGAGCTGAATGTGGCCTTTGGCAGCTTTGAATACATAGTTAATAAATTGCTGTCTCCTTGCAGGGCAATTTGTTCTGGGAAGCTGTGGCAATTTAGACATGCTGCATTCAGTTAAAAAGGACTAGAATTTCAGAACCACAATCTTGAGTATTGGGCGGAAACTGACTGCTTTGTTTTCCAAACAAGAATCTTAAAAAACAAACAAACCAACAAACCACGAATAATTATTTCCCTTCCATCACATCTCCTCAAGAGCAATATTTCGAACTGCCTCTGCTGCCCAGTCCATTACAACCTGCTAATTCATGGGAAAGGAAGAGAGGCATCACTTTGTGGAACCTCAAGCAATGATAAGGCATCCTGAAATGAGCTGTACATTCAAATCTCTGCAAGTTACCAGAGCAACGTTAGACTTGTTTCATTTCCAACCGTCTCCTGTGAGATTTGTGCTAGTGCTCGGCGCAAAAGTCAGAGCAGCCCAGGGAGAATAACAGGAGCTTGCAGCAGCTTAAGAGACAGCATCATGAGATATTTGGGATCAGCATGCTAGGCCCTTCTGAAAATCCCAGCAGCGACAGCTTCACTCATGTCTTCTTTTACAGTATACACTTGTGATATTGGAATGACCCTAGCAGACCTTTTGGGAAAAATTAAAGGCTTGGCAAAACAGCAATAGGCTTTTATGACAAGTGGCTTCTTGGAGTGGGGATAAATGTATATATGAATAAGTTGAAAATGAATGCCAAATTAATGTATTAATGCAACATATGGTGTTAAAATAAAGTTCACCAGACATGCACAAATGTGCCTGCAGTCACACCTGCAAATGCAACTGTGAAAGACTTGTCATTTAGCTTTGCCTAATAAAAAAAACACATCGCGGGTTTTTCACAACAGTTAGCATTATAAAATAATTGCAACTCTGAAGTGCTTTGATGTATCTGGCAAATGGATGACTAAGAACTAATATATTATCAAGGCAGAACAGAACAAAAATAAAGAGTGCAGTGGAAGGGAAAGAAGAGAGAAATGAAAAGCATCTATTCTATAAAATGAAAACATAAATGAAGTAAAACATACTGACAAGTGAGCTGCAAAACTGAAGATGTTCCAGGAGAAAAGGCCTTGTGGAAAACCTCACCATTTTTGGCTACTTCTGCTATGACGTTAGCTATTTTTGCAGTGCAGGAGGACTGCGGAGTCAACAGACTTGCAAACACTTGGAGGATCCCACTTTTCTGGATTTTTTCACTTGTCTCTGTATCTGAAAAGAGAGGAGGAATATACACAAAACAGAATTGAGTGGTAGGTAGCAGGTTAATGAAAAGGTATTGAAAGCTTCACACATAAAACGAAATTCCAAATCTTGACACCAAAACCAAAGAATGACCCTTTGTGCCATTAGTTTGGAGAGAAGGCTAGGTGGCATGACAGAGCTGTATAAAATTCTGCAAGGCATAGAGAAAGCTTTTTCTCCTACTCTCATAACACTAGAAAACTTGAGGATGTCCAAGGAAGCTGGACAATTCAGGGAGGACAAAAGGACAGACTTCTTCACACAGTGTGTAGCTGAACTATGGAATTTGCTTCTGCAAACCGGGATGGCCTCCAACTTGGATGGCTTGAAAATTAGGCAAATTAACAGAGGATGAGGCTATCAATGGCTACTAACCCTGATGGCTATGTTCCACCTCCACTGTCCAAGGTAGTATGAGCCTGAGTATCAGCTGCTGGAAACCAGAAGAAGAGACAGTGCTGCTGCACTTATGTAGGTCCTGCTTGCAGGCATCCCATGGGCATCTAAGTCAACAATTCTGAGAACGAGATCCTGGAACAGATGGGCCACTGCCTGATCCAGCAGGTTCTTCTTGTGATACCCAAAGATGCAGATGTTTCAATGATGCATTGCTATTTGAGAACTGCCTTTTTGTTTACATAGGAAGCTGTCCTACATACCAAGTCATCGGACTATTCAGCCCTGCATTGTCTACAAGGGCAGCTGCTTCTCCAGGGTCTTAGGCGGAGGTCTCTCCCATCACCTACGACCTGATTTTTTTTTACCTGGAAATGCCAAGGACTGAACCTGGAACTTGCGGCACACAAATAATGTGCTTTACCATAGATCTATGGTCCCTACCCTATAAGGAGCACCATGACATCCAGCAGGGCCTAGCGAGCAGAGGAAGCTTTGAAATCATTTATAGTTAATATTGCAGGACAAATGTGGTGGTGTTAAATCACCTTCCACATATATATGCACAAAATATAACTAAATAACAGTTAAAAAACAGCACCAAAGAATAGCAGGTGATGAATTTTAAAACAATTCAAAATGGATGCCCATGGAAGAGAACTGTCCTCAACCTGGGAAGCTCTGATGGAACAAAACCGTCTTCAGTTGTTTCCAGAAAATGCAGATAGTGGGCACTCATCGTATCTGGACAAAAATGCTGGTCAATCAAACAGGGGCAGCCACACTGAAGGCCCTGTGCTGAGTTACATTGGAACAGAACTCTGGTATCACTGGAACTCAAAGAAGCAGTACTCCTGTGGATTTCAGTGACCTACTGGTAACCAAATAACCCGGTATAAGTAGTAGAAAAATAGATGGGTACCCCTACTGTGCATATAAAAGGAGAAAGTCAGGACAAAACTAGAAGCCCTGAAAGAGCCATTAGGGGAGTTGTGGTTCAATGGATAACAGTAACTGCGGATTCAAGGTGCATAAGACTGGTTTTACTCAGGTATAGTAACTTCCTGCACTTCCTCCTAGATTCTCAAAGGGGTGCTTTACTTACACAAAACCTCTGTGAGGTAAGGTAAATGCTGGATTTCCCCAAGGCTATTGAGTGAGATTCAGAACTTAGTAGTAATGCAAATGTTCTGCTTTTAAATCCACCATTCCAGCTACTGAGATGAGGTAGGTCAGATTTCCATCTTCAGAATTCTGAGGATGCAGGTAAAGAACAAAGCTCAAAGGCTACCTGTGGTGTCTTATTTCATCTACTTTCAGAATAACATTGCCCCAATATGTTAAATAGCCTTAGGCTCAGACATATGCTGAATATTCTGAATTTTTAAAAAATAAGACACAGACATTTTGTAATCACAATAGAGGTAAAAAGCAGCTTCTCTCTCTACTCAGGAGTCCAACTACATTCAGCAAGGCTTACTTACAGGAGCGCATGCAGCCTTAGTTGTGTTTTGCTTTTGGGGCACCCCCGTTCCCCATGAAGGGTGCACAGCAAGCCCGGCACACAGGGTATTGTATTTGCATAAACAGGGTCACAGCAGATTCTACCACAGCTCTCCATCTCCCTTCTCACACCTTGGCCTCTTCTGCACAGCACACACCTTGTTCGCTGCGTTAGGGGTAATGTAACTTAAACACAGTAAGCAACTATTGTGCACATTCACCAGGAATCATAGAGAGTGTGCACATAATCTGTCAATTAAGAGCAATTGTGTACATTTTCCGGTCAGTATACATAATCTTCAGCAGACCTTGTGGAACGTGCAAAGACAATGAATTTTATATATTCTCTGGTCATTATGCAAATCTCAAACAATTCCCTCTTCACAGACAGATTAGGTGCACATTCTGTGCAAAGCCTAGTAAATGTGCACAATGGCCAGTTATTATGCACACTGACCACTTAACTTACATATATACCCACATCCACTGAACTGATGCCAATTTCAATACTTCAGAAATAATGGGCTTTTTCAAAGAAAAGTCTAGAAATATACAAATTTCCAGTAATAAATAAGAGAGAAAACACATGCAAATATTTGCCACAATGAGTTCACAATGAGAGAAATGGATGCTTTAAATTTCAGTGTCTGAACTACAAAAAGTTACAGGGTTTTGTGTCTTGTATTGCCCCCCATTTCTTTAAGAGGAATTGACTGGACACAATCTACTGGGAGTTTTTCTTGCCTTGTGCAACTCCTATTCTTTTCAATAAGAGGAACAGATGAGTGATTCCCATACTGTAGGGATTGTTTGTACAATCTGGTCCCTACCCTATTACTTACAATTAGCATGCAAGATGCAATAATATGATCCCACCCACTGCACCACTGAGAACCTTAACACAGTATTGACTTGCTTTTATCACCCACGGTTTGACGGACTTGTTAACTGTGCAAATTAAATCAATGGTATAAAATGTATCCTGAAAAGCAGCGAAGAAAATAAAATTAAACTGTTGCCTCAGGTTAGTTTTGTGCAGCAGGGATGCTCTGATTTATTTGACTGAGATCAGCAAACACCAGTAAGACAGAATGACTCAGACTCAAAAGGACTTCTAAAAGAAAATGGAATGCCAGATCTCCTCCTCTTTAGAACAAGAGGGCATGCAAAGAAAACTAACATTTTGGCAGATTTATTTCTTCCAGTAAAGATCATCTGACAGCTGCTGAAGTGGGAAGCTTCAGCTATGTGGGTCCTGCACAGCTTTTTACACTCACACACTAAATCTGAAGCATGGCAAACCTTTATGAAAAACACACATAGACATAACAGTATGGGACAAACTCAAGTCAATATCATTATTTTGGTCTGTGCAGACCCACAAGGCGGTAGAGAACCTTTTTGAACTTCTGAAGATGGAAGCCTGTTTCTGTTGTTGCTGCTGTTGCTGCTGTGTAGGCTTCCTGAGGGATTTAAAACCCAGATCTTCCTGCATAAGGAACCTCCTTGAGTGCAGCAGGTTCTCTGCCAGTCGTGTAGTAGCAAATTAGGAAGTGCAGGGTCTCATCATAACTATCACAGGCACGCCCCTCTAAGTTTATACAATAATATACTAATGATTAGAGATACATTGCAAGGATAAGTGCAGATCTCCAGGTGTTGCCCTTTAGCTAGTGCACATACATGGGCAAATGATTTTGAGTGCTTCAATATCTCTTTTTAGAGTGATGTAAGTTCTGTTTTATGTAACGGAACTTGAACACCATTCTCTTGAAACTGAAGCACCTTGTGTTTTCAGTGTTCCTAAATGTTTAGCTCTGGGTAAAGGACCCCAGGATGGTTAAGTCTAGTCAAAGGCAACTATGGGGTGCGGTGCTCATCTTGCTTCAGGGTGAGGGAGCCGGCGTTTGTCCACAGCTTTCCGGGTCATGTGGCGAGCATGACTAAACTGCTTCTGGCGCAACGGGACATCATGCCAGAGTGCACGGAAATGCCGTTTACCTTCCCATCGCAGCAGTACATAGCCAGTGTGGTGTAGTGGTTAAGAGCGGTAGACTCGTAATCTGGTGAACCGGGTTCGCGTCTTCGCTCCTCCACATGCAGCTGCTGGGTGACCTTGGGCTAGTTATACTTCTTTGAAGTCTCTCAGCCCCACTCACCTCACAGAGTGTTTGTTGTGGGGGAGGAAGGAAAGGAGAATGTTAGCCGCTTTGAGACTCCTTCGGGTAGTGATAAAACGGGATATCAAATCCAAACTCCTCTTCTTCTTCTTCTTCTTCTTCTTCTTCTTCTTCTTCTTCTTCTTCTTGCACTGGTATGCTCTCAAACTGCTAGGTTGGCAGAAGCTGGGACAGAGCAATGGGAGCATACAGTAGCTATAAAACTCCCCTTTCATGCAGATTGAGTGGTTCTAGGACACTGTAGACAGGGACCCTTCTGCAGAAATAGGAACAGGTATTTGATCCCAGACAACCCCAAACCACTATGCCACTGCAATGTGGACCTACATGAGGAGGGAGGATCAATGGGTTCATCCCCACCTCTATCCGTCACACAGAAAGGAAAATACATAGCAGGGAGAATGAATGAATATTCTCCAGAAATGAGTATTCTCACAGCAGAAGCAACTGGAAATGGAAATTGGAACAATGCTGGCGGGTGGAGAGAGGAGAAGGACAGGGAAAGAGAAACATGACAGGATCAGCTGTGTTTTAGAGGCAGTGCCCTCAGGCGCTTAAATAGTCCTTATTTAACCGCTGAAATATTTAAAAACATTCCTTCTTATTCTTCACTTGCAGATTTGAAAAACACACGGGCCAAGGTCATGCCGCAATGGAGGTCTGAAGCCATAAGGAACAGGCTTTAACAAATAAAAATATATGAACCATGGTGACGTTTTGTGTGGCAGAGCAGAAGGCAGACTGGAACCAAATCTCGTAGGGAGCTGGGTGAGGTGAGGTGGGTTGGGAATGTGAAGTGAAACAGGAGCACCGCCTGACAAAATGAGCTCCTCTGTGTTACAGAGGCTGCGTCACACAGTATAGGGGCAGGAAGACCAAGGAACCAAGAGTAATAATGAAACAAGAGCTGGGAAGAAATGCGGCCTTCCCCAACCTTGGGCCCTCCAGATGTTCTGGATTACAATTGTTATTTGCTTGCTTGTTTGTTTAATTTGTATACTGCCCTTCATCCATAGATTTCAGGGCAGTGCACAACATAACATTACAATATTAAAAACAAGCAATACATAATAATAATAAACTGAAAACAAACCAATAATCCCGCCTCCCACAACACATTTAGAAGGTTGTAGAGGAATGCTTCTGCATGGCACCTAAATGCATTCCACAAACAGGGAGCCACTGCAGAAAAGGCCCTGTTCTCATGTTGCCACCTGTCAGGGAACTGACATCGGAGCGAGAGGCGAAGGGGAGGCTCCTAGATGATGCTGGAGAAGGACCCAGCAGCAGGGGGAGAAACAGCTCAGTGGAGGGGGAAGCATTTAAGCGCAACACCAGGGATAAAGGTGGGCAGATGGGGAAATCGGAGAGAGGGCTCCAGGACTCTTCACTGGAACTCAGTGAGGAGGGGACAGGTCCTCCGCTACCCACGCCCTCCCTGCGCAGAAGACTCCCGCGCAGTGAGAGGAGGAGGAGACTGGGTGTCAAACAACTTTTATGTTGGAAGAGGTTCAAGAAACGCCCACTGACAGATTCTGCCAGTGACTGAGGCAGTCACAATTAGAAAGGGCTGTGCAGTCAGAAAGGTTTAACAAGGCAAATTAGCCTAGAGAGGCACCAGTTTACGCACGAGTAACTCATACTCATCACACCACCCTCCGTACCTCTCATGGAGGCAGCACATGAAAAAGTGCCTCAGAGGATGATCTCACAGTCCAGATCAATTCACACGGAGAGAGGTGCTCCTTGAGGTATTGTGGTCCTAAGCTGTTCTGAGGCTTTATGGGTCAAAACAAGCACCTTACAACAGACTGGTGCTGGTGCGTGCTGTAGCGCAGACCTTCGGGTTCTCCACTTTACCACCATTGTAAAGGCCTCCAGAGTTGTGCCTAGTTGGACCTTGATGCATCCTGTGCGACAGATGAACTAGTGGTGCTAGCAGAATCCAGTCCAAGAACTGGCTGAAGCTCCCAGTTCTAATCTATTTGCCACAAATTCAACCCATGATCTCGCAGGCTCAGTCCCCCTTGCTCCACCAGCAATATGGGGGAGCAGATAGCCCTGCCTTAGAAACTTGCTGTAAGGCTATATATGCAACACTTCAAAATATTAGTTCTTTGTGTTTATGAACTGGGAATATCATCATATGGTATGGGCACCTGTCTATGGAGATTATGTTGGGACACAGTAAGAACGCTGGTCTATCTAGCCCAGCAGCTGGTCCTATCTAGACAGCTCTCCATAGTTTCAGGCAGACAACCATCGTAGCCCCACCTGAAGATACTGGGAACTGAGCTTGGGATCTGTAGCATGAAAAGCAGATGCTCTACCACCAGGCTACAGCTCTTCTCCCAGAAGGGTGCTAGAAATAGTCTGAAAATAATCACGGTGCTATTCTCTGCAAACATCTATCTGCTGACAAATGACTGATAAATGCTGGAGGCTAAGACTCCAGCCAGAATGTCTTGCAACAGCTTACAAATGTTCTGTGTGTGGGGGTGTGTGTGTGTGTGTTATTAAATATGTTTTTACTAACGTGAAGAGTGGCCTTTTTCTGTTTCCCCTTTGACAGGCAATGAAGACCAGTTCAGCAGCCTTTTGTTATAGATTAATATTGTTGCTGCCCCTGCTAATGCAACGCCCAATTTGTAAGTGTCTGACAACTTTTAAGCAACTTCTTGCTAGGATTATCAGCGCTGCTTTTTTATTAAGTTCACACTGAGTGCAGTAGCCTAATCCTTACCATATCTCATCCCTGCAGCAACCGGCTGAAACATTTCCAGTTTAGCTAGAACCAGAGGAGAGACAAGAGGGCATTCAAGACCCATTATTCTTCCTCTAAAATCTGATGGGGCAAGTCAACGAGGGAAATCTGGAATAATGATGGACATTTCTGCCTTCTAGCCACTGCTGTAAACATTGACTCAAGAGTGCTAGTCCAGAGGGGTTCATCAGCATAATGCAATCTGACCTGCTGATTTTCACCCATGTGCTTGCTTTTATGTAACCAAACTTGTGAACCCAAAATGCCAACAATGGAGAACTGTTGCTCAAAGTCTCTCTGTGTTTTTCTGCTTTGTGAAGCCTTGAGTGATTGGATGCTTTCTTATTAATAAGTGTCCTTTGGCTTTCACCCATGCAAAGGCTGATTTGAAACTTGGCAAACATATGGAAAGGACCACAGAATCCTATTCAGGTGAAGGAGTTGCTTAAAATAAACACACACATGTGCTTGTACACACACACTACCAAAGAGAATTCCAGAACTACTTCTTTGACGATGTGGAGCATGATATTTGGCCTCAAAAACTCTTGAGTCTTCATTTCTAGAATATTTGGTTTGGCTGCAAAGAATCTAGGTACACTGGCAATGTAGGAAATGACACTTACTCCAAACTTTCAAACATGCATTATTTAGAATAACCACTAAATACATTTTTACATCTAAGCCAAGATGGCAAAATACTAAATCTAGTTGTCTACTGTCATTTGATTCTCTCTTAGGAGTCTCCTTATCCCTACTACTTATAGGTTATGATTACTTTCTTGAAAATCTAATTCCCGAAGAATGCTCTAATGCAGGTATGGGGGAACTTTTGGCACTCTAGATATTGCACATGTTTTACCATCCCTGGCTACTGGCCATGCTTGCTAGGGCAACATCTGGTGGATCTTTGCTAGGGCAACATCTTTCCCACTCCTGCTCTGAAGGTTAAATATGTAGTGCCATCTCTGAAGCTAAGCACATCTGGGCATTGCTAGTACCTAGACAGGAAACTGGTAAAGACAATGCGATTATAATCAACCTTATACACAAAGCCAAAAAAGTTACTACCTGTTTTGTTTCGCTTTTTAAATTAACTAGCCTACCATTCCTCATCAGCCAACACGTTTCCTTGGTGGCCACAGAAAAGATGCTTCCTTTCACTTGCAGTCAGCATGGAACACAGTAGACTGAGATACCGGGGGGGGGGGGGGCGGGGCAGGGAAATTTGGCCTTTCTCCACCTGCCTGCTCACTCAGTTGCATGGAATTCTAGTGAGTAGTTAGATACAAGGCTGTATACCGGGGGTGCCTAACCTGGTGTCCTCCAGATCTTCCTGGACTCCAACTCTCATCAACTGCAGCCAGACTGGTCAATGGTCAGGGATGATGATGGTCATAGATTAGTCGGAGGCGACAGTCACAGATTAGTCACCCCTGTACACCGTGTGATTTTATTCCAGCTCCATCCTCAACAAATGCTTTGTAAACAGCAGCAGCATTGTGACATGCCAGTGTTAAGTGTAGTTGCTACCACTGCTCTGGCTGTGCTATGCTTATTGTAAAAATGCTAGCACTGATGTAGCCAGAGGATACAGCATCCACCTTAAAATTGAGTCATTCATACCCAAGTTCCCTCCCCCGCCCAGCCCAATATTATTAACCCAGCAATATGTGTGATTTATCCCTTTAGAGGGGAAAGAAAGTATGCACCATAATTGCAAAGGTGTTCCAAATCTATAGCAAACGCTGCAGAAAATTATCTTGGCTTCATCATATCCCTCCCACACGCACTTATCAAAGGAGAAGAGGACGAATGTATAAAAAAGTTATGATCAGCCACATGCAACACGATGTAACACATTCATCTTGCTCTTTTAGCAACTGGGGGGGGGGGCTGTGCAGAAAAAGGAGACCTGTGACCTAGCATAAAAATGAGAGAAGTATGCAATGATGACGACAACGTGATAAGGTAACTGACCCATCCACCTTTTGCCCTTTGGAATCCCCCCCCCCAGCCTATAAAAAACATGAAGGAAACACATCTGTGTAAGATTGCATCTGAAAATGTAAGTTGCCTGAAAGAGCCAGGTATTCTATTTCCTATTTACTGTTTCCATTTGTACACTACTGGCTATAAGAAGGTTCTGTTAAACCTCAGCTATAATCCAATGAGTCATAGGGGCGTAAAGGTAAAGGATTGTTTCCAGAGGTACTTTAAACAACTATATACACAAGGGCCACAGTAAGAAACTGACGTAGACCGATTTTTGAAAACAAATGGATTACAAAAAATCTCTCAAGAAAATAAATTAATGTTGAACTATAAAATAACTGAACAGGAGATAGAAGGTGCCATTCAGAATATGCAATTGGGTAAATCTCCAGGACCGGATGGACTGACTTCTAGATACTACAGATCTTTAAAAGAATGGCTAGTACAACCTTTGAAAGAGGTCTGCAATGAAATAACGGAGGGGAAAAGGGCACCAGAGTCGTGGAAAGAAGCGTACATCACACTTGTACCGAAAACAGAGACTGAAAAGACGCAGCTTAAGAACTATCGTCCCATATCACTGCTCAATGTGGATTACAAATTTTTGCAGATATCTTGGCTAAAAGACTAAAAAGAGTGTTAGTGGAAGAGATACATAAAGACCAAGCAGGCTTTCTCCCAGGAAGACATCTATCTGACAATGTGAGAAACATAATTAATATTTTAGAAAAATTACAAGTGAATATAAATACTAAGGCAGTTTTAATATTTGTGGACGCGGAGAAAGCTTTTGACAACATTTCTTGGACTTTTATGAAAAAGAACTTACAGGGTATGGGGGTAGGCCAAGGCTTTGAAAATGGTATAAGTGCAATATATTCTGAACAAAAGGCTAAATTAATTGTAAATAATGTGGTGACGGAAGAATTTAAGATAGAAAAAGGGACACGACAAGGTTGCCCAATCTCCCCACTGCTTTTTATATCGGTCCTGGAGGTTTTGCTGAATATGATTAGAAGGGACCAGTTGGTTAAAGGTATACAGGTCGGAGCCAAACAGTACAAATTGAGAGCATTTGCAGATGACTTAGTATTGACGTTACAGGAGCCAGAATCTAGTACCAAAAGGGTTTTAGAACTGATTCAAGAATTTGGTCAGGTTGCAGGGTTTAAACTGAATAAGTCAAAAACCAAGGTTTTAGAGAAAAACTTAACACCAATTGAGAGAGAGAGGTTTCAGAATGAGACAGGTTTAACAGTGGTCAAGAAAGTCAAATACTTGGGGATTAACATGACAGCAAAAAATGGGAATTTATTTAAAGACAACTATGAAAAATGCTGGGCTGAAGTGAAAAAGATTTAGAAATTTGGTCAAATTTGAAGCTTTCACTGCTGGGCCGTATTGCTGCGATAAAAATGAATGTATTGCCTAGAATGCTGTTTTTGTTTCAAACATTGCAAATTGTGGACAAGATGGACTGTTTCAAGAAGTGGCAGAGAGATATTTCTAGATTTGTCTGGCAGGGCAAGAAGCCTAGAATAAAATTTAAAATACTAACAGATGTAAAGGAAAGAGGTGGATTTGCCCTGCCAGACTTTAAACTTTACTATGAATCAGCAGCTTTTTGCTGGTTGAAAGAATGGCTGCTTCTCGAAAACACAGACATTTTGGATTTAGAAGGTTTTAACAACGTATTTGGATGGCATGCATATCTGTGGTATGATAAGGTCAAAGCACACAAAGCATTTAAAAACCATATTGTCAGGAAAGCATTGTTTAATGTCTGGATAAGATATAAGGACTTATTGGAAAATAAAACCCCAAGGTGGCTGTCACCGATGGAAGCGAAAGCTCAGAAAAAGCTCAATATGGAGGTCAAATGGCCGAAATATTGGGAAATTTTGGAACAAGATGGAGATAGACTGAAATTGCAGAGTTTTGAAAAACTAAAAAACAAAGTGCGAGACTGGCTTCATTATTATCAGATAATGGAGGCATATAATTTGGACAAGAAAATCGGCTTCCAGGTGGAAAAATCAAAATTAGAAACAGAACTGTTAGAACCCAAAACTAAGATTTTGTCAAAGATGTATAACTTGCTGTTGAAATGGAATACTCAGGATGAAACGGTGAAATCTGCTATGATTAAATGGGCACAAGATGTTGGACATAACATATTGATGGCTGACTGGGAACAGTTATGGACCACAGGTATGAAGTTTACGGCATGCAATGCCTTAAGAGAGAATATTATGAAAATGATATACAGGTGGTACATGACCCCAGTCAAGCTTGCAAAAATCTATCACTTGCCCGATAATAAATGTTGGAAATGTAAAGAAACTGAAGGTACATTTTTTCACCTATGGTGGACGTGCCCAAGGATTAAGGCTTTCTGGGAGATGATTTATAATGAATTAAAAAAGGTATTTAAATATACCTTCTTGAAGAAACCAGAGGCCTTTCTCCTGGGCATAGTCGGCCAATCGGTGTTAAAGAAGGATAGAACTTTCTTTATGTATGCCACAACAGCAGCAAGAATACTTATTGCAAAGTATTGGAAGACACAAGACCTACCCACTCTGGAAGAATGGCAGATGAAGGTGATGGACTACATGGAATTGGCGGAAATGACTGGCAGAATCCGGGACCAGGGAGAAGAGTCGGTGGAAGAAGATTGGAAGAAATTTAAAGACTATTTACAGAAATACTGCAAAATTAATGAATGTTAGAATGATGTTGGATTGAAGTTAAGTGGTTTCTAGCTGTAATGGTATAAAAGAATATGAAAAAATGGATTTTTAACAGGTAAAAATTTAATGCTATAATATATTAAGATTAAAGATCAGGATAAAATAAGGAGGGAAAGGAATTGCTGAACTAATAAATTGAACTGGAATACAAAAAAGGGAGGTATGAGGAGGTCCGGGAAACAAGCAAATGAAAGATAAGTAATGGAAAGATTGAATTGTTTTTAACTATTTTTATTTTGTATTTTGTATTTTTTCTTTTTCATTTTGTAATATTGTGAAAACTTTTTTATATTTTTATATATATATATATATATATATATATATATATATATGGTAAAGGTAAAGGGACCCCTGACCATTAGGTCCAGTCGTGGCCGACTCTGGGGTTGCGGCGCTCATCTCGCTTTATTGGCCAAGGGAGCTGGCGTACAGCTTTCAGGTCACGCGGCCAGCATGGCTAAGCCACTTCTGGCGAACCAGAGCAGCACACGGAAACGCCGTTTACCTTCCCGCCAGAGTGGTAACTATTTATCTACTTGCACTTTGACGTGCTTTCAAACTGCTAGGTTGGCAGGAGCAAGGACCGAGCAATGGGAGCTCACCCCATCGTGGGGATTCTAACCGCCGACCTTCTGATCAGCACGTCCTAGGCTCTGTGGTTTAACTCATAGCGCCACCCACGTCCCATAGGGGCATGGGGGGCCTCAAATGTGGGTGCATAGCATTGCTCACTAAAAGTAGGGAGTATTCCCCAACTTAGAAGAGGACAACTCACAAAACATACAGACCTTTCTTCAGACCATGCTCGTTTTCTTTAACACACTGTATTCTAGCAGCAATATTTAACCACACGCATAATTATCACTAAAATCGTATTAAATATAATTGAGGAAAAAATAGTAATAATGCCATTCAGTGTCGTGGCATTTCAGATAGGCAGCCATACCTATTTAGTGGTTGTCAATTAGGAAAAGTAGCATTAGTTCTTACTCCAATGTACTACCCCTTCCCAATAGGTACTGTTGAAGTTTTATACGAAACACCAAGTCTTGGGGTGCAATAAATATTCCTCAAGAGCTGGATGCAAGACTCATTTTATGGAGAAATTAATACTGCATTTCATTTCATTTCGTTACTGCAACATAAACTTCTTACTATGTAAAATGGCAGAATTCAGAAGAGTCTGTGTGGGCAGGGGGTGGAAGGAAGGAAGAAGAACACCGCATATTGAATGTTGAGGATATGGGCACATTTGAACCTGGAACTTCAAGTTGAAGAATTCACAAAGGCACTTCCCCATCAAAGGACTATACAGTGGTACCTTGGGTTAAGAACTTAATTCGTTCTGGAGGTCCGTTCTTAACCTGAAACTGTTCTTAACCTGAGGTACCACTTTAGCTAATGGGGCCTCCCGCTGCTGCAGCGCTGCTGCCGCACGATTTCTGTTCTCATGCTGAAGCAAAGTTCTTAACCTGAGGTACTATTTCTGTAATGTGTCTGTACCAGAGTCTGTAACGTGAAGCGTCTGTAACCTGAAGTGTCTGTAAACCGAGGTACCACTGTATGTGCTTTGCCTGCTTTTCTTTCTAAGTCAAAACTCAATCTAAAAATAAAAAATAATAATTATCTGAACACTTACCCTGCCACAACCCATTCTGACATTATAGGAAGGTTTCAGGGTCTGAAACTCAAGGGTGGAGCCTTTACCATAACATGACCAAAAGTGAAATAAGAACAAGCACCGAGAACAAAGGTTTAAATTGCTCTTGCGTGGCTTTTTATTGGATGCCCACTATGTAAATAGACCCAACTTCACTCCCTAGGTAACTTAATACGAAGTGAAGGAGCATTTGTACACAGAATGAATTTCATGGAAGGGATCTTCTTCCCTCCGCTGTAGTAAAGGACAAATGTAGTAAAGTGACCATGACAGATGGTAAGTAAGGTGCCTGAAAGCAATGACCCAGGGGAAAGCAACAATGGATCATGCTGGAAGCCTCTTCCCTTGGCAATGGGTGCTGGTCCTGCTATCTGCCTTTCCCTGACCCACGGCCTCATGTACCTGCTACTTAGGAGAACAATAGCCAGAGTAGTGTGTGAGAGCAGGAAACTGGAGTCAGAAACTGCTCTGTGCTGGATTCTAAAGCTGTGATGAATGGAGGAACAAGAGCTTTTGGGGTGTTAATGCTGTGAGCCCTTCCATCCTATGCTCAGGTTGTGTATAGAGGTAAAGTGTAAAGGGACCCTTGACCATTAGGTCCAGTCGTGGCCGACTCTGGGGTTGCGGCGCTCATCTCGCTTTATTGGCCAAGGGAGCTGGCGTACAGCTTCCGGGTCATGTGGCCAGCATGACAAAGCTGCTTCTGGCGAACCAGAGTAGCACACGGAAATGCCGTTTACCTTCCCGCCGGAGCGGTACCTAGAATCATAGAGTTGGAAGAGACCACAAAGGCCATCGAGTCCAACCCACTGCCAAGCAGGAAACACCATCAGAGCACTCCTGACATATGGCTGTCAAGCCTCTGCTTAAAGACCTCCAAAGAAGGAGACTCCACCACACTCCTTGACAGCAAATTCCACAGTCGAACAGCTCTTACTGTCAGGAAGTTCTTCCTAATGTTTAGGTGGAATCTTCTTTCTTGTAGTTTGGATCCATTGCTCCATGTCCGCTTCTCTGGAGCAGCAGAAAACAACCTTTCTCCCTCCTCTATGTGACATCCTATTTATCTACTTGCCTATTTATCTACTTACCTATTTATCTACTTGCATTTTGACGTGCTTTCGAACTACTAGGTTGGCAGGAGCAGGGACCGAACAACGGGAGCTCACCCCGTCGCGGGGATTCAAGCCACCGACCTTCTGATCGGCAAGCCCTAGGCTCTGTGGTTTAACCCACAGCGCCACCCGCGTCCCAGATTGTGTATATATGTAAATAAAACCATATATCCTAAAGACACCACAGTCTTCCTTCATTCTAAGGAGCTGAACCCTGGAGAAGAACTTGGTGTCTCTCAAAGCTAAGAGATTGGGATGCTGTGTAATATTGCTTCATTTTGTTTTGTTTATTTTTGCTGTTGTTTCAACCAACATGGTAATATCAACCATCCAAAAAGAATATACATCATATACAATATATACATAAATATAACATTAAAACACAATAGCAACCAACAGATGATGATGATGATGATGATAGTTACAAACTAATTTCAGATAACACAACACAACAATGCTTGGTGAAAAACATGATTGCAAGATACACCCAGAAACGTTGAACAGAAGATATTGCATAGCTAAACTGGGGATGCAGGGAGAATGGACAAAAAGATGAAACACACATCTACTGTCAATGTCACACATTCGTACTCAATCTTCTTTCTTTGTTAAAAAGGACACACATAACCTTACAAGTTTAAACACAAAGGGTACTCATTCTTCAAAACGAAACTGTAATCTGCATTACAAATGCAAGATCACAAGATGGCACTTGGGAAGGTTTTCACAAGCGCGTAAAATCTCTGTATTTCTCTTCTTCCAGAGAGTTCTATGCCAATGCTTCGTTTGCTTTCTCTCAGAGGCTGCTTGGATTCCTAACTGATCGATATAAGTACACCTGACCCTGTACTGTGGGTTTTTACATCTTAAGTTCACACACATCTCCTGTTTCAGAGCCAACAGTGGTGGGGAGAGAGAAAACTAATGGGGGGTGGGGAGAGGAGAGAACACTACACACTCAACTGCTTATGGCAGGGGTAGGCAACCTAAGGCCCGGGGGCCGGATGCAGCCCAATCACCTTCTCAATCCGGCCCGCAGACGGTCCGGGAATCAGCATGTTTTTACATGAGTAGAATGTGTCCTTTTATTTAAAATGAATCTCTGGGTTATTTGTGGTGCCTGCCTGGTGTACACTGAAGCAAAAAACAACAACCTTAATGTGGCTCAATCATCACTTGTTTTCTGGTGAGTGGTAAAGTCTTGATTGTTTAAAAATGGATTCTGGTACAGATGTTTAAGGATAAGTTTCTGGTCTTTCCCCCCGTGCTGCTGATGTCTTTTAAAACCACAGTTTATATCATTTTTATTTCTGCATTTTACTTTACAGTGTATTCTTCTTTACTGTTTTGCTACTTTAAACCTTCAGGATCAAAAACATGGGGTATTAAATGCAGTAAATACAATAATAAAACCGAGCAGAGCCTTTTTGAATAGTTAGAAAGATCTAGCACCCATTCCAACTAAATCTGTTAATTCCCCGCACCCGGCATGTCATATTTTGTAGGCTCTGCCAATGCAAGCTCTCTTTCTCACCCTGTTAAGACACACACACACACACACACACACACACACACACATCCTAGTTCATTTGAAGTTGAGCATGTGCGTTTGAGAGTGAGAGACAGACGCCTGCCCACAGCTGTCACAGTCAGCCCTACCGCAGGAAGCACAAAGTAATGCAGCAATTCCACCATTGGAAAGAGAACACCCATCTGTTGTTCCCTGGAAAATTCCTGGAGGCTAGATGTGTGTGAAACGCCCTCGTTATAAGCCTTTTGTTTGGTACAGATAGCACTCCAGAATATGGAAGGTAATGAGCCACAGGGGAGACCAACTAGGAAAAGGGCAGATGAGAATCCATCAAACCAGACCTTCTTTTGCTTTCCTTGCTCAGGAAGGGGGATTAACAACATGTAAGGGAACATTTGGGACCCAGCAAGATTGTTAAACTACTGGAAATGCCAGACATTTTCTTTTTAGGCTAGTCAGAGGATTTCATTAAAAGAATTTTTTTGTCTCTGTTGGAGCATTGGTGACTTATGAAAGTCACACAAAGGCCAAAGGTTGGAATAATCTTCTAATCCGGAATCTCTATAGTTATTAGGGTGAGAAACCTATTACCTCAGGTCTGAAAACCAGTGAATTAAGTGAAGATACTCCAGCAGTTAGTATCCAATTCCAGGTGCCAACTCTATGACGTAACATTGACAAGAATAAGGAACAGAGTTTTTACAAGGTCTGGTTCAGTTCCCTTTAAATATTTCAGTGTAGTACAGTATCATATCTTATCAAAATAATTTCTTTAATTTGCAGAATATGGATAGATATCTTCTCAAAATGAGAGCAAGCACATAAAATGATACTGAGGATAATCCTAGATGTAATCTAGAATCGCCATTCAAACTGAGTGCTGGAGAAGACTTGTTTATGATTATATTTTGGGAATGATACATTTTCTTATGTAGCTGGATTGCGTTATACTTTCTGGGTGCCCCATGCTCATATTATAAAGTAGTTGTGCTCTATGTTACAATTCAAGCACTGCTAGGAGTTGTTTCTTTTTCTTTTCCAACGTGTTTCTTACCAATAAAAAATTCAGTGTGGTGCGAGCAAATTTTATTCTGAAAGTGCAGCCCAGAGGAAAAAAAGTTTGACAACCACTGCTTTAAAATCTTATAAAGCAGAAAGCAATTACAGTGGTGCCTTGGGTTACAGACGCTTCAGGTTACAGACTCTGCTAACCCAGAAATAGTACCTCGGGGTAAGAACTTTGCTTCAGGATGACAACAGAAATCGTGCTCTGGCGGCGTGGCAGCAGCGGGGGGCCCCATTAGCTAAAGTGGTACCTCAGGTTAAGAACAGTTTCAGGTTAAGAATGGACCTCCAGAATGAATTAAGTTCTTAACCCAAGGTACCACTGCAATAAAAATAAAATAAAATGGAGGCAGAAGCAACAACAATAACACAAAATAAAGTAGAAGCTACCATAGCGTGAAGGGCAGGATAAAAATGGTTTAAATAAAAGGAAATTACCAGTATATCCTTCAAAATAAGTTTTTGTTAACAGGAGACTTTATTTTTGTTTCTTCGTAAATGAGCCAGAATTTAAGATTTAACTCTCCATTCAAGACTCATCTGGTGTCTTAAAAAAACAAAACAAAACAAAAACACCTTCATTGACACAATATTAAACCTCACTAGACAATCTATGGGAAACAGGACAAACTTGGTTGCATTGGCCAATTATAAGTTTTCAGGTCGATGGTTCAGTTGATGGCTGACCACCTTGGGACCATGAGCTGATGGCTGTTTGAGAGTTTAGTCCCAGTAGGAGATGTTTCCATAACTGAAATTAATATGCTAGCAGCCTCATTAGGAGACCAAGCTGAAAAACTGAGGACAAAAATGATCCAACAAATAATTCAGTATCTTCCAAGACTGGTAAGGTGATAAGGCCAAGGTCTGAATTTTCAGGAGCAACTGTTGTCCAGATAAGATGGGGTGGAATTGCATGGCGCGATCAAACTGTATAATAAATGACAATTTTCAGCGCCTTCTAACAAGAAAGGATTCATTATGGCAACCAATATATTGGACACAGCTGGAGCATTACATGTAGAGTTCAAGAAAGGTATCTGGGAAGGGAACCTGGTTCAGCGGCACAGCAAATGCTCTGCATGTAAAAAGGCCTCCAATTCAACCACTGTCAACTGCCTGAAATGCTAGAGAGCTGTTTCCAGTCACCAAGCTGAATTTATTTATTTTGTTATTGTTACATTTATACCCCACCCTTCCTCCAAGGAGCTCAAGGTGGCATACATGGTTCCCGCCCCCTATTTTTATCCTTAAAACAACTTTGCAAGGTAGGCTATTCTGAGAGATAGTTACTAACCCAAGGTTCACCCAGTGAGCTTCATGACCAAGTCGGTATTGGAACCCTGGTATAACGTAGTTTCCTGTAAGACATCACTAGGAGAAATATCTCCATTTTGAACTATGTAAGCCAGGCACAGGCAAACTCAGCCCTCCAGATGTTTTGGAACTACAACTCCCACCATCTCTAGTTAACAGGACCAGTGGTCAGGGATGGTGGGAGCTGTAGTCCCAAAACATCTGGAGGGCCGAGTTTGTCTATGCCTGACGTAAACAAAATAATTTCTCTTTTTCTTCAAAGTTAAATTGCGGACATTTTTTAAACCATCCGTTGATTAAATTTAGTAATAGCCAGTATTGACAAGGTATTGCTCTTACCCTGCCAGTGTTTTCAGTAAATGAGTGAAGTCAAAAAATGATTTGTTTGGACACCAGGAGAAGGGAATTCCTGAGGTCCTCCAAAGCATGGAAATGCGGTTATGGAAAGATCAGCAGGATCTACCCATTTGCTGCTTGGTTTGTTTTATTTTGCTGCCTGCCAACCACGTGGAGCCATCAGTGAGCAGGCATTTGAGAGGCTTCAAAAAATATTCTGTGCTGAGGTGGGGGGGGGGAGTGGGGGAATTTCCTATTACTCGTTTTGCTGCCTGCCCTCCTATGTCCCAAAGCTCAGGAGTGGAGTGGAAGGATGATGATGATGAAAATAATGTGAGGTGGGGGAGGCTGAAACTGGAGAACTGGGGCTAAAAAAAGGTGTTCATACTTTTACTTCCTCCAGATCTGGTTGCCCCAGTAGGGGAAGCCAGACTCGCTTCCCTTCTTCCCTTCCAGAGAAAGGAACGTAGCAACAGAACCCAGAGAGGGCATCAGTCAACCGTTAGGGGTGGAGGAGCCAGAGTCAGATGAGGAGCCCACAGTCTGGTCACTCAGGACCTGGCTGCAGACTCATGGGAACAGATGCATCTTTGCCGACTCAGTGAGTGTCTGCACTCTTGGCAGTCTTGCAAGGCACGAGAGCCTCACAAGTGAGCCCGCCTTGCCACATCTTCAGAAGAGTAGCAGATGGACATACCGCCTTGTGAGGACAACTCTGCTGCTTCCTTGCAGTTCCGACCTCCTTCCTTTGATCCTGAACTCCTTGAACTCGGGCTGCTGCTTCAAGCTGGATGGGAGCCAGGACAGTTGCACAGAAGAGCTAGCACACAGCTGCTCGAGGAACGTTTTGAAAATCTGGGGGTGGGCGAAGAAATGCAGGAATACCCCTGTTGCGGCTGTATTTGTTTTGCTGCCTACAGTAGGCAGCTGCTGGAGATGGTCCTCAGCTGAGTATGTGGGTGTGTTGAGAAGGATATGGCTTCTGTTGTTGCTGAATGCCCTACAGCGGGGACTACTCCAAAGTGGCTGGAATGTGAAAACCCAGCGCAGAGGTACCTCCGTTATTATCACCATCATCATTACCACTCTTTTCCTGATTGTTCCAAAATTCTTGGGGGAGAGAGACCCAGTGCAAAGGCATCATTATTATCACTATCATCTTCACCTTTCTGCTGCTTCTGCCCAAGGGGCAGTGCAGTGCAGTGCAAAGGCCTCATCATCATCATCATTATCAGCTTTTCTCCGTTCCCAAATTGTTGGGTTTTGTTGGGGTGGGCATTTCAGAAGCATCATTATTATCACCACCTTTTTCTCCTGCCTGGCCCACAGGAGGGGTCACCCCCAAATTGTTTGGGGAGGACACAATACACTCTAGAGACAGAAACATTATTATGTCTCCTAAATCCCCCTACTTTTGAGTTGCATATAGATGACGTTCAGCCTCGAACATCACACTAGTCTAGGCCAGTAGTGTTCAAATACTGCTCTGGTGAGTTGTCTTTCATGTACCTTCTGTTTATTTTCCATGTATTTCTATTCTTTTTTGTCCCGCAAAGATGATGATGATGATCATAATAATAATAATAATAATAATAATAATGCAGCCAGCATTATTTGTGACTATCTGTGACTCCACAATTGCATTTTCTCTTACAGAATTCTAGGGCTTGGTGTCACAAAATTATTCTGATAGCTTTTCAACTTAATAATAAAACACAGATCTTAAAAAGAAGGGGTGAACAGACTTTTCTCAGCGGAGACTTGGGGCGCAGGTTCATCTGCAGGCCCATAGTCAGGCTGTTGTTGATTTCCGGGTTTTAGTTTTCTTGTTTCTAAAGTCTCCCTCACCCTCTGCTATTTCTGTTCAACATAAACAGCTATTGCGCCAGTTCCACTTACAGATTTATTCCATTTGATACACTTATTACCTCCATAATCATTTATTGATTGAATCATATGGTATGAAATTGGAGGGAACAATAAAACTTACTGTTTTGAGCCAGAGCTTGAAGCAGACAGTCCAAGCACCCCTCCAAGCTATCAGCTGTGCTGTCAACAGCTGTTATCTTCAGCTTCTTCAAGGCATCGCTTAGATTATCTGCTTGGATAACATGAAGGAGAAAGCAAAATCAGTGTCCTGGTCTGTCAATTGTAGCTTATGGGCTTAAAGTGCAAATCAACATAGATAAGGTGATGCCAACAAGTGCGCCGACAAAAGACATTGACTATTTTATCTCTCCCATTCCCTGATGCCAACAGGGCAAGGACTCTCTTTAGCTGTGGGGGGGAAACAACAACAGACCCACAGCAGCCAGTTGGCTACAGGCCACACACTCACTTCCACCGCTACCACCAAGTTATACAACAAGCAAAAGGCATTATAAACTCAGTATTAGGGCAATACATTTATTAGGCCAACAAAAATGCAACAAAACACTGGGCAATTTGAGTTCTTCAGAACTCTTCATCAGGCTAGATCAGGAGCAGCGACTACAACCCTGGTTTGGAGAGCCATTTGGCACCTATCTTATAAATCCGAGTTTCTAACACTGGAGATAACTGACAGTAGAACCATGAAGTCTCGGTCACTGTTCCTTCTTCCCAGCAGCCTTTGGTGCAACCAGAAACCTGCCTAGTACCCAACGCCTCATTTTAACGTGCTACCTTCTCCCACGCTGCATCTTAAGGACTATGACCAGATGCAGGCTCCATGGCTTCACCATCAGCCTATTTTCTTTCCTCCTCTCCTTTGTTTTATTTCTAGCCTGGTGAAGAACTCAAAAGTTTGCACACTATAGTTATTATATGCTGACATGACATGGATTCTAGAATTTTTTGATTTATTTATTACATTGATATGACTTTCATCCAAAGACTTAAAGTTAGCTTATAATGTGCTCTCACACACAATAACTGATTATACAGGACTAAAGCTGGAATCAGAAAATATTATTTGTAGTTGTTTTGTTTTTGTTTTTTTAAATCTTCACCATCATAGAAGTCATCTCATACCTTGACCCTGTACAAGGGTAGCTATATTGAGGTTAACCTTAGCCCTATAACATAACCAATTACTACAGAATCAATTGCCAAACACAACTGCAGAGTTGCTGTGTTCTGGATACAGAAGCAAGTGAGCTACTTTACTCTTTTCCATTTTGTGAGAGAATGAGGAAGCTTTCAGGAATGAAAAAGAAAGAGGCCAAGAAGTTCCAATGATGAAACGAATACTCTGCCCCCTGATCATGTTTTAAAATAGGTTTTCTGTGGATTCACATTTATGTTCCCATAAAGCATGCCTGGCACTAGCACCTTAAATATTCTGTTTATTCAAGAGGCATAGTAAGTGCTAACAGTCGCAGCTTAGTTGTTGTTTTTCCTTCTCTTTGCCAGATGATGACTAACCTCACATGTGAATGGCTTAGCCTTTTAAAAAGACACAAGGAATAATTCAGATTCCATGCCCACTAAGACTGTAATCCTAACTGTCCTTATTTGGAAGAAAGTCCTATTGAAACTGAAGGGGAATGAAATGCACACCACAGTGCTAAGTCAGCAAAGCAGAGATATGTCTCCCCTCAAACAATGATACAGTGGTGCCTCGCAAGACGAAATTAATCCGTTCCGCGAGTGTCTTCGTCCAGCGGTTTTTTCGTCTTGCGAAGCAACCCTATTAGCGGCTTAGCGGATTAGCGCTATTAGCGGTTTAGCGGCTATTAAAGGCTTAGCGGCTTAGCTGCTAAAAGGCTATTAAAGGCTTAGCGGCTTAGAAAAAGGGGGGGGAAAGCGGGAAAAAAAATCTCAAGACTCGCAAGACATTTTCGTCTTGCGAAGCAAGCCCATAGGGAAATTCGTCCTGCGAAGCAACTCAAAAACGGAAAACCCTTTCGTCTAGCGGGTTTTCCGTCTTGCGAGGCATTCGTCTTGCGGGGCACCACTGTAAATACTTCCTATATCTGCTAAGTAACACAATTATTATCCTAATCCAAATCCTGCCATATGACAACTTTGTGGTATGTCTATCTCTTGCAAATGCCAAGGCATGTGAACAACAAAAGTGTAAAGCATTTATTTGTTTATATTTAAAGTATTTTATGCAGTATTCAGGGTAAAAACCATTCCAAGGTAGTTTACAGTGCATAAAATACATAGAAAATTATCTATAAGAAAACAACCAGCAAAATAGTAAACAAGACAGCAGGGGACATCTGTCATTGTAACTCAGCTCAAAAAATATTTTAAACCATTTCAAAATCAGCATCATAATAAAGCAATCAAGAAAAACAATCAGTTCTTAAACCTTGATTAAGGGGACATTTTCACCTCAGCATTCCACAGCCAGCGGGTTAAAATATGTTATGTATTTGGATAATAGTAATGCCCATACACATTAGGTAAGTATATGGAATTGGAATTGTTAGCTTGAATAATGATATAGTACACCTTTTATTTTTATTTTATTCAATTAAGTTGTTCCTGAAGAAGATGAAGAAGAACTCCATAGCTACAGGATTGCTAACCAATGGGGCATCCACATGAGGCAATCTAAAATATAGTTGCTTCAATTTCACTTCTTCCTTGCTGTAGATAATTGAACAGTCTCATTTCCTTCGGTGTCTCATATATTTTGAGAGATTCGTAATGGGAGTCCAGTTCAAAGTGACGAACTAGATCAAACAAGTCAGAAGCTCATGGCTTCTTCGGTTGCATTGAACTCCCACCCCTCAATATTAAACTTTTCCCCCAAAGCTTCCTTCCACTTCTCCTTGTGGCTGATAAGCAACCATCCTGTGTTCTGCTGAGTGCTTGCTAAAAGACAGGGATGATTGGCTGATGTATTTCCTCAAAGTGACTAGAAATGTTTTCCTGAATTGGTAATTTACCTGCTGGTAGAGTCTGGAACCAGTGATTTATAGGGGGGGTGTGTGTGTGTGTGTGTGTCCGTCTCAAGAAAAAAACAGTATGGAGCAGTCTGAATTTAGGATGAGGCAGAGAATGGCAGAGGAAGCAGATGTTTACAGCTGTGGTTAGCTAAAACTGGGTGCAGCTTTTGCTGCAACAATTGTTCTTTCAGAATCTGATGCAAGATTAGAAGTTGGGCTACCAGCTTTAGAAGCCATAAATTCTCTTTTAGAGGAAATTACACACTGTACACTGGCTCCCTCAGCCAATAAAGCGACATGAGCGCCGCAACCCCAGAGTCATCTGCGACTGGACCTAATGGTCAGGGGTCCCTTTACCGTTACCTAAAACCATCAAGGAAACATATCAAACTTTGCCTTGTTTCCGCAACTTGGTCTCAGATACATTACAATCAAACAACAACACCCAAAAACTCTTTGCTTTGATGTCCAATATGGGTCCCCTGTATAATACTTTAAAAATTAATTTTGATGTTGCAGAAACGAATTGCTCCAACAAGAAGGCAAGCAGGTAGATTTCTACCTAACAGAAAGATAGAACTTCCAAAATCAAAACAAAGCACAACAATGAAAGAGGCTTGTTTTATAGTATTCCCTCATGCAGAAAGGATCTGGGTTGTATTTTGAGAAAGAGCATATGCCATGAGGAGCATCCTTGTAATTATTCAAATATTATTCCAGTTCTCTAAAGGTACTGAAAGAAGATTCCAAGCACATCTTAATGCAGCAATGTATCTCCTCCAGCTCCCCAAAGTGTTAGTTATGAAAAGCATTTTCACTCCTGTTTTAATCACCACAAAGGAGCGATATAACAGACCACTAGAGGTGTCTGAGGAAGCAAAAAATTCACTGGCCAGTTCCTTTGCAGCGGAAGTCTGAAAGCATCAATTTGGAAGAGGTATGGGAGGGTGGAGTATAAATTTATTATTATTATTATTATTATTATTATTATTATTATTATTATTATTAGTGTTGGCTAGGGTGCCCACCCCCAAAGCCCACTCTGCCAGGGAAAATCGATTACTTATCAAGACATATGAAAATCAATCTGTTCCCCACCCCAGAACTACTATACATCTCCTAGTCCTTGAAGTGCCTCTCTGCAACCTACCTAGAATCTGAGTTGAAAGGTGGACCTCTGATGTCATCAAATCCTCAGAAGTCCTGATCCAGACGGGGCCACCTGCAATTTGCATTTTCAAAAAACATTTGTTTTGGGTTTTTTGGCAATGCAAATTGCAGGCATGTGGAGCAGTTTAGATTAGGACTACTGGGTGGAAGCAAACATCAGACCTCCTCTACTTCTCCATTTCAAAGCCCTTTTGCAAACAGTCTTTTGCTGCTCTTTAAACTTTCAAAAACTGTCACATTTGGCCCAATAGGAGATAAGGTATGCTGGCCAGAAAAGGTATTTTCCACTCTGGTGAACACAATACAGAGTTAGAATAGGAAGGTCAGTCCAGAAACATCCAATATTACTGGATATATTTCTCCTTTTAAATTAATGTGAGCAACTTTGGAAGACAATTAGCTGAAAATTGGAATACACAGAGAACATATAATAGTATATTTACCTATAATAGTAAATAAATATAAGTCTGTCAATCCAAGTAGTAAGTGACCAATCTTGACTACTCCAGAACTGCTACAAGAAGACATGCCTTCTTATCATGCCTCTACTACAGAGAAGTTTTTTATGTTCCTAGAGGTGTCAAGATAATGTTCCCGTCTGCTTTCTGAATTCAGAGGCAATGTATCTGACTTGGCTTATCTGCCAATTTGGCTGCAATGAATTCTTGCTTAAGAAAGCTGCAGGGCTTGAAAACTTTGTGGCACTGTCAGAAATATACTGGCGTTTCCAACTACAAAAACCATTTCCCCAGGAAAATAATATTGAGAGAAGTTGAGTATCCGTTCTAGATAGGGATGCTCTCTGTCCGTTAATTTTCTGAGCAGAGTAAAATGGGGAGTTATTTGATATATACTTCATACATGCTACCCCAAAAAACAGTCTTGTATAGTTACAGTATTTCCTGCTAATTTATCTTCATGAAAAACTATCCATGAGGTAGGTTAGGCTAACAGACAGTGACATGCAAAAGAACACCCAGTGAATTTCATGGCTGAATCAGAATTTAAATGAGGCGGCTGAGAAGGCATAGCCTCATTAGTACATGCAACTCTACAGATGAATATCAGGGTTAATAAAACTTACAGTTAATGATCGTGTTTTATTTTAATAATGATCTCCCCTCTGCTTCATGAGATAAAAAGTGGTTAGAGGACGAAAGTGTTAGGTAGCAAGAACATGTCAAGAGTAGGGCGGTAACAAGGCGGGTGCAATGAAAACAATGGAAAAAACACACAAATTCTTATCCATGGAAATGAAATGCATTCTGTTGCAATTTATAAATAATAATTATAGGTCACAAAACAACAATATAAAGGACTGGATCCAAAGATGTGCAATCAGAACTTTGCTTGTGCAGCAGAGTTGTTTTACTTCCTAGTCCTGCTGTGATGTCTTACCCTCTTCAAGATCATAAAACAAGAATAACATGAGGTATAATGCAGGAGAGGGCTAGACTTGGAAGACAGAATCAGAAGAAATTGTGGGACAGCAAGCCTATGCCAGCAGCAGTGCCATCCACTCATGCAAAAGATGTTCTATATCCCAGCCAAGGAATTCGCTGATACTATCAACATGCAGCACTGATCACACTTTAATGGCCTTGTTCAGACACATTAACAGCCTTATGAACAAGTGTCTGGCTCATGCACTCCCTCATCCAATCTTCGCTTCTGGCATGGCCACAAGAAGATCAGAAACCTCTGCTTCTGCTTTCAGTTACCCAAAGCTTGGTGTTACATCCAAACACTAAACTGTGGTTAGCTTTAACTATGGTTTACTGAAACATGCCAGCTTCATAAACCACACATGGCTTGTTCCAGTATGCCATAATTTAAGACTATCCACAGTTTGCTGAGCTTAAGACATATGTAATGCTAAACTGTGGTTAGTTAAAAACTGAAGCAAAACATTCTGATCTTCTTGTGGCCAAGGACAAGGGGTCACAAGCCCTTCAAATAAGCACACTTTGGGATTATGTCCAAACAGGGCTATTGCTTCACTAATATAACAAGCTTGAAATCAGAAGCAGAAATAGTCATCAAAAGGATTATAGATAATTTATGCCACTTAGAATATGTTGTTCTCTCTATAAAAGACATACAAGGTGTAATGCAACAAACATGACAATAAAAGCTGAAGGGTCTGTGTAGCTTTTCTGGTAAACAAAAAGAGAATGAAGAATTTTACTTTGCCTAATGTCTTACAGCTTGCTTATTGGAGAACAGCAAACATCAGCAACCTTGCAAATGAGCTTAGAAAAGTTACAACCAAAGTGGTTGCTAGCTCTACCAAAAAATGTCCAAGGCAATATTTATTGGGCTAATCCCCATTTCTGAGTCCGAGATTAGCCATTGTTATTATTATTCCTCCTATATTTCATCTACTGGATTTTAACTGGATATTTTATGTTTGTTTTCAATCAAACATTACCATCTAGTCAAGCTTTCATTTTTCAGAGTCTTGGGGATTTTCATTTATTTAAGTAAATAAAATTGGCACAGCCATGTTTATTTGCTTTGCAAGATATATACATCTTAAATCGAGCGACAACAACAAAGCTCTGGAGAAACAGGGGGCATGGGCAGATTGCTAATTGGGGTTTGGGGAATGCTTTTTAAACTGGCATTAGGAACAAAAGGCGTCCGCAATGGGTAAAGACAATCTAAAATCCTTTGTAATCATAGCTAAATCTACATCAGAATAAATTGCTCACAACAAAAGACTCTTCAGCAGGTAGTAATCAATCAGCCATGGTAAGCAAAGAAGGAGGGATGCAGTCTACAGATTTTAGGTACAGAATTAGTTTCATTAAATAGTGTGGGCATGAGCAATGCACTGCTTGTTGTCATTTGGGGAAAAAACAAAACTATTCTGATGTATCCCAATGGATAGACCTTTCATTGCTAGAATAATAATCTATAGAACTATAGCAAAGAATCTGTATCTCTATGCCAGACTCTTCACCGAATGAATTATGCAAATACAGGCACAGCAAAAAGAGATCCATTTTCAGGCATTCACAAATGTGGACATGCTGGTGGAAACATGCCAGAATTAGTGAAACCAACAACATGTAAATTCTCTCTGGCTTCATTCTTTCCTCAGGGGACAGCCCAGCTAATTATCATCTTCTGCAGAAGAAACATGTTTTAAGGTACAGTGCTGTGATTCATTTCACCACATAAGAACTGTGAAGTTGCCAGCTAAGGAATCATCTTAGCTTTTAAGGAATCGTCTTAGCAAAGAAAATGATAGCTGCAGACAAGGGCTCTTATCGCAACCCATTCCCCTCCATTATGGGAAAATGCAAAACCAGGGTGGCAACTTCAACAATGTCTCATACCTCACAAAAAAAACAAAACAAAACATTATTTCAGATTTGAGCTAGCCAAGCACCAAAGCAAGCTGGATTTTGGGTAGTTAGCTTCTTCCTGCTGAGACTACTAAAGAATATAAATGAATATGGGTGGAATTGCCAACTTCCACTAAAAATTAAAACAAAAAAATAGCATATACTCATTTAGCATCACCAAGTCTGCCACCACACATATACACACACTTACTTATTTCTGCAATCTATCATTGATTCTGAAGCTCTAATGCCACAGGTGAACTTACAGGCTACTCCTCAATGTTATAGCTTTTGTCACTTATGCACACCATCAGTTGCACTAAGGATGGAGAACCTGTGGCCCTTCAGATGTGGTTCCGTCTTATTAACCTATCAAAGATCCGGAGCAGCTACCAACTGGGCAGACAGGTGATTGTATTCTTTCACAAAGCAGTGGAACATGGGACAAATTTGGCCATGCACAGGTTTCCAATTTGGTTCACGAGGCCATTTCCCTCCAAACAGGGCCACCTGCCCCACACCCGATGTGACATTAGATGTGGAGCTGGTTAAGAAGTGGATGGATTGGCTGCATGACCAAGTTCCCTGCAGAAAGGAGTCATGCCAGCCTTATGCTCATCACTCTGCCAGGTCTATGCGCAAAGGTTGCCAAGCGCCAACTGTCTGTTAAGTGTTTGGGAACTGCTGCATAAGGGAATTTGATAGGTGGGTAGAACCAACTCAATCGTCTGACAGGCAAGTGACTGACAGGCAGGGTTGCCCACCTATCTGTCATACTAAGGACTTGTCTACTACATGAAGCAACTTAAAATGGCCTTCATGTGTAAGCTCCACTCACTTTGCACCTTAAATTTTTTTGCAATGGTTGTCGCTCAGTGACAGAGCATCTGTCTAGCTTACCTGGCCTACATAAGGTCCAGGTTCAATACCAGTCTTCTCCAGGAAAGTTTGTGAGAGACCCCTGACTGAACCCCTGCATTGGTCTAGCTCAGTTTAAGGCAGATTCCGATGTTGTTAAGTTAGACCACTGGCCAATTTACAGTAGTTCTATACTGTCTACACTGCCTGCAGTTTCAGGCAGTGGTCTCTCTTGGCCCCAACAGGGTGTTTGTTCACCCTGGTGCATGGAAACATTATGGCCCATCACACAACGCCTTCATCACTATACAACACCACAGTCTGTTTTCCATTGCAGGAGCATACTGCATCTATATGAAAATGCCCAACTGATAGGATCAACCCAAGGCTTTCCTGGGAATAAAGCTTCTATTAAACTTTCAAACAAAAGTGGCTCAAAGCTTCACTCCAATCAAATGATGAAATTAAAGTGATCCTTTAAAATCCCCAGTATTAACCCTATTTCATTCTTTCCCCGTAACTTTACTGATATCCTATTAAATCTCTGCAGTTCTAAGTGGCCATTAACCTTCCGGATACATCTGCAGTTTCATTTCAAGAGAGCTGTATGATGCCAAAAGCAAGTGATAGTGATTATTTTCAGAAAACACGTTCCAGCCCACATGCGCAGCTGGGTGAATCACCACACTTCAATATTCGAGATTTTATTTTTTTAAAGCTGGCTGATAAATGTTTGAGATGACGAGCTATTGTTACAATTTCAAAACCTACTTAGCAGAAAACAAAGCAAGCAAGCAAGCAGGCAATGAAGTTCGGCTACAGAAGTGAATCTGTACCTATGTGGGCTGCAGAACTATAAAATGTGCATTTTCCCATTTAGAACCGGGATGAGGAACCTGTGGCCTGCCAGATGTTTTGAAACCCCGTCAACCCAATCTGCATGAGCAAAACAGGCTGAAAGGCAAACTGGACTGACCAGTTCCTAAACTGGAAATACGTCTAAGACCCCTCTTAGATTGAATGGTATCTGATTACTAAAGTATAGATTTAATCATGACGTGATCATCCAACCATTGTTCAAAAGCCTCCAGTAAAGGATAATCCACCACCTTCTGAGATTATTCATCCCACTGGTAAACAGCTCTTGTTGTCAGAAAGTTCTTCCTAATGTTTAGTTGGAATCTCCTTTCTTGTCATTTGAATCCATTGGTTCGGTTCTTACCCTCGGGAGCAGTAGAAAATAAGCTTTATCTCATTTGAATATGGCTATCATATCTTCTCTCAGTCTTCTCTTCTACCAGGCTAAACATACCCAACAGGTGTGTGGCAAAGTAAATGGCTCATCACACCCAGAAAATGGTTTGGAGGGAAATGATGGTACTTCAGTGGTGGTACTACTGAAGCTAACCAGGTCTCACTCTGTATTCAGATAGCATAGGAAATCATATTAAGAGTGTAGTAAACCTAAGTGTAGTAAACCAACAAATATGGGCAGCTGCAAGGGTATTATCACGGTGGATTCACAAAACTGTTTGGCTAACGCCAGGCAGTGTTTTTTTTAACCACCCCATGGTGAGATAAATGTCAAAAATGTGCTTTAGTAAATACTCCCTGACAATCACATGAGGCCTCAGGGAAGACAATAAGAATAGATCCTTCTCCATAAGCCATACTGATCCTTCTGCCAGTAAATTTCTATAGCCCCTGAGGCCCAGTCTGGCAGAGAAGCTTTTCATCCACTCCTGTTGAAAATTTCAGTAGCTGAGGAAAGTGCAAAAGCTTTACAATGTGTAGTGGGAAATGGGGCCCTTGGAAATCTCCTCCACACACCCCCACCACAAAGACAAAAGCCCTCCCTTATTCCTACTATCTCACCATGCAATGATGGACCTGAGCTTAGAAGTCAGATTTTACCACCCCCAAAAAACTAACTGGCCAAAGGAAAGCGTATGACCAAAGGGTTTTACTATTTATATATAATGCTGCAAGGGTAGACAGAAATGCTTCCTCTCATTCTTTCCGAAATTTCACCCCTATTGAAAAGTATTTCATTCTTTATGTGTGGAGTACAGAGAACAGGAGTCAAAATGACTTTAAAAGTTGTTCATCAGGAATGCTGAAGCATCTGGAAACCCAGCCAGATGGGCGGGCTATAAATAATAAATTATTATAATATATTTTTTATTATTATATTTCCTATATATGTCATCTATGGTGCTCAGAACAAAGTGTCCAGGCACGTGCTGGTTAAATCCAGTCTTATTTAACTCTCAGTAGGAATAGAACTACATCTGACACTTTCCAACTTTGCATGTACCTTATTTTACCACATGAATCTTCATACATATGGAGATAAAAGCACTGATGAATTAATCCTGTTGATTAATTCTTAAGGCATTTGCTGCAGATTTTAAGCAAGAGCTATTCCCTGTGAAAGGAAACTCAGTGGTGGCAAATTTAAAATTGTGTGTGCGCACACAATGGAAAGTGTGTACACACATACCCTTGGTAGATTTTGAGTGTTGGAATTAAGATATTTCCACAAATTCTCCCTCTGTGGTGTTAATTCTAGACAAACAGTTATCTTCACGTTTTCAAAATACCATCTGTGCCAAGAGGCTATAAAATTAATTAACCAATTTAAAAAGTGGATTGATTAAGAGCAAGGCCATTAATTAAACTATAGCCTTTAAAACTGGAACAACTGCCCCACCTAGGACAAATTTATATGGGTTAAATGAAGGATGCGCCTCCAGATGTTGTTTGACTCCAACTCCAATCTGGGTATGGTCTGGAGCAGGCATCCCCAAACTGGGTCTTCCAGATGTTTTGGGACTACAATTCCCATCATCCCTGACCACTGGTCCTGTTAGCTAGGGGTGATGGGAGTTGTAGTCCCAAAACATTTGGAGGGCAAAGTTTGAGGATGCCTGGTCTGGAGGCTACTGCCTGGTTGAAACCAGGTAGGTCTCGGTTTAGTCAGTGTCTGGATGGATGGCTGCTTGTGTGCTGTGATGGGATACAGAAGCATAGAACTGTAGAGTTGGAAGGGACTCCAGGGATCATCCAGTCCAACCCCCTGCAATGCAGAAATCCTGCCCACAGCCATCTCTGGGTGGGCTCAAATCATCAACTTTCTGGTTAACAAACAGCAAGAAGCACTAACCCTTTTAAATTAAATAATCGTAAAATAAAATCATGGGACGCGGGTGGCGCTGTGGGCTAAATCACTGAGCCTAGGGCTTGCCGATCAGAAGGTTGGCGGTTCAAATCCCCGTGATGGGGTGAGCTCCCGTTGCTCGGTCCCTGCTCCTGCCAACCTAGCAGTTCGAAAGCACGTCAAAGCGCAAGTAGATAAATAGGTACCGCTCCGGCCGGAAGGTAAACGGCATTTCTGTGCACTGCTCTGGTTTGCCAGAAGCGGCTTAGTCATGCTGGGCACATGACCCGGAAGCTGTACGCCGACTTCCTCGGCCAGTAAAGCGAGATGAGCACCGCAACCCCAGAGTCGGCCACGACTGTACCTAATGGTCAGGGGTCCCTTTACCTTTACCTAAAATAAAATCAGTCCCAGTCAGAATGGCCAAAGGTAGTAGCTGAAGTCCAACAATATCTGAAGGGACACAGGTTCGCCATTCCTGAGCCAAATGACCATTTCTGATTTCTTCTCTTGAAACACAAATCATTTGACGTTAGCAAAAAAAGACCTTCCACATCAAAAGGAGCATGACAAGGTCACCTCAATACCAACAACATGCCACTCAATCTATTCCAGAATAAATATGCAAGCACTCTTAGGAGATTATGGAATGGTCAAGCGATAGCATTGCTCTCTGAGATGTCATTTAATAATAGTCTCCCTGCTGAAGTTTGTTAAGGAAATCCTAATTGGTGCAGTTGGCAATGGACCATATAAAGTAAAACGCAACAAGAATGACTTCAATTCTGTCTAACTCCGAGTTCTCAAATACTTTAAGTCCCGTCAAAATTTCTTGTTTGCCACAATGTAGATCACAAATAGTTGAGTTTATGAATGACAGGTGGCGCGGTTAAAGGGAAATATGAAACCTCATTATAATGAAGCTATCACATTAGTAACATCATTAATTCAAATGCTTGGCATTTACATTATATATCTAACATGCAAACATAGCGTAGTACCTAATAATGTTCATCTGCTAATGGAAGGAATCCATCAGTGAAAGATGGGTGGAGGCATTATTTTGTATTTCTCCTCCTGCAGCCTGCTTGCCCCCCCCCCCATTAATCTGGTCCCTACAAATGATGTCTGTGCACAATAATTCTGCAAAGTTTTCTAATCTGCATTATCTGGTCGCAGAAATTCATCTGCTATTATAAGAGCAGGGAGCAGGCGACAAGACCACATGTTCCCTTCCATGAAAGCTCTGCTTTATTCCATTTATTGTGATCGAGGCACCAGTCTCAACAACAGCTAAGGCTAACCAGGGTTCCCATTCAACCAGGATTTTAAGGAATGCTGTTAATGAGAACACTGGCTGAACTTGCGATTTAAGTTGGTGTCAGTCTAATGCATGGGTAGGCAAACTAAGGCCCGGGGGCCGGATCCGGCCCAATCGCCTTCTAAATCCAGCCCGTGGATGATCTGGGAATCAGCGTGTTTTTACATGAGTAGAATGTGTCCTTTTATTTAAAATGCATCTCTGGGTTATTTGTGGGGCCTGCTTGGTGTTTTTACATGAGTAGAATGTGTGCTTTTATTTAAAATGCATCTCTGGGTTATTTGTGGGGCCTGCCTGGTGTTTTTACATGAGTAGAATGTGTGCTTTTATTTAAAATGCATCTCTGGGTTATTTGTGGGGCCTGCCTGGTGTTTTTACATGAGTAGAATGTGTGCTTTTATTTAAAATGCATCTCTGGGTTATTTGTGGGGCATAGGAATTAGTTCACACACCCCCAAATATAGTCCAGCCCCCCACAAGGTCTGAGGGACAGTGGACCGGCCCCCTGCTGAAAAAGTCTGCTGACCCCTGGTCTAATGCTTAGCTGTGGTTAAGGAGGTAGGGGAGAAATTCATTCCAGCAATGGAGGTGATGGTGGATAGGGAGCAATGAGCATGCAGTCCCAGGGCCACCCTTAGCCACCGTTCTAGGCTGTTGCATCTGCACTGGATCTTTGGGTCTGTTCTCAAAGTCTTCACAGTTTGCAATGGTTGCTCTCTTGAGTGAATCCTCAATGACTTCCTACTCAATGACTTCCTAAAACAGCTGAGTGAACACCACACGAAGCACTCTGAATGAGTTACTCTATCTCACCAAAAGCAGAGGCATCGCAACACAAAATAGCCGACTGGTGTAGCTTTTTCAGTTCAAAGCAGTCACATTTGAAAACCGGCATGCATGGCTTCCAAATAGCTATTAACATGCACTTGTGAAAATATGCCCTGGTTTACACCAAGGAAAGTGTAAACAATGTCACAAAACAAGATGAGTCACATCTACTAACGTCTACCAACTGTATCAATGAAAAATATATATCCTCTATTTGCTCACATATCTATTAGATTTTCCTGCTTTCCATATGTGCCCAACTTCCCTCTGCAATTTCTGCTGTGAACGCTGATGTTATCACCCACCAGACAGGTGCTAAATACAGTATTCAACACAGAACTGTCATATTCGCTGTTCATCTTTTGAATGTGTTGAACAGATACACAGAAACATACAGTACAGTCATAACTCGGGTTACAGCTGCTTCAGGTTGGGTTTTTTTGGGTTGCGGACCGCCGAAACCCGGAACGGGCTACTTCTGGGTTTTGGTGGTTGCGCATGCGCAGAAGCGGTGAATCGCAACCCATGTGTGCGCAGACGCGGGTTGTGAACGTGCATCCTGCATGGATTACGTTCGCAACTGGAGTGTCCACTGTACTTCTAAAAAACTTAAGCCTCATATTTACTAGTCATGAGGCTGTAGTCATGAGGTTACTACAGTACCTCTAGTATCAGAATACTAGTTGCTAGTAGTGGAAGAAACCCTGCTGTGCTCATGTCCTGCTTCTCACAGGCATCTGGCTGGCTACTGTGAGAACAGGAGGCTGGACTAGATGTGTTGGATGGCTCAGTCAATATACAACTTTTGATCTCAGGGTCATGGGTTTGAGCCCCACGGTGGGCAAAAGATTCCTGCATCGCAACGGGTTGGATTAGATTACCCTTATGGTCCCTTCCAACTTTACGATTCTGTAATTATTATTTTTTTTTATAACTTTTTATTCAAAATTAAAACAAAACATATTACCCAGAAATATATCCTTATTTCTCCCCCATTTTTCCTCCCTCCCCCCTCCCCCCACAGAACCCACCCACACCCACCCCCCGACTTCCCTCAGTTCCAGTCTTTGATTTCTCTAAAAATGGTATTTTCTGCATGTTACACAGTTATATAGATCCTCAAACTATTTAGCTGATTATTATCAATAAAAAGTTTGTGAATGTTTATTCAAAACCAGCCAAGGAGTCCAGTTCGCTTTGTTGCGTCTTCAAATACTTTGTAAAGGGTTCCCATTCATCTTTAAAGTCACAGTTATCCTTGTCCCGTAGCTTTTATGTCAGTTTTGCCAGTGCTCCATTGTCCATCAATTTTTCTGTAACCCGTTCCGGTACTTCCGAGTTCAGTGCGGTGCACAAACCAAAATCACGCAACCCGAAGCGTCTGTAACCCAAGGTATGACTGTAATTAGTTTTCAGATGTGGGTGAAAATACATACAGTGGTACCTCGGGTTACATACGCTTCAGGTTACAGACTCCGCTAACCCAGAAATAGTACCTCGGGTTAAGAACCTTGCTTCAGGATGAGAACAGAAATCATGCTCCGGCGGCAGCGGGAGGCCCCATTAGCTAAAGTGGTGCTTCAGGTTAAGAACAGTTTCAGATTAAGAACGGACCTCCGGAACGAATTAAGTACTTAACCCAAGGTACCACTGTATACACCTTTTGTGGATGCGGTACTTGCATGCAGTACCTCTCTATGTGCAAAAAAAAGAAAGAAAAAAAAGGAGCATGTCATCTTTCTAACCACATGTTTCAAACAGACACTTGAGCTCAGTTGTGTCTTCAATGTAAGGACACACAAGAAAGCTCTTTCACTGACCTTGACCATGTTCGTCAAGGACAGATTTCCCTACATTACCCAGTGTCAGATACAACACTTACGGGCTGGTGGAACTTCTACTGTACAGCCTTGTGGCATGCCCTTAAGTGTGGATATAAAGTCATACTATTACAGATATAATAGTCCATTGGCATTATAAATTCCTTCTGTAAATTATCAGGATCCAACAGAACCCTTTAATTAATCAGTAAGTCATAAATTTACAATTATACTATCATATAATCCAAGACTTGGTAAGACTACATTTAAGATAATTCAAAACTCAAGACTTGCTTATATGAGCTGGTTCACAATTCTATAATTTACTGGGGGGAGGGCCACTTTTTCATTGCAAAATTCCTGGATTTTTCAGTGCTCTTTAAGACTAGTCAACTGTGAAATTTTTTCCCCTGTGCAGATCTCAAGTAAGAAGTCTTCAGCCTTCCCTAATGTCTATTCAGGGAAGTAGGAAGCTTATGTCTGATGAACATCTTATGTGTCCTGTTTCATAAGATGTCTACACTAGAGGATTTGTGTCACCTCAGTGCAGGGAACTACATTTTCTCTCTTTCCCATATTGCCCTACATTAATTTGATTTTGAAACTGAAATGCAGCTAAACAATTTGAATCTCATACTTCTTTTAACTGCAGTTCAAACAGTCCATTAATTTATACTAGAAACTTTAGTGCCTATCTCCACAGGTAAACAAATCTTCTCTTAACATCTTGGGAGAATGGAGAAGCTTCCTCATTAAGTGTCTTACCCTTTCTATCCCCCCCCCAACACCTTATGTCAGAACAATTAAGTATAGCTGCAAAGAAATCTCAATGCATTGCTGCAATATTTGCTCTGCAAACAAGATTAGAATTAATGCTGACAGTTTTGATAAAGTATGGTGATTTCATTTTTATTAACATTTCATCTTGGATTTTATATGGTACAGTATTAATCTACTCTCAGCTGAGTGCCTTTTATTGGATATGGATGGTTTTAATTATGAAAATCTCAAATATAAAGAAGTTAAGAGTACTGTGTTGAAAATTTCCATGCAGCCAGCTGAAATTGTCAAAGTTACCAAGGATGTAAATATCTGAATCTGACTATTCATCAGCAAGGACAAATATTCAAATGGGATAACTATACCGTTTTCAGTACCAATTCTAATTTTGCTAGTTGAATTCTTTACTCTTTTCCACCTCAGTTCTTTCCAACTCTAAACAGCTACATTCCTCAGAAATGTGTCATTCAATAGACTTTGTTCAGTGAACCTGGTGGGCTCCTTCAGCCCTCTGGGAATACACGACTTTATCATCATCTGAAGGCTGGAAAAGCCATTATCTCCAGATTTTCATGCTGCTATATACTTCCCCACTCTATGAGGGCTTTCCTTCTTTGCATCACACACACACACACACCATTCTCGGCTGTCTTCCTAAAATCCTCTGGCCTAATGTAATCAGCTGATTTAAGCCTAAAAATCTCTGAATATCTTAGGTCCAAGGCCAGTTCTGCCTTGTAGGCAAGACCAAGCAGCTGCTGAGGGTGACACAGTTGATGCCAGAGATAATGTGTAACTTACAAGTTCTTAAGTTGGCTGCCTACATGAACAGAGTGGAACTAAAGAAATAACCTCCAACAATGTGGTGTTAGGCCAGCCTTCCCCAACCTGGTGCCCTCAGTCTAGATGTTTTGGCCTACAAGTCCCATCAACCCAGTAGCACAGCTGTGAGCTAGGCCTAAAGAGCCTCTTTGACTAAACTCTCTTGTTATGAGGGAAATTATGAAGACACATATAAATCAATTTGTATCAGTTGCTACACATTTGGAAAGCTTACCCTTTCCTGGAAATTCAACAAAGCCTAAGACTCATCTGGAGGGAATATAATAGCTTAGAAACAACCGCATATGCCCAATGTTAGACATAGAGTAGTCGTACCTATACTCACTGAAATTAATGGACATGACTAATTTAGAGCTACTCATTTCAGTGGATCTACTCTAAGTACAAAGCATGGTTGCAAAGACTGAACAAGTAGAAAGCTTCTAAATATATATATATATATCATGCTTCTTATTCTGTTTTCTCAAAACAGAAACATATCATCAGCACTTTTAAGATGACACACTGAAATAAATGCATGTACCTATGTTATTGTACTGTTTAGCCAGCCAGTTAAAGGCATTTCCAGGCTGTGGCTGCTGCCAAGTTCTAGGAGCCACAGGTGAGAGGTGAGAGTGCGCGGTGGGGACCAAAGGTGGTCATACCACCCCAGAAGAAGCATCACATGTCCCCCAGCAGTCGATACTGCCCCTCCCCTAACACCCCATCTGTAGCCCTCCAATGGTTTCACTACACTCCCAAATGTGCACTCTGTAAACCTGAAGGAGCATCTCCACCTCCATCGTTCATCCTGGACACTGAGATCTAGCTCTGAGAGCCTTCTAGCAGTTGCCTCACTGTGAGAAGAAAAATTACAGGGAACCAGACAGAAGGCCTTTTCAGAAGTCACATCCACCCTGTGGAATACCCTCCTGGCAGATGTCAAGGAGATGTCAGTTAATAAGTAACTATAGAACTTTTAGAAGCCATCTGTAAGCAGCCCTGTATAGGGAAGTTTTTAATGTTTGATTTCCCCCCCCTTCTTCCTCACTCTTTTTCTTTCCCTCTGTATTTTTTCTGGAAGCCACCCAGAGAAGCTAGGGCAAGCCAAGCATATGGGCAGAGTATAATTATTATTGTTGTTGTTGTTGTTGTTGTTGTTGTTGTTTCATTGTCTCCTGAGACAGGCAGATATCAACCGACTATTATACTTTCCATTACGGTCTTTAGAAATATTTCTAAGGTGTTCTTTGTGCTAAATTTGTGGCATTTTTTTCAGAGAAAAATTACCAAAGGTCCATACAACACTATTGATTTTTAAGCAAGTTCTCTGTTAAAATCAATAAGGAGTTCTGACTAAATCAGATAGCATGGCTGAGTCTTGTATTATTAATCTGACAATATACTCCTTCTATGCATTCTGATTTTGAAGGGTTCTTACCTGTGCATGAGAGAACTAATTAAAATTGCATAAGGCTTCTGTACACCATAAAGTAAACCCCGAGATGTCTTCATTGTTAAATACACTGTAAGATGTATTGGAAGTCTCTAGGTTTTAATATGAGTTCTTCAAAATAGAGTAATAATTTACCAAGGAGTTTACACACTTTCATTCTAAAACCTCCAGATTCATCCCATCTCATCTACAAACATATGCATGCTTGTTTATTTGATTTCCTACCTGCCCCAGGCTGGGTTACAGTGATAAAATATACAATTATAAAACAAATAGAATGAGAAAAGTACACAAACAATTCCGTATATAAACCAATAAAAACATTTCAACCTATAAAAACAATACAAATATTTAAAAACAATCCCATATACTGTATACACAGTTTAAAATAGTTCCAATACAGATGCAGTTATATTAATTTATTGCAAAGCTGAAAATTAGGAGTTTGTGACATTGGAAGAGAAAAATTCTATTTTCATCATTTATGTTTTGGGTTTTTTAAATTCAGTTCCCTGGCCTCAACTGCAGCACTTTTACCCTATTCCCAACAAAAGTGACTAATTATCTCTTATACTGCATATAAAAAACCCAACACAATTCAGAGTTCTGCAAGTGATCCTGCATAGTAGCTCAGTGGCAGACTCCTAGCTTTGCAGGCAGAAGATCCCAGGTAAAGCCTCGCAACCTACAGGCAGAACGGTGGGCATGATGTAGAGAGAAGTCTATTACTGTCTATTTCCTTTTCTGAAGTGTGCATCCCAACTGGAAGAACCTACAACGCCCCCCCCCCGCCAGGTATAAAATTGCTAAAACTGTTTTTATTTATAGTTACAAAGGTGTTTTTTTAAAAAAAGAGATACACACTGAAAAATACACAAAAATAACAGCACCTGTAGGACATATGGTCCCACCACCATCCTTCACGCAAGAGTTTTTCTATTTTTAAACAAGCATTAATACAATGCCAGAAAAATCTCTAATGTATACTAAGGCATTACTTACAAGTAACTTCTATAGTAGCACAGTATTGGGCTATGATTCCATATCCACTTACCTGTGGATAAGCCTCACTGAGCTCAATAAGACTTACTTCTAAGTAGACATTTAAATTATTGTTTAAATATAAATAATAAATAATAATTATTATTGGTTAAATATCATTACCACTAATTACTAGGGTGAGTCCATATATTCTTGTATTGGGCAATCACTGTCCCTACTTTTGAATTTAGGAGGTGCTAATAGTTTGGGGAGTGATACAAACAGCCACCTGGGGGGATTTCTGTAGCGGCACAGCTGCAACCTGGCTTCACATGGTGGTCACAGGAGAAACGGGGAGGAGAACTGGACCCAACCCCTGCAAACAACCATTCTCAACCTATTTAAGAAGTTAATTTCCAGGAACTATTGGCTACTGTATTATACACGGGTACACAAAAATGGCTTTCCCTTTCTTGAATGTTGTCACATGCTCTTATGTATGAAAACAACTTACCATTTCATTTGGCATGACCAAGGTATTTTTTATGAGGGACAGAGGAAGGAACTGCTATAAAAATGAATCTACTGAACTACTGTTCCATAGGTCTATGTGTTTCACAATTACCTCTCTACCAAGGTGTCCTAATTTTACTCAAGAGGCAGAGAGAGTACGTGTTCTAGCTAGTGTACCAGAATCCTCCATAACTTTAATCTATCTTTCAGCTTTTATTTAAGCGCACTGTGTTCTTTCATTGCTCCACTAAACCATTTGCCCATTAGATTTCTTTCCCTTACACTGTTGTTTCTGGTCTCCTTTCTATATCACCACAACTTTGCTCTCTTATTCCATTTGCTCTCTCTTGCTTCTTCCCCAATGGAGACCAAACCGATTCCATTATTTTATTTATTCATATGGCATCATCCACAGACACAGCACTTTATAAATTACGAGAGGGCGCTTTTAAAAAAAACAAGAAATCAACACAAAAGAAGACAACAGGAGAGGGGAGGGAGTACACAAAGCAAAAACACACCAAAAAATTGCAAGAATTTCAGTTATACACAGCTTTGGTTACAGTAGAGTTTGAAGGGTAAGCACTTCTGCCAAAAGCGCCAAAGAAAAGGTGGATTTTGAGGAAGGATTTGATGAAATTAGGAGAAGGATCATTGAGGGGGGATTGTGAGAAGCAGCTCCAGGCATCAGGGTCAATAAGAGAGGGTCATCCATTGGACACACCTATTGCACTGAGACGATGAAGCTGCAGGGAGTTTGCTTCCCACCTCCTTGCTAAAAAAAACCCCACACCTGGCCCCCACTCCTAGCTGACCTGGGACTGAAGAACTGAAAGGAAGTGTGAATTGGGTCCATCTACCAGCCAAAGGGCCACTGCAGGGGATGTGTGAGTTTGGGGAAGGGGTTGTGTTATTAACAATTAGTCATAGATTGCCTTGAGAATCATGTGATTGAAAGGTGGAGGATAAATCTTCAGATTAGTAAATCAGAGGATAAAGCAAACATTTGGGTGGCTGACTGCAGCGCCGCTGGAGGAAGAAAAGTCATGGGGGAAACAGGGCCATAGAGGGTTTTGAAGGAAAATAACAAAAAAACAAAACCAAAAAAAAAAAAACTTGGGAAGACAGGAAGCCAGCATTGGGATTTAAGCAGGAATAGCACATGGTCATATAGTTCATGTGGTATTAAAAATTTCTCTAGTAATTGGTGCCCTCCAGATGTTGCTGGACTACAACTCCCACTATCCCTCTCCATTGCCCCGGCTGGCTGGGGGTGATGGGAATTGGGAACCCAACTTCATCTGAAGGGCACCATGCTGGGCACTCCTGTACTAAGCCATGTCTATTCTTGCTATGGGTTCACCACAGAAAACGCTGGGATAGAACTGTAGGGATTTTGCAGAATCCAAAATCTGTGTTACAAAACATAAAAGTACAAGAGTATGTACTAGACAGTACCGAAAAGCATTCGTTTAATAACATCTAAATAAAGACCATTGCTCATGTGAAGGTAACCCAATTTAAACCATTTAAACCAATACACTGCAGAACTAAAAGCTACCACAAGGCCTTTTCAGATGATTCAGAGAGTATCAGTGTTTCTACTTTCAAAAAATATATACCGTATTTTTGTGTGTATAAGACTAGGTTTCCCCCCTAAAAAATAATGTCCAAAATTTGGGGGAATCTTACACATGGGGGCCATCTTCCCCCATTTTCTTAAATCAGAGTCGCCAAAAATTGGGGGCGTCTTATACATGGGGGCATCTTATAGACGGAAAAATAAATGTAGAGTGAGAACAAGTAATGTAATCTGGGTTTCAAACGATCAGATCTCCCCATTTGTGGAATCCCCAGAGAGGTTAAGCTGGCACCTACATTATGCACCTTAAGGCAGCAGGCGAAAACGTTCCTCATTAACCATGCCTTTCGTTGATTGACATCTGATGCCCTTTTAAATGTGCTACGGAAGGGGCGATTTATTGGGTTGTCTTTGTCTTTATTATACACAGTATTTCCTTTAAAATAATACTGTGATTTTAAGTTGTGAACCACCCTGATCTTAGGTTGGTATACAAAATAAATAAATAAACGAATTCAAAAATTTGTGGTGGGTTTTTGTTTTTTAGAGAGTGCAATCACTATTTTTGATTAAGAAAAACGAAACCCTGAATGGAATCTGTGCAAGATCTGAAAGTGGACAGGAAGCCAGCCTAGGGTTTATGATGGAATGTCATGAGATCCATGAAATGAGAATGGAAGGGGAGATGTTTGGAGGAAGGTGGTACCATCACGTCTCCAGCTAAAATGGATACTTTCCTATAAGAACTACCCTATGTTGCCAATGGTGTGTGGCAATCATCATGTCAAGCATCTTACTAGATTCTCAGACAAACCTCCCTTCCATGACCCTTCTTCTAGTTCCTTCTAATTATCCCTATGACAAAGAAAGACAACAGACAGTGCAGCGCTTCTTCCTCATGTTGTTCAGAGGATTTTCCACAGATCTTTCTTCTCAGTGGATCTTGGGCTGAGAGCTAGACAATATTCACCTAACTTATTTACTGTTATTTATATTCCACCCTGAGGGAAAAAAATATCAAAGCAGCTTACCTAAAATATTAAAATATAATAAAAATGTTTATCTGGGGAAAAGTATGGGAACTTTTTACAGGTATGGTTTGATTTTGGTATCCTCATTTTCAACATTGTTTGCTATGGTTCTTTTTTCCCCCATTGTGCTATCACGGTGTTATTTTTGAGATGTTAATGAATTCACAGTGTTTCTTGGACTGTGGTTTGTTTTTAATTCTAAGCCACCTTGAGATTTTTTTTAATGCTGTGCTGTTTATCAAATACCTTTGGCTGTGATCCTAAATTACACCTGCCTGAAAGTAATGCACTTCCTTCCAACAAAACACATTTAGAATGGAGGTGTTGAATAATACTGGAAATGGCCCTCAGCATCTCTTGTAACGTTTCCATTTTAGAATGGAAGACAAGCTCGGCAGTAGCAACCAATTACTTCTGACTATCTTGAAGGAAGGGTGGCGCAGTGGGTTAAACCACAGAGCCTTGGACTTGCTGATCAGGAGGTCGGCGGTTCGAATCCCCACAACAGGGTGAGCTCCCGTTGCTCGGTCCCTGCTCCTGCCAGCCTAGCAGTTCAATAGCACGTCAAAGTGCAAGTAGATAAATAGGTACCGCTCCGGTGGGAAGGTAAACGGCGTTTCCATGCACTGCTCTGGTTTGCCAGAAGCGGCTTAGTCATGCTGGCCACATGACCCGGAAGCTGTACGCCGACTCCCTTGGCCAATAAAGCGAGATGAGCACCGCAACCCCAGAGTCGGCCACGACTGTACCTAATGGTCAGGGGTCCCTTTACCTATCTTGAAGGAATTTCCTGGTTCAACCACTTGCGTTTATCTTACAACCTGGGAGCAAACAATCTACAATAGGGTGTGAAGGAAGCAAACAGCATAGTTCAGGAGAAAAGCAGAATAAATTATTATTTAAGGAATCACAGCATGCAAAAAGCAGTGAAAAAATGAAGTCAGTATAGATGCTAATATGCGGCTACATATAGAACTAGCTGGCCATGCTACAAGGTCAACTGGACAGCAACTTTTTAAAACAAGCAGGGTCATATTTTGATTCGAATAAATGCTTAAAGTACATATCTAAGTTAAATCTCCTAAAGTCATGGAAAAAATACACTTGCAGAGGTGCAAGGCACATGTTTACATTTATACCACCTTTGTCAGAAGTATTAAAAGTGGACACTGAAGGCAAGGCCTTCCTTATGGTAGCACCTAGATCAGGGTTTCCCAAACTTCAGTCTCCAGCTGTTTTTGGACTACAATTCCCATCATTCCTGACCACTGGTCCTGCTAGCTAGGGATAATGGGAGTTGTAGTCCAAAACCAACTAGAGACCCAAGTTTCGGAAATCCTGACCCAACGCTTTTCTCCTGGGAAAATCTGCCAGGTTTCTTCTCTGCTTGCACTTAGGTGGGCAGTTAAACCTTTTGGGGTTTTTTTATTCCAGAAAGTTATTTTTTAAATCTTTTTTATTATTAAAAGTATAGAATAATTATATAAGAATGTTAACAAAGAGCTACAGTTCACTTCAGCCGCAGTTTATGCAGAGTCATTCTATTCCTTTTAAAACCCATGCATTTCAAACACGTAAAACAAGTTTCTACTACATCTGCACTTTCATGAATAAGTTCTTAATATACCTGCATTATACTGTTGGTGTTACTGTGTTTTGTTAGGTATTAAGGTTTTAAGTCTGTTTGAATACAGAGAAAGTTTGACAAAATTATAGTGAAATAAGCCTTAAGAGTGCTAAATGAGTGTTAAAGAATGAAATGTAGAGATATAAGTAAAGTAAGTGAGTTAGAGGTTGAAGTGATCTATCTATGGAAGCATTTCCCTGTCAGGACTAATTATTTTGCATTGCAGTAGGTGAAAAGAGCAAGCCAGTAACTTGTTTAAAACATTTGCGCAATAAAGTTGATGTCAGCAATGTGGGCAGAAAAAATTCCAGTGCTTTATTTTTCCTCGGAAAGAAATCACAAATTATTACTTGCAAATACAGTATTAGACAAGTATGGCAGTTTTGAAGTGTCTAGCTTTCTTTACTAAGCAAAAGTAAAATAAATATACTAGATTAGATCACTTTCCAGGGCATCAGAACATTTCTGGAATCTTTTTCATTAAACCCACATCACTGCTTGGTGTCTGTTTACTGCTAAACCTAGAGTGTCTGATGCTACATGCTGGAAGAATAATAATGAAAGATTTAGGTGAAGAGTTATACTTTCAACTACAAGATCATCTAAGCAACAAAGCTTATCCTACCAAAATCAATATGGTATACAAATAAAAAGCACCTTGCATATAAAGGAAGATATAATATTTTTAAGGATTCCCCTGCTGCTACTTGTACATAAATCACTGATAAATCATTTCAAATGGGGCTTGCAAAGGAGAAATTCCTTGTTGACTTGCCCCTAAACATGAGCTACGAAGCCCATTTAAACCATGAACTCACTAGGTGCCCTTAAGCAAGTTGCCTTTTTTGCTTCAGTCTCCACCCCCCCAGCAATCATGGGATAACATAAACATTTATCATTATCGTCTGCAACACCATGTTACTAAGAATCCTGCTGGATCGTGCCAACTGGCAATTTAGTCCAGGATCCAGTTATCACAGTGGCCAACCAGATGTTTGTGTGAAGTCCTCAAGCAGGGTTGGACAACAACAGCACAACCCCCATCCCCTATGCACCCTGCCTCCAACAGTGGAAGCAGAACATAGCCACCATGTCCACTAGCTCTTGATAGCCTTATCCTCCATAAATTGGCCTCTTTTAAAGCAACGATGATGGGCCTCACTACGTCCTGACAGAGCAAACTTCTTCGTTTGCACACCGTGTCTACCCTGATTCTTTCAAGATAGCCCCGAGTTCTATTATTATGATCAAGGTTCTAAAATTTATCCCTTTCCATATTATCTACTATACTGTGTATCATTATGCACCCTTATCAGCTGTTATTTATACGCCCCTTACTCACTGTTTTTCTAAACTACAATTATTTATAATCCTATTTTCAGCCCCAAAGCCAAGAACATAGCAATACAACAAAAGATGCACTTCTATTGCATCTTCAATCATATCGAAACAGAAAAATAACAATATACTCTGTAGCCCCAAATGCCTTTGTTGCATAGATTTTTTGATGCCTCACAAGTCTGACCATTTCACAGCTACCTTGGCACTTCATGGAGACACCAATATGGTTTCTCAGTGGACAAGGTCCTATTTTTTTTATTAACACATGTTTAGTCTAGAAGTATTTAACACATAAAAAATGAACTCCAAGCTATTAACAGATTTGAAAACTCAATGATCCTAAATCCATATAAAGCAAAGCAACCCAAGAACTGAAATCTCAGTATATTGCACGCTCTTATTCCTGAAATATGCTTTCCCCTATCCACACTTCCCCCTACCAGGTGTTACATAAACAATATATCTTATCATTGTTACCACCATATAGGCCAATGCTTATGCATGTCATGAACTGGCAGTACAACGGGGAGAAGGAAGAAGATCCCAGCGATGGCAGTAGCTGGGACTGGGACACTTCGGGGCAAGCAGGGGATGAGGAAGAAAGTACTCACAGAGTGATGGGAGATGGTGAGGGGATGAAGGTCAATGCACAGGAACCAGAGCAGCAGGACTCATCACCAGAAGGGACCCTGTCTCCATGGTGGGCACTGAGGTGTAGAGAGCAGTGGCAGGGGCGCTCTAGGAGGCTGAGGCAGGCGAGGGCCCACAGCCCAGCTCCCTAGTTGGCCAGGTGGGGCTCACTAGCTCTGGGAGGAGGGGTGTGATTCCTCAGCTGGAGTAGGCTCAGGACAGGTGAGGGCCACACCCCTCATCAAGCCCAGTTGCTGCAATCAGCAAACAAAGTAGAAAAAGGAACCAGAGCTGAGGTGCTGTGTCTGCTGAAGTGGCCTTGTTGGTGGACCTTGGCTTGGATGCTTCTGGACCTCTATGGGACTGTGGTTCGGGTTTGACTGGATCCTGACTTGGCCTACTTGGACTGACCCTGGACTGTGTTTCCTGACCTTTGACTTTGCTTGTGCGGATTGACCCTGGTCTTGTTGGACTTGACATACTGACTTGCTGCCAGGTAGACCAGGGGTTCAGGACAATACATGATCCGGGGGGTGGGGGGTGGGTGTCTACTGAAGTCTAGTTTGTAATGGAATTTCCACCAACATCAATAAAAAAATTAATAAAATGTCCAGCAAACCAGCAGCAAATGTTAAAGACCAGATGCACACACTTTACAACATAGTCTAATCCATGAGGGCAACATCCTGCTTCCTCTCCACCCCACAGCTGGGTGCAGCAGAAGCCCTGTTCCATTAGCTAATTTGATGCTGGATACCATGCTATATGATAAAGGCCTGAAAACACATCCATAAAAGCTACTAGCCCATTTACACATGAAACCATTAAGTATTTGAGTACTACTAATGGCCTGAATGGAAACTTCTGTTGTGACACCTGAATTCTTGTTCACCAAAGGTAACGGAGTGGTTTTTGTTTTTGAAAATCTGTCCCAAAGTCCAACTGCAAGATATTCAACCTTTGTCACATTATATAATAATTGCAAATGAATTCAATGAATCATACAAATTGGCATATTGAAATACAGTTCTGAATATATATATATCTATAGATAATATTTTTCAGGCCAAAAAATTTCAAGAGAAACAAAATCTCAGTTCCTTGGAAAGTCACTTCCAGAAAAATTGCTTTAAGTAAGTGACAGGCAACCTATTACAATTGTCGAGCTCCCACACACTGCTATGTACATATATTAATGGCATACATCTTTTGATTATAACATTAATGTTTACAAGGTCTATATGAAACCCAACTGCATACATGACCCTCTTAGGGGTAGAAGATTCAAAACATTTAATCATGAAACTGACTTAGCAATTTAGTGCTCAGAGAAGCAAATGTTTGATTCTTTGACATGATTTACCAAGTGGGTAGGAGCTCACAAAGAACATCTAGTACTGGAGGGAAAAAACACCCTCAATATATTATTTCTCAGGCTTTCCAACTGTTATAAAGTGCAGAAAATAAACCTTGTAAAGAGCAGAGAGGAAGATTAACATGAAAGCCGCTACATAGACCTCAAAAGCTTCATACTACAATTATTGAGCACAGAAAAGTCATTACAATTTGCTAGGTTCTTTTTTTAAAAAAAATAGTTCTTATGAAAGGCTTGTCTTCAAAGAGAGATGGTTCTGCAAAGTTTGGTGAGTGCCCTGCTGACAGAAAATGAGGCCAACTGTACAGGCACTCAAGCTTTGATTATGGTGACTTCCTCAGTAACAGCAGGGATGCTTGCAGAACCACCTACAGCCAACTAAGAAGTGGCCTTTTCTGTCCTCTTTACCTCTCCTCTCACTCAACCCTTCCCTCCTCTCCTCCCCTCCCAATGAAATGCATAATAGCAACACTTCAGAAAATAAGCCTTCTGGAAGTGGTGCAATGGCTGTGGAACCAGAGTGAAATATAACGGGACTGACCGGGTTACATTGGCTTTGCTAATAAAACCAAGAGTTTGTGAGTGCTGGGAATAGGGCTGGACAATATATCGTTCAAAACCAGCTTGAAGTCCATATTGTGATATCGGTTTCATGATTTTTGACCTGGCCGTATATCGCAAATCACGATTTGTGTATGCTATTCAAAAACCAGGATGCGGGGCGGCGGGGGGGGGGGGAGACGGACCGCTTCTAAGCAGTCATTTCTACAGCTAACCTTTATGTGGGCTCTCCCTTCTGTGGCACCACTGCTCCCTTGATGCAGCCTTCAAGATTACAGTCGTCTTCCAACAGTGCACAACCTCTCCTGTTCTTAGCTGTATGAAGTTCTTCTCCCAACTTCTTCTCAGTGCCAGACCAGATGCTTCAAATGCAGAAGGCCCAGAGTTCAATTCTGGTTTCTCTAGGTAGGGCTAGGAAGCCCATCTGAAATTCAGGAGAGGCAACATTTGACAGCCCCTGCCCCCTGCAGCAATTTTGCCTTCCCAAAGCCAGGTAAGTGAGGATCTGGGATTTGGGAAGGAGGCATGGAATTCTGACAGGGTCCTAGAGTCATCCAGTGTCCTTCCCAAAGCCTAGATAATGCTTTCCCAGCTTTGGAAAGGAGGTAGGGGGACTCTAGGACCCTGTCAGAGCCTCACATCTCCTTCCCAAAGCCAGCACCTCACTTAGCCAGCTTTGGGGAGGAAGCAGGAGGGCCAGGTGTGTGTGTGTGTGTTAAATTTTGGCCTCACTCCTCGTCCCCCCTTCCACTTCCACGTGGCATGGCAGTGTGCGGCCTACGGGTTCTGTGTCAAAGTACTCTTGTGGCCAACTTGGTATGAAAAGTTGGGGACTTCCGGGTTGGCGCCATCGCCGAATGGCGGACTCCCTCCGAGCTCCGGAGGGAGTCTGCTTGGCAGGGGCTGGGTCCTACCGCGCCGGCGACGCGGGGACCCTTAAAAACCACGGGCACGGAGTCCGTGGACATGGGTGACTCGGCTTGCACCATTAGCGCCCTCCCGACTCGTGAAGGAGCCTTTTAAAGGCTCGGATCGGGTGCCGGGAGTGGCGTGGTGCTTGAGTCCTTTGCTTTCCCTGCCGAGCGCAGCCGCATGCCACTCGACGGAGAGCGCTGACTTCTTCCATTGAAAATTTGGACTATTAACAACAACCCGTGAGTAATTGGGAAACCGGGTTCAAAATTTCGGATTTGGCACGAGCGGGGCGATTTAAAAGGAAGTCAATCCCCCCCCCTACTGTAAGCATTCCAAAACAAGGACTGGGTAACCAAGGTCCAAAGGGAAGTATATTCTTGATAAAAACCATTAATTTCACGATGGGAAATTATAAGAACTGTGCTGGAGGAGAAGAGTGGAGGGTGAGAAGAAAATGCAACCCCCCTGGGAACCGGGGCGATTCGTGGAGCCTGGTGAAGAGAGACGGAGACTTTGACAGCTGTCAAAGTGGCTGTCAAAGTTGGAGAATATAAAGAGGACTTTGTTATGAGGACTTTGCCGGTTAATTTTGCTACAATTTGCTACAATATGGATATAAACTGTTGGAAAATAAGCAACAATTTGACTTTTGGATTAGAGGATACAAAGTTATTACAAACCCCCTAGAGGGGTTTCGGGATATTACAAGAACGGTCGTAAGTGGAAAAATACTCTGGGATCCGCACAGGACTTGTTATCTTTTGGGAAAGCTGCAAAACTGAAATAGTATTTTGTCTACAGAGGTATTTACATTAAAGGAGACAATAGAATTTTCTATTGAAGAAAGGAAGGGACTGGACGTAAGTTTTGTTCCTGAATAACAAACCTCTGCAGAGATACCAGATTTCTGAATTAGAAAGTTTTAGCAGCTGAACAGGACAAGAAACCTGAGAAAGTGAGGAAAAGAAGAACAAAGGACTGATTACGACACGGAAAGAACAACGGGAGGAGTGGTAAAGATCAAGGAAATTAAAGGCCTTTGTTAGATTGGACACTTGAAGTTACATATTATTAATAAATTAAAAGAAAACCGGCAAGATGGAATCGGGGAGAAATTTGGTCATGAATTGAGACTTCCAAGCTGATAATGCATAGACTGATGGATATGGGGAATTCAAACCGGGAAGGGGGAGATTTGAAATCCAAAGGCTGTGTAACCATCTTTTGAATTTTTCTATATCTTTTATTTTTATTTTTTACATAACTTACGCATGTCATTTTATTTTGATTGGACGTGTTTAAAAAAAGGGAATTCGTGGAAGGAACTGGGTGGATCTTGGGGAAAATCTTTTTCTTTTCTTGTTAATGATGTGGGACGGTGGTAAGATTTGTACAATTCAATTTGGATAGTGGGTTAAACAAATTAAGTTTCAAATTGGGAGTGAGAGCTTGTAGAACTAAATTAAGGAAAGGGGAATACAGTCGGGGGGGGGGAGGGGGGAGTCCCAGAAAGTAGGCAATGAAAGTAAGGTTCTTAAATATCTCTTTTTCTTTTTCTTTTTTTTCTTTGTATTTTTATATTTTTGGAAACTTTAATAAATATGATTTAAAAAAAAAAACTTGGTATGAAAAGTTGGATCACCCTGATGTAGAGAAAGACAGACATGATTCAATAAAAGGCAGCTTCCTGTATTCCTATGACAAGGTAATTTTTATTCTGCCACTACTTTTGTGCTACATGCAATGTCCTTAGAATAACTCTCATAATAATAGAACTGTTACCATGATTTTGTGTGCAGCAACTTTACAGGTTTCCCCAAAAAACTTGCAACCCAGTGCTGCAAAAAGGGAGGTAGAAGGGAAGAAGGGCAGGTAACCTGATGCAATGCTGCAACCCAAGCCTGCCATTCTCAACACACCTAGGTGTAAGCATGTCCCATTGTAATCAAAGGCCCCAACTTCCAAGTAAGCATACCTAAGACTGCAATTCAAAGTGGGGAAACGTAACGAGGAGGGGAAAGAAGAGAAAGACAAGAGACCCCACAATTTTGACAGATACAAGTTACCGAACCACTTAAACAGGAGGCATTGTTAAATATACACATTCGTGTAGATATACAGCTTACAGGAAGGTCTTACTCAACAAGAATGATGTAATCGTGAAAGTATGGGCAGTAAAAGATCCAACAGCTAGCCAAAAGAACCTTAGTCGTGTGCCCACATGGAAAGAAAGCCTCGGGAACACTGTACTTATTACCAATGATGTTATAGCAGCATCCAGACTCACTCTCAAATCCTACGTTAAGGATGAGCAGCAGCAAAATGGTTCCACTCTGTGAAATTTTGGCAAGGAACAGTAGATTGATCCATTGTGCTCCTGTCGAAAATCTCGTGAGTGGATCTCAGATACCAGAATAGCTTTTTTGCAGTTCACTACAAGCTTGCAGCAAGAAGCCAGTCTGGCGCCTTAATTCATACCCAGTTCAAAGCACTCTAAGTACAGCCACTCTGGCTATGTCACCGCATAGGTTCCAAGACCCCCTGGAACAGTTTTCACTACTTGCTGCTAGCCATGCCAGACACAGATCATTAGCATGCGTACCTCTGGTTTTCAAGACCCCAGCATGGCAAGTGACTGGCATTTCACTACCCGTATAGGGTACATCAGGTGGAATCAATGCATGTAATTCTAGAGTACCCCAAGAATGCCCTGTTTCCATTTTGGCCAGCAGGCAGTAAAAAAAAAACAGAACTTGCTTGCAGCACCAGACACATTCATTCTGTAGAACCAAGTGAAGATCTTTTATTTACCCAGGATTTTAAATTATTCTTAACTTACCCATGCTGCTAACTTTCTTAGGTTGTTGATGTAAACCTCCCTTTGGGTTTTATTGGAAACTGAAGGGTAAGATATATAATCACTATACTATAAATATTGTTATTTACTTATATTATAATATGGATAAGTAATCACAGGGTTTTCAGACACTAGAATCTGCCGCGATATGTTGTCCCACTCTGAAAATGCTTCTGTCTCAAAAAAAAGGGGGAGGAGCCAGGGTTCTGTCTTGGGTGAAATTCAAGAGCACCCTGGACTCAAGCTGTTGCACCCATTGAAACCAGTTTAGTTTCCATGACCTCACTGTTCCCTTAAGCAGTCCCCCAAAAGGGGAGAGGGTACTGGTGTACTGCCCTACTGTGTTTTATACCAAATTCTACCCTCTTATATCTGCCTGGTTCCTGTATACTCTGTACTCTCTTTGCTTTGCTTGAATTCTGCTGCTTGCTGCCTTGCTTGGATTCCTCCCCAATCCTCTTTGCTGGCATGCTCAAGTATCCCATACCTCATCACACCAAGACCACCTCCGTAGGCTCAAGCGCTGGAAGATATCCCAAGAATTCCCCCTGAACTATGGTTAATACAGGCTTGCAAACAGCCAGTCGCCTGGTAGCTTGTTGTAAGTAGTAACCATCTCTAGACATTACCTGGCAAGAAATATTCTGTTTTAAAAATAGAAGAGGTAGGCCTTTCCTACATGCTTTCCACTTTTGAAACAGTCTATGTGCCAGCAATGACCAACACAAATATGCCAGTGTTTTATTTATTAAATTTTAATATATAATTTTTATTTATTAAAAAATAAAGTAACAAATCTTGGCCTGTTCTTTCAATTTGAACACTATCTCTGCCATAGATCAATGACATTAGTATTTCTCCATTGTAACTAGCTAGTTAATTCCTTTTCCCCTTCTATATATTTAAATTAATAATGGATATATAATACCCTACATAATGGTTTTCTTTTAGTCTGAAAACAAGGTAGGGCCATAGGTAGCAGTACGTTCATTTGGTATATTATCCTGCTTTTCTTTCCTCATGGAACTCAAGGGAATATACACAGAATTCCCAGGTAGACTCCCATCCATGCATGGGCCAGACCTAGTCCTGCTTAGCTTCAGCAAGGTGGCTGCATCATATGACCTCATATCATGTTTTTAGACTCAGCTGGTAAAACCATCCAAGGAAATCTTCAATGCAATCAGCAGTTTGGAGAGCCAGGCCTTAGAAAAGCTGAGTGAGCAAGTTAACACCCACTACTTTCAAGACCAACACAGTTTTCTGAAGATTTCTATGCTAATCCTACTTTCCCAAATGACAGTGCAATCCTGTGTGTGCTTCCTCAGAAGTAGGTTCATGCAAGATTGCAGCCTTAAGTCCACAGCTTGCCTTACATCACAAGAAAGTCATGATTTACAAGAGACAGAAGACAGCATCAAGTAACATATATTAATTATGAATATATTTAAAAGGATACTGCAAAGTCTGGCTTTATCACAGTGACAAAACACACACCGCAAATAATTTACCTGATACTGAGGAAACTAAGCCAGCCTACGGATGCACCAAGCCAAATTCTCTGAGGTTAAGTTTATTAGACTGACAGTCAGCTTAATTAAGCTGCTTGATTTACTGGTAACATCACAAGAGCTGCATCAACTTAATATTTAAGAAAGGCCGCTGGTGCATTTTAAGTTAAGAATGGGGTCCTTATTGTGAGGCACACAGATTTGGTGTGACCAAGAAATGCACTGAAGGCAACATCCATTTCAACCCACCCTAAATCAAGCCAGCATCTACTTTTATTCTAACAATCCCGGCAGTCACGACTTCGATCAGAACCGAGTCTGTGTCGTCATGGGCTTCCTATACATCCGCTACCCCTGCTGTACCCTAAGACAGCGATATCCCTGGGAGGCTGAAGGTGGAAAGCATCAATTAGAAAAGGCGGGGGGGGGGGGGAGAAGAGAAGAGAAGCACATTGCACCCAGCCCAAGCTCCATCCCCGGGTTGTGTGCGGATGAGGAAGTTGCATGAAGTCCGCTTCCTTCTCCCGCTTGTAGGACACGGTGCGAGAAAGAGGGAAGCCAACTGGGGAGATGGGGTGGTGGCCCATAATGGTGGTGGAGGGGGGGGAGGACAACGGGGAAAGGATGCACCTTAAGAAGCCACACAACGTGCGCTGGGGAGAGCCTGGGAGGGGGTGGCGTTGGGAGAACGCCCCACTTCCTCCAACCTCCCGGCCCCATTTCCCCGGCCACCCCTCAAAGACTGAGGGACCCTCCTCTCGCCAACGAGCCCCTTTAACTCTCCGACCACCTCGGACTCCGCCTGGACCTCCCTCCCTCAAACAGATGCTTCCTTTTGGCGAGACCTGGGAGGGGACCCGCCGGGGAGGTTTGAGGTGACTTACCCATGTTTCCGCCCGGAGAAATGGGGCGCGGAGGAGGAGGCGCTCCTGGGAGAAGAGAGTCTTTCTCCTTACCCGGCTGCTGCGGGGCTGCTTCGCTCTCGCCGCCTCCCCAGTGGCCAGGGAGGGACAGGCGGGGCCCGAGGCCGGTGCAGCTGCTCTGCGGCCAAGAGGCGCACGGACAGGCGGCGGCGGCGGCCAGAGAGCAGAGCAGAGGGGCGGGTGGCTAGGAAGGAGGCAGGGGCAGCCGGGGCGCTCGCTGCCTTTCCTGCCGTGCCTGGGTGTGCGTGAGTGTGTGTGTGTATGTGTGTGTGCACGCCAGTGCGTGCGCGCGCCGCCGGGCTGGAGGAGGCTTGCCCGCGCCCGCGCCCTGACTCGCAAGCAGCGAAAGGAGGCGGAGGCACAGGGGACGGTTCCGGGGTGCGTGCGCTCAGGGCGCGCGCGCGCCGGCCGAGACCAATAGTCCGCCCTGCTGCTGCTGCTGCTGCTTCCTCCCTTTGCCCGGAGGGGAGTGAAACGGGGTTTCTTTCTGCTACCGTGTATGCCGGCTGGATTATGAGTCAGTGCCTTTCCGTACATCCGGGCAAGGCCCTCCTTTAGGAAACACAAAGGCCGGCAGCGCAGCGGGAGGAGCGGGGAGGCGGGTGCAGAGCGCCACCCGGGAGGAGCCCCGCGTGGCCTGCGATCCGCGAGCAGGGAGGGTCTCCGCCCTGCTGCCGCCGCACCTGCCCTTGGCTTGGACGCTGCTGGGCCCCTCTGCGAGACCCAGCCATGGGTGGCTGTGCTTACGGGTTACGAGTATACAGTTCTTCAGAAGATCAGGGCTTGGCTTGGGGTGTGTGGGTTTCCTTTTTCCGTGTGTGTAACAATGGTGAATGCACGTTGAGCCCAGCCAGGCGGAGGGTTGTCCTATGCAAAGCGGTCCTTTTTGCGCGCCTTATGCAGAGGCTGGAATTGGTAGGGCCACCTGTGAAGAGCTCTGTTGCTGCCCACAAATTCCTAACATGGACTGAAACTAATTCCCGCTGGAAATAAGCTGCAGACAACCAAAGCTAGAGTTTTTAGTGTTCTGATTAAGAGCAGTATTAAAGGAGTTGGGATTGCTCAGTTGGTAGAGCATCAGGCTGGTGGGTTGGGCAAAAGCCTGCATTGCAGGAGGTTGGACTAGATGAGCCTTGGGGTGCCTTCGAACTGTACAATTTTATGAACGCAGGCCTTAGCCAAACAGGTAGGTGGTTGTGATCCGCCACCTGCCCACTGAACGTTAGGGCAGAGAGTTTCCAGTGCAACCCCGGCCCTAATAAAGGAGCCTTTGAACATTACTACTGCTATTTAACAAAAAGCACCGAGGGAGCCTTTATATTGGGATAGGGTGCTGATCTTTCCAGATTTCTGGCGGGGGGGGGGGGCATATCAGTGGTTCTTCAGTGAGAGGTTTTAGTAAAGGTACACAAGTTTCCCTGAAAGAGCTTGCCCACCACTACCAATATTTCCCTACAAAGTGCGCCAAAGGAAGAACACATACACGCTAAGCTGGGGCTGATGGGCATTAGAGCCCAACAACAACGAGTGCACAATGTTGGCTACCCATAATATTGCTCATGTCTGAGAGCACCTGTTTTGCACCTAGAAGGTCCCAGGTTCAAGGTTCCTGGCATCTTTTAAAAGCATTCCAGGTAGCAGGATCTGGAAAGAAATCTGCCTGAGGCCCTGGAGAGCTGTTGCCAGTCACAGTAGACAGTACTGAGTTATATCAGCCTTCCCCAGCTTGGTACCCTTCAGACGATTTTGGACTTCAAAACCCATCAGCCATAACCATTGGTCAATGGTCAGGGATGATGGGATCTGCAATCCATCACCAGGATGGGGGAAAGCTGCATTAGATAATGATATGACTCCGTGTAAGGCAGTTTTGTATGTGCAGTTGTTTCCTATGTTCATAGGAAGTGCTGAATGTGCTTTTCATGTGAGGCCTAGTGGGATTGGTTAGCACTCTGCATATTCCCATTGTGTGGCATATAGCAGGGGTGAGCATTGAATGAACTACTTTTCTTTTTTCATAGAACCCAAAGAAGATCCACCAGCTAAAGCCAAGGGCAATATGGTGGTTTAGAAATGGTGGTTGACATATAGTTAAGGAACAGGGCAGGTCTCAGGGTGTATCTCAACTCAGGAATTTGTTTTCAGTACCAGAACTGAGATTACCAGTTACCATCTCAGTTCAGATCAAAGTTTTTCCTTCTAGGATAACTAGTAACTTTTACAATGTCAACAAATGAGAAACAACATTACTTAATGTTATATCTGTGGGAGAAACCTAGGAATAAACCTATGCTTTATAACTCCTTATTTCTGCCTAAGTAAAATTCTTTTGCAAGATCTGAGCATTTGAGACAGCTTGTTAATGATGAGCTTTGCTATTGTGAAGGAGCTGATGTGAAGACTAAAAATAAGTTTCTTAGGACTGAGAGCAGAAAAGGTGAGATTGGAACCTTTGAATGTGTTCTTTCCCTATTAACAGCTGATACAAAAGCTCACGGGAAAGTAAAAGGTCACGGTGAATTGCCATGTTCTTCATCAAACTGGATTTGGGCATGAGTTGACAACTAAAATCTAACAGAATCACTTTGGAGAGGAAGTTAAATGCCTTCTCACCCCCTTTAATAAAAACTATATACAAGACAAGTACAGATACCATAAAACTTAGAAACAACACAGCCCAGAACACATTTCAGTTCCGTGCTCACGTGCATGCGCATATCCAAACACCCATATAATAATTATTTTTATTATTATTATTTATACCCCGCCCATCTGGCTGGGTTTCCCTAGTCACTCTGGGCGGCTCCCAAAAGAATTAAAAGCACAAAAGAACATCAAACATTTAAAAACTTCCCTATCAGTGCCACAATCCAACACAGAGTCAGGCCCTTCTAGAATAATTTCAGTTTCGTTTCCATGTACAGTGGTACCTCGGGTTAAATACTTCATTCGTTCCGGAGGTCCATACTTAACCTGAAACTGTTCTTAACCTGAAGCACCACTTTAGCTAATGGGGCCTCCTGCTGCTGCCGCGCCGCTGGAGCACGATAACTGTTCTCATCCTGAAGCAAAGTTCTTAACCTGAAGCACTATTTCTGGGTTAGCGGAGTCTGTAACCTGAAGCGTATGTAACCCGAGGTACCACTGTATTGAAAAGATGAATGACAAATGGCCAAGCATTACCCCTCCCCCATTTTTTGTTAAAAGTATTCTGAATATGAGCAACCTTGCCCAAGGGCCTCTTGTGGTCCTTGCAGCCAGGGCGATGGTGGTGGTTCTCAGGGTGAGGGACATAAATAACCCCACTGAAGTTCTATCCATCTGTTAAAATTGTCAGAAGAAGCCTGAATAGAGAGCAGTGTTCCTGTCTATTTGATCCTTGAGCTGAGCCCGGAACTCAGACTTAAAACATGGCTAGGTCACAGTGACTTGTGATTGCTTTTTACCTTTTGACATTTTCTTTTCACATACTTTGTGAGTTCCCAAGCTTCAACAGTTCTCACCCGTGACTTAGTTTTGTATTTTTTTCCTCTCTTACTCTAAAGAGCTTCTGAAAGCATTTTGTCTGTGTAGCACAGTTTCCAAGAAGCTGTCAGGAGGGAGGGAGCAAATTATTAATACTTTAGTGGCAAACAGAGAGAGAGAGAGAGATTTAATTTTCTTAACAGAGAGATGATTTCATAACATTTACGGTGGATAAAGTGGAAGAATGTTAGCATTGCCAGAACAGCTTTGTATATGTAGGTCGACGGCTAGGATGTTACGGTTTATTTTGTTTGAAATAAAAAAGGGGCTGCATTAAATATCAGTTTCTGCAACATTGTTACCTCACAAGGTTTGGGTGGTTCCATCTTTGACTGCCTTTTGATGGCTTGTTAAATCAGTATTGGTATCTGTTTACGCCACAGCAATGGAGCATCCATGAAATATGTGTAACAGCTAAAATGTCCCCCATCACTAAGGATGTGGCAAATTGGTCCGTTTCGGTTTGTCATTTTCCCAATCTTAAATTTGTTTCTCTACATTTCCACATCAGTTCGTGATTTATTATTTTTTAAAAATCATAATGGGAATTCATCAGCATTTTAGTGTGAATTTATTCTGATGTATGCATTAGTTTATAGGTTGGTGTTCAGTTTTTACCTAAAATACATTTTTTTTTTTTTTTTGCAAAGCAGTGTTCCCTAAAAATGCATTTTTGCATGTCTCTTTCACTAATATATACACTTTATGTGCGCTTTATGTGCACATTACTTGGGTGGAGAACTGCATGTAAAATTTGGAGATGCGTGAATTTCAAATGATGGTTGTGCTTTGGTTCTTGTGTTGTTTTAGAAAATGCAAATTAGGTAGGTTTGCCTTTAATTGCAAACTGAACCACATTTCTCTCCCAACCGTACCCACCTCCCAATGAGCAGCAGAAAGTCATCTGAACATGGTCCTTGCACAGTTAAGATGAAAAAGAATTCTTTTTTTTTTTTTTTTGGTGCCTCAACATCTAGTAGAAAGGAAAGAAGGAATCATGCAGTCCCAAGATAGTTGATCATAGATCTAGATTTAGTGGCATCTGCCTTCTGCTTGAGTCAAGCTGTTCTAGCAGTCTGATACAAGACATTTATTGTGGAGGAAATACTGAGAGGGCAAAGCGGCTTTGGAAGAAATTATTCAAGGCAAGAAATGTTGATGAAACTGCCGATAATGCTAAGGGACTAAAAGAAAAAAGGACTCTGAATCAGCAGAACTTGAATAAAATTACCTCAGTGTTCTCTTTTCGTGCTTGCTTAGAATATTATTGGAAGTGTTTTGTTTATCTATCAGCTTTTTGCTTCCAAAGCGTGTAAGGAGTCAAAGAGGATGCCCAGGCTCTCTGGTTATTAAGAATTTACAGATAGCCTATGATGCAGAGGAGAGTTTTGATAACCAAACAAACCATGACACACTTCCTTCTATTGTTTCCACTCAGCTATGCTCTCTTGCCACAGTTTATTAACTGTTCTATTTTTCTAGAAAAAGAGGTGCTGGAACTCTCCAGGGATGCCTTCCTTGTTCCCTTTATAATGGCAATGGCGCCCACCTGAGAGGTGCTGGAACTGAGTTCCGGGTGAAAAAAAAGCCCTGCTCTTATTTGTCATGAAAGCCTAGTTTGGCCAGAGACAGCTATAAGGGGTGTGTGTGTCTGGCAGGTGAGGGACCCCAGAAAACTAAAAGGACCCTAAAAGGAATGAGTTTCCCCAAGTTGACTAAGGGTGTGTGTACACATTAGCTGCTTAAAACACAGCTAGGTTCCCCCTCCCCACTCAATTCAGATCGAATCTGGGATAAGGCAGCTCTGTATGTCTCTCCCAACCCATGTCCACATAGCTCATGGGAGAAGAACCCTAGGCCCAGGGCTAAATGTGGTCCTCCAAACTTTTCTATCTGCCCTCGGAAGTCCTTGTCCATCATTTTTGCTTCTGTGGCCCCTGGAAGTTTGCCAAAGACAAAAAGTACCACTCCTTGTATAATTAAACTCGCCCAAATTGCTTTGGGGATGGAAGAAAGGAAGGAGAGAAAACCTGCTCCATTGTTTCCAGGAAATTGTGCTTTATTTGTTCAATTTATTATTTATTCAATTTATATACCACCCTTTATCTGAATAAATTACCAGATGCCATTCCTCTGTGATGTGGCTTATCTTCTTTTTGCATGAATTAATTATATAAGAGGAGCAATTGTTTATTGTCAGTGTGAAACTTTGCCGTTCTCAGAGAAGTACAGTTAAAAGAGTAAGTGTTTGAGTATTATTACGGATAATCTCTGTGTATCTGTGCAGTTTTGCCTAAGGGGCAGAGATGAACGGGTAACAGTACACCAGTGGGAGAGGATGACTTTGAAAATCCACACTTCTCTCTTGATAACTTATGGTGTGGGTGGTGGCAAGAGGATCACAGCTTGTATCAGCAGGTTTTCATATGCTTATCTTCAGGCAACGGAAATTGCTGGTAGGAGCGATGTTCCCCCCTCCCTCTTCCCAGGGAAGAATCAAAAGTGTCAGGATCAAAGACCACATTGCTGACTCTGTGCTTGCTGAGCTGCATTGATATAACAATGGTTCTGGGCATTAATAGCACAAAAGGTCGCAGGACACAAATGCTGGAGGATGACAGTGAGCAGAAAGGATCTTTCTTTCACACATTTTTAAAAACCAATAGGTATATATTTCAGCTAAACATATGATGGGAAGTAAGTCCAATTCACTACCTGAGAATTCAGCTTTCTTTTTCTTTTCTTTTTTAAAAAATTGCATCTGATTTCTGTGCTAGCAAGGACAATGTTGTATGGCCCAGGGGTGGCTAATTTATGTGACCCTCCAAATGTTGTGTAACTACAATTGAGGCTGCTGGCTGAGGGTACCGGGCACTGGGAGTCCCAACAACTAGTGAAAGGTTACTGGTTATCCACCCTGGCATAGCAAGAGCAGGTCATACCAATTGAGGAAGCCCAACTTATGAGTGACCTGCCCTGGCCTTTTGGCAAAAAGAAACTTCCTTGGTACTTAGGCTTGTTCCCTGCACTTCCCTAGGAAGGATGTTAGCTTAGTGGTGGAGAGCATGCTGTGCATGCAGAAGCTCTCAGTTCATTCCTCAGCATCTCCAGGTGAGGCTGAGAAAGGCTCCTTCCCGAAACCCTGTAGGGTGAATGCCGGGGTAGACTACACTAAGCTTCTGGCTTTGTATAAGACAACTTCTGATGCCCCTCTCCTTTTGCTAAACCTGTAGGCTAGCGCACAGGTTAAATCCCAGTTTGTATTGTACTGATACTGTTTCCAACCTGACACAAACTCTGGTAACTACTAGACTAGACTGCTGCAATGCACTGCATGTGGGGCCGCCTTTGAAGGTGGTTCAAAAACTGACATCAGTGTGGCATATGGCAGCCAGACCGCTGATGGGGAACAGGTGGTCAGAACATATATCTCTAGTTCTTGTGTGCTGCATTGACTTCCAATTTGTTTTCAAGCCCAGTTCAGAGTACTAGAAAACCTTGATCTAGAACACCTTGCACAGGTCGGAACCTCAGTACCTCCCAGATCACCTTTCCTCGTGAATCTCCTCAGAACCTGAGATCGACATCTGAGGTGCTTCTCTTTGTATCCTCTCCAAGACATATCCAGAGGGTAGCAACAAGAGAACAGGCCTTTTCTGTGGTAGCCCCCCAAGTATGGAACGCTTTCCCCAGTGAAGCTTCCTAGCAACAACTTGTCATTCTGCCAGTGCTAGGTGAAGATGCTTTTATTGTCTCAGACACTTTGGTCAGCACTAACAATCTGGCATTGGGTGGCTCTTTTTTGGTGCTCATTCTTGTGTGGGTGTGGATACTTTGTGTTGTGTGATTTTTTTGTGGGTAATCGCTTTTAGTGCATTCACATTGCTTTAAAGGATAGTATATTATATTTTGTGTGTTATTGCTTCTGTAAATCATTCTGAGACTTCTTTTGATTGTGAAGCGATCTATAAATTGAATGAACCAACTAAATTTGAGGCTTGACAGACTCTTCTGAAGCAGACTGAATTACGAAGAAATAAGAAAATATATGTGGTCAAATAACTATTTTCTTTGTGCAGGTATTTTTTTTTGTAAACAGTTTTTACTGTACTTTTAGTAAGTACAGAACAAGTACGAAATTATAGCAAAGAAGTGAAGGGCAACACAAAAAAGATAAAATACCAAGCAGTGTTTTAAGGCATATATGGTACAGAAAAGTAGCAGTGGACAAAGATGAAACTTTAGTTATGTAAGAGGAACAGCAGCTTCAGAGCTAGCTTAGCACAGAATGTTAATTACTCACCACCACCCCTTAGCAGAGTGTATACATTGCTCTGAAAAAGAGTGTATACAAATTCATGGAGACTAAGGCTATCAGTGACTACTAGCTATCATTGCTCTAGACCAGGGGTTAGCAACCTTTTTCCGCTGTGGGCCGGTCCATCGTCCCTCAGACCATGTGGTGGGCCGGACTATATTTGGGGGAGGGGGAATGAACGAATTCCTATGCCCCACAAATAACCCAGAGATGCATTTTAAATAAAAGGACGATTCTACTCACATAAAAACACGCTGATTCCCGGACCGTCCGCAGGCTGGATTTAGAAGGCAATTGGCCCTCATCCGGCCCCTGGGCCTTAGTTTGCCTACCCCTGCTCTAGACAGTCTGCTGTCGAAGGCAGTATTCCTTTGAATACCACCTCCTTGGAATCACAAGTGAGGAAAGTGCTGTTGTTCTCAGGTCCTGCTATCGGGCTTTCCATTGGAAGCTGGTTGACCACTGTGAGAACAGGATGCTGAATTGCATGTGTTGGTTTTTGGATTTGGTTCAAGATAAAAGAATATTGGTAAAATAAAAAGGAGAATTCCCTGGATTCCTAGATCCAGGTTTGGGGCAAGTACTCTTTGGTAAGAGAGTCCAAGCAGAGATTTAAAATCACAAACCATGCAACTAAATAAAGTTGGAAACCTTTAAAATATCCCCCCCCCGAGTTGCTTCTAGAGTTCCCCACTTTTTTTAACATAGAAAGCTCCCACATGTTTGGTAAGTTAAAAATGCTTTACTTACAAATGCTTTCCCATACAGCCACAAGAAAAGAAAGGCAGTATAACTTAGGTTCCAAAAAAAAAGTTTCTAAATTATTTTTATAGTAACAGAAAGATGGCTTGCTAAAGCCATGTGGTCTAAGCTTGGAGCATCCAGCTTAGACCTCCTTACTGGTAGGGTTCACATGGTGAACAAAGAACAACAACAAAGAGTTGGTAACCTTTCCTCTCCAGGTGCAAGGGTGTGGCATAGCTAAGCCTGGCAGGACAGCTTACTCTTGTCTTAGCCCCTTCATGCATTAATTAGAGTTAAGTATGCTAGTTATATGATGCTGATTTATCCCACCAGATGGGCCTTTGGTATGATCCTGCAGGACTTTTCTTATGTTCTCATCTCTCTATGCTAAAACTGTACCAAGTTTCAGGATTTTCTGGAAAGTGGCTACTGATCCATGTTAAGTTGGTGGCAGACATATGCCTCAATTTCAGTTGTAATCAGTGAGACTTCATGTATCATATTTAGCTATATGTGCCACTGTATAACAGATTACTGTTCCCAAATTGTGGATCATGTCCCGCTTTCGCTTCTGAACATAGCCGTTATGCATATCCTTCCCCTGAAGATGTATTTTCCTAAACTGTGCTGATATGTATATATGCGATTACCACTGGAATTTCAGGGGGGAAATAATCAGCTTGGAATATTTTTGTACAACAGAAAAAATATTTTGTGCTGTCACAGCAAGTCTCTGCAAAGCTTGATTCAGTAATAACATGTCTTAAAATTGTAAAGTTGGTGAACTGTGATTCAGTGAAGTGGAGTTAAGAGGATAGGCATGTCTGGGTGTTTTGAATTGCTGAGTTTTCAATGTCCCCAAAGCCACAATTTGTTGAATTTGGCCACATCTCTCCCCTTCCTCCCCCCACCAATATATATATATGGGCATAAATAAGACATGGGTAACAATGCATTAAAGAGCTATGAGTTGACTGCATCCTATTGAGAGGGTTGTGTGTGTGTGTGTGTGTGTGTGTGTAAACCTCTCGGTTTTGTGCAGCCAGAATGTTGCCTACTATATAAAGTTAATAACTATATCACTCTACTCTTTCTTTGCCTCTGGTCCTGCCTGCCAGTGGGTCCCAGTTGGAACCCCATGAGGAAAGATAACCTCAGACTGAAAAAGGTTCCCCAACCCATACCCTCCAAGTGTCCCTATTTTCCAGGGAAAGTTCCAGAATTACAAAGCCACCCCATCTTCTGATTTGACCCCAGAATGCCCTTATTGCCCCCACCAGTGCCAAACTTGGGGAGGAGGATGAGCTGGCACTTGCCCTGAGTGGCAGCAGCAGTGGCAGCCTCCATGGCCTCTTCATGGCTGCCGCTGCCAGCCTCCTCTCTTGGAAGACTGGGTTAGGAGGAGAGGCTGCCCCTGGCAAGGCCCAGCCTCATGTGAGGTGCTGGCTCTGAGGTTTAGGCAAAAGGCAGGGCTGCCTTGGGTGGGAGCAGAGCAGAGCTCAAGGAGACATATTTTTTAAAAAATGCTTTTGTGTCCACATCTAATCTTGCCCCGTTTTTCTTTTTGTAGATCTACCAAAGAAAATAAAATCAGGTTTAAGGGGTTTTCTCAGTGGAGGGTGTGTGTGCTGGGTCCTGTTGGGGTAGCAGTGGCGGAAATGTTCTGCAGGGGGAGTGAGAAATGTCCCTATTTTCACCTGAGGAATTTTGGAGGGTACGCCAAAACAGGTTTACAGGAATAAGAAACTAGATAGCTGTTACCTACTCTATTACCCAACTTTGGAGCAACATCCTTGTCTCTTCGAATCTGGCTGGATCTCTTTTTTTGCCCTTAGAATGGCAGCAAAATTTCCTACCTCAGGTACAGTATCTACCGCACATTGCCCTGGGGTTCCCAGTGAGTTTTATTAATGGAGGAATTAGACAATATGCACTGTTTGCACTATATATGCAATATGTTTCTGCACCCTGTTTGTATTGGATTTTCAATATCCTGGGTCTGCCTCATGGCGCCTCAGGTTGTTACAGAGCTCTGATGAAGCAGTTGTAGTCCATCGTAAGATTTTATCTGCCATATGTATACATATTAGAGTATTTTGCTTTGTTTGAACTAGAACAGCATATTGGTACATTACTTGATAGAAGCTGCTCTCTGAAGCTGAACTGTCCTGATTTGTGCCATTAGTTGCTGGCTTCAAAAGAAATTCTCCTTTCTTGTCTCCCTATGTTTGTCTAAAGTCACATTCATCTGCTCATCCCAGTGGGTGCCATATCTGATAGCGACACTGAGTTCCAGTGACATCAGTTCATGTTGAAATTTCTTCAAATTCTCTTAGGTCCAGTGGTCTGTCACATAGCCTTCTGGGGCTGCTGATGCTATCAGACAGTTGCACTGCAGCTAATTTATCTCTATAGAGATATCTATGAATGGATCAGAGAACATGTGGCATACTGAATAGACCATTCAGAGGGGAAAAGTTTAAAGATCACAGCGGTTAAAATCTGTGGAGATACAGTTATGTCTAACGCAACTAAAGGAAGCACAGTGTTTTCCCTGCTGTTTATCCTTGCCAAGTTATAAAAATTATTAACTTTTTTTAAAAAAAGTATCATTAAAATGTATGTCAAATGCTATCCAAATAGGTACTAGAACAAATGCAAATCCTGGTGAATTCATTAAACAAAGGAATTAAAAAGGGTTTTTTTGTAATTGTCCAGCTTAGTGATTTTTACTATCTGCTTAAAAACTGCAGCTAAGCAGAGTTTTCAGGATAATTTCACAGGCGTTGGGCCATCACTAAAAAGGCCTTGTTCTGTCCCTGTTACACCAACCTGATGGACCTTAGACACAGTCTAGAGAACAGTTTCTTTGAGTTCAGTCTTAGGGCCCACTCAGGTTCACGTGGGGGAAGGCTGTCCTTGAAATGACTGTGCCTCAGACTGTTGATACAACCTGGCTTAGATATGAATTAGTTAAAAGGTGTTTTTAAAAAATGTTGAGACGTGCAAACAGTTGCCAGTGACCTTTACAGAACCATAGAAGGTTAAGCCTGTGTCCTTAATCTGCTTGTCTAACACATTTTTATTTCACTCTTCTTCTAAGCAGCATCATGTGACATATTAGGCTTCCTGATCTTATCCCCCTGGCACTCCGGTAAGGTAGCTTAGCCCAAGAGAAAGAAGGTGTCTTTGAGGTTAGTTAGGCCAAGAGATAATGGCTGACCCTTGGCCACTCTCAGATTTGCAGCTGAATGAGTTTCCTAGCTTAGTCTTCCCAATCCAAGTTCAGCATTCCATTCACTGAAATGCACTGCCTTGCCTTCTTCCACAAATAATTACATAGCCCATTTAATGGCAGTTCTGGCTTCTTAACGCCCTGATGGCTTAGATTTCAGGCCTGTCGGTCCTGACTGATGCTGATATAGGATGAAAGACTTTAGAGCATCCAAAATGCCAGCTTTAAAAATACTCCACTGTTTCTCTGTGGCTTCCAATTAAGTACATGCCAAAAGAGGAAGCTTTCAAACCCCACAACTTGCCCTTGGATCTTTTCCAAGGAAAATGGCAACAGGCGAAGCTAGTTGCAGAAACACCTGGGAATGTTGCAGAGATGAAGCATCTTCGTGAAGAGGTTTCGGGGAATTGTTTAGGCATTGGAATGAGGATTTTGGAACGGAATTTTCAACTGTAGCTTGAAGAAGCAAGTCAGAGGACACAAACAATTGCATGTTCACCTTAGTGTTGATAAATGAGTAGAGTGATTAAGCTAATCCATGGACCCTGGCTGACAATCAATCAAACATCAGGGACTCATGAAGTGTATGCTTGTTAATCACCACTTGCATGTTGTTATAACAAAATTACAGAGTCAGAATCAGTGTATAGGGAATGCATTACTGCAAATTCTGTATTAGCATCACGGCTCTCTCTCTCTCTCTCTCTCTCTCTCTCTCTCTCTCTCTGTTACTCTTATACCATAGCTGCAATCTTACTGTATGACCATTTTCTATTCAGTATAATCATTTTCTATATTCATGCTTGTGTGTACAACATAGAAAAATGATTTATTATTGGATATTATTTAGCAGAATGGATACTACGTTGATGTGTTCATAGCAAGGCAGTTGCTTAAATAGGTTAGAGACAACCTAGTACTTGCAGTGACTTCATTTGTCCACATTAATCCTTTATTACCCTTGGATCTCTCCTTTTCCCTTGTCATTTTCTGTACAATCAAGACTGTAAGAATCTGGGGTGGGGTTAAAGACTTGTCTTGATTAGGAAATTATGTGAAATGCCATGTGCACTGTGTACACAAATAAGAATCCTTTTGCAAACCACTTTGAGGTTTTTTTACAATCAAGCCGTGTAAAAATTATGAAATAAAATAATAAATAACATGACAGGGGGAGGGTGGAGAAAGAGATGAAAGTGTATTTATTCCCTGTTGTTAAAGGTGAATGAGCTGAATCACATGTTGCCATTATAATGAGAAATCGGTGTGTGTGTGTGTGTGTGTTCCTACAGCTTAAAACTTGAAAATGATTCTGATTTTGGTGCAGACAGAATAAGAAATGGCTGGTTTTGAATGAGCTAAATGCTTGACAAGACATTTTGGCAGAGTGCAACACAGCTCTCCCAGGTCCTCTCCAGGGGAATAGAGGGTGGGCAAAGTCTTCTTCTAGGTCCACTCAGGTGCCCCGCCCACCAGGAGCCCAGCTTGATGCTAATTGCCTCCCAACACCTTGTGGAATCTTCTGGCTCCTGGCATGCCTCCAGTGACATTCTCTGCAAGGAAGTGGGAAACTTAAAATGCAGCTATGTCATTTCCCCCCTCGATTTGGACTGAAGCTGTTTTCAGAGGAAATGTATCAAAACACAGTATTTTATAACAAATTACAGGATAGATGTGGATTTTGGTTAATGTCACGTGTACACTGCTTCCAAAAGCAGTGGAGGGAGCACACTGGCTGCAGAGTAAATGTGTGTGTGCATGTGGGTACACAGCCTCAGATTATCTTAACTTCAGTACAGTGGTACCTCGGGTTAAGTACTTAATTCGTTCCGGAGGTCCGTTCTTAACCTGAAACTGTTCTTAACCTGAAGCACCACTTTAGCTAATGGGGCCTCCCGCTGCCGCCGTGCCGCCGGAGCACGATTTCTGTTCTCATCCTCAAGCAAAGTTCTTAACCTAAGATACTATTTCTGGGTTAGTGGAGTCTGTAACCTGAAGTGTATGTAACCTGAAGCGTATGTAACCTGAAGCGTATGTAACCCAAGGTACCACTGTATGTTTGCTGCATTCCTGCATTGCAGGGGGTTGGATTGGTTGATCTTCCAGCTCTATGATTCTGTGTACCTTCAGACTATGCCCTGAAGCTTTGAGCTAACATTTTCTGTAAAACAGACTAACCTAAGTGACATTTCCTTCTCTGATTTCATTGTCCTACAGAAAATCACCAGACCGGAAGTGCACAAGGTATGGTAGATAAGATTTCATAATGCTCAGACTTCATCACTTCTATGAAGCCCTTACCAAATATTGAACTCCAGGAACTAGGATTATTACCAATTCTGCAACAAATTTTGCCATACAACATAGCAGCTTTGAATGTGCGCCGTGTAGGCCAGTTCAAATCACACTTCAACCAGAAATACAGCCCTCTGGTGGATAGCAATAGTACCTGACAATTGTTAGGTAGACAAAGCTGTTGTAAGGTTGACTAAGATAATATGCATGAACTGCTTTGAGCACTTGACGTGAGCTATCTGAAACATTTTCCACCATTTCTCGAAGACTGTCAACACTATTTGTTTGCACATGCAATACCATTTTTGCTTAGTGCATAGGAAGACTTCTATGAAGTGCGTCAAAGCCATTTGCTACATGAATTATGCAGTTCCTAGAGCCCTCTAAAAATAAACCACGAAAATGGGCATGAGAGGCTAGTTAGCAAGCAGTTCAGAGGGTGACCTCTTTTCCTGGTTCCTCCACATTCCATAACAATAAAAGCTCCTGATATGCTCAGTGTTAATATAAAATATCCTACAAGGCCAGAGCCAAAGATTTGCCCAATTGTTTTGGTCGGCATATGAATGGTGTGAAAAGTTCTCTCCTTGATTTCCCCTCTCCTTTATACCACCTGGGCTGGGAAGCATCCACAGATCCAGTGGCGTAGCGTGGGGGGTGCAGGGGGGGCCGGCCGCACCAGGCGCAACCCTAACCCGGGGTTAGGGTTAGGGTGTGCAAATCCACGGTTTAGGGGGCGCAAATCCACGGGTTAGGGGGCGCAAATTACTTGCCTTGCCCCGGGTGCTGACAACCCACGCTACGCCACTGCACAGATCCCTAACGTCTGATCCAGCCATACTCCCCCAGAATCTTAGAATCACCAAATTTTAGAGTTGGAAGGGACCACAAGGATCATCTAGTTGAACCCCCTGCAATGAAGGAACCTTTTGCCCAGTGTGGGGCTCAAACCCACAATCCCGAGATTAAGAGTCTCATGCTGTACCAACTGAGCTATTCCTCAGCTCTAGAAGCAAGAGAGTATTTCAGGAAGCCTTGCAGCATTCTTAAAATGTTGATCAACTACTGGAAATAGTAAAGCAGTCAACATACCCGAGCAACAGTGCAACCTCATGTTCATGCAGGTTCCACAGTGGGTTCTGCTGGCTAGTCTTAGCAAGAGACTGCAGGAAAGCTTTCAGCCTTAATATGAGCTCACCCCATTTCTAAATACAGGATAGCTAAGGGGTGAGACAGAATTGGATCAATGCTGCCTTTTTGTAGCTGTGTTCAAGATTAACCACCTGAAGTGCCTTAAACCAGCAATTTACACAACCCCATCCATGCCTACTCAGAAATAAGTCCTATTGAATCCAATGGGGCGTATTCCCCAGTAAACGGATTGCAGCCTTAATCTTTTAGGATACACATTTTAAATCTGCTCAGTTCAAATATTAGGGCTAGTCACTCATACACGATTATCAAAAACATGAGATTAATATGGGATTGTCAGGATTCTGACAAGTACTTGCAAACTTCTGAAAATATTTCAGATTTACATGCATCCTGTAACCATTAGTGGAAAATTCCCCCAACCCCCCTTTTTAATCAGAATTGCAATGTTGTAAATAACAAACCCTTTGTGGTCCTTGAAAACCATGGGGGTGTACATTCCCCATTCTGATGAAGCTTACTTTGTATGAGTTGAGTTTCATTTGCATGCTCAGGAACCATAATTGAGGTTAGGAAGTGTCACAAGAATAAAAAGGACATATTTTTTGTCTTTCAAGCCAAGCATGAACATTGCACGTTTGGCCTTGGCTGAATACATTTAGATAACTCTGAACAATGGATGACTCATTCCTCTTTATGAATGAATTACTGCTTTTGTATTCCCGTAATCTATGCTTAAAGACTTACTGGCTTTCCATAAACTCTCAAGTTGTGTATGTATGTTATGTAATCTCTGCAGGAGGCCTTCTAAAGTGAAGTTGATTCAGGGCATGAAGCATAACATGTTACTTCCTTTTGCAGAAAGCCAAAGATGGCCAGAACTTTTAAAGAGCACCTTTAGAGGCACAATGGTGCTGGAGCATATTTTGGATAGCAATCCAATTATTCATAGGAAGCTCAAATGTATCAGTGGTACACAACTTTCAACTCAGATATAGGAGGTGGCACTTTTGAATAGCCTTACAAAGAATAATTCTTTACCTCTCTGATTAAAAAAAGAGTTCAGATTTATAGTAGCCTACATTCTCATTTCAGCTGAATTGCACATGAATGTGGTGTTGTAAGGGTTTCAGAGGTGTTCTCTAAAAGCTTTTGTTTCCTGTAAAGGAAACCCAAACTGTTTATTTTTGGATGTAATATAACTGAGACCAGAGGCAATAACTGCACTCAATCCAATAGTCATCAAGAGAATTACTAGGAGACTCTTCTTCTGGCACTGCTTAGAAGGCCCCTCATCTAAATATTCACAAATTGTACCGTTCAGATATTCTTTACCACATGTACATCACTTGATGACTCATGGGTGTCAACAGCCTCTATTTTAAAATACTGTGTTTGAGGGCAAGATGAAAGATCTACTGTGATGTTTGATCTGTGATGACCCTTTCACATGTACATGTCGTCACTTGTTGGTTCTACTCACAGAGTGATGAACAAGCAAATGTCAAATTGGGCATTTAGCTGAACGTGCCTGAGGTCTGCTGCTACAACATGCCTTTCTCTTTGGGGTAGGTCAGAAACTATTTTCTCCCAAGGAGCTGGAGGCAATTTACCTAGTTATTCCCTCCATTTTATCCTCACAACCAGCGGCGTAGCGTGGGTTGTCAGCACCCGGGGCAAGGCAAGTAATTTGCGCCCCCTAACCCGGGGCAAGGCAAGTAATTTGCGCCCCCTAACCCCTAACCTGCCGCCGCTGCCAGCTTCTTCTTGTTGCTGCCTGGTCTGGTCTGGTGTGGTTCTCTCCCGCGCTCAGCGCTGCGCTGGGCGGCCGCTGCACTGTCCCTCCCCAGATAGTCCCTCGCTCTCTCTCCGCACTGCACGCCTGGCACCCACCCCCTCCACAGTGGGCGGCGACCCAGCGGCTCGGATCGGATTCGCACAGCCAGCACTGCAGTGAGAGAGAATGAGTGAGCCAGGTAGGGGCAGAGAGCTGCGAGTGCGAGCGCGCCCCCCCCAGATGTTGCGCCCGGTGCGGCCGGCCCCCCCTGCACCCCCCACGCTACGCCACTGCTCACAACAACTCTGTGAAGTACGTTAGGTTGAAAGAGAGAGAGAGAGAGAATGGGTTGTAGTCAACTAAATCTTACTCAGAGCAGACCAAGTGAAATTAATGAAGCTAAGTTAGCCATGTCCATTAACCTCAGTGGGTCTACTCTACGTAGGGCTAGTGTTAAATATCATCTAGTGACTGGCCCAAGGTTACTCAGCAACCATAATGTTTGGTTGGGGATTTGAACTCGGGTCTCTGTCCAGTTCTATTCATCACACAGTATCTCAGTGTTAACAAATGAAGTACTAATCAGCAGTGTTGTGCTAACTAGTTATTTGTACAGGCTTTGTGGGTACAGGGCTAAGTCAGCTGAGCGTGGGGAAGAAACATCTAATGATATTTTAATGCAAATATCCCTTTTGGCCTATGGGCACATTTGCAAACCATAGAAATGGAGAAAGGGAACCCTGTGGACACCATAGAAGGTCTCTGAGGGCAAATGTGCCACCCGTGGGGGCCATATTAGCCATCCTTGGGTTTTAACTCTGCTTTAGTGGAAGGATATACTTTTGTTACTCACCTTTAGCCTTCAGAATGGGCTGAGCTGTGACTGCATGCAAAGCCATCTTTCCCATAGGGCTTAGTGGTGCGTCGCATCAGGGCGCTGGCCTCTCAGGGGCGCCCCAGTGAGTGGGGGAGCTGCGCGGCTTTGCCGGTGGCCTCCCCTTTCCCTGCACACCCACCAGCTGCACCCCGCCAACTATATGGCTGGTGGGTGTGCAGCTTCCTTCCCAAGCCTCCACGGGAGGAGAGCGATCCCCGCAGAGGCTTAGGCTGGAAGCTGCGCCCCGCCAACCATATGGCTGGCGGGTGCGCAGCTTCCCTTCCAAGCCAAGCCTCTGCGGGGATTACTATCCTGCAGTGGCATGGGGGAGAGTTGCGCCCCCCGATGGCTGGCAGTGCGCAGCTTTGCCCCCCCATCCATGGTAATTTGGGGGCGCTGGGCGGATATTTGCACCCTGGTGCCACATCTGCTAAAGACAGCGCTGACTGCATGATAGCATTGGTCTTGTGGAAGTCATTGTGGTAAGCAACACTTCTCCCTACCCTGCAGCTCAAGAGAATTATGCAAGGACAGGTTGTACTGTTGTGAGTACAGTGGTACCTTAGGTTAAGTACTTAATTCGTTCTGGAGGTCCGTTCTTAACCTGAAACTGTTCTTAACCTGAAGCACCACTTTAGCTAATGGGGCCTCCTGTTGCTGTTGCGCCGCCAGAGCATGATTTCTGTTCTCATCCTGAAGCAAAGTTCTTAACCCGAGGTACTATTTCTGGGTTAGCGGAGTCTGTAACCTGAAGCGTGTATAACCTGAGGTAACACTGTAGTTTAGTTGAAAAGAAGGCAAAAAAAAGAAACCTGGGAATTAAACTTCATCAAGGGAGGGCAACTTTCTGCCTTGCTGTCCCCCAACAGATGCCCATGTGTGGAACTCAGGGCTGAGCCTACCAATAAGCAGAGTGATGGGGCACCTCAGAAAGCAGATGCTGGGGTCTGGGGGAAACCTGAAAGGTATTGGAAGTTGGAGCTGTGTGTGCCACATGGCCTGCCCATAAGCTAGCTGTCTGTCCTCAGATGCAGTGGAAGATGGTGTCATTGTGCCAGCGCTGAAATAAGTTCCAATTGCAAGTGCAGTCAGTTTCTGTACATATAATGGGGGAGATGGTACTTGTCTCTTGGGATGGGCCCTTGTTGCCTTAACAATTGCACGTGCTTAAGGCTTTTAAATTTTAAATGTCATTTCTTAAATGACTGGTAGAAGATCTGAATTGGATTTTTATAACAGAAATACACAGATCTCATGCTGACCATAGCAAATTAGTGTTCCTTAGCAACACCATGCGTGATGGCTTTTGCTTTTCTACTCATGTTGCACCATGGGAAGAAGGTTTGGACAAGCTCTTAGAAGAGAACCAGATGCTACGGAATCTAGTTTTAAAGGGATGGCGGCTTGAAAGAAAAGTAGTGCATTTTCCTAACGGCTATATTTACAGACTTGTGTGGGCACTCCAGGACACTGGAATTAATGAGCCTGATTCAATTGTGCTCATTAAAGATTTTAAAGTTAAAAGTACCCTTGTTGTTGAATTGCTAACACCATTATCTGTTCTTCCTTATATGTCTAGTGTGAAGAGCGATTTTATTCAGGACTAGCTAAATAATATTGCTTAGATTTGATGCTATGTACAAATCTGTAGCGCAGTAACACATCATTAAATACTGCGAGTTTTTTTAAAAACAAACAAAACACACCAACATGAAGATGGCTTAGTAAGGTTGTAATTTGCAGTCAAAATCTACCAAATCCCTTTGTATCCAGAGAAAAGTTCAACCTGACACTCTAGCATAAAACAGGAACACAGTTCATTGTTCAGATTTCTTATTCATTTGGCTGGTTTCCTAATAGTGTAATCCTGTACATGTCTACCCAGTAGTATGTTTCATTGAGTTTATTAGGGCTTACTTCCAAGTAAGTATAGGATTCCAAACTCAACCACCATACTGTCTGCTTGCACTCTTTGGGCCAAAGTTTGTGGTCCTTTTTGTTCTCTTCCTTTGGACAAGACTATAACTTTTTGAAGGAAGCCTTCTTGCCTCTAATACTGTAGTTTATTTGACTCTGCTTATTAACCATGCTAGTGCCCTTTTGGTCCACATGGTACCTTTCCTGATCTCTAGTACAGTGGTGCCTCGCAAGACGAAATTAATCCGTTCCGCGAGAGTCTTCGTCTAGCGGTTTTTTCGTCTTGCGAAGCAAGCCCATTGACGGATTAGCGCTATTAGCGCTATTAGCGGTTTAGCGGCTATTAAAGGCTTAAAGGCTTAGGGGATTAGCTGCTAAAAGGCTATTAAAGGCTGTTAAAGGCTTAGCAGATTAGATAAAGGGGGGGGAAAGCGAAAAAAAAATATCAAGACTCGCAAGACATTTTCGTCTTGCGAAGCAAGCCCATAGGGGAATTCGTCCTGCGAAGCAACTCCAAAACGGAAAACCCTTTCGTCTAGCGGTTTTTCCGTCTTGCGAGGCATTCGTCTTGCGGGGCACCACTGTATACACACCAGTTGAGTTTCTAATTCCATGCTTGTAACTATTAAGTCCAAAGACTAAACTTACCTAACTGTGCCTGGGGTGGCGGGGACGTACTACTCAATTTGCTTGGGCTGTGCCTGGATCTAGATGTATCAATTTTCCTAAAGGAAGAAAATCTTTTATGTAATTCATTATCATTATCATTAATTAAATTTTTATACCACCATTCATCCAAAGATCACAGGGCAGTTAACAATATAAAAACGCAAAAATACATACCATAACAGCAAAAAATAACAATACCACCACCCCACAGTTTAAAAGGCCATAGATTTTTTCATTAGCCAAAGGCCTGGGAGAAGAGGACTGTTTTTGCCTGCTGCCTAAAGGGATGTAAGGAAAGCGCCAGGCAATCATTTATTTCTACTTGTGGGAAAACTACAATGTGGTCTGCATGATGATTTGTGATACAAAAGGATTGATCCAGTTCATCCTTGGCTTGATGATCTTGTTGTAGCATGTTTCTTCTTGAATAGTTACCCCAAACATGAGTGGCATACTTCACTTTCAGTAGTGGCCAACAAATAGTCACTGTGGATTCAAAACACTTTCAGACAATAGGGCGGTAATACTGTGTGTTGATGACTGGCAGCTTAAAGAAGAGATTAAAATTCAAGGACGAAGAAGAAATGCTGAGGAAGAGGGGGGAAATATATTATCACAAAGAATGAAAAAGATCATCCAAAAAGCGAAAGAGAGAGAAAGGCCGTTTTCTACAATCAATAGCACATTATTGATTTGGCTTTTTTGTTTTGTTCTGTGTGTCTACAGAGACAGAGTTTAGAACTTGGATAACTTCTTATTTGTTGTTTTCTGTTTTGAGTAACTTTTGTTTAGAGGCAGTGTCAGGAACTGAATAGAAAGCTCTCTTGGTTTCCAGCTAAAAGGGAATGTGCCAAGTGCATTGTGAGCTGAGAGGGAAGCAACGTAGGCATTTTAAATGCCAGACTCTATAGGCTTACAATGCAGAGGCGGAGGTCCTCATACATTTTCACAGTGTGGACTGCATTTTAAATCCAGGGATTGAGTCATAGGCGCCTCCCACTCCCCATTCACAATTGTCAATATGATACTGTGAAGTCTAGCAATTGCACAGCATCCCTTGGTAACGGACATTTCTTTATATTTTGAGAGTCTCTTATTCATTCTGCAGTAATTCTGAATGCATGTTCACAGCCAGAAGCAAGGGAAAGAAACAGTAAAAATGTTCCCAGTACATTTCCATAGCCCATCATCAAATGCATCGGTATTCTGGAGCCTCTAGTTTAAAAAGCCTTATATTACATTAATTGTAAACAAATCTCATGAACATACTGTACTTAAGGTAAAGGTACCCCTGCCCGTACGGGCCAGTCTTGCCAGACTCTAGGGTTGTGCGCTCATCTCACTCTAAAGGCCGGGAGCCAGCGCTGCCCGAAGACACTTCCAGGTCACGTGGCCAGCGTGACAAGCTGCATCTGGCGAGCCAGTGCAGCACCCAGAACGCCGTTTACCTTCCCGCTGGTAAGCGGTCCCTATTTATCTACTTGCACCCGAGGGTGCTTTCGAACTGCTAGGTTGGCAGGCGCTAGGACCGAATGACGGGAGCGCACCCCGCCGCGGGGATTCGAACCGCTGACCTTTCGATCGGCAAGTCCTAGGTGCTGAGGCTTTAACCCACAGCGCCACCCGCGTCCCTAATACTGTACTTATTCAGAACATAACCATTTTCTTTTCTCAACATGTGGGGGTCTGCTATTTTCTCCATAACAGAAGAGTTTATTGATGATTCCTTAATGAGAAATCTAAGAACTATAGTATGCGCCCTGACAACCTCTCGACTTGATTACTGTAATGCACTGTCTGTGGAGCTGCCTTTGAAGCCGGTGTGTAAATTTCAGTTGGGTCTCAGATGTGATGGCTAGGTTGATACCTGCAATATTACATAACCCTAAGGTAAAGGTAAAGGGACCCCGGACCATTAGGTCCAGTTGTGACCGACTCTGGGGTTGCGGCGCTCATCTCACTTTATTGGCCAAGGGAGCTGGCGTACAGCTTCCGGGTCATGTGGCCAGCATGACTAAGCCGCTTCTGGTGAACCAGAGCAGCACACGGAAATGCCATTTACTTTCCCGCCAGAGCAGTACCTATTTATCTACTTGCACTTTGACGTGCTTTCGAACTGCTAGGTTGCCAGCAGCAGGGACCGAGCAACGGGAGCTCACCCCATCACAGGGATTCGAACCGCTGACCTTCTGATCGCCAAGTCCTAGGCTCGGTGGTTTAACCCACAGCGCCACCTGCGTACCTTACATAACCCTAGCTCTATATGAATTCTGATGTTTACCTACCCTATTTTTTTTCTGGGTTGGATTTAAGGTGTTTGTACTTACTTTTAAAGTGATTGACATAGAAAGCAGTTTCATATCCAGTCAGGCTTTCTATCCCAGAATTGTATACTTCACAGGTAGGAATGCTCTATCCTACGTGCAGCCCCATCGGCGCTATTACAGGGCATTCCTGACCGTTCTGCTACAAGTAGGGCTTCCATTTGGCACTGAATGCAAGCACTGAATGCAAGCCCCGCTTTCAGCAGAGAAAGCAGTGCAAGGTTCTTCTTTGGAAGCCATGGAAGAATCTTGTGCAGTCCTGGTTTTTTTTATTAAACCTGGAGATAGAAAGGAAGGATCAGAAGTGTAGTTTCAACACAGCCCTGCCCATCTCTCAAAAGATTGTGGAGCACGCACCACATTGGGATGTGGTATCAAGAAGGCTGATCGCCGAAGAATTGATGCTTTTGAATTATGGTGCTGGAGGAGACTCTTGAGAGTCCCATGGACTGCAAGAAGATCAACCTATCCATTCTTAAGGAAATCAGCCCTGAGTGCTCACTGGAAGGACAGATCCTGAAGCTGAGACTCCAGTACTTTGGCCACCTCATGAGAAGAGAAGACTCCCTGGAAAAGCCCCTGATGTTGGGAAAGATGGAGGGCACAAGGAGATGGGGACGGCAGAGGACGAGATGGTTGGATAGTGTTCTCGAAGCTACCAGCATGAGTCTGACCAAACTGTGGGAGGAAGTGGAAGACAGGAGTGTCTGGCGTGCTCTGGTCCATGGGGTCATGAAGAGTCAGACACAACTAAACGACTAAACAACAACACAACATCTGAACTGGATCTAATTCTTCACCCATGGTCTAATCTAACAGACTATTTCTGGGGATTCAGAGAACTGCGGTGTAGACAGCACTTTCCCCCTGGGTCTAGTCTCCAAAAAATCCAGAGTACTGGGAGTACTGGAATCCCTGGCTTCTGGACCTGCTTAGGTCTTCTCTTATTACAGCCTGGGGATAAGGAACAGAAGATTTTTACACTGGCCTTTGGCATCAGATATGCGTGTTTTTGGAGACCACCTTATTATTTTGATTGTCCATACTTTCAATGCATTTAATATTGTGTTTTTGTACTGCTGTGGCCTGCACTTGGGACCTTGTGTTGGATGGTGGTTAAGAAACCTAAATAACAATAATGAGTTATAACAACTGAATCAGCAGTTTTTACATATTATTAACCCTGTAGCAATCAAAAATAATACATAGGTAAAAGGTTTATTTCAGTTTCCCCCAAACTTTGGCCTCTAGCTGTTTTTGGACTACAATTTCCATCATCCCTGACCACTGGTCCTGCTAGCTAGGGATGATGGGAGTTGTAGACCAGCAGAACATCCAAGTTTGGGAAACACTGATCTATATTATATCTGCACTGTCACACTATAGTTCACGGGGCTACCAACAGATGATGGTAGCTCTGTGAAGCACAGCATGCTGACAGTTGTTAATCTGCTTCAGCCTGGGTCTGGAGAATGCTGTCTACTTCTGAATGGGACACAGCTGATGGCAGTCTTGGGAAATTCCATCCACCCAGTTGCCTGCTCACAAAAACAAGCCTGTAAGAAAGAAGCCCTCCATCCCTGCTTTAATCGAACCTCTTCCTCTTCCATTTTTCTTCTGTCCCATGTGTGAAATATAAAGGTTATTTAACTCCTAGCACCAGGTGTTCTCTTCCACATGAAGTTCCAGATTCAATGCAACAATTTAGAATGGGTGTTTTAACAAGCAATCACTCAGATGTACAGCATCCATCACTTAACCTTCCCTAATTAAACAAGTTAATTAACAAGTGTCTTCTTAAGATGCTAGTCATCTTAACAGATACAGCCACAGAGATCTGCTGAAGTAGGAGGGCTGCAAAACAGGAGAGAGGTTGGAGCATGGAAATGGGGTGGTCTCTCTGCAAAGAGGAGTTTAAAAAATGAGAGAGGAGGGAGGAAAAATGGAGTAGTGGTGAATATGTGTGTGTGTGTGTGTGTGTGTGTGTGTGTGCAAAAGGGGCTACAGAATAGGAGAAAGGGAGGCATGGAAATGGTGGTGCAAGGGGTAGTTGAGGACGAGGAGGAAGGAGGAATAAAGGGGGGTGAAGTGGAGGTATGAAAGGAGCTGCATAATATGCTTGATTTCTCCCTCTCTGGTTGCCCAGGAATACACTGTTGGGGCCTCACAAATTGTTTCCTGTGTGAAATCCCTCATCAGGGTGTGCTGAGTAAACCATCAATACTCCAAACATTTGATTCCCCAGTCTTCTTCCTATTATATTTTCCTTTGATCTACTTGCCCTGAAGACAATAATCGACACTGCTGTGTTACCCATCTGGATCATTATTACCCTTGAAATGGTTCATTGTGACAATGTTGCGAAAGATGCTATTTAATTAGAAATGTTGGCACAAGGATAATTAAGGAAAACCAAGATTTCTGTTTAAATGCATTAGTTATATTAGTACTAATTTAGGTCTGGATGGCTGGTAAACAAATCCATAACATGAATTAAAGTCACAGAACTTAAAAGTGTTCATGATTTAATTAAAAACAGGCTCAAGCTTCATTTAATTCCTGCATGCTAGCAGCCATTTTTGCTACAACGTGCAATGATTTAAGGACCCCCCTCTGCCACTATACTATCTTTCTATGTCGGTCTCACTTTAAAGCAATTGAAATGATGGCTTTAGAGATTAATCTGCATCTTATGTGCACTGGTAGATTACTGTAAAGAAACAGGAGGAAGTTAATTGCGCTGAGTATTGACTAAAAACGATGGAAATAGGTGCCACCTAGTGCTTTGTTTGGAGTACTGAAGTGAGCTACTTTATTTTCTCATTTTATTAAAAACTATATTAGAGGAATGAGTGGTTTTTTAAGATTACAAAATCTTCCCTTTTGCATTTATGGAGATGATTGCATTTTGATTATTGCAGCTTAACTACCATTGTGACACCAGCATACTGTAGTGCAGAGATTAAAATGTCACCTGCAAAGACCTTGGAAACCATGAGCAGCCTTTTTCTTCTTCTTTTAAAGCAAATCTCTAGCCCTCCCAGAAAAAAAAGTGCAGGTACCCCTCCAAGTGATTTCTGTGAAATGCGCCAGTTTGCCTACTCCTGCCTGTCAGTGTTTTGTGCTAATGTATGAAGTCAGAGCTGTGATAGTTAGGTGAATTGTTTGGACACCAGGAAATAGGAATCCCTAGAACCCCAAAGTGCTGCTGATTTCCCTTCCCATCTAGTGCACTTTTCTGCTTCTTTCTTATTTTCTAATCATTGGAATACTTATAGCTTGCCCTTCCTTTCCCCTAGCGACCAGAAAGCACATTTCCTGTGGTGGTTCATCTGAGATCAGGTAGTCCCTAGATGTTATATTCTACAAATATTACTCTGTAATAAGTGTGGATGGGTGGTAACCCCCCACCACAAGAGGCAAATGTAAAAACTCGGTAGAATATAAAGATCAGGCACTTAAAAATTCAATTTTACTGTATATATAACTCCACTATTCCCTCCAGAATGTTGCACACCATCATTTAATGCTTTATCCACTATACAAAGATTAGGATGAAATATGTAATAGATACTCAGAGGGTCTTCATCGGAACAGTTGCCTGGCAACTGCCAATGACTTGCCTCCATCATGGGATGATGAAGGTACATCTTAACAACAACTTCCCTGGCCTCAGATGTCCTCAGAGTTGACTTCCTACCTGGTGATGACAGGGAAGACCAAGAATTGCAAGAATTAACCACATATATATACCATGCTATTTCTGATTATATTGGAAATCATTTTGAATATGGTTTGCATCATGCAATTTTTTGTGAGCTGCTTCGAGTGGGCTATAGAACAGAGCGTAAGCATTCTAAATGAATAAAATATAAGAAATAGATCATTTCTTTTATTTTGCATAAATATATACAAATAAATTTTTATGCATGTGTGTGTGTGTGCACGCACACATGCAGGCTACAATAGTTAAGTGGGGTGACCATAGAAAGAGTTTCTTTATAAAGAGTGATTGCGAAGTATATGCCCCCACCCCACTGTGAATTTTTATTTTTTGCTTCTTGGTCACCTTACAGTGTGACTTGGCTAACTTGTATGAGTAATCTCGAACCTTTGCTCTGTGACCAGTGCACATTTTCTCTGTTTGTGACATACTATTGACTTGATTGCTTGGATTGCTCCATAAAAAGCAGGTACACGCAGCAGTGCTTCCTTCACCCCAAATTTTGCCTCTTACTGTGAGCAATGGAGCAGATGTGGCAAGTGACGTGAACCCCACACTTCACCTACACAACCCCCAGCTTACCAGTCCCTTAACGCACCCTATGGAAAAGCAGCACAAGAGGGGAAAATAAAATAAAAAGGGTTCCACCTGCTGAATTTCTGCCTACTGTGCATCTACTAAAGACACACGAACCATTATAGAGGAAGAATCAAAGTGCAACCCTAGTTATATAGGGTAAGGTAAAGGTACCCCTGCCCGTACGGGCCAGTCGTGTCCGACTCTAGGGTTGTGCGCCCATCTCACTTAAGAGGCCGGGGGCCAGCGCTATCCGGAGACACTTCCGGGTCACGTGGCCAGCGTGACGAAGCTGCTCTGGCGAGCCAGCACCAGCGCAGCACACGGAAACGCCGTTTACCTTCCCGCTATAAAGCGGTACCTATTTATCTACTTGCACTTAAGGGTGCTTTCGAACTGCTAGGTTGGCAGGCGCTGGGACCGAAAGACGGGAGCTCACCCTGCCGCGGGGATTCGAACCGCCGACCATGCGATCGGCAAGCCCTAGGTGCTGAGGTTTTACCCACAGCGCCACCCGCGTTATATGGGGTACCTGCAACTTAATGCACATTCCCCTAAAAGTACCTAAAAACTATGGAGGATCTTTATGTATGCAACTATGGTGGCTAGAATCTTAGTAGCAAAAAACTGGAAATGTGACTCAATTCTTACAAAGCTTGACTGGCCGGTGAAGCAGACAGAATACATGGAACTTGCAAAAATGACTGGGAGAATAAGAGGAAACTCAAACCAGAAAGTGTGTAAAGAATGGATAACATTTAAAGAATATCTAAAATAATACAGTATTGTGAAAATGCAAATCTCCTGACAGGTCTAGATTGAATCTTGAATATTAAGGGAAACTAAAAATGTAGAAACTTTTCTGGATATGTAACAGATATAACAGGAAATGCGTAAAGGTTAAGAATATGTAGAAAGCACCATGAGGTGAATTGGAAGTCAAGTGTGTGTGATGTTAGACGATGTGTTGTTAGTTAATGTTTAGTTGTCATTGAGGTTATTGTTTTCGTTTGTCTGTGTTATATGTAAATTATTTTGCAATAAAGTTTAAAAAACAACAACTATGGAGGATTTGGCTATGAAGCAATCTTAAAATGTAATTATTATGAAGACAAGGAAAATAAAAGACAACCTAACCCCCACCCTTTCTTCTGGTTACTTCAAACTCAGGGGTATTTGGGGGCTGAGGAAAGGCTGGATATAAACGAAAGCTTCTTTTTATAGCCTTAAAATGCGACATCTTCGTTAAAGCAGCCCTTTGTGACGGGAGGGAGTCCGCGAAGACTCTTAAGCGGGCTTTGCAACGGCTGGAGTTGGATGGAAAGGGGCGAGGCCGCCGCCCCGGGCTTTCCTGGCAAGGCAGGCCCGGGCGGAGCGTTAGGCCTGCGGTCGCCATGGCGACGGGAGCGCGTGGTGGAGGCCGCCGAGCAGCATGTACGACCGCGCTCCCCGCGCCTTGACCTTGACCGTCGGCGGCACCGCGTCCCACCTGGGGCCGGGCTGCTACGAGTTGCCTCCCGACACCAAACGGCTCCAAGGTGAGGCGAGGCGAGGCGAGCGGGGAGGGGAGAAGCGCGGGCGGGCTGGGGGCCAAGGCCCGCTCCGCTCTGGGCTTCCCTCAGGCCAAACTTGGCTTGTTTACCATTGGAGCTGGAGCGCGAAGCGTCTGCCGGGCGCCCGGTTCATTCATTCATTCATTCATTCATATTTATTTGAGATTTATACGCCGCTTGGTTGCAACAGCAGCAACCCACGTCAAAGCGGTTTACCAAAAGGATAAACTGGGGTGGAGGGGTGGGTTTATGTGTGGGGATGGGAGTTTGGGAGGGCAGGCTCACTCAGCCCGACCCAGAACTTTTCTACTTGGAAATAAATCCTGTTATTGAGCCCAGTGGGTCTCAGTAAGGCTGCACTCTGAATTGGGCGGAGCATATTTCTCAAAGAAGACTGCAGCCTTTTTCAGTTATATTTTTTTTATAATCGCTACCTGTGTTTCATTAATTGCTCTGCTCCACTTAATTGAGCAATCGATGCACACGATTTTTTTAAAATAAAAAATATTTTTTATTAGGAATTTAAACAGAACATATTATCTTACAACATATCCTTAATTCCCCCCCATTCTCCCCCCCCCATAAAACAACCCCCCTCCACCCCCTGACTTCCCTCAGTTCCCATCTCTGGTTTCCCTGTAAATGCTATTCTTTGCATGTTGCAAAATTGTATAAATCCTTAAGTTATCTAACTGATTATTATCAATAAAAAGTTTGTGAGTGTTTATTCAAAACCTGCCAAGGAGTCCAGTTCACTTTGTTGCTTCTTTAAATACTTTCTAAAAGGTTCCCATTCACAGTTATCCTTGTCCCATAGTTTATGTGTCAATTTTGCCAATTCTGCACAGTCCATCAGTTTCGCTTGCCATAATTCTTTAGTCGGGGTTTCTTCATTCTTCCATCCTTGTGCTATTAAGACTCTCGCTGCCGTTGTTGCATACATGAAGATGTTTTTCAACTTCCTTGGCAGGTTTTTTCCTACAATCCCTAACAAAAGTGCTTCAGGTTTCTTAACAAATGTTAGATGAAACATTTTCTTCAATTCATTGTATATCATTTCCCAAATTTTTTAAATTTCATTTCAATCCCACCACATATGATAAAATGTCCCCTCCTTTTCCTTACACTTCCAACACATGTTTGAGCTAGTTTTGTACATTTTCCCTAACTGCACTGGTGTCATAGAATCATAAAATCATAGAGCTGGAAGAGACCACAAGGGCCATCGAGTCCAACCCCCTGCCAAGCAGGAAACACCATCAGAGCACTCCTGACATATGGTTGTCAAGCCTCTGCTTAAAGACCTCCAAAGAAGGAGACTCCACCACACTCCTTGGCAGCAAATTCCACTGTCGAACAGCTCTTACTGTCAGGAAGTTCTTCCTAATGTTTAGGTGGAATCTTCTTTCTTGTAGTTTAGATCCATTGCTCCGTGTCCGCTTCTCTGGAGCAGCAGAAAACAACCTTTCTCCCTCCTCTATGTGACATCCTTTTATATATTTGAACATGGCTATCATATCACCCCTTAACCTCCTCTTCTCCAGGCTAAACATGCCCAGCTCCCTTAGCCGTTCCTCATAAGGCATCGTTTCCAGGCCTTTGACCATTTTGGTTGCCCTCCTCTGGACACGTTCCAGTTTGTCAGTGTCCTTCTTGAACTGTGGTGCCCAGAACTGGACACAGTACTCCAGGTGAGGTCTGACCAGAGCAGAATACAGTGGCACTATTACTTCCCTTGATCTAGATGCTATACTCCTATTGATCCAGCCCAGACTTGCATTGACTTTTTTAGCTGCCACGTCACACTGTTGGCTCATGTCAAGTTTGTGGTCAACCAAGACTCCTAGATCCTTTTCACATGTACTGCTCTCAAGCCAGGTGTCACCCATCTTGTATTTGTGCCTCTCATTTTTTTGCCCAAGTGCAATACTTTACATTTCTCCTGTTAAAATTCATCTTGTTTGTTTTGGCCCAGTTCTCTAATCTGTCAAGGTCGTTTTGAAGTGTGATCCTGTCCTCTGGGGTGTTAGCCACCCCTCCCAGTTTGGTGTCATCTGCAAATTTGATCAGGATGCCCTTGAGTCCATCATCCAAGTCGTTGATAAAGATGTTGAATAAGACCAGGCCCAAGACAGAACCCTGTGGCACCCCACTAGTCACTCTTCTCCAGGATGAAGAGGAACCATTGATGAGCACCCTTTGGGTTCGGTCAGTCAGCCAGTTACAAATCCACTGAGTGGTAGCATAGTCAAGACCGCATTTTACCAGCTTCTTTACAAGAATCTCATGGGGCACCTTGTCAAATGCCTTTCTGAAATCAAGGTAGGCTACATCCACTGCGTTCCCTTCATCTACCAGGCTTGTAATTCTGTCAAAAAACGAGATCAGGTTAGTCTGACATGACTTATTTTTCAGAAATCCATGCTGACTATTGGTGATCACAGCATTCCTTTCTAGGTGCTCACAGACTGTTTGCTTAATGATCTGCTCCAGAATCTTCCCTGGTATTGATGTCAGACTGACTGGGCGGTAATTATTTGGGTCCTCTCTTTCCCCTTTTTGAAAATAGGGACAACATTTGCCCTCCTCCAGTCTGCCGGGACTTCGCCTGTTCTCCAGGAATTCTCAAAGATGACTGCCAGTGGTTCTGAGATCACATCTGCCAGTTCTTTTAATACTCTTGGATGCAGTTCATCTGGCCCTGGAGACTTGAATACATCTAAACTAGCCAAGTATTCTTGTACTATCTCCTTAGTTATTCTGGGCTGTGTTTCCTCTGCTGAATCATTTGCTCCAAATTCTTCAGGTCGGGCCTTGTTTTCTTTATCGGAGAAGACTGAGGCAAAGAAGGCATTGAGGAGTTCTGCCCTTTCTGTGTCCCCTGTTTGCATTTCACCATCTTCTCCTCTGAGTGACCCCACTGTTTCTTTGTTCTTCCTTTTGCTACGAACATACCCATAAAAGCCTTTTTTGTTGCTTTTAACCTCTCTAGCAAGCCTGAGTTCATTCTGTGCTTTAGCTTTTCTGACTTTGTGTCTACACGTGCTGGCTATTTGTTTGAATTCCTCTTTGGTGGTTTCCCCCCTTTTCCATTTTTTGTACACATCCTTTTTTTTAATCTTAACTCAGTTAAAAGTTCTTTAGATAGCCACCCTGGCTTCTTTAGGCACCTTCCATGTTTCCATCTCATTGGTATTGCCTGACGTTGTGTTTTTACTATCTCCCTCTTAACAAACTCCCAGCCATCATGAACTCCCTTTCCTTTTAGTATTACTGTCCATGGGATCTCACCCAGCACTTCCCTAAGTTTTATGAAGTCGGCTTTCTTAAAGTCAAGAAATTGAGTCCTAGTATGCTTGGCTGCTCCTTTCCGCTGTATAGTAAACTTCAGAAGAGCATGATCACTCACGCCTAATGATCCTTCCACTTCTACCCCACTAACCAGGTCATCAACATTGGTTAGGACCAGATCTAAAATGGCTGTTCCTCTTGTTGCTTCTCCCACTTTCTGGACAATGAAGTTGTCTGCAAGGCCAGTGAGGAATCTGTTTGACCTTATGCTCTTGGCTGAGTTTGACATCCAACAAATATCCGGGTAATTGAAGTCCCCCATTACTACTATCTCCCTCTTTTTGCATGCTTGGCCATCTGTTCCAGGAAGGCATCATCTATGTCCTCCGTTTGGCTTGGGGATCTATAGTAAACTCCCACAATGAGGTCACTGTTATTCTTCTCTCCTTAATTTTGACCCAAATGCTCTCACTTTGGCTTTGAGGTTCTAAATCTTGGATCTCTTCACAGGTATACACATCCCTGACATATAACACCACTCCTCCTCCTTTCTTGTCTGGTCTGTTTCTCTGAAATAGATTGTATCCCTCCATTATTACATTCCAATCGTGGGACTTATCCCACCAGGTTTCAGTGATGCCTATTATGTCATATTTAGTTTGCTGTACCAAGAGCTCAAGCTCATCTTCTTTATTTCCCATGCTTTGCGCATTAGTGTACAGACATTGAAGTCCATTAATCATTCCCCCGTGTCTCTTATTTAAGGATTTTTTCCTCCTACCACTAGGTCTGTGTGCTGTTTGCTCCATTTGGTCTATGACATTTGGATGATCATCTTCATCAATTGATAGACTCCTACCTTCAGGAGCACTGTCTCCCTCCCCCACATTAGTCAGTTTAAAGCCCTCCTGATGAGGTTTCTGAGATTTTTGGAAAAAACATTTCTCCCAACCGTTGTGAGGTGCAGCCCATCCCTTGCCAGAAGTCCATCTTCAAGAAACTGCAGTCCGTGATCTAAGAATCCAAACCGTTCCTGTTTACACCATTTGCGAAGCCAGCTGTTCACTTCCACTATTTTTCCCTCTCTCCTGGGCCACGTCGTTCAACTGGGAGGACAGATGAGATGACAATTTGTGCATTTAATTGCTTCAATTTCCTGCCCAGAGCCTCGTAGTCTCTTTTGATCTTCTGGAGGCTATTGCTTGCAGTGTCATTGGTTCCCACATGAACCAAGAGGAAGGGGTATTTGTCAGTGGGTTTTATGATTCCTTGCAGTCGTTCAGTTACATCTTGGATCTTAGCCCCAGGGAGACAGCACACTTCCCGAGACATCTTGTCAGGCCCACAGATCACTGCTTCTGTTCCCCAGTAGGGAATCCCCTATCACCACTACACGCCTCCTCTTAGGTTTGTTCGGGGTCCTT